CTTTTTTCTTTTCCACATAAAGTGTTTCGATTTTCTGCTTTTCAGTTAACTTCAACTGCCTTTTGCATATTGCTTTCGCCTCTTCCATATGTGTATCTCTAAAACACCAAACTACGATGAAAATTTTGAAGAGGAAGATGCAATGCTTTCTCACATGTAAAGAGCTTAAATCCAGATATGAATATGCAACTTCAGAATTTTTTTCCTAAGCAGCCATACAATTTAAAAAATAAAGTAGTTCTTCATTAGATATCAAGAAGTACTCAGTTCGGACCAGATGCATCTTTAGATCTTAAGTGACACCACTCTCGTTAAGTTCGTCGTGGTCATTTTGCATAATTAGAAGATTTAAATAACCACAAATGAAAACAGAAAAGTTAACAAATTAAACGGAAATAAGTGTACCAAGAGTTAATAAAGAACAAATAAAGCTTTTACGATATGTACAAAACGATGCATTTTAGTATCTAGCACTTACTGAGCTAACCATTGATTCGAAAATAAAAACTGCTATTTGTATTTTATGCATTTGAAAAGATGACAAAATACAAACTATAAATAGCATGAAAAGTTCTCAACACATCAATATTGGACAACATGGTTGTCCACGCAGTCAAAAAATATAGTAAAAACAAGGATAAAGTGATTTAGTTGTAAAAAATGAGAAAAATAAGCAGAAAAAAAGAGTTAGTGAGGACAATTTTTAACACAGGTGATTAAGGAATCATAAGAAATTCGCTAGAAGGAATCGAATCGAAGTAAAAGTAAGTAAAGGATGCATTTAACTGTTAACCACTGAGAAAAATCAATAAAGACGCCAATTACAAAAAATGATCACTGTGAAAAAGAAACCAATCACGGAAGTCATATAATGGAGCATACTAATTCCGGAAACAAATCATTTGCTCTCCCATACCGATGGGTTGAAACTTACATCATAAGAACAAAAAATTATGGTAAACAACTCTTATTCTTTAATCAAAACCAAGCTAAGTCGGAAGATAAAATATAGGAATTTGCAATATTGCTCTTTGGATTGAAACAAATAGTGCTGAGAATAGCTTGAAATTCTATTTTTAATTTGTCAATCATCATCAATTAGAAATTAATTTTGAACAAAAAAAAAACAAAAAAAAAGCTCCAAATGTTCATAAAATTAATGGAAGCATTTATTTTATAGCTATAAATGTCATAGGATACACTTACGAATTGAATTGAAACCTCGGAAAGGACATATGCAGATCTTCCACATTTTCTAATTGTTTCCTCAAAAAGTTTTCTGAAAAAAAAAGTTTTCTGCATTAACAAATGAAGCATGACTGCGATTTCCACAAAAGACAACCAAATAAACTCAATCAGCAGTACCCCAAGTTTGCTTTAAATGGAATGATTACACAAATAAAAGTGTAAACCAGCTCCAGGCTCCAGTAGACCAACAACTGACTGCATTCATGACACTAATGAAGAACAGTTATGCTCAAAACAGCACATGCAAATCTTGCGAAATAGAATTTTCAAGTTTAATTTAACACACATTCTGATAGATCTATACACAAGACCTTTTTCAACTCCGATATTCGACGTTTCTTTCACAGGATTTGTCGAGTGATCATTAGTTTTCTCATCATTCCTTAATTCTTCGTTAGGAGATACTGATTTTTTTGGTGATCTCGGATGAAGTGGACTACCAGCTGTCAGTAATAAATGTTCCACGTCCTTTGCTAATTCATCTGAAAAACAATATTTCTGAAATATATATATATATTTTTTTTTTTTTTTAAGATCATGACAAAGTAGCAAGTGTTTGGTTTCAGTGCATTTCATAAATGCTAACTTTTTTATGGCACCATATTCCAACTCCATTATACTTCTATCATGTTGTCGTAAATATTTTCGGTTTTAAAATTTCCATTAAAAAAAAAAATTGATTGATTGATTGATTGCAATCACCCACTAATTAATATAACGGAAACCATACCATCATCACTACTTTCTTCGATTGTTTTTGTACTTGATTCACTTAAATTCGTTAATCTTCTTGACTTTCTAAGCAAGTATTCACGCAAATCATCCTTATCTTTATATCGAGCAAGACGTCTTTGCAGTGATTTTGTCATTAAACCATTATTTTCAATAATTTCGCCTGCAAATGACTCGGCAGGCAATATTTCTAATCTTTTTTTCTAACTACTACTTAAATTATTCAAACGATACCGTTCTGCAGTGCTTTTCCAGCATTTTAGAAATATTTCTAATAGTTCATAAAAAACGAGGAAGTTCGATATAATAGCTCGATCGACATACAAATTAAAAACAAGGTCTATAATGAATTATATGATTAAGAACCTGTAAAACTAAGGTGCATGAAATTTTATTCGATTTCGCACGTAAAAGTTAACTTTTTAAAACATTGTTGAAAAAAAAAAATGGTGTAAAAAAATATGAAAGGAAAATTTACCAAACTCAAGAAGGAGTCGGAGCATTGCCGGACAATGATATCTAAAGGGTTCCAACTTTTCATTCATTGCTTGCAGTTGGACACATTTCTTTTCCAGTTGTTTCATTGAATCATTTATTTTCTTCAAAAAAGCAACGTTTTGAAAATAAGTACGTAAACTTTTTAGACTGGTTTCTACAGATTTCATCATTTAATTAATGTTTGTTTCACAAATCACTACCAATATAAATAAAATCTTCCAAACATGTCCCTCAAAACCGCAAACGACAACTTTATAAAGACACAAAAAATGCAGTAAAAAATTTTCAAAAAGATTTCACAAATTTTCCTAGGTCTTAACAGCGATACCATTAATCAGTTTATATTGTCAAGTTTTTTCAGCTTTATTTTATTGTCCCGAACAGAGGAATAATGAAATTTTTGAGCTGCAATAAATGCTTAAGTATTAAAAACTAAGGAAAAAGGAAAATGTTAAAGCTTTTGCTGCATTTTAATCTCTCAGTAACTAGGAAAACCTACTGCCGCAGCTTCCACACTTTTCAGATATTTTGCAAGCAATTCCTGACGTGCTTCTTTTTCAGCCATGAGATTTTCCACAGCAACTTTACAAGTTTCATGATATTTCACTGATTCTTCGATTAAACGCTAAATTTTATTCAAAATCTAAGTAAAATGTATCATGTTTTTTCACACTAAGACACAAGCATCATAAAATCCGCCATTATTTCAAAAGCATTAATTTCCCGATGTTAGCTTAATCAAGCCAACTAGAATTGGACGATGGAAGTAAGTTTAAATATACAGTAAATCTAAGCTCCAAATAAAGTAAATGTGACTAAGTACAACCTGATTCCTTCGTGCTGTAGCAACCACTTCATCATATTGTCTTTTTAGACTGTCATGAGTGATCTGAAATTCTTGTAACTTTTAGTACTAAGTTTAAATAAAGAAATATTTACAAATTTTGCGGCAAACGATCAATAAGGAAAAAGAGCGGTATACCCGCAAATTCTCATACTCCGCATACAACGATGTGTGTTCTGCTTCCAAATTTTCTAGCTTTGAACGTCTTTCATCAATATATTTAGCTTGCTCTTCATTTATTTTGGATACCTGTTCTGTTTTCTAAAAAAAATTATAGACATTTTAAATGCAAACGAATAAGAAATTTCTAAAAGTAAATTTATATATTCTTTATTCCCTAACTCTATCATAACTTAATGAAGTGAGAAATAAACCTTTAGTTCTTTCTGAAGATTTTTAAACTGCCCACTTAAGGAAGCTAAAGCTTCTTCAGCAATAACGGTGTTCAATCTCAGTGCTGCACATTTTGGACAATCTTCTTGCGATTCTTCTGCGCTACTCCGATTCTGTAACCTACTAGAACCGGCCTCACTCAACCAACCTTCCGAAATCTATAACAATTCCTTAATAATATGCATATTTCTGATAATATGTCAGCAGCCCATAATTTGCATCATTTGTTTATGTTTGAAATATTATGAGTCCTTACCTTCGATAAACGAAAAAATTACTAACAGTTATCAAGGTCATTTCTGAGTTCTTTCTCCATCCAAGAAGGAAATGATTCAAAAAAATTAAATAATTAATTGAAAAATCAAGAAATGTAATGTTTTGGAGACATACTCCGGAAAAAGTAGAGCGAGTTGACGTAGACGAAGTCATCTGCTACATCCTGCAAAACCTTAATTTGCAGAAATGATAGTCTATCTCAACTGCACATACATCAGAAATCAAAAAATAACAAAAACAAATTTAAAGATGATATTGCTAAACCAAATTAAACGAAATTTTTGATATACTACAAACATGACATCCTTCAGATACATTTCTTTACCTTTCATTAGACAAGAAATACTATATTTCGGATGGATCGAATTTTTCAGTGAATCTGTCGAAATGAATCTGCCTGCCAAGTGGTCTAAAAGAGAGCATAATCTAGAAGTAACCCACCTAATATTTAATTTGGCTGATAGTTATCCCCATGGAAAGATAATATCAATAAGAGACATAGAAAAAATCTATTTAATGATAGACAAAAAAATCCGGTATCGGTTACTTAAATGCATGAAATTTCATCTACATGAGTTAATCTATATGAATGGTACATTAATATGATCACTCTAATCTAAAAGTAATTCAAGAAATTCATCACAAAACCATTCGCTTGGAAATGTTGCCGGTCGTAGAATCGAAGATTGCATATTATGCACGGAGTGCGAAGATTACAGAACAGAAACTAAAGTTCGGATTCACATTCGATATACGTTGCATAAAGCGGGAGAGATTGGGTGAGTTGCTGGCTTCAGCAGGTTGTTGTAGTACCAGCAACGTCCCAGAACTGGTTAATTCAATCTTCTACCACGATTTCTTCATTTCATCTACAGTGAACTGTCTTTCAGGAATGCGGTTACTTTCGGGGAACTTTTAGTGAGTCATTATTTCCAATAAAGTAGTGATTTATTTCATTATTCCTAATAAACGAATCATTTCCAAATTTTAGCCTTCCGCAGTATGAATAATGCAAGGCAGTACAACAGCAGCTATTGACATTACACACCCACTGAAGTGCACGTTAATCGACTGGATACATTTACACGACCACGTGGTTTGTGTTCAGCTTCCCGTGGCCATACGAGCGGTATCCACCCATGCACGTCTAAGTTATATGTTGTGGTGGTTATGAATCAGTGGAGATTGAGCTCTATTTGTTGCAACTTCAACTTGATTCATCACCAAATGGCCAAATAGTCAGCAGCAGTCGATTTAAATCAAGTGTACTACCGAAGGATGCTATAGTGTGGAATTATATTACAACTTAATATAATTAAGGAACTATTACTATATAGTTATTGATGGAACTTTGAAAATTGTGTTATTTTTAATCATTTGAAATACTTAAATTTGAATTTGAACAAGTAACTGATTTATAATTCAGTCAGTTTTACTTTTTATATGGATAGTGCATCAAAATGTATTTCAAGTTAACATCTGTTTCTCATGAAGAAATGAACTCTCATTAGTTACAGCATTAAGAAGAAATCAAGTACCTCTGAAATGATATTCCAAGGTTTTAGAAGTTAATGCAGTTTAAATCCAAGCTTGTTATTTTTAAGAATTTTGCTTCTAGTCTTATGAAATTTATGTGAATTTGAGGAATATGTGATAGAAGTGAACAATCAATTGGGAATCGGAAAGTCGTGGCGTATCCAGCGACGTTACGCACAGTTTCGGTAAATCAGTTTTCTTTTACGTGAAGTAATTTTTGACTTCTCTTGATAGTTGCGGAAGTGTCGTACTTTACATTTATTACTTACTTTATCATATTAGTATGATCTCTAGTTTTGCTTTGTATTTCAAATTTCTATTGCAAGCATGTTTTGTAGAATTGATTACAGGAATTTTCAGGAAGTTGAATTCACATATTAAAAAGATTGGTGCTGATTTAGGATTTCCTCCGAAAAAGTTCATTGGAAATGCGAAGGAAACATTCATCAAACAACGTATGCTGGCGCTGCAGGTTTAGATTCTTCTTACACTTAAATTATAAGAACCTGGAGAAAAAGAAAAAAGAACATGGGAAAAAGAGCTTCTAAAAAGTATAGTTAGACATTTTCCGGAAGAAGTTCAATAATGTCACTGCGTGACATATTCCAGCTTGCCAAGCAAAATATGTTTGTTGTTTGCCAGTCGATTTATAAACGCACCTCATACTGTCAACTACATTGTTGATTGAATTCGAAATGTAGCGCGGAGTCACGTCAATTTATAGAAGCTTCTGATATAATTCGTAGTTATGGTTTTCATTGTATTTCAAATTTCTATTGTAAGAACTGATTACAGGAATTTTTGGATGCCATCTGCCTACATGCGATCTTGTATGCATGCCCAGCAGTAGCCAATTTCCTTGAAAGTTTCACCGAAACTAATGTTGGTAAGGTAGCAATTTAACTGTGACCTAAAATCTAAGTTGAAAAAATGATTGGGAAATTGTAGTATTTACTTAAATATCTGTGTCATTGTGAGTTCGGAAAAACTTAATTAGCTGATATAAATTTATATAAAAGTGCCTAAGCTCAGTTATCTGAATACTTATAATTAGGTGGATCGTTTTCTGTTTTTAGTGTTTATCCGGAAACCAAAGTTCAGAAGACTCAAAATGATACAATAAAACTTGCTACTTGCGCAGGTTTGCATGAGTGGATACTTTTGTCGTTCCGCGATAAACGCCAATGGATCATGGAGCAACAAAGAAAACATTGTGGTTGGCGACCTGGTAAAATACACTATGAGATTAGATGTGGTTTTTCAAAGCTAATGCTATCTGGTGTCCGTTATGGTCCAGATCGTTTCGGAACAGTGATGGATCTTAACAATGCCCTTGAATTCTTTCGGACGCTGCAATGTCCACATTTAAATGAAAGTGTAACGAGCTGGGCCACTGATGGCGGAATTGTATATATTAGACCAATTTTCAAGGAAGGAACATTACGTGACCGGCTTTATAAGGTTAAAATTTCCTCAATTTGGTATGGTTTTCTAATTCTTTTCATTTTCCGGTCTATAGTAAACCATCAAAATTGGCTTCTGAAATTCAAAAAGAAATACTCGAGATAGATAATTTATGAAATTAGCTGATTTTTTTTTAAATAGCGTCCTTAAAATACTATTTCCAGAGTAACTGGAAGGACGACTTTTTTACAAAATACAGAATGGATAATTCTATTTACTCATTTGAAACGTATGATATTCTCTTAATCTGTCGACAGTTGCTCGAAACGTTGACGTTATTAAACGCGATTTCTGTGCCATGTTGTATGCTTTGTTTTCCAAATCCTGTTGTTGATCTATTATTTTTTTTTTTTTTTTTTTTAAAGGGGGAGAGACAGAGAGAGAGAGAGAGGGTTTTTAGAGAACTGTTGATATCTCCACTAACTTTTCAACAAATGTTTAAAAAAATATATTAATCAAGTTGCAGACAATGTGTCACAGACTGAGGTATTGTGTCATTTCATTTACTTTTAATCTACATATCCAAGCACTGCAAATTTTTTTGTACTAGATTGACAAATTAAAATTTTTATTCTAAATTTATTTTACTTTAAAGTGCGGAAAGCAAAATATATGTATTTTTATATCTAAAATTTCTTATTTCAGTCGACATTCATGCAGGAAATGTTGTTATCACAGAACATGGTTGCGAGCTGATTGATTTTGATCAAGGTAAAGAATGTAATTTCCTGAGACTTATGTTTTATTTCTAAATTTTTTCAGTCCTAACTGGGCAACCAAGTTTCCGACGTTCTTCAATGTTGTGTTCTCAAGCTATTAATGTGAGTTTCTCAGAATTTTGTATAAATTTCGAGAAACAAAAAATGAATCTTTCCACTTGAATTTCAGTCAGTTTATGCTTAGAAAAATCGTACTTGAAGTCCTACTGCAAAAGTTAGAAGTTTTAAATCCTTCGTCCTTACTTGAACCTTCCTGTAGTCTCGGATTTTTTTTCAGAAAACATCATTAGTTATGAAAATTAGATTGCGTGATAACACCGAGCTCTAAAAGCACAAATGTTTTTTCAGACGCTCGAGGATATGTTTGTATTTACATTTTGTGAATTTCTATTTGAACTAATTACGGGCTTTCTTACGTTCCCTATGCGCTCAGCAAGTGAAGCGGTTGCCATTGTACCAGCTCCATTTCGTAAGTTTTTGTTTTGAATTTAGAAACTAAAGGCTAACTGTAAACTTTAAACATCAGTCTTTTTATATACTGGGAAATTAATATTTCTTGTATTGAAGTATTAATTCTGAAGGATAATTTTCTGGTGAGTCCAGTATACTATTTTTAAAATATAATTGATTAGTCATAAGGCAAAAACATTCATACACTCAGAATAATGCTTTTACAGAGCCTTTACTGAATTCAGTATTCTTGCCAGAAGTTCGTTGTTTGCCAAGATTGCAAGACATAATTAATTCAAGGTAGGAAAATTTTTTTTTTAATCCTTTATTTTCCATATTTAATCTCAAACTCAGAAAATTTCTTATTTTGGAATGTTTAACTTTGCATGAATATTTCGAATATCTGCTTCAGTTTATTTGTTGATGTCCCGGTAGCAAAAATGAAACAAAGAGAGATTCGAATGCCAAGTCATGTAAAGGAAGTTCTCGATGGCCTTTGCAGTAATATATTGGAGAGATATAAAAGGGATCGCTACCAGGTAATTTTATGTCTGATATTTAACGAAATATAATGCAGTGGTGCGCTTGTATTACTGAATTCAAATTTTAGTATTTATTTCACATCAAGCTTGATTGATAGACATGGCGCTCATTTTTGGAAACCATTAAATAATTGACCCTACCTTCTTGATGCCTGCTCTTTTTTGGATAAAATACAAATTACTCATGCAAGATTTTGAGCCCTCAAGCTTTCTTAACACCGGCTGGTGATCGAGAGCTTTGCTCCCTTTCCTCCGTTTTTGTTTCACATGTCTGCATCGAAAGGACGCCACCAGTTACTGTGTAAAATTCAGTACTTCGGTATTATTTGATATAATTATTCATTTTGTAGTTTAATAACATCAAGAAACAACGAAAATTTGAACAGCTACTCAACTCTGAAACAGAAAAGTTGCGGCGAAAGGAAATAATTAAAGTGGGTATTATTATTGCAAAGTTAATTGGATATTAAATTCAGTGTTTAAAAAAGTTTCCATTTTTCCTCAGGCTTGTTTGAAAATTAAAGTTATAAACCGTAAATATAAAAAAACCATTAAGAAACAACTGAAGTCACAAATCGTTGGAGAAAGAAGCTGTTAAGAAAAGAAGAAACCATCGAGTTTGCATTAATTCTTTCCTTTTTCAAATCCTGCAATAAAAACAGAATCAATGGAAAGTTATCTGGTACGGTGTTGATAATATATTACTTCCTACTTACAAATCTGATGTTTTGGGTATTTGTATTTCGGTTTTGATTGATCTGAATGGATATGAAAGTTATTGTCCAAGTGCCAAATTGATATATTCTGATCTTTTTATAAAAGCTAATTTATCGAAGGTCTAAAAAGGAGGAAAATAAGTAAGAGCAGTCTACTGCTTCAGTGGAATTAAAATTTTTGATGAAAACTATGGGGTTTGGATAACGGTTTTTGTTACATCTAGAAAAAAATTTCTTGCCCGAATCACTTACTGTTATAAACTTATATACACTTTGTAAGTGAACAAAGGAATGGTTTATTTGATCACCTACTACATTTCATTAAGGGAAATAAATAAAAAAAAACTTTTTGACGATTTGCACGACATCTTCATCACTCAACACGTGTTCTTTCCCGACTCTTTGCGGATTATGTTTTGCTGAACTTCCCCAAACGTATGCGCTGAAGCAGTAGAATGACTTAGAGAGATATTCCGTTTCATTCACCTTGCAAATGTTGAATAAAAATTTTTGAAAACAGCTTACAATTTGAAGTCTTTCTGAAGAGTTTTATGAATTTTGGAACACAAATCATCAATAGTTCGTGTTTCTGATGATAGTACAATAGGTGCATTGTAATCGGGCAACTGTCCTTTCGGTTTGGTATATCTAAAATAGTTTCTGCTTCTACCACTACTTAATTTGCTTTTGGTTACACAAGTTATAGATGCTAATTTACAAATTCTGTCTCCACTTTTTTCTTCTCTATTAATTTGAATTTTAACATCTCAACAATTCCCAATTTTCGATTTTTCATCCCGAAGTGCTTAAATAATGAAAGAAGAATGCAAAACTTACACCCTAATGAGATTCAAGTAGTCCCAAATTTTTTCCAACAAATCATCGAAATTCCATTTGTGTTGGGCAGAAATAGGCACACAATGAGGGATTTTATATATTATATCTAACTCCTGAAAATTAATCCAATCTTAAAGTGAGATTAGGAATAAGTCTTTTTGAAAACAGGTCTCGAAAAAGACGATCTTACCTCTACTGAAATTTGATCGATTTTGTTTAAAACATATATGCATGGAATATAAATCCTGCAACAGACAGGAACTTTCATAAGCCTGGAGATATTTAATCCAGAGCCTAATCAAAAGATAATGCAAACTCCTAATAATTTAGGATTCCAAGTTAAAAGAGCAGTATAAAACATGAGAGTTCGAAATGTATTTTTCAAAACATCAAAAAGAACAGCTTCGAAGTCTACTTACCTGTTTCCTTCGATAACATCAATTAAATCCTCCGATGTGGCATCATACTTTAAAGATACATCGGCATTGTGTATACGATATTCTGCCAAAATACTTTTTACTATCTCGGCATCAAGTTCTGACTGTGGAACCTAAGAATGAAGTTTTGAAAGCAAGTGTGTAAAATAATTTCATTGGGTACAAATTCTCCACAATGACATTAAAAATATAATTTATATGGTAATATAGCCAATTACTCTTGATGGAACTAGTAACGTATGGAATGACTTACTAAACAGGTTAAGTTTAGTCCACCTTTCTCTTTACGTTTGAAAACAATATTTGGTGGTGATTTATTCAGCCGTATGCCGAAGCCTTCTAATTCCTGTTCAAGCAATTTTTTGTGTTGCAGAGGTTTCATCACGTCCAGTACCATCAATATTAATGAACATGTTCGTGCCACTTAAAATAAAAAGTTGTGACGCATTTGCATTTTGTTACGATCATTAAGATATGATAAACCATTAAAATAAGAAGTAAATCACAAATCAATGTTTCGAATATGACTTCTGCGCTAACCAGCAATCACTTGTCGACCACGCCCTTTTCCATCTTTTGCGCCCTCGATGATTCCAGGTAAATCTAGAAGCTGTATTTTGGCACCTTTATAACGAATAACACCCGGTACTGTGGTGAGAGTAGTAAATTCGTATGCTGCTACCTCTGAATAAACACCAGCAAGGTTACACAATAGCGTCGATTTACCAACCGAAGGGAAACCTGAAATAAAGATAATGTTGAGCTCATTTAACCACTGACTGTGACTCATTTTTGACAAATTACAGTGTCTACTTTCAGGCATGAATTAAGTTTAAACTTCTTTTGAGTTTCTTTTATGATAAAAAGATATTACACGGCATGAGATCTCATTGAAGCACAAATAATGCGCTCACTGTTATTCATCCTTATCAAAGAACTGAAGTTTCCGTTTGTGATATATATGACATTTATTAGTTACAAGTAGTGGAAGACTTGCTTAAATTTCAGCTTAAATTTCACTACAGGTGCACTTTACGGAATGTCGTTTTTGAGTGATATGTCATTGAAGGAAAGTGACAAATTTTGGTTTCAAGTAGATTTTTGCAGTTTTATTTCTATTATCAACAGAATTTATTTACCATTATTCTTTGTTGTTGAATCATAATAATTGATTCTTAATAATCGTCATTAATTGCTTTAGCGTATGGTTTGATGGCAATGTACTCAAAAATATCATACTGAGAGCCATTTGATGAGCCATTAATGAACTTTTTATAATGTATAGCTACGATATCAGCCAATTTAATCTTTATCACCGTGCTTGCTTACCTAAATTTTTGTCCATTTATTTCTTTACCAGTTGTGCACATCGTTTCCATTGTGTAAAGCTAGGACTTATAAAACAGATGTAATCTAAAGCGTAGACAAAATTAATTTTTTTTTAATTCTGGCAATAGAATAACTCGTAGTTCCGACATAAAGTATACTAAGTTACAGAATGATCACTACTATCACTTTCCATGACTAAAGCATATTTTAGATAACGTTTACAAAGACTTTTGACTTAGTCCATTTAACTCATATTAAAAAAAAAAAAAAAAACTCATATTTTAATATAATATGACTCTATTTGTTTGATTTAAAACGCCGTGCTGACCGTAAAATTAATTTCAGTCAATCTCCTCGTTGCCTATGTTTTTTGTCATCATATGCTTCAGTCCTTCTCGGTTGGAAACATTTACATTCTTCAGCCCTTTTCGCTAAAAAATCTTAAAACTTGAAATATTGGTGAAATCCAATTTCTAAGTCAGCGACGTATCAAAAAAATTACACTTTATTACTCAGTAGATGATATGGATTCTACGATTTCTCAGAAAATCTCTGGAATTCTGTTTATTCAAGCAATGGTGCAGCATCCAATTATCACATATTCAAACAAAGAATAGATAAAGAGATAGGTAATTTGTAAAAAACTATTTAATTCATTCATTCCTTCAGTACCTCGAAGTAAGCGGTCTGACATTTCAGAGAATGTGTTTGTGCTTATTTGTCCATATGTTAAACTTGATAATTATCGCATCGTGTACATCTGTGTATGTTTATCGATATCAGAATAAACTTTAACAGCGATGAATTCGCTGAAAATATGAATTTCAGTGGATTAGGATAGGGAGGATATGGAATGAAAAGACAGGAGTGGAAGGAAAGCTCGGGGACAGATGGTATAGGAAAATGAGGCTAGAAGATGAGAGGGCAGATCTGAGGCTACTCAAGTAGATTTCTGGGTATATGATAGAATGGACGGACGGGATGAAAGAGACGATCAGAAGGTTCGTAGAGAGATGGAGCGGATAAAGCAAAGGAAGGGAATTGAGAGACGACAGGATGGGCTCCACAAAATCTACTCTACATCAACATCAAGTTTTCCCGTAATATAGTGTGTGCTATCTGCCTTAAAGATTTAAATTTCTAGCTGGCGTGCAAATATAACACAGCTGCAGTTGCAGAACAAGGGATCGGCATAACACATGAGCCTTATCTTTGGGTAGTGTTGTCATAGGCTTTATAATGGCACATGGATAATGGTAAGACTTCGTTGCAGCTTTAAAACTAAGGTAGCCGCGGCTTTTACTCTCAATACTACTACTGCTACTACTGTATTCATACTGTCGTATTATGCTCCTAATCCTACTACTTTATTTCATTTTATGCATATTATGTGACAAACTTCTTCCTCTCGCAGCAGCAGCACTAACCAACAGTGGCATTTCTCACAAGGTGGCCTTATCTCCACCAGTTTCCAGTTCTATTCAGTCACCAGTTATTGCTACTACTAGTAACACTTTCACTATTTCCGCAGTGATCCATAATGATCTATTATGCAATGATGGATCCGAATTTGTGTGTGTTTGTCAACAGAATGCGGGTAATTTACTAAAATCCTACGTTCTATGCAATGAGCTCATTGAGGTATTTTTGATTTTAAATTCCAACAAATAATTTCAACATAAATTTGAAGAAACTGGTGTTTTAATTGGCTTTTATGGATTACATCCTTTAAGCAACGATCCTTCATTGAATAAACATCCTGACGTCAGCATATTAAAATATGGATCGGTACTAAGTATCTATGGATAAAGAGCTTAGAACTGATATATATTCTAATTTTCTTTCAAACATAATGGCAAAAATTCCAGATAATTTTAGCCAATTTCATCGTGGAGCTTTATTTTCTCTAAGAAATTGAATCTGCGGACGTCCAAAAATTAAGGGGATCACGAACTAGGGTTCCCGACAAGATTACGCACTACTTCCTTGTCGTCTTTTTTAACAGAAAAGGAGAGGAAGGGAGAAAAAGACATGAAATGAAAAATTGAGGGATTCGATTCTTTTATTTAATAAAAATTAGGTGGATTTTTCACCGAAAATCATTATGAACAAAAATATAATAAAATGAACTGTACAAAAACCTCCGTCGATTTTGCAACAACTGATTTGGATATAGTTTTGACCGAACTTTATTTCCTTTAATTTTCTAACCAGATTTATTCAAGCACCAATCAATTCTCAACCAAAAGTCGAAAGCCAATATATACTTACAAAAGTGAATTTAGCTCAAACCTGAAACACACAGTTCACTTCTTAATTTTACAAAATTCAGGTATTCAAAACCTTCTGTTAGTTCATGAACTTTTGAACTTCTAAAATAACTTCAGTCTTCAGAACTACTTGAAAACCTGAGACGTGGCAAAACACAATTACAGAGAACCGATGGAGATGCCAGAATGTATATTTCAACTTCCAAAACCGCTTGTTATGAATTTCGCCTATTGTTCTTTAATCCTACGGTTTTTCCTACATGATGATGAATGGAAGTGACTTGGTCGGACATGTTAGAAACAGACGGAAATTAAAAAGAAATTTTACAAAGAACAGAAAAAATCCTTATAATTTTAGAGTAATTACTGTGAGAAGTAATAAATATAATAACCTTAAAATCAAATATCAGTTTCTCTAATTATCAGAAAGCCGGAACATGCTTTTCACATCTTAGAACTTTTTTCTGCACATATAACAAATGATAAACTGGTATCACTGATAAATTTACTTAGCTTTAACTTATCACGTCAGTGCTTATGCCTAAGTGATGGAAATAATGCTGGTGATGCAAGAAGGAATAATCTAAAAAACATAGATGGAAACTTCTTTAAATTTTAAATTGAACTAAAACATTGTGTTTGTTCTGTTTTGGTATAACTAGTTTTTTCCATTACTAAATTATGGCAAATAAAAATTTGAAAATTAAACAATTTTGTATGGCATGATAGTTTTTACTTTAATCAAAATGAAAATATTAAAGTATGGGATTTTTCAGCTGGATAAATTGCCGGTAATTGAAATGAACATCAGGCGTGTCAATTTAAGTGCTCGGTTACACACCAATGAAACCTACGAATCTTATTTTAAACGTCGAGTTGCAGCTGTTGTAAGTAACTACTGCGAGCAACAAGCTGATGAATGTATGGCTACAACGCTTAGGTTAAGAAAGGTAATCAATACTGAAGAAAGAAAGTTCCAGGACTTATCTTTTTACAGTTAAATGATCAATTAAGTATCTGGACTTAATGAGTTAGACGAATTGTGAAAAAAAAAAAAAAAAAAAAAACATATTTATTCCTTTAAATCCATTTCACTGTATATCTTTAAAGTGTTGACTATAATTTACATCAGATAAGCTTTTATGAAATTATATACAAATAAGCTTTTGAAGAATTTTTATGTTACGAATGTCGCGAATTTTATATAGCAAAACTCTAAATTAGTATATGAGAGTTGAAAATATGAGTAAGAAATATGTTATATGAAATTTTGTAAGTAATGTTTATATCCTGAACTTTTTTGTCTTATGTTTAGACTGTTAATCTTTTATATATTGTTTACATGGTATCAGCTCCTCATTTAGTTGATCTCATTGTTCTGTCGCCATTAATTGTAAATTATCCTTGAATCTACGAGGTTAACAACTTTTGCTTAACCGATATCCTTTGTGGCTTTGTCAACTAGTAATGAGAACTGCTTGTAAACCAGGTCAACAGCTCTTTGTAGACTGATTATTCTTTCGGTAGGTCAACCTCATATTGTAAATCATATACTTTGTTTACGCATATTGCTTGCTATATAAGGAGGACACCTTTGTTCAAAATGGAATTGTGTGTTTTTTACCAAGAACCCGGAAAGTTCAATTTCTCCCATGAATTCTAATTTCCAAAAAGTTTCTAATTGTAAGCAAGGACTTACATTGGCTACATGGAGTGGTCTCGATAGCCGTTTAGTATTCGCTCGACAAAGTTTGTCAATAACCAGTACCTAAAGTGGAAAATGGATATCATCATGTAAAAAAGCTAGGCACATCAGTTAGTCAGTTAGCAAGCTAGAAATTTTAATATATAACCAAAGAAGAAAGTCAGAACAGAAAATAAGCAGAATCTTTCTAATATCTAAATCTAAATTAATCATCTCGATTTATTTATAGGAAAATGTTGTACTGCTCAGTATCAAGCCAAACAATTTACAGTCAACAGCTATTGGTTTTGTAATCACCAAAAGCCAGCGACGAAGTACTCTCAGTACAATGACAATTTTGGATTCTATTAAAGTGAAATATGTTCTATCAGCACAATTAGCTGCTCTGTCTCGGATTCTCGGTGGAGTACGCATCGAACAGGTTGAAATCGTTACAATGGAAAAATACCGGAATAATAATAGTAGTGAAAGTATACAACGACATAATTTTGGTCTTCTACTTATCCTATCCATTGTTGCCACATTTCTAACTATGACCTACACCATTGCTGCCGTCCGAGTGTGCAGGTTAGACTTATTCAGAAATATAAATAAATAAATAAACTTGAAAATTAAATTTGTTTCCTAGAATGTAAATAGCCATTTTTTCTATCTTCAGTATTTTCTCTCTTCCACTCATATTTTAACTCAATCAATACATATGTGTTTAAAAGCAGTTCTTTGCTCAAAAAACAAATATGATCCTTATTCCTTAATTTGAACTTTTTACATATTAATATGTAGGACATATCTAAATTTTATTACCGGTTAATATTATCTCAGTTGATATAAAAATTTACTATTTATTATCTTTCATTTAAAATCAATTACCTTAATTGAGCTCAAGTTGGTTACGTAATTCTATTTTTCTTTTTCCAAGCATAGACCAAATATCTTTCCATGAAATTGTTACAGTTGTAATGTTTCAAAGTAGTCTGTGATTTCAAACTGATGCTCAAAGAGTTTAAAAAAACAATGCAGCACAGTTTTTTTCCATTTCAGAAAGTATAAGAAAGATTATGCTCATATTCAAGTTTTGAAGCGAAAAAATAATTTCAACATCCAGATGAATGTAGGTCTAGATTAACCCTATTATCCGGAATTGATTTAAAACAAAGATTATTAACTACTATTAGCACTGAACAATTATTAGCAGTGGGTTTCATTTTCCTTGTCACTGTCTTTTTATCAAAAAACTCTTTTATCAGCAAAAACTACATTTCAGTGTAGAAAACTAAGATTAAAAAAACAAAGGGCGAATCTGCTTATATTTATCTTTTAGAAACTATTCATGGGCAATATCAACATTATTTAACATTACGAATCTAAGAAATTAGAAAAAATAAGATTTAAGAAAACGTTCACTAGTTTTACCTGTTGTGTTTTTTTCTACCATAAACTTTCTATAGTCAGTTTATGGATAGCACTCTGATGCACCAAAGTTTGCTTTGGTTTGTTCATTATATTTTCTCCCTTGCTCTATTGGTTCACCGGGTTTAGCTTGCCAGTTATAAAGAAGCTAAAAATCGTGACCATATTAAATGCTCCTGCAGTTAATGGGCTTTTTGTTCAAAAACTGATGTTTCATTTACGCCTGTACACTTCTTGCAATTCTAATCAAATAATCTTAAGCATTGATTTCCTGAGCTCATTTAGATACACAAATGCAAGAATTAACACTGATGTTGGGTAGAAATATATTTAGGTAATTGAGAAAAGTTTTAAAAAAGTCTAACCGTGCAGGTGATTTGAAAACAGAAATCTTTGTGAAGTTAATCTTCACCCTTTATTGGTATATAGTGGCGTCACCCATATGAGACAGTGCGATACAACATAATTTTCGGAATAATCAGAAGGAATTACGTTTGATTCAATGTTTTTTTCATTTTCAAAAAATCCAAGAGTCGTTGAGAAAAACTTGTACAGATTTTTGCTAATTGTTCGAATTAAAAAGAAAAAAAAAACAATTTATTAATTCTTACAAATAAATTCTGCAGTGAAATGTTGTTATTAGTCCAGCTAGTCACTCACGCCAAAGATCTTTAATAAGATTAGCATTGTCCTTTATCCTCGCTTCGCTAGAGACTTATAAAATTTTTAGTACAACACTGAAATTGAATCTAAATCATAGAAAGCATGAAGATGCAGTGCCAAGGACTAGACCAATTTCATGGTTTACCTTTATCACTAATAGGTCAACATGGTTTAACATCTAAGCTTCATTTTAATTTTTTTTTAACAATTTCTTTACCAAAAAAGTAATCATTGACAATAGATTTGAATTATTCATATTTTTCCGAGTTTCTATTTTAAATTTCTTGAATTACCATATATATTCTGAACTATCTCCATCAAAGATTTTAAAACGATATTCAAAAAGAAATCAATTCACTGATTGTGAAGTTACTATTAGGTGTTATAACAGTAACTGAATTTGGGCATAACTTAATTTCAGAGATTGTTATGCGAAAAGACAAGCAAAGAAGAATGCTAGCAATTTGAACATTGCTTTTGAAACGCCAAATTACGGTACTTGTACACAACAGAAACAAAATGAGATGAGCGGAAACTATGAAATTCACAGTACTATGAAGATGAGGACTTCTGAAGAAAATGATCCAAATAATTCAAATCAAGGAGAAGTAGCCGTTTTTACGAATTATCAAATGAAGAGAATGTTCCAGTGTGATCCGTCACAGCTGCCAGGTGAAGAAATACCGCCGTTACCACATGACTTATTCATAATATTTGCCTCAAAATCTCTTGTAGATGCTAAATCACAAACTTGTAATCCACAGTCAAAGCTTATTATTCACCAATCGCTAAAGGCAGAACAAAAAAAGAAGAACTCTCCCCTCTCACATAAAAGTGATGAAGAAAATAACATTGTTGAAGTACCTCAAAAATGTACAAATATGTTGGCCAAAAGTGAGGAAACTGCCAAAGCATCTCCCCATTTTAACTCAAATTTAACAGCCTGTTTTTGTGAGCCAAAATATGAATTTTTTGAACAGCAAACTAAAGAATTGCCGACTTCGACCTGTAATCAGCCAATGGCAGAGGAGTCACTTCAACCAACATGCAGTCAAACTGAAACCATTCCTAAACTAATGAATTCAAACTTGAAAGGACCAACGACTGATGAACAGACAGAAGCAGTCTGGAAACAGTTGGAAATAGGAAATGAATCAACATGGTTGCCCAATGCCCAAGAACCAAGAGACAAACCCTACTGCTTGACAGGTTCATTTTCTGAATCATCGTTCAAAGTAGCGAATTATTGTAATGAAGAAACAGTAAATTTGGAATTATATCAATCAAATCGGAGAACTAAAAGTCGCACCAAAAATGAAATAAGTGGTTCAAAAACAATCCCTTTAACGGACCAATTAGGTCATCTTCAAGAATCAAAACACTCCGATGGTTTTGCAAAATATGAAAACCACATCGTTCAAAAATCGCGAACAACCCATCAATTCGATGATTGGTCCAGTGAGAGTGATGATGGAGAGATTGGTGCATATCATAAATTATCAGAAATCGAGGAAGAGGGAGGGAATGACAGGAGTCCTGAATTTGCTACTGTGAGTTGTACGAAAACCTTTATAGAAGACCCTATAATTTCTCGAAATGGAAAGGATTTTAGACTAAATTTGGATGTACAATCCAAAACTTTTATCAGTACAGAGCAGTTCAAGGTTAGTAACACTGATATGTCATGCTATGAACAACTACAAGAATCAGCACCACCACTGAATTCGAGTTCTACTTCCAATAGAGTTACACCGAAAGAGTTCGCCAGTTTCACACCTACAGATGATCTAAAGTGAAAGCGTCATTAAACATTTCATTTTTTCCAGTATTTCAATAGAGTTAAATCAAAAATTCATTTTTCTTATCAAGTTTATGGTGATCTTACAACTTTTTATTTCAATAATTTCTAAAACTCTATGCAATTTATAGATTGTCATTTGTTCTTTTATTCCTGTCTATGAATAACTAACAAAATGAACCTTTCCACCTCATTATTTTCTAAACGGACAAACAGTAAATCAAATGTTCCATTCTTATAAAAAAAAACAAACTTCGAAGTATATATATACTTCAAGAAGCAATCATACAATACAAACGTCCGTTGCGAGCTCTTTCGTTTCTCGTAAATACTTTTTGTCCTTATCTCGTAACAACCAAAATATTGGAATGATAAAACTTGAATTATTTTTGTTTTCCAACAAAATACAACTGAGGATTTAATATTTGCTGCTATGTACACATGTAGGTGATGAATAAACCAAACCTTTTCTGCACATTTTGGGCCATTTCTTAGATTATTTTATAAAAATGGACTTTTGTATTCAAACAATAAATTTAGTGTTTCCCAAAGAAATCCGTTCGTTTTCTTTTTGTTTTCTTGTGAATTCCATGATCAGTTATCCAAATCCTAATCTTACATCACTAGACACATAATCAATAAATTCGCTTGTTCTCTTGTAAAAAATGATTTTGAAATTAGAGATGAAATTCTGAACGAAATGTTTGGAAAACTGAAAGTTGTGTCGAAATCACACTTCATGAAATCTAGGCTTGGGAAATATAGTCAAATTAATATGAAACCAGTTTTTGATTCTACAGCAATATGGATTCTTTGTATTTCAATCATTTAATCACTGCCATTAATTACTAATATTATCTGTAATGAAAGTTACGGTAAAGAAACAATGTGTGATATGTGCTACCAACAAAAACATTTTCAAATATCTATGTGGATTTATTTTGTGGCGAAAAATTAGAGTGAAATTGAATAAACTGCTCAGTTATGGAAAAAATACAAAATAAGGCATAAATTTATACCAAATAAATTTAAGCTTCCCCAAGGAAATCCAAAAATGCGCAAGAAAATCTATACAGCTTATTACTAAATGGTCTTAACTTTAACAGATTCAATGTGTTGCATTTATAAAATTCTTGCATGGCGATTACCTTAACAACTTTCTAATTGTGATAATATTAATCGTTCACATTGAAAAAGTTCACATGATAACAATTTTTTTTAAATGTAAGAAAAACTAATGAAAAAAGAAGTCAAATATTGTAAACAAATGATTTCCACAACATTTTAAGAGCAATATTAAAATACTTAAGATACAATTAACTATTACTCTATGAAGCTTGTGGAGTGTAATTTGCTATAGTTAAATAAAAGTTAAGCAAGAATTTATGGACGTAAAAAACATATATGATATCGTACTAAGATTTCATTGCTTTATAAGAGCAAAATGCTTCATTATTCAACTTTAAGTCCTCCAAAATAAGATGAAGTAAGACAGTATAGAAATTCGGAATCTTTGGAACATTAGTAAACTTTATTCCTCCTTTTCTGTTAGACACAGATGACATAAAGAAAATAACAAAGAAAGAAAACTAACCCACAAATCCAATTCGTGCATCACCCGTTTTAGCAACATCAAAGCCTTCGCCTGAACCACCATTCCCACCTTTTGGTGTTATCAATTCTCGTCGCAGCTTCGCTATACGTGCTTTTAGCATACCCAAATGACCCATCGTTGCTTTGTTTTTCTGTGTACGAGCCATCTAAAACATAATCAAATACTTTGCAAAACTGCTCTCATGACTCTTTTTGTCAGAGTGAACAGATATCAGTCACAATAATTCTGGAAATATTTTTTACGAACATAAGAATTCATTATAAAGAATAATTTAAAATCATACATCAAATCTATTCAAAACACATTCCAAGCTTATCGTCGGCACTTATTTATTCAAAATATTTCATTGTATAGTTTACATTTTATCATCATTACCTCAGCCTCGATTTCTGAAATTTTCGCCAAAATCGACATCTTAACTGTAGATGCTTATTCGCTGGATAAAAATCTGTCTGAAACAGAAAAAAAAGAACACTGTTTAATAGAATGAAGTTTACAGTTAAGAAGCTGTCCTTGAAAACCACATATGTATAGCCTACGACATATTCTAATTGTTTAAGTTTATCGTTAGCATTCCAAATACATATTTCATCACTTAAATACTTTTCCGAAAATATTTCTCCCAGAGATATAAATTATTCAGCTGTAAAATAAGATCTGTCCTGTTAAAAACAATGTTCTTTTTTCCTTCATTAAACACTACTTTGCATGAATATGAAGCAATACAAAAAACCCAAAAAATGACTATACCATAATAATATTATAACAAAGAGGAGCAATTCAGAGCATGCTAAACGACTTAACTTCATCTCTTATGCCCAAATGTCAGCTCATACAATAAAGTCGTAAGGGAAAAATATGCAAATCATATTTAAGTGAATTACAGTGTTAATTTCGTTTTTTCGAAAATTTATATATTTTCCACTTGTGTACAAAACATTCTAAAATGATCAGAAAATCAGTTCTGGGAAGAAATTTTATACGAACAATAACCATAATGGAAGATTCAAAAGTCATCTCTTCGATCATTAAATTAAAGAAATAATCCAAAAACTGAAAACTCAAAATTAAAAATAAAACATTATATAATCATGTCAATAACAGTAAAGTCCAGAAAAAATATTAAATTTGCCGAATCACATGTCCATTTGAGAATTCTACCAAATTTATGTGCATATCCAATCCCAACCGAGCACCAAACTACAGAAATGAGCTCCTGAAATTCGCTTTCGAAGATAAAAAGATTAATGGATGCACAATTCATATGACTTGGAGAAAAATCAAAGAACTCGGAAACATTTCAAAGCAAAAGTTGATTTTTCTAGTAAGCTATATTCTCAGACTTCATCATTTACCAAAATAAAAGAAAAAAGAAAAGCTCATTCTCATCGCAAACGTTATCAGTTTTAAGTATGATCTGATGATGCAAATTCTAAACCATATTATATACCAAGTTCCAAAGCAATTGGAATTAACAAAAAACGTAGAGCATCATTTCTAGTTTCTAGTTGAGCTCGTCGACGTTCTTCCACCTGTTGCGCTGCTACATTGGCACCAGCTTCTAGTCCACGTGGTACAAACATTTCTGGTTAGCTTCGTTATCGAAAAATGGATATAAAAGCAGTATTCAATTAAAAGCGTTTAATCCAATGTGTATTATGCACTGTCCCATTCTAAAAACTAGGCCCTATATCTTTTGGAACTATGGGTACAAACATAAAAATATGGTCGAAGATCCTATAAACGTGAAAAGTGAAAGTGGTCTTCATTACACCTTCTCTGATTCAAAATTTAGTTCCCTTATGATTTAACATTACATTACATCCGATGTAAAATAACTGAACATCTTCAGTTCATTCATCTTCTTTAAATGGGAGTATGAATTTCCCTAATCCAAATCTATAAAATCGTTTGAGATACGTAAATTTCGAGCAATATCAACTAATCAATTTACAAACAATCCTAATAAAGTGGAATGAATGAATATGACAAGTGATTATGCTCCTACCTTTTATGAAACACAATAATTGTAACACAACTTAATATCGATTTTATTTCTTGTCAATAACTTCTCTGCCAACTCCATTAATCCGTATTACTATACAAAGATAACTTAATGTTTTGAGATTTATAGTTCAAACTCCATAAATGGTAACTCTAAAAGGGATAACCGTAACTGGTAATGCAATTAAATTATATTATGTATTCTTAAAAGTTAAAGATTTCTTAAAAACAAACAACATGCTGAGGAATTATTCTTCCCACCTTCACAACATCCGATAATAAATCATGCGAAATATCAAGCAAGATATGACAACAGGTAGTGATGACCTCAATTATTACTGAAGAAAAACGAGTGGACTAAAGCTGTATAACTTTATTTATAAACAATCAAAAATACTTTATCTTTTCAAATTCTCCCAATTTTCTTTTATACGTAACAGCGCTTACATATTTTGAACAGACTTTTGGATATACCTGTAAATATTAGCTGAAACATAGCACGAAACCAAATCCTTATTAATCATCATAAACTAATAATGTGCACTTCAACTATAATAAGCAATGAATCATCGAGAACTAATTGAAACGCAGCGAAAATGTGAAAACCTCCAATTAAAAAAAAAAAAATAGTAAGCCAACAAACCACATTTCTGCTGTTTCAATCCTTCAATATTAATTCATGAAATATTGTGGGACACTGAACACTGCTCGTGAAAGGAAACAATGACTGATCTTCTATATTTTTAGTGGCAAATTTAAAGATACTATTCTCGTAAATAAAACAATTCCTTATTGAAAGTCCGTTTTCGCCTGAAAGTCAACTTTTTATCACTGACAACCTATTTGAGTGAATTAAAGTGTGTGAAAAATTCTCATATTTAACTTTGAATTACAGTCAACTTAACTCTACCTGTACAAGTTACAAATTTGTCTATAGTTTCTTGGTTCCTTATTGTATTTGCTAGCAAACAATATGGACCAGTCTTGTTTTCTTTTGTAAGTGCAATGAGAAGTTTCTTAATGGCATGGACAAGTGGTTTTATTGCCAGAAGGTCGTAAACAACATCTAAAACGTTTCATTTAAATATTGAGTCCGATAATTGTGAATGTACGCTTAATAAAGGAAGGAAAAAAAAACTTTTTTCAAAACTTTATTTAGCCAATATGAATTCCGAACCTGCCGCAAAGATAATATCTGGTAAAACGGGAATGTTTTCCAAATTTATAGCTTCCCACTCAAGGAAAATAACGTTAAATATACCACAATTCTGAAAAAAAAAAGATGCTTTCCAAATCTTTAATATGAATAACCCAACATTTTCTGGTCAGTATTCTTTCAAATCACCAAGTGATTTCATTTTTAAAGATGCTGGATGATTTCAGCATCTTGTATTATGTCTCATTTCCTGTATTATGTCTCGTTTTCATAAGCAAGGTAAAGAATACAATTCAACATGCTAATGCACTGTTATTATTATTTAAGGACCTTTATTCTCAATATTTTAAATAACAGACCTTCGGAAAATTTAACTGAATGTTATCGCGAATTACATTCAATACATCAATATTCCCGTCGGAAAGTGTAATGCTTTTGACAAAACCAACAGCAGCAAGTGCGATACCGAGCAGTCCACATCCAGCACCTAGTTCTAAAACATTATTTCCGCTGATATAATCACGACCATATTTCAACAAATAATTCGCTAGATCACAAGATGCCTGTAAATAAGACACTACCCAAGTTAAAAACATTTTGGTTCACAACAACTCCCCAATATTTTCATTCCTGGGCTTTTATTTACTCACGTATCTTTTTTATTTAACTTCTCTTTCTACCCTTTAGAGTGAATTAATCGTTTTAAAAGTCTACCAAATGCAATTTATTAATGCAGGTTTGAAAGTGAACATAAATACCTGCCAACAGGAGAGACCAGTGGTTCCTTGGGATAAATGAGAACGGTTCTCTTGCAAAATGATGTACTTTGTGAAAGAATCATCAAAAAAAATTCTATCTACATATAGTGTATTGTCCATCATAGAATTCGTCAAGCAAATGTACAACTGCCAGCCAATTTCAGCATGTCGCACTTCAAGCTAAATATGAGGATTTTTCATTCATTTAAAAACTTTGAAGCAAATATAATAAAAAAGTTATAATAGGAGTTATAATAGGGTATGGAAACAAAAAATAAAAAGTAATATGAAAAAAATTATTGTTGTATAGCAAATGGATAGAATTTTATATTCTCCTCATAAAATTTCGAATGAGATGCAACATACTTGTTCAATAATGTATTTCAAAGCATTACGATGTGATTTCCGGAAGTGAGACCTTCTGACACGAGAAGATATCATGCAAAGGATATCACCAAGAAGTTGCTGCTGGGACGAGTCCTCGCAGAATGAAACTATCTTATTCAGTAGTTTATGGCTGACAGCAGCACAGGCAAAATATTCTCTCACAAACTGCGCTATTTCCTAAATTACAACAAAGACAAAGATTAAATTTATCAATCATTTAAAAGTTATTCTACAGTAATATGGACAATGAAACCATACCTTTCTTGTCAAATGTCCAGAAACTTCCGAAAGAAAAGGAAGCTCACAAAGATGACCTTTGTGAAAAGTTACACATTTGTCGGTAAGATGTCCACCAACCATTAATTTGAGATGGAGAAGTCCAGTCTTTCTTGAACCTATCTGAGACAGAGATTGTGCAATGGATGCATCCTAAAAGACGGAAGTAATCGTTTTATCACTTTGATGAAACATTTCTGATCAGATTATCTTACCAGCGTTGGGGTGGTGAGAAAAGGATTTCTAGCATTTTTTGCAATTTGGTGGATGATTTAAATGTTAGTGGTTGAATTCACTACTTTTTACTGCTTTTTTTTTTCTTTTTTTTTTTTTGATAAAAAAAAAAACTGAAGTAAAACAGAACTGAAGTGGCAGTTAATTTAATGTGAATTTTCATAGCATCGATTGATGTATGGGTCTCATTTTACTCCATTTTGTCGCAAAATCTTTGTACTTCATGTATAAAAGTAAACTGGCTAGTTCCGAATACTTGTTTAAAGAGGTAGTAAAAGGAAAACTACTGTTTTTGTTTACATAGTTTATCAATTTCTGTTGGTCTTCGTCTTTAAAAATTACTCTAGTTTAATTCACAGCTACCAACAGAAACGATTAATCGATACTAGTTATGGCTAATGTCGATTTGCAATGTACGGAAGCATCTCAGCAAACGATCAGTGAATATTCACGGCGAGAACTGAAGGAGGCATTTTCAAAATGTGATCCAGAAGGCACCGGAGTTACATCTATCAAAAATCTCAAGATTAGTTTTTTTTTTTTTATTTTGCTAGTGTATGTACGAGTTATATCATTATGGATCTCTTGAAAGGAGAATAGTTCTAGAAATGAAAATGTTTCAGTCGAGCTTTAGTAAGATTCGAACTTAATGGCTTCTGTGTAGAAAGAAATTGTTTCATTTCAGACTATTCTTCGATCACTTGGTTTCGAACCACGAAATGATGAAATAAGGATTTTAACAGAAAAAATTGAAGGAAATGGAAAACAACAAAAAGGTACTTTGTGGTTAGGTCAACGATGTAATGTATAGTATTTAAATTTAAAAGATATAGTATTTTTTTATCTGCAAGCAAGAGTGGTAAAATATTTTTTGCTATCTTCAGTCATTCAGTCTGGAAGATTGCAATAATAGTGTGAAATATCGTAATACCTTATAAAGAATTTTGTAAATTTGCTAACTTTATGTAAATTGCTGAATTCATTTATTTTGTTTCAGACAAAGTCACATTTAGAGAGTTGAGTAATTTGTTGAGCGAAAAGTTAGATGAACGTAATGGGATCAGAGAAATGCATGCTGCTTTTGAGCTGTTTGATTCCGATTTCAAAGGATATATTACAGTTGATGATTTACGAAGAGTTGCTGGAGAACTAGGCGAAACAATAGCAGAAGACCAACTAAAAGTAAGTTAATCAATGCTATGATCAAAAGGTCGCTTCAATTTCTGATCTGCTGATAATGTTTTAAAACTTTTTTAGTTCTTATTCTTTTTGCAAGTTACAGACAAAATACTTGTCTGCGCTTTGAAAAGTGTACTTCATTATGTGGTTTTATAGTAAGCGGTAATTAATACTGTTCACACTCAACTTTTTATCTATTATTAAAATAATTTAATATTCCAGCTGACAGTTAATACTCGATATTACCATAGTCTTATGTACCAGTAAATAAGATATTAATAATATTTCCCATGCTTCCGGGCGATTACTTAGTGAATGTTAAAATCTGGATGTTACATGCTTGAACAATCACATAATAATAGTTTTTTATAAATATTTGTTATTAGTTGGATTTATTATTGTTTGTTTGGTAAGTAAATCACACTATTCCTATATTTTAATGTATATTTTATAGGAAATGATTTTGGAAGCTGATACCCGTGGTAGTGGTAATGTTTGCGAAGATGATTTTTACACTGTAATGAAAAAAACGGCACTCTATTAACAGACCTTTAATAAAAGTTGCTAGAAAAGCATTTATTTTTTCCATTACTAATAAATTTAAATTGTCACTTTGGTTCCTGTCTTTATTGGATTCTCAAGTTTATCTGGAGTTATTGTATTCTTGAATCTTTATTTTGTTTTCTACATTGTATTTTATCTCGAGTTTATGCTCTGGAGTCGTAATTTTATTTATCTAGACGGTTAACGTTCGAACAAATTGTTCGAATGTTATTGTTCGAGCGAATGTTAGAATAAATTCTAGCTACATAACTTTCTTTCATTGTAATGGTTAGCAATAATGAAGATTTTCTAACAGCTGGGCTAGTTTTTTGAGTTCACTTCGTTTTCTTTCGTTTTTATTTTTTTTAAGTATTCAAGCTTTTCAGAGCTTTTCTGTGTTCTCAATGTATTATTTATAACGACTTATCTTTGTAAAAATTTTTTTCTTACGTCTCAATTTTATTTAGCACTGCGCGGTTCAAAATAAAAAATTTCACTTGAAAAATTCTATTCTCACAGTTGCAAGTTTTGAATCTTATAGGGATTGCGTAGTTGCTTTGACACCCCGATATATATTAAAAAATTTAACATGAATTTAATACAAATTTGCCAGTCATCTGACAGCGATGTTTTTTCTTTTGACTGAATGTGATTATTTATCATTGCAGTGGTAGCGCATAAGGAGGTTCATTTAGAGCTCATGGGGTTCATCAGTATAGTTTTTAACCGAGATTGGGAGATACTTAATTGCGAATCATTAGGATGTGTTCAACACTGCAGGAACGTTTCTGAACGGAATAAATTTTGCCGTGAACTAGGATAAAAAGCTAAGATAAATCTAATTTTTATTTAGTATAAATGGAAACAAACCCAAGAAAACTCACCAAATCGATCATTTAACTGAGTTACATTTTACTCAGTTTCACGTTACATGTGTTGACCTATCTAGTCTTAACCTCTTTTTCCCGTCTGCAATATTTGTGGAAGTGAAACTCTTAGGCCGTAAAGAAATGACTCTCTTTAGAAAATTTATCATATAATAAAAAGACTAGAAAAAGCAGATAACCATCACTCTTACTTGCGGAATGATATCCTTCATAGCCATTACTATAGCTGTGGACTAAGCACCTGCAGGTTTTTAAATTGGTTATTTTGAGAATAACATGCAATTCATTAATCTGTTTATTCTCCTCCAGTCAGTTATTATGCTGCACACGAATTTCAACGTTTATTAAGGAACCTGTTGACTATTATAAAAATACAAAGACTGTGATGGTTAGAATGAAAGTCTCAACTTAATCATTACAACAGTTTTTAAATTGAATTTTAGATAAACCCTAGTTAAATTATTGGTTTGAATCATTCGCTAACAAGATCTGTCAAATATCTTCTGACACATACCTTGTTCCCAACGATAGTTTCATATGTTAAAGTGTACGTCACTAATTTGATGTCAAGCATTTCGAGACTAATAATAGTGTTTCCTAATCAAATTTGTTCACTCGAAACTTTTTGAGAATGTAGTTCGTTGTCGGTGCGTCCTATCATTCATCAGTTAGCAAGAAAAACAGGGTCACCCAGGTCTTGGCCGGGATCGAACCGGCGACCTTCTGCGTGTGAAGCAGACGTGATAACCACTACACCACAAGACCACATTAGAGCTCATCGTGTATTTTATTGATGATGATGAGATGAGTTTTTATAAATATGAAGAAATTTTAAAGGAGGGTATATCAGCGATAATTAAAACTTGCAAACAAGTTTTAGCCGATTGAGAATAATTGGGATCACTGCGCTATGCTCTGGAAAGCATCATGTTGTACTTTGGAAGAGACAAGCATTTGCACCCGTACATGCATTCCCTTTTTTCCGCAGCACCCTCAAAGGATTTCGGACTATTTTAATTAAAACTTTTTCAGGAAACGAGCTTTCTGGAGAAACTTTTATTGATGGATGTTAATATATGTATTTGTCTGTGGGGGATACCGGATTGGTTTCTGTTAGTAATTATCCACAAAAAATCAAAAAAAGCTCTTCGCTTTTTGCATCAGTCGTTCATACCTTCTTTTTGCCTAAAATTTTAAACAGTTGTTGGTAATTTTGTCAGATATTGTGAGAACTATGGTTTTCGCTATTCTCTATAGATTTTTGTCAGATATTATAACGGAAACTAGAAATAACTGAAGAATTTCTATTTAAGGTTCTCCCATTGAAGCCAGTAACTTCTTCCACCGAAGGACTTGTCAATTACAACTAGTGGCTGGTAGTTATAAAGAATTGACTAAAATATACCTTTTTTGGATCCTTTCTTTTTCTTGCCTGCAAAAGCAAGATTACTCACTAGAAATAAATGGAAATGAACCCTCGAAGTTTACCGTCTTATTAATAATTTAATACCTTATTCGAAAAACAAATCAATCATTCAACTGGTTTTACAAAAAAAAAAAAAATAAAACTAGAAGTAAAGAAAAAACAAAGATCCTACTTTTCTTCTTTTTCTTAAGCTTATCATTATCTTTGGACTCTACAGATGGAGCGCTGGAATCCGTCGATAGTGTCCCACCCGCTGTCATCGTTCCGCTGCAATTAAATTTACTTATACTCTTTCATCTGTTTGTTAATAGAAAAAATTTTAATTCATGATTCGATTTAAATATGTAATGAGTAATGAATAGGGAAAGGTGATATTTTAACTTATTAATCAACATACTGCTTGGCAGTGTGTAGTCAACGTAAATAAAATGGATAAACAGAACCTTTGTGAACTGTTTGCTGACACAACCGGCTTAGATAACATTAATTCCTAAAATTTAACTAAAATGAAGTGAAAGAGCACGAATTTTTAATCTCTTAATACAAATTCCAAGCTTTGATAATGTCAAATTTGTAAAATCTTACCTTTGCAGTACGCGTAGTTGGTGATGCAGTCGGAACTTCTGGTGTCTTTGCGGTTTCTGTAGTTGTCGGTGACATAATCGGAATTTCTGGTTGAGGCAGTTGGCCTGATGTTTTTGATAGCTCAGGCCCTGCCGATCCTGGAGTAGAAGATAGAGATGGTAGCGATAAAGCTCCTGCCGGAGATTCAGTAAGAGCAGGTGAAGATGGAGATGGTGGTGGTGGTTCAGGCACTGGTGATGAGGATAGTGACGGTGGCTGTTCGGGTATTGGCGATGACGACTGTGGCAGTAGCGGTGGTGGTGGTAATGGTGGTGGTGGTAGTGGTACCGGTGGTGGCGGTTCAGATGCTAATGATGGAGTTGGTGGCAATGGCGATAGAGAAAGGGATGCGGGAGGTGGGAGTGATGATTCAACAGGTGCTGACGGTTCTTCGAATTTTTTTGGTGCAGTCTGCAGAAAAAAAATTTTAAGTTACAATTGAGCAAAAGCGAAAGAGCAATGTCGTTCCTGTTATTAAATGGATAGCGCCAGAGCTGTAGAGAGAAGTTGACCAAGTAAGCGGTTAACTGAAAATAAACGTGTGTTTGTTAAGTAAGGAAAGAAGTGAAATCAGTTGTGTAGCTACCTTTTCTATCCCAGCGGTAGATTGTATGACACTCTCTGACTTGGTCGCATCAACCTCATGTCGAAGCTGAAATAATTCAAATTTAGAAGTTAACACTTATCTCCAGAATATTGATATTTGCCTTCTGAAGGAAGTTCAGAGAGCTCATGAACTAATAATTAGAATAAGCGGTTATTAATAATACGATAACAGATTATAATTTCGTTTTGCGAAGTACTGTCATTCACCTCTCGAACATGATCTGCATTAGAATACATTCTTAAAAGAGGCTAAATGAGTCAAAGTAAACCATTTAATCGTAAATTTAACTGAGTCAAAATGAATCTAATGGTTAGATTGGCTATCATACTATCTTACCATACACTATCTAGCTTTTTAGCGAAGTTTCAATCATATTATCTAGAAATTGTCTGCCACTGCCGCTATTCAAAGAAACCAGTGATATAACTTAAAACAGAAATCTAAATGAAAAAAAAAAAAAAAAATACTAAGATGTGCCTAGTCATCTAGGATTAGAATCTAATTAATTGAAGCGAGCTTAATAAAACGAAGGACAATTTACTGGGCCTACCTTGGCAAAATTGAGATACGCGAAAGCCGCAATAAGTAGCAGAACAAAAATTGCAATCACTGACATTTCGATATGAACAATTATTACAAACAACTGTATTGTCTATTAAAAGTGCGTGGAATAACTGAGATAGGTCTCTCTGAACCATATTTATAGGCTAATTGCTAATTCCGGAATGCAAGCTTTGATGTTCGCCTGCAAATATTCAAATTTTGCTTCGTTCACAAATTGTTACTTCCACAATAACACTAATTTTTTACCAATGGGTCTATTAGAGCAGTTTTAAATCTGTTTGATGTCATGCTATGCATTGAACATCGTTTTCCTCTCTGTTTACTTATCAGATGTTTACTTTCAGAAGTCATTCGTCGGGTTTCACTCCCAAGCTTGCATCCTTCAACTTTCTGTTCAACGGGAAATCATCTTTTGGTAATAAAACAATTAATTCCTATGTTTATAGCTGTTCCGGAAGACTCCTCATCCGGTTGGCCATCTTTTGCCGTCTCAGTGGGAAATTAATTCGCTCCCTACCGAGACTTCTGATGCATTTCCAAAAATAATTTAATGTGATATGAAATCCTTCAACATCAATTTTAAGAAAAATGCCAGTAGACATAGAAATAGTGTAGTACTGATGGAGAGACAGATATAGGAGAGTGGAGAAAAGGAGCTACGATGGAGGAGGGATGCGCGGGATTTTTCTCGGAAGTCCCTTTGCTCCTTAAGTATGAAGTAATGTGTCGGCTTCCAAGGGTCAGTTTGGTTCTTTTGGGGTTTTCTGGTTGGGGATGTAGTTATTTAGTTCAAATTACGATTTTTGTATCATCTAGCTTCTCTTCATGCTCACAAACATTCGAGTCGATTTCACTGTTTGCTTAACAATTTCATCTGATCTATTATCGTATTATTGTTGAAGAAATTTTATGTTTAGCATTTCTTAATTATCTCTGTAAAATTCTGGTTCTATTATTAGTTAGTACTGTTTGAAGCGGAAGTCATGATATTGCTAGTGAAATAGACATATCCTTCATTTTTGTCAGGTCGATGACAACACCATCATCAGGCGCTTATCTGAATCCATTCACAAACGCTAATTTTTATGGAAATCCTTATTCGATAGATCTACCACATCAGAGCCAACCGTTTGGCGAGGATGTGTCATCGAACGTGATCATAGATGTGGTATTTTTGATTCAGTTCTTAATCCTTTGTAGAATTAAACATATCTATTGACAGGAAATTTTCGGAATGTAATTTAAATCGTCTATGATATTTTTGTCTGATGTGAAATATTGTGTAGAGGATTAGGAATCATATTGTTTCAATTCTCCAGGAATACACTGATTTTTAGGAGGGATCTATTAGTTGCAGTAGAAGTAATGGAATCTTATCTGTAGTACTGCTGTAGACAAAGTTTATTTAGTGGTGGGGAAATATTTGGTCCATGGCAAGAAGAAGCATACGCATTTCTAGCTTCCTAGCTGTACTTATTTCCTCATACTATATTTACTTCATGTCCTCTTATCTGCAACTTCATTTTCAGGTCGGAATGGAGATTAATGAAGAGAAGAGAACAGGATTCGAACAGAATTGCTCAGATGTTCAAATTGAAATTTTAAAAAATAAATCTCGAAAACGTCGTTCACTTTGCAATGTAGGCCTTCTTTGGAAAAAATATATCTATATTTATTTGTTTTTAATTAATTTCTTAATTAATTTTAATTTGTTTAATCGATTTGGTTAATTAATTTATTTATATTTGTCACTTGTTTATTCATTTATTCGTATATTATATTTATCGATTTATTCATTATTTATTTGTTTACTTATCTAATCAATTTATTTAGTTTATTTATTTATTTAATTTATTATTGGTGCATAGCTGAATTCATTAACTTTCTATGAAGGTATCATTTCTCACCATACAGATTCAGTTTGAAATACTTAATTCATCTCATGTTTACGTATACAGTGCTGTAAAATAAGAGTTTTTATATCCACAGTGATGATAAAGCATTCAGTAGAGAAGGAAGCACCAATGAAATGATACGTAAAGGTTAACAATTATAGAATGAGGAGCCACTATGTAAACGAAGAATGGAAAAAGTTAGCGTTCGTTTGGAAAATTTCCACATATCAAATGATTCATGTTCATCAGTAGTGGATTCTAAGGATAGGTACATATTTTTCATTGTAGTTTTTCTTCCATAATATGGCGCTGCACTGTTCATACACATTTTTCAAAGCATCCCCCAAAGGTTACTGTCTTCTTTCCACATCGGCTTTGTTTTTTATCGCCTTCAGAAATTGTTCCCAGCATAGCATTGATGTTCTTGGAATAAAACCTACTTTTTAGACAATATCTGCTATTTGTTCATGATTTAGTGACTCGGAAGATACTAGTGAGGAAGACATCGAGAAAGATGATGCACTGTTGATTCTAGACGAGAGGCTACGGAAGTATATTGAACATGAGCTTAAAGCTCCACCTATTACTATTAGCAAGTGCGTTTTTCATTCATTCTGCCATTCATTTTGCTAAGTTTCATTTTTTATAAAACAAGCGCATTATATTTTGGTCTTGTTCTTATCGGTATGACCAAGTATTTATTTTTTGTTTTTACTCACAGCGTCGTATGAATTTTACACATTAGATTTTACATGCACCGATTTATGTCTTACCATCTTATGGTTTTTCACTTTATTCTTTACTTCATCTCTAAGTGATTGAATGTAGTTTTTCATTTGGATTTAGAATTCTTCACTAGGAAATGTATATGACTAATTCTGACGAAGACTTCGAATCGACTAAATTTTCACACTTGTCTTTTTTTTAAGTCATGCTTCAAAAACTTGAGAACCCTTAAACTTTCAGTCTACTTTTTTAGTCCTTTATCGATGGCTTTAGTACCTTATGTGCCACCTATTTCGTATGATAATCCAACAATGATTGGACGAATCAAAGAAATTGATACTCAAGATGCAGTAGGATACGTATCTAATGATAATGGTAAAAATTAATTTTCGATTTTTCAGTAAGGAATTTTTGAATATTAACGAGAAATATTGCTTTTGGTATGCATACTGTTTTTCTTTCTAGGTTTTGTTACTTTCCCGGATGATCCGCACACAGTAGAGTCGGAGAATTGCTCTAATGAGATGATTAGCATTAAATTGCCGTTTTCTATGATGAGTGCCACAGAAATAGACTCCTGTATACAAGATGATGTCATTATGGAAATCGATAATTTATAGATGGATTGTTTTCTGTTTTTGCTGTTCACATTTGCCTCAAATTAGGCGATTTTGTTGATTATTACAACGATGCACTTTTTAGTTTTTCTTTCAGTTCTGTCTATTTATGTTGTCTGGATTTTTAATCGAATTGAGTCGTTATGAAAAGTTTTCCCTTATTAACAGATAAAAAAAATTTTGCTCTCACAACGCTGCAACGGAGGGCAAATTTTAAAGATCAAGGGTTAGGATTTAATGCTAGATTTATTTCACTTTATGATACTTTGAAGTAGCATCGTTTTTAGAAAGTTACTTAACGCTTTGTTCACGTTTTTTTTTTTTTTGGATAATTTTATTCGCTTTTCTGCTGATTTCGTTTGTTTTCTTTTTAAATTATGGAAAATTGTTTATGCCGGCATGAACTTTGTGGCCTTTTTCATTTTCAATTTACTGTTACAGTAGTATAAAAAACTTCACATTGAAGAAAAAGAAAAACAAAAAACCAGCATATGCATTTCTATTTCTTTCCTTAGTCGATTTAAAAGAACTGGCTTCAATTGTATCTTTCGATTGTATAACTTAATACACATATCGTTGGCATGATTGTTCACTCTATTTCATTTCTTTCTCACAACATATTTGATATGACATGTATAAGTTGTGTGGACTTGCTTGTTTCGCGTTAACTAAGCAGATTTTAAATTTATCAAAAATTATGTTCAGGACTGTACTAGTCCTAATTTTTATGAATTCAGAATCTTAATGTTATTCTGGAAAATCATTTTTTGCGAAATTTTGCATTCACGAATCAGTTGTCCAAATTTGTTATGGAAGGTGAAATATTTTACATACGTCTTTTGATCTGGAGCGGAAATGCTAGTTTGGAGCACTGGAATTCGATTTTCGATTCATTGCAACCAATCAGTCTTTCCCTAGCTGTCAGGAAATTGCTGTATTTATTAATTAATATATATTTTAGGCAAAATAGTGTAGTTGCTGAGAATTTGCTTCTCAGCTTAATGTAAATTTACGTAAACCGGTAACTTTCATATGATGTATTACATCTTCATTTTAATAGAGTCATTCCTGGGTTTTATGTTGTGCAAGACTTGTTTCGAGGGTTTTGAAGGTTATTTTTGATTTCATAGTAGATAAGGTCAAGAAATGGTTGATGTTAATCAGGATATGTCGTGTGAGAATTATGGGTTAAATGAAGCTGAGACTATAAACAGTTGTGGTCAAAGTTTCATTCTCTTTTTCTTGTTGCTCTTAAAGACTGAGAAAAGCTAATAGGATAGTACAACAAATTTATTATAGAATTCTCACCCAATTGCTCTTTAAATTTCAGTTTGTTTTCTCCAAAATTATTGCGTTGAAAATTTTTGGGAGCAATGAAAAGCTGCGAAGTGAACGTGTCTGGAATTCAGTTGAAAATTTTTAATTTCCCATTTCTTAAAATTTCTAAAAATTAGAAAACGTTTTTCTCTGGGAAAAGTGATCTTCCTATCAGGAAGCAAACTTGTTGAATGTTTGCAAAAACGTATGCCTCTCCAGAAAATATTTTGGATGAGCAAGTGGAAATTTAAAGGTCTATTTAAATACTTTGCTCTCTAGGTGATTTGTTTCTTTTACTCTATTTAGTTTTACTCTACTTCGCTGGGGAAAGATAAGGTGACATTGTTTCGCTTTGGTAAAGAAATATCAGTCATGAATTCATTTCACGTTTTCAGCAAGCGAAAGAAAGCAGTAATGGCAGCAGTACTGGTGACTTCTAGCTTGTCGCAGGCTTCTAATTTTTGGCATTTTTCTAACTGCTTTCTAATTTCAGTAACATCAACATCAATCAGTGATTGTGTCACCGTCTCCAAGTATAAACTGAATCGAATCTTTTGGGATATTTGTATGGCTATCGTCATTACTACTTGAGAAGTTGCCGTGAAGTTGAATCCAGCAATACGTAAGCCGGATTTATAAAATACTCTAAAGAGGTTTTGGTATCTCTCAACCGTGTTGATAAGCATCTGCTTATTTCTTCAGTAATACTTTATAAAATGAATATATACGATAGGCTGTAGTACGCAAGATAAGATTGATTTTCTTGTATTTAGAAATTTCAAATTATGCTTTTTCTCAACAAGCAGTTAGCCTTATACTGTTCGGAAGGGCACGAATTATTTCACATAGTTGAAGTAATTGCATGATATGCAAATAAACAGCAATTGTGAAAATAAATATAGAAAGCAATGATAAGATGTTTTATTCAGTTGTAGTTAATTACTAAGTGACTTCGATCTGAAGACAACATCCAAGTTGGAACATTTTACCGCGCCTCTAACATTTCATAACACATTGGCCTTTATTTGATAGTATTTATTTGAGTAGCAATTTCTTTTTTTTTTTTTTTTTTTTTTTTTTTGATAGTGAAATAAGAGTCTTACTTGGAGGTGGATTACTGAATTTGCAGAACCAACTGAGAATTTGCAGACTTAAAAATTAGTTACAAATAATAAAGGATACGTTGAAATGCTAATTTGTTGTAGAAATTTTTGTGTTTTAAGAAATGGTAGTAAATGGTTGTGGTTTTGGTTGTCCAGGTATGATAATGAAAAAGATCATAATCTATTAATAATGGATTTATTGGGTCCATCTCATGAACCAATTCAGTTGTAATGTCGATTCACGGTGAACATCTTTTTGATGCTGGCTGATCAAATCACAGGGTATGTTCACTAATTTACTGAGGACGTATTTAACATATGATTTGTTTATAAATTCTTCTATATTATTCTATGTATGACCACACTTTTTTAAAGTTAGATCAATAACTTTATACCAGTTTATTATTTGATGGTTCAGATTATCATAAATGTCGGATATTCAGATATGTGAATTTTTTAACCGAAAAATTCTAATATATGTAGTCACCGTGATCTGGTTTCACTTTGATAATCATTACACAGAGGGCGGATGTCTATCTGTGGAGAATCTGTATATGTTAAATTCATGCACAGTAAGTGAATAAGAAACATATTTTTATTGTTTGTTTGCATTCCATATTTCAAAAAATGATATGACGAGTTAATTATATTTTTCGATAAGAAACGCCATTCTCAAATTGGGCAGTCAATTCAGGCAACATTGAAATTGAAAACTGCATTAGCTCAAATAAAAAAGTAGCATTCTAACTGTCATTTTAGTTTAATCCTGAATTCTATGGAAATAGAACATAAGTGAAAAGAGATTATAAATCTTCATGTAGTAAGTGATATTAGGTATCGGTTTCTCAAACTTCCCAGTTTATTGAGATTCGTATAAGTTTTTAGTTGTTAATTAATCTTTCGTAACAAACTACCTTTTGGAAGAATTATCAACTACAGTTGTTGATCGGTTTTTGGACAACAAATTATATATATTGTATTATCTTTTTCTAGATCGTTTCTTTTTGTTCATCACTTTGTGCGATCAGAAGGTGGATGTGATTTTGTTTTTATTTTGCCGTTTATTGTATTCATTTTGAAGTGCTTGCTTTCAAAATATGTCGCATTTTATCATCCTTTGACCTTAGGTCCTGCCTGTCTCTAGATAATCTCTTTCCGGAATTCCGACTTCAAGTAAATAAACCGGAGTTATGTACGAATGTATTCTGTTGGTAACTTTTCATAAACGAAATCAAAAATTACTAGTGTGTTCTGTTTGAATGATTAATTTCACTACTCCTCCGTTAGTCATTTATTTGATTCAAACTTCATGACTACTTTCCTTCGTAAAAACATGTTTGTGAAAAGGAAGAAAATGAGAAAATTTCTTTGTGCGTTACTTCCTTGCAGTCATCCTTCCTTGGATTGAACTGAGATGTAAAATCTGTCACAGACAAAATGGAAGGTCTTCATGATAAACTAAACAACATCAAAGCATAGCTGAAATTATTGCTTACATCTGATAAAGCAGTTACAAATTTTTAATATCTACGAGGAGGAGACTATACTGAATTGATAGTAAATGCCATTATGTTATTTCGAGAACGATTCCTTGATGATGTCGTAGGCTTACACTGCTTGTCTTCTCATGATCCATTTTCATTGGGGATCGTAGGATGGATAAGAATGATTTGTAAGGAACAAAAACCTCATCGTTTAGCATCTCTCGGCAGAGTTATAAAAGTTTGGGTTTGTTCAACTCCAGGGTAAAGTGCAGTGTAAAGTGGCAGAGAGCGGTTGACATCTGCTACAATCACAGAAGAGTTGATGAATAATTAAAGTTACGCTCTCAATTTCAGCCGAAGGATAAACTCAAGTATCACTGTGAATCTAGTTAGCACAATCTAGATGCCTCAATCTTTCTGTAATTCATTTGGTAGTACGATAAAATGACAGAAATGCAGAAGGTGCAATCCCGCTACAATTAAGCTGCAAAGAGGGATTTAGGTATCCGAGCGGGAGAGATATAGCGCCAGTAAATCTAGACGAGCTTCCCTCTCCCGAAACATCGCGATACCTCTCTTGCTTTTGACTCGTTGCATGCTACGCTGCGTTGCGGTTGCGTTGCGCGTTGTTGAGTTGTGGATGCGGTTGGTTTGGTTGTGCTATAGTTTGGGATTTACCAAGAGATTAAAAGAATAAGTGGTAAAAGAATAACGGAGTAGTATTGTGATTTGATGGGTAATGTGAGCTATAATGTGTTAAAGAAGTAATTTAGAATTGAAAAGATACCTTAGTTGTACAACTTTAATTCTCCCTTTTCACTGGTGCTTTACAGTAAAAAATGTTTGATTTGTTGAGCATCTTTCTCCAAATGAAACTGTGTAATAATGTTAGTAGAAGAGGATTGCTCTTCATGGTATAAGTGAGATTAATAAGCTCCGTAACTTCCGTTATTTTGATCGTTTATAAATTGTGAGAGGAAAGAGAACAGATGAAACAGAATGGTTTGATAGATGATGTGAAAATTTTTTGCTGTGAAGTATATAAGTAAACATGCTCTTATATTTAATACATAAAGGTAATGGCCATCATAGCAATACTTGAAAAGTTCTTCCAGTCTTTAATACGAAAGGAGATAGACCACGGTCTCTTTTACCTGACACTTTTAACTACCATTTCTTTTTGCAATGTATAATGTAAAATAAGGGTATCTCACTTTTGGCTAGGCGCACAGATGTATTAAGGTACACGAATGGATGATGTTTTTTCTTGAGAATAAAATGGAGTTAAAATTAGAAGTCTAAGTTGCAGCTGAGATAACTGTATTTACTTGTCAACTTGTCCTTTTATTAGGTCAAATAAAATTATTTAAACCTTTTATTGTCTTATTTTGTTTTACTAGATTTTGGTGAGATCTTAATTTTTTTTTGTTTTTGGTGCAAAATTCTGCTGAAAAGTATCCAGATTTGGTCAAAAGCTTGAAGTGTATATTATTTCAGGCCCGAGAATGGCGGGCGTTGCTACCAATTCCCGCGATTTTATTGTTGCAACAAAATATAAACTAATTCGTAAAATAGGTTCTGGCTCATTTGGTGACATATATCTGGCTATAAATATCACAAATGGTGAAGAAGTTGCTGTTAAAATGGAGTCCAGCAAGGTTGTTTAAGATCATTTGTACTAAGGTAAATATTGCATAGAAGAACAGTTATATCTATCAAAAAAAAAAAAGTAAGTCTGAGAGGCAAATTTCTGGAATTTCAAGAATTTAAAAAAAAAAAAGCAATTTTCAGGCACGCCATCCACAGCTGCTTTATGAGAGCAAGGTATACAAAATTCTGCAGGGTGGAGTTGGTATACCGCACATACGATGGTAAGCTCTTTGATGTTTATTATAATCATATCCGAAATATGTATAAGTACGTATATTTAAGCATGAAGACAAAAGAAATGAACATTTTTTCCTCAAGTTACATAAATATTCAGTACTGCAAAAATGATTTAACTGAAAATTACAGTGATGTTAATGGATCAGCTAGTTCGAGACTGGTTACATCTCTGGTTACATCGAGATGTCAAGAGATGTTTGAGTGAAAACCATTTGCTAGTTCAGAACTTTATTTTTAGAAAATTTATCCTTTTGGAAAATGTTTCTATGAATAATTTCTTAGGTATGGTACGGAACGCGAATACAATGTCTTGGTGATGGACTTATTAGGTCCTTCATTAGAGGATCTATTCAATTTTTGCAGTCGTCGTTTTACAATGAAGACCGTGCTAATGCTAGCAGATCAAATGATTGGACGCATTGAATATGTTCACGTTAAAAATTTTATTCATAGAGACATCAAGGCAAGTTATGGAAAGATTCGATTGATTTTGGAAGTTTTGCTTTTTACGGTAGATTTCTTTCAGTGAGCGGTGATTGCTAAAAAACAGGACAGTAACATCTTTTGGGTCTATTTGTTAACAATATTCTGGTTAAGTTAAAATGTTGCAAGATATTTTGGTTGTAACAAATAATTGTTGACTTAAAATATATACCATCGTGAACTGTTGTGTTGTTTCAGAAGGAAATCCACATAAGCAGCTAATACCTCTCAGTCATTACATTTGAGAGTTATAAATAGCTTTGATTTGTGTTTTTTCAGCCTGATAATTTTATGATGGGTATAGGACGACACTGCAATAAATTATTTTTAATTGATTTCGGTTTGGCTAAAAAATATCGTGACTCACGTACGCGAGCTCACATCCCGTATCGGGAAGATAAGGTATGTGTAGAATTATAACTACCGAAAATATTTTTTGACTGAAGTTTCATTGCTCTATTATATTTCTGTCTAAAAAGGAAATAGATTTAGAATTTGACGGGAACAGCTCGATATGCATCAATCAACGCACATCTGGGTATTGAGCAGTCACGACGAGATGATATGGAATCACTCGGATATGTTTTAATGTACTTCAACAAGTTAGTTAAAGTTCAAATTTATATGTCATTTCTGTGGATACTGAATGTTGTTAAAGATAGTTGTTGAAATCTGAAGCATTAAAACGATTTTTTAGGGGAACACTTCCATGGCAAGGTCTAAAAGCTGCAACAAAGAAACAAAAATATGAGAAAATCAGCGAAAAGAAAATGTCCACACCTGTTGAGGTAAGCATATAATGGTTATGTGCTAGGCAAGTTATGTAGTTGCACATTATCTTCGCGATTTTAGCATTCTTATCTTCAAGCAGTGAATTAATTGGATATTTTAACTATTACAGGTGTTGTGCAAAGGATTTCCGGCAGAATTTGCTATGTATTTAAATTACACTCGCGGTCTGCGATTCGATGAAGCACCCGATTACATGTATTTGCGGCAGTTGTTTCGTATTCTGTTTAGAACTTTGAATCATCAGGTAGTTGAACAGTGGAGTAATTTTTTCTAGACTGTGTTCGTTGAAATTTTTCCTGCTTAAAAGTGTAACCTACAGTCGGTTAAGGTGGGAAAAGGATTCTGTCCCTTCAGTCTTCGCTTTTTCCGAAGAATGAATTATTTTTGCCTGAATTACCAAAATCGAATGTAGAGTGCCACTATTTTTAGTATGATTATACATTTGATTGGACAATGCTGAAACAGAAAGCGGCACAGCATACAGCGGCAGCACTTGCTTTGGCTGGTTCGGGACAAGGTGGTGCGCAATCGGGCACTGCTCCAGGTGTATGAGAAAAGTCGTACTAATTGATAAAAGCACCATAATTATTGTGGATGTTCAAATACTGATTGAAAAGTGTTTTTACAAAGTTTTATCTAAATTTCCCTCCGAAATCTTATCATTTTGTTTCTTGATTTTTCGCACAACGTAGAATGTAGTAGGGTAACATCCGATGATTTTGTAAAGATGTCAGTCCGTTAGTAATTTTGAGGACACATGACTAAGTATTTTCAAAAAAGTAAAACTGCTTTGCAAACTTGATTTTCTGAGTGTGGGATTTTCAGATTTTTGTTGATTTATTGAAAGGGTGCTTCAACCGATATGAAAACTTTTTAAGAGTAGGTACTTTGTTTCGAGACTTAAGTTCATTTTCTGCTTAATAAGAAAGTAACTTTTTCAAGTAAGCTGCAAGTTTTAAGTACACATACAATGCGGCGGCTAGTTTAAGTAACAATTAAATATTTTTTTGTGACAAAAATCGAATTTAATTTTGTCCAAAAAAAAATCTAGAGAATATCTTAATTATGTACAGAACGTATATGCTTCCATTGTGTAACCAGTTTCAAAAAATGTCTTGTTTTCACTCTTTTTTCCAGATTTTGTTGGCCGAGAAAGGAGAATGTAAAGTCCTTTCGTAGTCAACTGAAGTGGTAGGAAATTGGCATTAAGACTGTTCTGTATGCAGGAGAATTCATATTTTTTGTTCAAAAAACAAAGATAATTCATTTAGCATATATGTTATGGTTGGATAAATGCCACCATCTATTTCTTTTTTTTTTTTTTTTTTCTATTTTTTTCCATCGGATGTTACGTTTCATTATGTGAAGAGTTAATTGATTTATAAAGAAGTGAAATACAAATCATTCTCACACTAAACACAGGCAATGTTATTTAATACATTTTAATCGTATGTGAGATTGGTGTTGAGGTAGTTATGTATTCAGTGGTTAGGAATCTAGGCTAGCATAGAATGTGACGAAATAATAACAATTAATAGTGTTGGGACATTTTGTAATGTTTGCAACTTATCTCACGCAACTTGTGAAAAGCAATTATCTCAGGCAGCTTGTGAAATTGCACAGCGGTCTGGACTAATTTGTTCAGTCTTAGAGTGTTGGTATAACGACTGTTTAAGAAGTCATTATGTCGTTCAAGAGAAATAAGCGGGGCCAATATTTCTGTATAGAATGGTAGGAAGCAAGGTATCGTTATTTAGAAAACGTGGGAGCAAATAACGAGTGAGTTCCCATTGCAACAGAATGCGTTGATGTGTAAGTTGCGATTATAGTAGAAATGACTTATTTCACTTTTGAATTTTACAAATTTTACTAATTATTGAGGTGATTTTTTTGTGGTTTCGTTTATCCTTCATTGCGTATGGATCAGTCATGTTGAATTTCAAAGTATTAAGTCGAAAAAATTTACATTTTCAGTTCTTAAATCTACTGATCTCTAATGGAATCCGAAGTCATCCGAAGGAATGATAGTTTTTATTCACATTACGGACAGTGTCGTATATTGAATGAACAAAGATCTAAAAAAATCTTCACAGCCATACGCTGTTCTGATGACCGCTACGTAGCCTTGAAAGTGGAAGAAATTTCCAATAGGGAAATTGAAGCAGCAAGCCAGGTATTTCATAGCATTCAGCTTTGGTTTACGTTTAAAATATGTTTGGAAGAAACAACTCACTATTTAATTTTCAATATTGCATGAATGAGTTTCAAATAACTGGAAAAAAGCGGGTCAACTTGGCAGTCGTCAAACGGTCTTATTTTGAACAAAGCTATCATAATAGTGATTAGAAAGTAATAATTTGATTACAAAGTAATAAGTGGATAAAATGAGTAGTTACTAAAACTATCATCCTGATATTTGACAGTTTCGTTTCATACTTCTTTTATATTATTCCATTTTCACTAAGCAGGAATATGTTTGACACATATAATCGCACTGATGGTAATTTTAAAATGATAGATATGTGATAAAATAATGCTGTATTAATTTTGTCCAGTTATGTAAGACCACCTGGTAATTACGAAATAATTCATGATAACTTTTTATTTCGTGACAAAAACTCTAATAGGGTATTTAAAAAGATAATATTGAGTTAGTCCTCATAATTAGTTTTATTATATTCAAATTTCTGCTTGAGGTATGTTTCAGATATCGTTATAGCCATGTCACTAGTTATAAATTTGGAAAAAATAGTGGTTATGCCTCAATTGGCAAGGATCACTAATATTCCTCAATAGCACTGAATAGTAGTAATGGTGATATTACTATTACTGCATTTAAAACAAGTTTTTAATATATTTAGTTTTTATTTGGCTTTGGAAAACATACTTTCTCGATTTGGCGCTTCACAGACTAAGGATTTATTTTCAGAGCTGTATAGGATCTTTATAAAATTGATTTAATTTGTAGAACATTTAAGTAGAAACTATTCTCAAGTTTGATACTGCCTTATTTCTTTGTGCCGTAACTTCAATATCTGAATACTTTCAAGCTATCTATAAATACGTTGGTGCTTTAGTGATGTTTGGCTGTTCAACTGTCTATGTCTTGCCTATATCTCTTTCATATGATGAAGTATTGAAATTTTCAGTTCATTTATGTTTTCCTAATTAGTAGTTGTGAAATTGATATCTTTAAATGCTCTGGTGATACTTTTTAATAGAACGTTAATGACTTAATAGTTAATGATTGAAAATATTTCCAGTACCGTCATTATCAATTACATTGTGAACTTAATTACAAATATGGTATTTTACTGCTATTATAAAATTCGTATAAATAATTAAATAGTAATGTCATGAGATACTTCGTCGAACTATTGAATGCAAATATTGATACTAAAATTTTGATCAGTAAGATATGAACTAGAATATAGGACTGCTTTATCTACTCTTATTCCTACTTGGAATTTATGCTTTTTTGTTTTCTGCTCGAAAACAAATGATTGATCTTCTCCTGTTAGATTGCTAGTTAAGCTACTTAATTTTATCATTTACATTTTGTAAAAACTTCTGAATTCTACGTTATTTTTGCTTCTATTCTTTTCGCATCATATTATTTTTACATGCTTGTTTTTTCATATTACTGCAGCATAAGAAAAGAAAAAAGAATAATTTAAAACACGAGCATGCTGTTTACAGAAGTCTTCATGGAAGAGGAGTACCACACGTTCATTGGTAGGTTTTCAATTTAAATTGGTTTTAAGCTAAAAATGTAAATATGTTACTATAATTTCGCATTCAAGCTACTTTTAAGTGCTTTAATGTCTCTATATGTAAAATATATTTCATGTTTTCAAATTATGACGAATCATTTTTTCCTTGTCATAGAGATAACTGTTTATTTCAAGTGATTTTCATAACCTTTTCTGGCAGTCTGTTAGCGAAGAACTATTTTATATGTGTCACAAAAGTCTTTACTTCATCTCCATTATCGTTTTGAGCAATCTCTATGCCTGTAAGCCTTCACGTACCATGCATGGTATTAATGAAGTTACTATCAATCAGCATTTTGTCATCTTCGTATGTTATCAGAAGATGCTTAACGTATATTGTAATAATGACTTGAAGTTTCATTGTTGAAATAGACCAGAAATATGCATCAAAGACATTAAGTGGTACATAATGGAAGTAAGTAATATAGATACAATTAGTTTCCGTCCATGTTGGTGTGGGTTGAATCAAGTATGAAATAGATCTGGATGGATTAGTAAGAACTGTTTTTTTAGGTTTGGAATAGTTAATAGATACAAAGCAATGGTTATGGATCTTACTGGTCCTTCACTGGAAGAGCTTTTTATCTATTGCAAGCGACGATTTAGTTTGAAAACAGTTCTAATGCTTGCTGATCAAATGTTGGATCGAATACAGACTGTCCATGATGCGGATTATGTTCATCGCGATCTGACGATATGACTTTTTCAATTTCAATTTATTTTTTATTTTACATCCTTTGTTGTGAGACACCTTTTTGAAAAATAGAAATGCTTTTTTACTTGTTGTAAAGTAACAACCAAAGTAGTTTGTTACTGCTATCATTGAAAACGACTGATGAACCATGCAGTTTGTTGATCCAGTGGTTCTCGTATACTTTTTAGCTCAGCTCAATTTAGTTATACTTCCAGTCATGGTTATTTAGTTCCTTCCCGGTAATACTCAAGATAAATGTAATAGCTTTTTCAGTCAGATGCTTTTGTGATGGGTATCGAAGAGAACTTCTCTAAAGTTTACTTAATAAATATGAAGTTGGCATCAAAATATATTAAGATCTCTGATGGATATCGCAAACATATTCCGTATAAGGAAGATATAGTAAGTTAATAGTTATAGCATCTGTTGTAAAATTTTTGAACATCGCAAAAGAAACGCAAATGTCATTTGATTTATAGAATTTCGATAAAATTATTATACATAATAATTTCAGGACTTTTTTGGTTCACCTTGCTTTGCATCTCTTAACAGACATTTGGGCACAATTGCATCTAGACGGGATGATCTAGAATCTTATGTATATATACTTTTATATTTTCTTAAGTAAGTTAGTCCATGAATTCGTAGTTTTCTTAATTTTTGTTTCGTTTTTTCATACGAAGCATTTTCAGAGGGAATTTACCTTGGCAGATGTATGATGAACTTGAAAAGATTCTGGAAATCAAGATATCGATTTCAACAGAGGTAGTGTTGAAATACCGAGCTGAAATTTGTATTTGCTTAAACTTTAGTTAAGATTTATTCTGTAAAATCCCATGATGTCGTTTTCTGATAATGCTGTTGACAAATTATTCAACTTATACCAGTTCTGATTCACCAAGCTAACACAGCTTTAATCAATTATCTATAATACAGAAGAATTATTTTCACAATGTCCGATTATTTGTTTGAGTCGAATTAAAAAGCATTTCGATTATCCCTAATTTTATTCATTGCAGATTCTTTGTCATGGATTACCTACTCAATTCGCAACCGTACTCAATTATTGTCGCACTCTAAGATTTGACGATAAACCTGATTATTTGTTTATTCGACATCTCTTTCGTGATTTATTCAAATCCTTGGCCTATAAAGTACCGCTTGAAGTTTAAGTTTTAAAAGATTGACACTGTAAGGAGATTATGGAAAAGCTGGGAATTCTAAACAGAAATCCTTCAATATTTATTAGGTAAAGAATGAATTCGAATAAATGTTGGTATACATCAGTAGCTATCAGTTTTTTCCAGGAAGATTGGAATTTTGATTGGATGTCGCGTTACTACGCAAAGAGGCACTAGACAAAGTGCTTGAATCCTGAAGAACAAGATTGGAATCGGTTGTTATTAATCCACTTCATCTGCTCGAGATATTTATTTCTTTAATTTTTGCATAAGAACAAAATGCATATTTGTCCAATAAATTTATGAATAAGTCCATTGCATCGGAAACATATACTTTTATATTAGTTGAAACAGTATTTGGCTAGACAACTGTCTTCCGTCAGCAGATAAATTTGCAGTTTCCATGTGCCGAACCGTTCTTGAGCTCTTATCTTATTGATTTCTGGAATATATTGAGAACTCTTGATAGAATTTCTTGATATCATTTAGTTTAGATCTAAAATTGAATTTCTGTTTAATTTTGTTATAGTTTTTTCAAATTAAAATTTACACTGAACGCAGTAGTTCTCTTTCAAAGTTTTGTGAGATCAGAAGATATTTACGGAAAGAGTTCTCAAAGCGTGTGACGTATTAATTATGAAATTTAAACATGTCTTTAGCCTGTTATCTCAAAATGTAGTGTTAGACTTGTCACTTATCGAAATCCTTTCGACTATAATACGTCACTAGTGTATTCTCCTACAATTATCCAAAAAAGTAAAACATACTAGTTTCTCGGGCATTGTCAAAATCCATAATTTACTAATATGACAATTCCAAATTCCTTTGATGTTCGACGCTTTAAATTGGAAAGTTGAAGAAAAAAATTATTGTTTTCTAAGGCATGCGAATGTTTAGTAGTTGGAAAACACAGAGTTCTCTTATTTAATAAACTGTTTATTAAAAGCAACATTAATCTTTATCAATCTTCTGAAAGCTTTCGTGTTAAGGCCTCATAAATCAAAAAATCTGAATCCCACAACTCACCGCAATACTTTTTTTGATAGATTAGAAACTGCTTGAAACTTTTTGCTTGTACTAGATAAATCTCAGGCGATGTTTGTTCTAAATGATTTTACTTATTCCTTATTTTTATTGCACAATACTGCCAATCTAGGGGAGCAGTACCCTTTTACAATTTGAAAAAGATCTTGTAATTTGTTGCAAATACAACTATCTTATAATAATTCTCTTCAAAATCTAAACTTAACAAAAATAAAGTGCACAAATGATGTAAATGAAAATAAGAGAAAGACAAGGAAATGAAAAGGTATGACGATCTATGAAAGGAGTACATTTTAACAGAGCTTTCACTATCTTATTTAAAACATCAGTAACTGATTCATTAAATCTGATTGATTTCTTTTAAAGTATAGGCAGTAGCAGACGTAATCTGTGTTTTGTCCAAAACATCTGCGCACTGTAGCGAAAAACTCTATTGGAAGTAAAAAAGTTAGAACCGTGCGCAATTAACTAAGTTTTCATATTTTGCGAGTGACAGCGTTTTAAAAACTTACCTATCATACTTTCGGTCCGGCATTCCAAGTCTCGTATTTCATATCAGGACGGAATGAACATGAGTGGTCGTCGTTTTTCTGACTTTTCCAATATACATTCTATTGAAGGTATTGTCGGCAGCATAAGAAAACGCATTATTCATCTTGATTGATTTAATTTAATTTAAACAGACTGACTAAATTGTATGAACTTATTGATAAAGACCAAAGTTAATTGCGAAATGAAATTATTAGAAAGATTCGACAAAGCAAACTTAAGCACAGTACGAATAAATACTTCTAAAAATGAAATCATTTTAAAAGAAACTGGCGCACCTGTTGCATTTATATTACAAATGTTAGAGGGAATGTCTCTGAATATGTTCATCACAGGATGTCAAATTGACAGGAACAAACAAAAGAAAGCATTCGCCGTTGAAAACAATTTTATCTGCTCTACCGATCTATAATACAAAACAGTTTAGAGTAACTGTCTGTTGAACTTATTTTTATAGCTTGAATTAAACTAATAGAGGCAATTTTTAAACCACTTTTTGTAATGAAGAGGCAGTAGTTAATAATGATAAGGCAAGGGAGGGAATATACATTCATTTCAATTCAATTAATGACACGATAAAGTTGACAGCTTTCAATGCCGCGTTTATTTGTTTATAATTATTAAATTTATAATAGAGGAATCCTCCACTCTGCAAACAGGAACTGTTTGTCTTATTTTCCACACATTTCAAATCAATATTTTTATAGACTTGAATTCAAAAGAACTAACTGAGGAATCCCCGCGTCTTGCGCGTCGTCGAATTTCTCGTTCTTTTTGCTCTTGTTTCTTCAATAAGAAATGCTGCGTTAATTGTTAGATGAGAAATGTAAATATACGTACAAATATATGTCAAAAAAGAATTTCATCCTACTGAAGATTCTATTAAATAAGCATTGCTTAAAGATGGAATTCAGCAAAATATATAGGAATTATACCAAAATCTCTTGATTTTAATGAAGCAAATAGCGCCCATATTCTTCTGTTACGAAGGGAAGAATGGGTGAGTTTTCGGATATGAGTTCTAATGAAACATATAAGTTTTAGAAAGTATAGCAATTTGATTGGCAGAAAATTGAGTCAGAGATTTTCAAAACTTTTCGGAAATTATCACTTCGCCTTTTATCAAAAGTAACTGAACTACAATCCCTTTGCTTATTCTCCATTTTTTATCGCTTTCATTGAGAACTCTCCAGTAAAACTTTTCATTCAGGGCACATGTACTGAACACTACAAAATGTTCTTTTCAACAAATTCTACATTTTTCTTCAGCAAACTATCAATCAAAAAAAAAATTTTTTTTTCATTCTGAGAGTTAATTTCCATAAAGCAATCAATTTATTCTTTTTTCTTCTTCCCTCCCTCTTTGCAACATTCATAATTCTTGCAATTATTTTCATCTTAATTACCCTATTTCCAGTAATCTCAGTTCAAAACGGATGCGTTCACATGCGGTGGAACTTTGCCAGAATTTTTCTAGGCTTAAAGAAGACCGGAAGTAATTTGGAGTGTAAGATATAGCTAAGTATCTAGATCAATCAGCATGCGAGAGTCAGTACAGAACAGTGGAGTAAGGAAGGGGTGATCTGGGGTCACGTGAAATGAGATGATAAACGCGAGTTCAGTTAATATTCCTTACTATTAAAGAAAAGAATCGTTGAAGACACTACTTTGTAGGAGTTCAATTAAAATCTATTGGACTTGAACCATTCATCCTCCACTTCTATATAATTAAAGGGAAAACGTGTTACTGCTGATAGAAGTGATCCTGGCTGTTTCATTTAGGGTTGTTGATGGTTTGAAGAGTAGTGACGGGGGAGTTGTCAGGGTGTGACCATGTTGTGTTCTGTGAAGTGCTTTTGAGTTGGGGATGCCCAAAGCTATTGCAGGATCGCCTGTGATCGCCATGTTTCGGCATCCACCTCCGCGACCGTCAAGTCAGGCATGTCATTTCTCTTTAGTTTTTTTTTTTTTTCCAATTTTTTTTAAATCTTTTTTTTAAAAAAAGTTTCGACTGTTTAACTGGTGCTAAAAGTTATTGGAAATAAACTTAAGTCATTCGCTTAGGCAGAAGTAAATTTCGTTTTTTGTTTTTGGAAAGTAAACATCAGCTCATTTTATTTTCAGAATGACAGCAATTCGCTTAAACCACCCAAACCGCCAGATCGTCCACTGGTTCCATATATGAGATTCAGTCGGAAAATGTGGGCCAAAGTAAGGATGTTTGCCGAAAACTTTATGCTTGCTGATATCAGATTATTTCTTTATGTTATATTCTGACCCTTAATATCAGCTAAGTTTACTTCCTCTATCGTTTCTAAAGTCTCATGATAGGCAACCGGGAACTTATTTGGAAAAATATTTATTTAGGTGCGCGCCGAAAATCCAGATAGTCAGTTGTGGGATATTGGGAAGGTGATTGGTCAGATGTGGAGAGACGCGCCGGAATCGGAAAAAGCTATATATCATCAGGTTATTTGCTGCAAAGTTTTTCATCTCAAAGTTTTATTTCACCAACTGTAATGCATAATTTGAATTCGACACCCGGTTTCCGATTATTCAAACTTGGCTTACAAGTTTTTTTCTTGAAGGAATACGACATTGAACGGCAGGAGTATGAGAAGGCATTGAAAGCTTATCACAACTCGGCTGCTTATCAACAATATTTATCGGCAAAAAATCGAGCAAAAGTCATCGATAAATCAAATACAGTTGGCGGTGTAATTGCTGGTCAGATAAGTTGATTTGTTATTAATTTTCCAGTCTGTTCTTTTTAATGGGCTGTGCTAGAAGTTTTAAAATTTGCAATTAAGGCGTAAAGTGCCAAGTACATTTTACAGCTAGTCGCGGCCGTTTGGATACAGGAGGCGTCGTTATTCAGCCAGTGGAGGATGAAGAACTCAGTGATCTTTCCTCTCGCCGAATTGCTGCTGTTAGGTATGTAGTTTCGAAACTTAACTGTTTATGGTGACTAACGGAAACTGGATGTTGAATTTGAATTTATGGTACCTGTCCTGTGGATAAAGAGAGCTGTTCAACGTAATATGTTCCCTATTTTTGTTATAGATTCGATCGAAATCATCGCCTCATAGCGGATCTCTTCAGTGGCAATGTTGTCACTGATACTCGAACAGTCCTTGCTCAGAATCGCATTGAGATGTTGAAGAAACAAGCGACTTCATTGGCTCTGCATCAAGTAAGTGTTTTCATTAGTGCGTATCTTCAATTTAATTTAGTTATTCTTTATGGTAGCTTTTGCTAATGAGGGAAAAAGCTGTGTCTGAATTGTGAAAGCAAGATTTGTACCTCACGCTTTTTCTAAGGAATAGTTGATAACATAGCTAAATGGAATTTGTGAATCTAGTAGTAAAATCTTCAGAGCAAACTTGAAGAGGAATTGAAGAAACTGAGCGAAATTTTTCAAACCAAAAAGCGTTCAATGGAAATTGCATCGGAAGAGTTCGCAGCAAAACTGAAAAAAGTATGTGAAGAAAAACCGCAGGTGTGTCATTAAATGTTCCCTTACTGTCCAGCATGCTTCCTTCGTTTTGAATTTCTATTAAAACGCACTGAAATGTTGTACATTTAGTTACTGTTGCGCTTATATTCGAAGATCGTAAATCAACTTGAGATGAATCTTTTCTTATCAAGTCTTATCAAAATTGTTTTAAAAAAGCTAATTTGTCCTTCAATTTAAAACTGACTGGTTTCGCAATTTTCCTTCCCATGTGCTTCAGTACCATAATATTTTTAGTCATACTTTAGTTATTTACTACATTTATTAGTACTGTATGCGGTAATACTCCCCTAAGGGAAATTGATTGTGTGTACCGTGTTTTGCATAGGAATACTGTTTGCAGCTCGACGAAGCAAAATATGCATCTATGGTCGATGATTGGTCGGAAAAGTTACTAAATGCATATGAAGATTACAAGACTAAGCAAGAAGCACTACGTGCAAAGCAAAGTAAGTTGTGGTTGTAAAATATTGTTCGAAAACTTCAAGTAATCGAAGTGACAGGTTTAACAGTTACAAATAGGTTGTGCGAGTGGGTTTTTTCTCTTTATTTCTATAAATATTATTATTAATATATAATAAGTTCTATTAAATCAAATGTTGTCACTAAAACTATTTAATTAAATGCAATATATAGAAATTGAATAGATCAAAATTTCCTTTAGTTTTATCTTTTTTAGTGGTAGAACGAGAGCAGCTGGCAGAAGAAACGCCGATACTCTATCGTCTGACTGTAGGTGATTCATCCCCTTCACCTAAGAATAAAATAGCTGATGAAGTTCAATCACCAAAAGTAATAAGCACTGAGCCTCAACAGCAGGTGACTAATAATACTTTCACTTCTGCTGCTGATACCTGTATTTCATCTATTACTTCACCAAGTAATGCCATAGATACCGAAACTGGAGAAGTCGAGAAGCTAGCACAAGATCAGCAGTACAAGCAGGCTAAAGAACCATCGACTGGTTCACCAACTTTAGAAGTGTCGGGAAAGATTCCTTGAGCTTGCTTTATTATAAAAATATAAACAATATATATATAAAGTAATTTCATTAAAAAAAATATATACATAAAAAATATAAAAAAATAAAAAAAGGAATAAAAAATATAAAAATAGAAAAAGTAAGGTTAATCGTATAATGAAGTTTTTGCTCCGTAAAAGATATTTTTATGTTTGAAAAAGTTTTTTAATGTTTTAGTTGAGTAGCAAGATCAATGCGGAATATGTTTGCAAGAGATAAATGGTTTTGCAGAACTGCTTTAACTTACACTTTAACACGTCTTCTAAAAACGAATATGATTGGAGGACAAGCTTATACTTTCTGTTTCATTCTCATGATATATGTAAAAAATATGTTTAGATTTTCATGTATGGTATTATAAAAGTTTTAACTGATGTGTTCAAAAGTTAGTGTTGTTATTTTTTCGGTTGTTATTTTTTTGTTATTACAGTTGAGTTTTTCTTAAGATTTCAAAAATTTATTCTTTTATGCTTTCTATATCTCTTTGAGTTGGATGCATCAATCCTTTTCTAATAGATGTGACATGGCTGAGAAGTTTTGAACTTCGTGATTGTATACAATGAATAAAATCAGTCATTGTAACTAGGGAGGAATTCTCATTTTATTAATGATCCAAGTTTTTTTTTTTTTTTTTGACGAGTAAATGGAGGGGAAGAGAATGGAGTTAGGAGAAATAATCAAATGATTATCAGTGCTCGAAAACGAGTGTCACGAATTTGTAACGCCTTGGCTTTCATTTTTTCGAGAATGCCTGATATATGCAAAATGGGATCAGTGGATTCTTTAGTTGATGATTTTGTACAGCAAAATCCTGCGAGGAAAATTGTGTTAATTACGGTTAGTTTATGGATTTGAACATGATGATCATTATGCGATCTCAACAGAATTGATAAATTTGAAGTGTAAATTTGAAGTACCGTTTCTTCAGTACTACCAAGCAAATGACTTAACATTTTTTTGTATCCGTGTGCAATTCACTCCTGAAACACTGTTATAGAGTGGTGGTACTAGAGTACCATTAGAAAAGAAGATGGTTCGATTTATTGATAATTTTTCTATGGGAACACGAGGTGCTGCTAGTGCCGAGTGAGTCCTTTTAGTATATTTTATAAAGTAAACAAAAATGAAGTTTTCAAGAGGTTTGTGCTGTTGTTTTCCTTTTTCAACAATTTCAATTCAATCGTAAATATAGTCTCAATATTGCATGTGAGTAGCGCAGATTGTTTGTCGTTGTAACTCAGTCATACTAGTATCTCAATAATGATATTCGGAATATTAGATCTTTATTCTCTTAAACTAGAGCTTTAACGAAAACAGTGTAAACAAAGTAGTTCGTTTCAGGTATTTTCTATTGAAAGGCTATGCTGTGATATTTTTTCATCGAGACAATTCTCTGAAACCCTTCAAGCGGAAGTTCTGTGACATATTTGATCATTTAGTTGTGAGTAACTCAGGAAGAGTCGAAGGCTAGTTAATCACTCGCTTTGCATTGTTTCTCTTATTAATGGAAATCATATTAGTATACAGAGTTCATGTCAGTATATAGACTTAGAATTTGTTGCATGAATCCATGTCTTGTTTGATTATCTCCCTTTACTAGATGTTATATTACGGAAATAATCCAATTTCAGAGTGGAAATAATGCTGAAATACTGATGCCTAGTTTAAATATTTTCCAGGATAAAAAAGAATATAATTTTGAACCTCACCGGAGATGTTAAAGATTGATTGTATTTGTATCCATGCTTTATTATTCAAAAAATTCTCATTTGAATATACCAAAGTACTTGAATGTCCCACTGATTGCAGTTCGAAATATGCCTGGCTTAGTAGAAGCGTTGACCTTGAACAGTGAACTTTCTGATCGACTTTTAATGCTGTCATTCGTCGATGTATCCGCATATTTGATGACCCTTGAAATGATCTGCTTACGTCTTCGATTTTTGAGTTCTTCTCTCCTGATTTATCTTGCTGCCGCTGTTTCGGATTTTTATGTATCCGAAGAAAATTTGGTACATATTTCTGATCTTTAAATTATTTGCTTAAATCCATTACTAACTGGTAAGGAGCGTCTCCTGCAGTGTTTAATATCGAAGAACGAATCCCGACATATGATTTCAGCCAGAGCACAAAATCCAGTCAAATCAAGAAAGTTTGCTATTGTCGCTCAACATTGTTCCAAAAATTTTGCGGAAGCTAGTCAGAGATATTGTACCGGAAGCATTTGTTGTTTCGTTTAAGGTGGTTACTATGTTCATTGATTTGTTTCATGAGAAGAACTTGCAACTTTTCCTTTCACTGTCCAGATGACTGGATATTGAACAGCAACCCACTTTGCATTTCAACGTACTATAGCTAGGTTTCTTTGATATCTTTCAACAAATCGAACACTGATCTACCTGTGGGAGTGGTTTTATATTAATTTAGCGACAGATCCTTAATTTGTATATACGACAGATTCTCCACCTTCGATTACTATTATTTTGTATTATTTTGTTAGTGTAAAATTTTTTGCATGTTTTATGGATGTTTAATTTTTAGCTAGAAACCGATGAAACGATATTGGTTAGTAAGGCGCGTCAGGCCCTCCGGAATTATGGACACCAGGTAAATTCATATCATTAAAAACCCGAACTGATTTTAAAAAATTTGTTTTAGAAGGGAAAGTTTTTATTCCGGCTAATGTGATGTCTCATGAATCTACTGATTTTTACCCGTGTTATCCATTACTAGAATAAGTTTAAAAGGATTTGAAGCCATACACTTCGCTCCTAATTATTCAAAATACCAGAATCCTCCAGAAAGAGCATATAAGCAAAGAGGCAAAGATCTAAATGAAGGTCGAATTTCGGGCAAACTGGATCAATAAAACTACTGTTCCTGAAGCAAGTTATAATTACATTTGGACACTTTCACTCATTGATATCATTAAAAGAATAGGTTATTGCATCTTTTCCGTATTCATTTTTATTCATCAGTTAAAAGGAAGAGCATATTTATTGCAGTTAGTAATTGGAAATACACTGGATACACGGAAAGAGCGGGTAATATTTGTCAATAACGGAAACAAAGAAGAGACTATAAGCTTGAGCGAAGAACAAAAAGCTGCAGGTGTTGAAATCGAACAGCCGATTGTTGATAAACTTGTTGAGATGCATGACAAATTACTTAGCACAAAATAACAAACAATAAGAATGATGAGTCTTATTTAGAAGATGGGATGAATAACTTAATTGTGCACGTCCTTTAATCTTATATAATCTTGATACTTTATATTTCTTGTTCTTTTTTTAAATAAATTTCTGTTTCTTAAAAACTATAGTTCCAGACTGAGTTGTCGATACGTTTTGGTGGTCTCTTTATTTAAATATAACATAATAACAGTTAGAATATGTAATGACAACCTATATCTTGTCAAAAAAAAATCATAGAGAATAAGAGTTGCCACTAATAAATCTGCTTTTTTCTGTTCCTAACCTCCACGTTGTGCAGGGAGCGGTGATGAGAAGAAAACAAGTTTGCTTTTTTAGAGTTCTTTTTTTTTTTTTTTTTAAATTATCGCCCGAGTGTCTGAAAGAATTTTGTCGCGATGTTGTGAAGAGTTATTAACACTTTTAAGATACATTTTTATTTGCGAAATGAAATGTGATTCACAAAAACTAAGCATAAATGTTAAAATCCTTCGAGAAGTTGCAGTCATCAAACAGGCACCGCAGTATCCTGAAAATAAAAAAGTGAAGAAAGAGTTCTGGAAGCACGGCAAGCACGACAAACTTCGAATTATTAGCGTATTTTATATTTCATTCCTGTTAACCGCTTAAACAAAAAAAGTTGCAATGACCAATTTCCAGAGCATTTCTGCAAAGTTCATTTGTTCTCTGTTATTTATTTGTTGATTATAAGAATGTTAGAAGAAACCATATCAAACATAAGCAAAAAATTTCCCTCCTTTTCCTTCATACCTTGCTTCACGATTTCACAATTCATATAATCTAATATGAAGTGCAATGTCTAATAATACTGTCGACAATACTATATTCAGCGATTATACGTTGTAGACATTTGATGTCGCACACAATAGCATGCAAGAATGGGGAACTAAAATTGTTATTTCTACTTCTTGTACTCATTCTCCTCACTTCCATACTCGATTATTATATTCCATTATGTAAATATAGAGAATTTCCTCAAACTAGTTTAGTCTTCCAAAGTTATAGAGAAAGAATACGGAATTGTGCAGCTCTAAAGTGTTAAAAATTGGGAGTAGAAACTCTTTAACACATCTAGAATCACACTGCACGGATAAAAGCATGCTAATGAAAACGGCAGTCGAATTTACCTGACAATGTTCAATCGCTGCCTGAAACTCGATCTGATACACTAGGTTCATGTTTCATATTTTATTTAGCCTAGCGCACCTAATTAAAGCATAAACCAAAATTAATACATTCCAACGAATTTGCGTACCACATAAATAATGAAGACTAACTTTGAGATCCCACAATGCGACTAAGCCATCTACTGCACACGTACTGAACTTCTGCATGCTGTCATTACGACCGCTGTGTGGTAGAATTTCTCTAAAGACTTGTAATCCGATTTAAATTTTTTACAAAAATACTAAATCATATTTCTTTACTTTAAATAAAATTAATGTGTGCAATTCGAGCGTTTTGAAGGATATATTGAAACAAAAGTCTAGAAATCCTCACGTAATAGCATTTTGATGCATAGTCCTTAGACGTATGTCCACAGCTTCAATTGCAGCATTTCGATCAATATTACGGAACTTCTGCATTGCACTATTAATATTTGCTGACTTTTGCTCTGATGGGATGTCAAGTTTTATTACGAATTTAAGTTGATCGCCTGAGTACATAAATAGCATTGGAGAATAGTCATGACCCTAAAATGTAAGTTATATTGTTGACACAGTTTTAATTCTCAACGAAAAGTAAAATGCAACAGAGAATGGAAAAACATACAGCTGCTATAAGACTATTTTCGGTGACCCATTGGACGGAAGTGAAAGGCAGGTAAACAGTACGCAGAATAATAGCTTCTTCTAAGGAACGATTGGTATCGATGACGGCAATAGTTGCGTCGTGAGCAACGTAAGATAATCGACAACCAGATGGTGAAAAAGCAACATAATGAATCCATCCGGAACTCTTCGCCTGAACTATGTCAGAAAAGTAAAAAATGCTATGACATGTTCCTGTCGAAATTTGTCATTAAAGTGAAATGTGGTGTCAAAAACTAAAAATTTTATAAACGAACAACATAATATGAATCAAAAATTTCGTTATATTTTAAAATGTTACGAAATGCCCTTCACCCTGCAAATTCAAACCATACTTCACACATCAAAGCACCAAAAGGCATTTTGGTACCCCATGGATTCGGTGAAGGCTTTTCATCCACTTCCTTTACATAAGCAGAAAAGACACGAGTCTAAAATATTTAGATCAGTTTAGAATGAGCACGATCAATAAAACATAGGGAATAACAACTTTTGAACCAATTTTTAACAAACTCAAATAAACAATTTTACAAACATCAATGTTTTGAGTAACACTTGAACATTTTTAATTTTTTAAGTTCAATCTTCTGCTCAGCATTACAAAAAACAAAATACCATAATAAGTCAGCAAACACAATGATAATTGGCAACAAATGGAAATCAGAAAAAGACTTTACAGTAACTACAATCATCGGAACTACCTTGAAGTCGCATGCACCGACAGCAAGCAAAACATTGTTGGGATGCCAATCAATGCAAGTAACCGTGGAACGAATAGGTTTCTTGATTTGTTTGCAAATCCACCAATCATTCTCCTTCTCATAATAGCAAACTGATACCAATTTAGCTCCGCTACCAACAGCAAATTTATTTTCTACAGGAAAATTGTTTTAAATTACTTAACATTTTTGTTGATCACCTTTTCCCTAGAGAACTAAAGAAATTTTCAACAACCAACAGCTAGTAGACAAATGCAGAAAACCAAAAGATCTTTTAAACGGCTGATCAAAATCAGAGAAAAATAAACTTGATTTTGCATTATAAGCTCTACAAATTCATCGACCAAATTCATGCAATGATGTCAGATCAACTTTAATTACAGATATCTTTGGTCTACGAATTTGATTTAGACAAATGATAACTCAAGGTTTCTGAAGAAAGTAATGTGAGAATGGTCCCAATTTCTTAAACTTACAGCGATCATCAAAATATCAGAACTATGGAAAGACAAACCATATGGCGACCATCTCACACATGTTGCTGCTCTCTGCATTCGTACAACAACTAATTCGGGTTTCCAATGCTCTCCATCAAAGGTCCATACAAAAGCATTTTTATCCTAAATATTGAAAAAAGAAATTAATCAACTACGTTAAAGAAAAGTACAGTGTGAAATAAAAAGAATCTTTTCTTCCCAAAGTAAAAAGTTTATAGAGGAAAATTATGAAGTATGACCTCTGTTATGTCGCTACCAATATACTGACAGTTGACTCCATTTTAGAAGTCTTAATAAATAGAAAATCACAGCAAATAAAATTGTTATTTTGATGATCACCTCACTGGGAAACGGCAAGTGTAGGATTTACCTGTGCACATGAAACGATACGATTGGTTTTTGGTGCCCAGTCTAGACCAGTTATAGGTAAATCATGTTCAGCCAACAGTGCTGCCAACGTCCATCGCCCATTTCGCCATTGAAATATATGAATTTCGTTATTTGATGGTGAAACAGCAAGCACTACGAATAAACAGTATGGCTTTAAAAAGTGAAAAACAACATTTAAAGATTAGAAAATATGCAAGTGAAATTCTAATGCCTTTCCCAAAAAAACAAAGCAAACATATGACCAACCTTTTAAGAAATTATATTTCCAAAAGATAAAACGAATATAATGGAAGAGCCAGAATATGATAAAGACTTTGTTTATGATGCCAAGGTTTAATATAGTGTTGTGTTCAAAAGCGGAGGGAATAGAAAAGAGAGGAGAGGGGAACGATGATCACAGACTCGATAAAAAGTCAATGTAAATTCCTATCTTTTCCAGTTTGGATAATCGATCCTTCCCTAACCCTTTAACGTTGCTGATGATCACCGATCTATGCACGAATGAAAAACAACAAACTTGTTCGATCTCGATTCCATGCATGGCACGATATCGGACCTATTCCTAGATTCCATTGCTGTACGGGAAACGTAGACATCCTTCACGCACAACTTCTCAATCTAAGAATAGTCAGAACAAACACATCTTACGATAACATATATCGTGTACAGATAAATTATGTAAATGAGATAAACAAGTTATACATGAATTAAAGCTAATCTGAAGTATATACGTCCTGTCTCTTTTAAAGTGTATTAAAAAGATTCAGAGTAATAACGGTACCAAACACCGGAACAACTATCGAATCAGCACGACCAATCCAATATATCCTTTCCACGACCTGCAAAAAGAGATGGAAGGGAATGAGATCTGATTGGAAACACTGTTGTTCCGAGATCGAAAAGAGCAGAAAATAGCGCTTAAATATGGGAGACGACAGGAAACCCCGGCATTCATAAAGGAAACGAAACATGGATCCTAAAGGGTTAGTGGTTAGAGAGTGAGATAGGGCACAACAGCCAAGAGTGAGTTACCTTCTCCCTGTCTTTATTCAAAAATCGAGAATTAGCCGTGTCTGAGCAGATTATTTTCTACACAAATCTAATGTGATTAGCTATCAATAAGCTCCCAAACATCTCATCTTGTGTCTAAATATCAATTGCCACTCATTACCCGAAGATTTAAATTTTTGGGCGACTGTCTTGGCTTAGGCCTGAAATTATCCTGGTTTAGCCCCTTTGAGCTCCAAGTCAGCCTACATACCGAGGCTTTCAGTTCAACTGTCTCATTTCAGTGTGATTCGAAACTATTTTAACTTGAATAGCAGTTTAACTTCAATTTCATAAACATAGTAATTGAGAAGTCACGTGAGTTCATAGCTGAAACTCATTGTTTAGAAGAAACTCTCTTTTCTTTTCATCTTCTATTCGACCCTTTCATATTCGTGGCCATTTATTTTCCTTTATCGCCAAGGACAACTCTCTCATGTTGTGGTGAAAATCATAGACTTTGTGCAAAAACGATTATAAAACAAGTTGATTTCATGCAAAAATGTGGATAACATTTTTAAAAAGCATATTTTTAATGGCACACGCAACAGATACTATTGATCATAAGTGACTTGAATAATCATACAGAATCATTTCGAATCCAGCAGTTTGTATACGGAACTCTTGTGTGAAAACAGACTTTAGTATGCAAAAACATATCTGTCGTAAACTAACTAATTCTCATAAAATACTTCAAAGCTGATGCCGAGCAAGAGTTGAGAAGAGTAACATATTTCCAAATATTCCAGTCAATGAAGAATTTTTATCTACTAACATTTCATCTCTTTGCGGCCAAAAAAGTTTAACAAAAAAAAAAAAAAAATATTCAAATGTAACATTCTGTAAACGTCATGCTAAATCCCGCTAGACATCTTTTCAGAGGTCCTTCGCTGCGCAGCTATTGCAGCCAAGCTTTTTTGCAGTTCTACCAGCACCGGTAATAGATTAATATTGTTTGAAACAATGTAAGCACGCAAAGTATCTATAGCTTGTGCAACCTGAAACTCTCAAAAATTTTTTATAGGCAAACATTTCACCCTTCGCCTTTTTGAGAAGGCTAAAACTGTTCAAGACTAGAAAGAAATAAAAAATGTCAGATTTATTTCGAAATTTCCTATCAATTTAATCTGATCTTTTCATTATTATCAAGTGAAAATTTTTGAAATGAATAGATCTAATGTATGAAATTAGTCAAACAGTTTAAACTTACCAACGCTTTTAGTATCAGTATTAAAATTTTACGCAATAGCGCTCAATAAAACATACCTCAATTTCATTTACACGATAACAACACGTTTCGAGTAATGCTTGAACTGATGATGCACCAATTTCAGAAGCATGAACTGTCGAAAGTAACAAATTTTGTTCTAAAACTGATAAAATTAATAAAAATTAATAATGGAAAGAGTTAAAAGAAATGGAAGTAAAAGTGGTTGGAGTGAAATTTTTGAACTCTAATTCTTATGGCCAAGATCTCCATTTCTTTAAATAGACTGAGATTATATTTTGGGAGGACTGCGGAACAAAATATGGTGGGCAATTATTATTTGAATAACGACTAAATGAAAGCTACAAAAATATGAAATCCTCGCATTTATCAAATATGATTGTTTAACTTCCAAAAGTTTTTTGATTACGAATCAAAGTTCTTTGATAAAAGACTGACATTCCGCTTGTTCATTCGTCTTTCAGCAGTATACTTAACCTAATTGAAAAGTCTATTTTTGAAAAAAAAAAAACCGGGAATATAGTAACGTAGCACACAAAAAACTCATATACCCGGGAATAGTTTTGTAAACATCCATATAATTTTAAGAGCGTGTTCTATAGATTTAGTAACGTAGCCTAAAATTATTGAAGAAAAGGACAATTAGAATAAAATACCTGGACTACGAAATTAGATTAACAGTGATTAACAGTTAGTTCTACTTCCAGGTTTTGGAATAAAATTGCAAAAATGAAACAAACCATTCACGGCTGATGGACCTGGTAAAAGTCGTTGTATATCTAATGGACTGGTTGTTCCAATTGCTACTGTCGCCTGAGTTGGACTTCCCACTACTTAAAAAATTACATAACTTATAAGAGATTTGGAAGAATTTACATTTTCGATAAATGAATATTATATTTACACTTGGAACAATCTTTCAAGAATATAAATAATAATATATTCTTCGCGCGTTTGCTCGTATACGTTATACCAGACTCACAAAGGTTATGTAGGTCACAAGTTAGTTTGAAAGTAGAATATTTTCGAAACTACTCTACACTAAGACTATAAATAAGCTTTCACGCTAACCTATACCGCTATCAGATCTATCAGCTGAAGCAAGAACAGCTGCATCTGTAGCATCCATCAAGAATTTATTTGCATCTAGCACAGTGGATAGCGAATTAGTATCTCGAGTGAGCTTTGGACTCGGTGTTGTTGACCGAGCTGAAAGAATCTGAATTTCAAGAAACGACCTGAATGCAAATAATCTTAAACAGCTTATATTGCTCGTATAAATTTTAAAAGGGTATTTCCGATAGCTTTTGTGCATGATCTTATTTTATTTGAAATAATTTAAAAAAAAAAAAAAAAAAAAAAAAAAAACATATTTTGAAATAATCTATTTTTTTTTTTAAAAAAAAAGGAACAATCTCAAAAGTCACGTGGAGCACTAGTTTAATGCTAGATATTAATTCTGAGTTTTATAATTTGAAAAAGCAAAGATAAATTAGAGTGGATAAAAGAAAACAACTGAACTAGAAGAAAATAATCCATAAAACCACATTTAGAGAATTTGTGAAAAGAAAAAAATACAGATTTTTATTTCCAAGCCATCATTTACGGAGTTCGCATCCTCGGGATCTGCTTCGTAAATCACAGGTTTTCCAGTCATTGCCTTGAGATCAATGCAATGGCGCCTTTTGAATGAATCTAACCAACCCTCGGAAGCTTTGAAACTGTGTAGACCTGAAACAATTTCAGTACCCAACCTTCTTAAAATAAAAAAGCTAATAGAAAATTTTCCCAACAGAATAAAGATTTGAAGAGCTTTAAAGGGTTAACAAAGACTTAATGATAATTAATAATAAATAATTATTAATATTAATGACGGTAATATTAATAATAATAAATAAATAAAAATATTAACAATAATAAATAATAAAAAAATAATAATGATAATAATAATAATAATTTAATAATAATAATAATGTGACAATAATTCTATGCGGTTGTTTCCTTAAATTCTTTCAGATTAGTTTCTTCAGCAGCTGATAAGAAAAGCTCAAAATAGAAGCCAGAATTTCGCTGCTTATACAGTCCTTCAAGATGTCTAAACTTGCCTAATTCATGTGCTATTTTCAAAGCCTGTTCCTTCAACTGCCGACCATTTAGCCAAATTTTTTGATCCCGACACTGGCAAAAATAGTTCCACATTTGCATATTCAAACGCACGTAAACAGTGCGGCGACGTTTTAATGTGAATAGGTCAGACCAGTTGGTGCGAAATATCGAAATACGATTTGAAAGCACATCAGCTATCTATAAGAGAACACATCACCTTACTTATTTGTTTATGGATGGTTTATCTAGTGATCGCACTTCTGCTAAGCGCACACGACATTTTGATAAAAACTTATAGCTTAAGATAATAATAGGCAACAAGTTTTCATTTAAGCTGATGAATTTTTCTCTAAATATTTTTTTCAAAATACCTGCAATTTGCTTACTCCATACTTTTCTTCGATTTCATGCGGTAACATTCCTGCATCAAAATCTACTAAAATCATATGTTTCTCTTCTTCGTTCAACTCTCTGTTGCTATTTGTTATTGTGCTGAAAAACTTCACTACATGTAGACCGTTAAGTTTGTACGGTATGCCATATTACTAATTTCTTTCAAAACTGAATATAAACAAATTAAATACCTGCATTCCAACATTCCATTCTCCTCTAACAAATTTTCTGTTTCTTCGTTTAGATTCCCAATTCCTTTATTGGAACCATGAAGAGCTGCTGATGACTGGGTTGCAGCTAAACCTTAAAGTATTTACATTTCGTGAATTACAATATATAAACATTTTCTGAAATTTAATTTCAGATTAGGAAAATGAAGTGAACTGGGAGATTAGACTCAATTATTCCCATGTAAAGCTGACATGAGCAAAGTTGCGAAGAAACCGATGAACCGACAAACGGTTCTGTCTCATCTTTTCCCATTTGCTCTTCTTCATTACAAGTATATGGTTGTGCAACAATCGGAGAATTGACTGAAGAAGTTGACGAATTCAGAATAAAATCATTCCGATTTGCAATTTCATACGTACTACTATCCTAAAACTTAATTAAATTATGTCCTTCGATTTCATGCATTCATAGTAATTGAAAAAAAGAAGAAAACCTTTAATCTTCTTAAATACGTGTTTGTACTTCCATACCGCAATGAAATTTATTAAAAATTTACAAAATGATACAAATTTACTTCTTTATATTAAGGAAAGATCTTAAATTACTTACGCTTCTCTCACCATCGTTTATTTCAGAACTAGGAGACATTTCAATGTCACTTTTCACAGAAGACACGAACCGTTTTGCAATCTGAAATTGAAATTAACTTCAAACTCACCATTCCAGTACAAAGTCATTAAATTTCTTTATTAAATCCCAGCAAAAAAAAATGAATGCATCTTATTCACAAACTAATTAAGGAAAAAATGGAAGGAATATTAAAAAAAAAAAAAGAGAAAAAATGGACTGGGACGGTTCTCAACCAAAAACTAGTGACATATTCAAACGGAAATAAAGTAAAAGTGATGTTCTCATACATCATGTAAATAGCAGTAACTTTTCAAAATACTCCAAACTTTAGAACTGTTCTTAAATTCTGAATTTACAAACAACACCTTAGTTTGAGGAGCATCAAAAAAGGACGTTCTGGAGCGTTTCCCCATCTTTGAGACCGATTTCTTCCTGCTCAACAAGGACTTACTCGGATGCTGAAGAACGGATTAATATTTAATTTCGGATGACTAAATCAACTTCAATCTTGAAGCAGCAAAATCATTTCCTGAAAGTTACTGAATAAATAGAAGATTTTAGCATTATTCAGAAAAAGCAAAGCAAAAAAATAGTAAGACTGATTAACATGTTTTGACTTTTCCAAACACACCGCTCTAGATGAATCATCATCAATCATAGCTATAACTGTAGTCTTTCCGGATTTCCGGTCTTCCGGATTGTCAGCTACTGGTCCTGCCAATTTCTGCTTCCCAATTTTTAGGACCTGAACGAAAAGACTACATTACAAACTCACTTCCGATACGAAGTTTTTCAAAAGATTTTGTAAAAAGGACGATAAAACAGAATACTCTCATATGCCTCCTTCCTCACGCCCAGTTCCGTCCTTCATCGTTGTCGGAAAACAAATCCGACAGACTATGATTTCTGATATTTCAGTATTTCAACAAAAATTTATAAAAAACGAGAGAAAGTGATCTTCTAAAAGAAAAAGCAAGAGAAATCCTGGTGGAATCCAATAGTGCAGTAAGTGCGCTGAGAAATTCACGCAGTGAGAGGGAAGGGTGAGGAAGTAGGAAAGAGTTTTAGTCTTATGCAAATTTGATAACTTTACGCACATCTCAAGAAAAAGTGAATTAGTTTGCTCATGCTTCATTTAAAACCACTGCTTTCTCTCCTATCCCGCAATTTCTCGATTCCCAAAGAAAAACCATCCTTGTTCCTCATTTCCTGAGCTCCTTTTTCTTTTCACTTCTCTTCCTCCCTCTCTTTCTATCTCGTATTCTCAAAGAAAAACTTTATCATACGAAGATGACTTATATTAGTTTCTCCCTATCTATCAATTATTTATAAAATAGATCAAACAATAATAAAAAGTGACATGTTAGATTTTAAGCAGCCAGAAATAAAGATCGGATGAAAACCTCAAAATAATTTGAATGATTACCGCATTTTTCCAGGTCATTTTATATCCCGTTTTGGATACAACGTTCGTTGTCTTAGCTGTTGACGCAGCAGCTGAGGATGATAATGGTGATGCCGAGTGTTTTCCGGGTCGCCGCATTCCTACCGAATTTTCAGCTCTAATCTACCATTCAAAATTGAGACACAAACTGGAACTTCTCTGGAAGTGTATGAAATTTTAATCTAAGTCTTACATTTTGAATAACAAATGTCATCTTAAACTATTTCTATGAGTATTGTCCTCTCATCGATAGAAGTACTTCTCCTCATGACCACTTAACGAAAGCGATGGGTTATCGTATTAACCTTTTTAATACCAAATATTCTTTTATTCCTCCGCTGATTAATTTAACACTGTCTAATCTATACCATCCTTAAGGCACAATCAGCTTATGTTGTTGTCTCGGAAGAAAACGCGGCGTCTTAACATCCATATGCAAAATACACACGTACAATGCAGACGTACGCACACGTGACTATTACCGGTAGCCGTAATATTACGAAGAAAGGCAGGGTGCGTCCCGTTGTTGAAATGTACATCCAATCCTCTGCAAAATAATTGAAAAGGGACGCTCAGAGAGAGAGGAAGGGTTAGGCAGGAAGAGGAAGAGAATCTCCCTTTTACTTCCTACTTTTCTCGACATCAAATACACTTCACTTTTTCTTGCCATCTCTGGATTTCGTAAACAACTTCAAATTTTCAAATATTCTTTGCCAGTCTGGCTCTGCTAGACAGGGTTCCTATAGGTCACGCCACAAGTTACATTCATTTTCGTCTCTTTTCTCTCACCCTCCCTCTCTCTTTTTCTCTAACAATTCTCCTTTCCTCTTCTCTAATTTTAACTCCTCATTTCCGTCTTCACCCTTTAAAAACATCCTCTTCTCTTCACTACCTCACCCTTCCAATCCCTGTCTCTTTCTCCCTTCCTCTCTCTCTCTCCTCTCTTTCTCTCCCTATTTGCTTCGACAATTCCAAAAAATTGCCACTGATTAAGCAGGTGAGCATTAGCAATGCCTTTCTCCAGATTCAAGGACTTCAATTTCTTCTTGCCATATTCTGTAATGTAAGCATTAAGTTCATTAAATCTCAGTTTCATCTAGCTGATGGAGAAAAGTGTCGAGTTGACATCATAAGTTTTGCCATAAGACTTCGACTTTCTTGACCTGACTTTGTGGAATATGCAAATTGAAATAAGGCACCCAATCCAGGCCACATTGTCCATACTTCATTCCCTTTCCCGAGGTATCTAAAATGTTAGATGACCTTTTGTGTTTTTAATAATATGATGATACTTTACCATTGTCCTTTCCATTTCAATTTTAGAACGCTGTAGCCACAAGAAACCTCTTATTATTTGAGAATGTCTAAGAAACAAAGAAACATGAAAGGTGGTAAAATTAATGAAATATGAACAATTTCGATGGGTCAAACAAAGCGTACAATAAAAATCCCAAAGGTACTAATTGACAGTGCACATTTCTGTATGTGAATCAATAAATATCATGGATGATCGCTGTGTAAAAGACTTCCCTGGACTACGTGACTATGTTTTTTTTCTTTCTCAAATCAAGGTTTTCATTGAGTGTGGACAGAGTACGGTTGACAGTAAAGATCTAGAGAGTAGCATTTAGAAAATGTCTTATTATGCTTTGTTCTATTTGACATTACGCTATAGTCTAAAAACACAAACCTTTATAAATGATATGCATACCCGAAATCCATATTGTATGTTGAAATATAAAGTTTCCTTCAGTTTCGCTTCAAAAATCATTTATGCAAGTCTAATTGAGCTCAATTGGTTACATTTACTTCGAGGAAATCCATACAAAAATTTTGTTCAGTGACAGGGAAGTAATGTGTTTTGAGGCCAATCACAAACTGTTGCTGCCGAATTCCACACCAAATTGCTGGGGCATTTCATCCTAATCCACCGACCTTGTGCGCATTGATAATATCGTCGACAGTCGGTCGGGTCAGCACTATAGCCTGATGGGTCACTGCTTTCCTGAAATTTGATGAAATCTGTAAAATTTCGAAAATGAACTTTGGAAATGGAGAATTTCTGGTAATAAGTTAGGTAATCTAAGGCTAAAGAATAAAATAAAAGGAAAATAGGCGGAAGAGAAAGAGAAGAGAATTCCTATGTGCTCTGAAGCATTCAAGAAAACTTTTTTTGCCTTCGGTAGCCGCAAAATGTTAACAAATGTTTTGGGATACTTACTTATATTGTTTATATTGCATGGAAGAACAAGCATTTAGACATATTTGACCTACAGTGCACGATAGTCCCACAGCAATATTTCTAGATTCAAAGCTTTGTGAATCTGGTCGTTGACATCTGCTCCCAAGAGCAGCAGGCACGCATCGATTCGACGTACCATTGAATACCTTACCATCGGGACAGGTGCGCTGTTTGAAATAACCACCATCACCAACGCAGGAGTAGTAATTGGCGCAGTTGGTTTCATCAGCACGCACTTCACCATGCTCACAAGGTAGTAGCGAAGCGGTTGGTAATTCATACGCTCTACTAGGACAAACATAATCCGCATGACAACACTTCAACTAAAATTTCGTTCTAATTCAAGAAATTAAAAATCAAAGTGAGATCATTGACATTGTGGCGTAGGATTCTCTTTTGAGCACTTTATCTTCCTAGAAGTCATGACAAATAAAATTCACTCACCTCTGGATTAAAGAAGGTATTAGGTGGACAGAACTGCAGTTCATAATGTCCGCTGATACATTCGTAATAGGCAGTGCAATCACTGCCAGTTGGTGCTATATCATTAGGGTTGCATTCTAAAATGCAGACGTACATCTTCTAGATTTCTTATTTTTGAAAATGAAATAAGAAATTTAGAAGATGAAATAGGACACGAAATGAATATTAAAGAAGAAAATGAGAGGAGAAAAATAGTGAAAATAAGAAATGAAAATTAATTTCTTTTTAGCTATCTATGGGGGAAATTAATTTAAATCAAGAAAAAGGAGACTACTAGATGAAATATTACCCGTAGTTGTTTGGTCATGACGATCAATGGAGTGCTGATTTTTTAGAATCATAAGGTCAGCAACATTTCGTGACTGAAAATGTTTTTTCAAGCAAAATAAAATTTCCAATGAAAAAGAACTGTTCAAGATTTCTGGAAAATGGGAACTAGACAAGTAGGACAAAGAGGAAAGAAAGCAACGTATCTATAAATTAATAACTGACATGGTAACAAATTTGGATCTTGATTTATTTTACTAAAAAGAAATTAACTTACTCGTTGAAATGATTGCAAATTTTGACTATGATATTTTGACTTCTGGTTTAGATTGATTGTTGTTTGACATGTCCTCTCGCATTGAACATTCGTTATTACGAGAAATGCAAATAGTACAGTAACAGACATTTTTCACTTGCTTAAAACATGAAAAACGAGATGGCTGTAAAGTAACATCAGTATATTACGTATTCAGGAGTTTTCTATGAAACAATCTTAAGTTTTAAGTAAAAGATGGAACAAAAATATTTCTTAACAGAAATAACATCACGGAATTTTTTTCGATTCACTTATTCGTTATGAAATTGGTTACCCTTTTTTTTTGAAAAAAAAAAGGACTAAAGAGATTGTGAAAACCTAAGATGAAACCTTTCCAAGGAGTCGATCGTCTTTGAATCTATTTCCAAATGCTATATGATTCTCAGTACACTTCTAAGTTTCGTTTTAATATTAAGTTATGATCTTCCATTAATAATTCATTAAGCCTAGAAAATCGATCTTGTCTTATTTAATTTGAAAAACAAAAATAAAAAAAGTATGAAATAGGGATTTCACAGTTTCTTTAAGCAGTTGAAGGCAGTGAGTAGTGTGGAAAATGAAGATAGTGAATAAGCTGGGTTGAACAGGCGGAAAAACAAATGCCATTTAGCATATCACATCTCGAAGTTTCTCATCAAAATTTAGTTTCAGATTGTTCGTGCGATGGCATCCACTGAATGTTACTAAGATACAGTTGCACAAATGCAACAAATTCAAGCTTATTTGCCACAAATTTCATTGCAAATCAGTTCGAAATCACCTTTCCCTTTACGACGAGTTATTAGCGTACCGTAACCTTCTATTTGTATTAATTTAACTTTTTGTATTAATTTAAGTGAAACTTTTAAACAGCTTTGCTGCACTACACCGTGAAACAATGTAATAGTGCTTCTTTCTTCATTTTAATGATCCTTCCCAACCATCATTGCAATCATTCAAGAAAGATGTACGATTATTTCTGATATCTTTAAGAAAATTTTTATAACAGCGACGAAAACTATCTTTTGATTTGTTCTCTTCAGCACAAAACAGTTCATAATGGATCATTCAATCATTGTCATTTACTATATCATGATAACTGATAGCTAATGTCTATATGTCTCTATTTGTCTAAAGACAAAGCTTATAAATTCAACCAATAGTGTAAATAATTGCTTCAAAAAATATACGATGAAAAAAAGTAAGAGTTTACTGGTCATTAAAAATAGCAACAATACATCATCTCAGAAAGCAATGTGATGATGATATTTTGATCACAATCACTGAATAATATGCAATGAGATGTTTTTATCATAAAGTAATGAATAACAACGTAACTTTAATGTAATATTCAAACTAAAAAATATAAACTTCATCCTCCGCAACAGCTCAGAAGTTCATTATTCTAAAGAGATTGTAATCGGTCATTTGGCCCTTAAATTATGTCTACAATAACTTTTTTAATGGTGATATTTAAAAAAAAAAAAAAAACGGCAGGCAGAATAATATGCTTTGCAAAATGAATGATATTTCTTAACGAACTTTTTAAGCAATTAACTTATTTGATATCAGAAGACATTAAACTTATTCATAGATAAATAAATGAACAGCTTTCACTATCTAATCTGTATGAGTATGAGACTTTACATGAAAAACTTGCATCAAATTTCAAAAGCAAATAGCATTATTACCATATGCTTTTCTTTAAATATCATCGTTCCCCGGCATATCGAAACGACTAGCGAACTGCTCCACTTTTTCCCCTAACTTATTAATATCTGCTATAAACTGCTCATTCGAACTGGTAAACACTGTCAAGTCTTTTAGTGTTTTGCCCACCTGCGACTCATATTTTACCAAAATTTCCACTCCTGCAAACGTGATTGCGCGATATCCAAGTAAAGTTATGAAGAAGTTAAAAAAGTTGCTTCCAGATTATTTAAAATTGCAATTATTAGTAGGCTATCTGCAAAATTTACAAAAATCTATACCTTCATGAATAAAATCGGCAACCCTAACGAAATCATTTTCTTTCATTCCTCGTGTAGTAAGAGCTGGTGTTCCAAGACGTATACCGCTGGGATGTAGAGCGCTCTGGTCTCCTAAAATTGAACAGCGAAAGATAAGTTGCAGCATCAGGTAATAATATAGTAATTTTTGACTTGGAATGGGACGATTAGCACATTTAACGAAGTTATCTAATTTGCATCGCTTAACATCGGCGCTTCCAACAGCAGTAGGCGAAATAGCAATGTATTCCTCATAATCTTAGTTCAAAAAAATGAACCTGGACAAGTATTACGATTGCAAATAATATTAGCTAAACTGAGGACATGTTCCACTTTCGCACCATCCAAACCTTTTGGACGTAAATCAACCAAGCAGAGATGAGTATCAGTTCCCCCTGAAGAAAAACAATAATTAAAACGATTTTTGCAGATTTCTTTAAAAAGGATACCTACAAAATGCAGTTACTCGAAAAAACGCTTTCTTCTTTCCAAAAGTTATCGATTTCTCCCTATGAAAAAAATTTACCAACTTCCCTTAGAAGGAAAAAAAGAGCGATTCGGGATACACTAAATCACTACCAATAGTCTTCAGTATGACTAACCATTTCTCGGCGTTTCCAGAGAAAAAAGAAACAGAATCAATATTTTAGCCTACTTTTTTAAACAAAAGGTTTGTGTCAATGAACGTGAGCTGTCATGAATATGCTTAGCAACTTGAATTCTTAAGTGCTATAGCACGTAGCTGTACCTGAATGATTTAATAAGTTCTTCATTTCTGTCTCCTTGTCCTCTCTGTTGTTATTTATCTACCATTTAGTTATCTCATGACTACAAAAAGGTTATAAAAACATTCAGAAGTCTTATGTTTGAAGAGAGAGTTGAGAGAACAACTTTGGGAAAAAATCAACTGTTGTCACAGTGGTTTGAATCATCAACAGGGAATTTTCAAGTGTTCAACTTTTTGAGCAAGGCTCGATCTCATTGCTATGCAAATTAAAGTATTTCCTTCATAAAATGTCATGAAATGAATACTTGAGCATTTAATTAAAAATAAGAGTCATAGAATTCAAAAAAAAAAGTGCCAATAATACTGAATTGCAATCCACCACTTTTTATGAGGTAAAGAATTTTCCTAAGAATGAATGAATGTGTAAATCATTTTATAGTAACTTTGTATATGTTAGATGAAAGAAAAGAGTCTGATAATAGTAAAAATAAATTTTAGCATCAGTGAATTGTAAATAAATTGGACATTAATAATAGTAATATACATGATAAAATCTTAAACAATGTTCAATTTTTTAATTTGCTTACCTAATCTATTGTCTATTAATAAACTAGTGAATGAAAGCAACCTGTAACCAAAGTATAGCCAAGTTCCACCAATCTATTTGCAAGTGTTCGAGAGTTTGACAAAATCTGCTTGCAATATTGAATAAAATCTTCTGTAAGACACTGATTTAAAGCAACAGCAATGCCTAAAACAGAAGATAAAATAAGCAAAACTTTCTTCTGTTTTTTAACCACTAGTTGAAAAATAAACATTAAATATTAACAGAAAGATAATAACAAAATGATGGCTGTTTATAAAGTAATGATAAAAATTTCAGCAATTACTAATTACGTAATAGAAAACGTTGACGAAGATGAAGATAGTGATTTGATTTAAAAAACGTTAATCATCACTGGAAAATGTTCAGAAATAAAGGAATCTGAAGTGCAAAATCTACCCGCTATTGTATGATTATGAGGTCCTCCTTGCAATCCCGGAAATACGGCAGAATCTATCCTTTGTTCCAAATCATACATCACTTTCTCACCTTTTGGAGTTATTTTCTTCAAGCCTAAATAACATTTAAATTTAAACCTTCAAAATTCTTAGAAAGAAAAAAAAAAGAAATGAAAATATGCATGTAAATAGCAAAAGTGACAACCTTTCCTGTAAAAAATCAAAGCCCCACGAGGACCCCGAAGTGATTTGTGAGTCGTTGTTGTGATGACATCAGCATATTCAAAAGGTGATGGAATGACATTTGCAGCAACCAGACCCGAAATATGTGCCATATCAGCCAATAAATAAGCACCACATTTATCAGCTATCTTACGGAAGCGACTGTAGTCTAGCAAGCGTGAATAACAACTTGTTCCTGAAAATCACAAAATACTGTTCGTTATTTTGCCTTTAAAATCGCATCAAATATTTTTTTGCCTTACATTCCAAATCAAAAGCAGAATTCACAGTAATATGAAAAAAAAAAAAAAAAATGGAAATTCGGTTACTAGTAATGTGTGGTATGTTACTCAATTGAGGAATAAAAGATTGAATTTACCCGCTACAATAATATTTGGACGAAATAGTAATGCAGTGTACTCTAGTTGATTGTAATCGATGTAACCAGTTTTGGCATCAACTTTGTAAGGCATCGACTGGAAAAATAAGGACGACGATGAAACTTTTCGTCGAGGTGTAAAGAATCTAGAAATTTCATATAAAGTTAAGCAAAACTAAATTTTGATTATCAACATATATTTCCAAAAAGGTGAACAGAAAATATTTCCATCCAAGATTTGATTAGAATAGTATCTGAAAAGCTTCTGCTATTCCTTATGTAATCTGCTTCATTTCAAAGAACAACAGATTAGGTTTCTGGAAGAAAAACAGATTATGAATTAGAAATCGTTATAAAGCTCCATCACAAGCAACTATAGTGGATTCGGTGCTTGATTAATGGAAAATAAAATTGGTCACTTTGTGTGATCATAATACACTGAACCTATAAATTTCAATTTTAGTTATCTCCAGTTCGTTTTATTTAATTTATCGATAATTAAAAGCTCAATTTCCTAATCCCCTAATCTAATATAGGGATCTTTACCCATGGGTCAAATGTCCACCATCAGGCAAATCCAAACCCATAATTCGCCCATTTGGTTCCAGCAAGCCGGTATAAACAGCAAAATTTGCTGGTGAACCTGAGAGGGCTTGCACATTGACACCCCACTTCTTATCATCCAAACCAAATACCTGAAAAACAAACTCTACTTATTATAAAAATAATAATACAACATAATACTTGATCATCAAAATTTTTCTTAACTCTACCAAGAAATTAAAACATATAGCAAAGCCGTAGCTAAATTATTTTTTCAAAAAGTCTTTAAAGGAAAAATTACTTTAAGAAGTCAGAAGGTTAAAGAGAAATTACAAGTTAAATGCATTTCAGTAAACAAGAATCAATGTACACCTGAAGAGCACGACTTCGACATAATATTTCCATTTCATCAATAAATTCATTCCCTGCGTAATATCTAAAAAAGTTTTGTAAAAAAGGAAATTTTGTTTTCATATTTTATTAGCATTAAAAATACCAAATGAAATCAATTAGGTAAAAAATGGAATTAAACAAACAATTCATTTACAAAAGGTTATAAAAAATGACGAACCTGATACCAGGATAGCCTTCTGAATATTTATTTGACATTGAAGAGCCTAATGCATCATGAACAGCTTTCGAAGTGAAATTTTCACTTGCAATTAGTTCCAGTCCTCGTTTCTGCCTTTCCTTTTCCTGTAACATTTTATAGAAAAAATGTTAAGCTGTGAATATAAAAAAATGCAGTCATTCAAACCTTTGCACAAATGGGGTTAAAGAGTTATTCTAAGATTGAACAAACAAAGTGATGTGAAGCAAAAAACCAAAGTAAAAAAAAAAAAAAACAAAAGCACTCATTTAATTCGATTTTTCGCTTTGCATTTCTTTTTTTGGAGAAAAGCTAAGTCCTTACAAAACAAGAAATTAAAAAAACTATCTTTTATTTTGGGATGTAAATCGCACAATATCGAAGTATGGAAATAATCTCAAATTATTCAAACCATATTATTTCTTACTGGATCACAACCTTTAAATTTTGAAAACTGATTTGAATTTCATAAGAAAACCTTTTGCATGATTTTATAAGCTTCGGGATCAGCAATACTCAATGAATCCTTCAGCATATTTCTTCCAGAATAATGCATTCGTTCTATTCCTTTGAGCGCTGTAAGTGGTAAAAAGCAGGTGTTCATTGTTTTGGATAATAATATCACTTCCTCTTTAACACCTTCCAACCACTGAAAATTCTGACTGAACTTAAAGCAAGGATATTTGTTCAAATCTCAACAGCTTCAAATTGAAGTGGCAAAAATCTGATAATATTTTTCTTCTTATAGATTATCCAATCTTCAAGAAAAAAATGTTTTATCGCGAGAAATTTGAGTCCAGAAACTAAATCAGTCAATTCCAGCAGTAAACCCCGCACTACTTCCAGTTCAGTTGATCTCAACATTTCAAAACTTTTCTGCCGGCAACAAAGTTACGCAATCAAATTCGTTACTAGGTGGCAGTGAAGGTTCCTGGAAATAAGTTTTGGTTGTCGCGGAGAGGTGCCAATAAATTTTACAGCAATATTTAGACGATTGGTAGGAGCAGAATAACAGTGGAGTAGCTGTGTGCAATTTATTCCCATCGAGAATTTGCTAGTATTTTTTCTAGCGACTTTTAAATCTCCGGAAGAAATCGAAGCGGTGATGCTTCAGATGGGTATAAATTAATTCTTTGATTTTCTCCGTGAGTGGGAGGAAATATCTTGATGGAAATTGACAGTATTATTTTAACAGTAATTTTTGAAGATATTTTGCAGATTGAATATTTTGATCCAAAATTCGAGGAAAATGCTTGAATTTAGACATGCTTTGGGCTATTTCAAAAGCGGATAGGCTGATATTTTCTAACGTTAGTAACAATGAATATAATATTATTTGGAATTTAGGAGGGTGGAAATATGACATGATGAGGGCGAGAAATACAAAAAGCAACAGGCCGCATTTGTTCGCTCTGTTTTTATGTGTATCTGTCAGTAACAAATCATTAAGGAACACAAGCAATAGGTAAGGGAATCACTAACAAATTTAACTATCATCATTTGCGCGAGATGATTATCATTTGCTTAATCTTTTTTTTATTAATCTTTATTAAAACTTAATCTTTTTTCATTATTTTATGAAATCCTGAGCGATCATGATGTAAGTGACAACGAATGAGTAATATCAAAAAACATGACAGGACAGGCATGAAAACAGATCTTTGGGTTGGTTGATTCAAATCAAGATTTTTGAATCATTCAGATGAATTAATTGAGGGATTTAGTATTGTGTACTTTCTTACTTTCTATGCTGTTGTCTTTTCAATAGACTGTTGCTTCTGGAATGTGTAGCTCACTTCCAAATCATTCGCTTATGGTTATTTTGGTGATTTTCAACTTAATGTTCGTTTGTCTATTTGTATTCTGAACATGTGATGGAAATTTAGGTATTTCAAATTCTAAACTGATACAGTGGTTCGTCCCATATTATCTTTGAATCAAGAAAAAGAAGATTAAGAAAGTCGAGAGCGCATTAAAAAGGGAAAAACATTCATTTATCAAGAAAAAATAAGATTCTTGTTGAATAAAATTTAAACGAAGATATTAGTAAAAAAAAAAAAAAAAAAACTTAAATAAATGAAGTCAAAGTATTGAAGAAGGATCTCCACCTGTGCATTAACGTTAAGTTATTACCAAAATCTCTAAGCCGTCAAACAAATCGAAGGGAAAAGATTGCTAGTTCTACCAGAAACCTATAACAATAATCTCACTAGCATATAAGTCCCCTCAGAGGAATAAGTTCGTTTTACGCGAAATTTTCAAAATTGATTTATTAAAAAAGGAAGCACAGGAAATGGACATAAGCTGAACGCATTGCAAATTACTGCTTTGGATTGATCATTCTATCTGCCCGGTTGAATGCTCTTTTCACATCGGCACTGTCGAACACACGTTTCATGTAATCTCGAAATCGTGGATCTAAAAAGGTTTGTCTAATACAAAGAATGTTTCTTAAGAATGGTTAAACATAATTACTGATGACAGACTAATTATTCCTTTTCTTCTACATCCAGATCCTCTTTTCTATAATGGAATGACAATAATATACTTCTGATCAATTGTGCTATTTCCGGAAATGCTGCTTCCAGATCATTTTTTGCTGCCTCGCTCAAATGGTCATATATTTTAAATGTTTCATTCACAAACGACTTCATTTTCATGAACGTTCCTTTGGGCGCCGTTTGTGGATTTGTGAACAGTGAAATATATTTATCGCTAACCTGAAATAAAAACGCTATTACTTTGGAAATAAATTGCCTACACAACTTACACGTCATGCATATTTTTAACACGCTGAAAATTTTAATGCGCGTTGAAAATCAGAAAAAAGGTCGTATAAATAATTTTTACTTTAATAACACAAACCAAAACTAACTTTTTTAGTAAAACTTTTGCTTTCTGGCTTTAAACGTTCAATTTTGTGCGACAAATAGTTCTGCACGCCCATTACTTTCTGATAAGCATTCTCACTTTTCCTCTATAAAAAAGAAATTTATTGCTATATTGCGTGGGAAAGGAGTTGATTTGTCTATCAAAAGAGATGGAGTTGTTTAAAGAATCTATAATAGCTAACTTTCAGGCCTTCCAAGAATTCTTTTTCGGTATCAGCCGTCAACCGACTTCGAGAAATGTTTCTGGTTAATTCTAAAAGCGCACTTCGATCCGTATCGTTCAGATCGCCGAAAAATGTTAATAGACTGGATGGAATAAATTCTGAAAATTTCCATCAGAGCTTTTTAAAACATACACTCCATTATGCTTTCCATTAGTAGGACTGTTTAATTCTTTCCGCCGTATTTCTAGTGACAACATCACCGGAAGCGGAAGATGGATTAATTTTCTCGTTAGATACCCATCTTTAGAGTCCTCTAACTTGCTTAAAGAAATTGGAAAGTTTGTGAATCGAATTTCGTGATAGCCAATTTTAAACATTGAAATCATTTAATTAAGCACTTTAGAAATCAAAAATTTTGACCGCAAATCTAACCAAGTAATTCGATAGCCAAAGACGTGATATCAGTTCGGTTGGAAGCAAGCTTACCAGTCGGTCTACATGTCGATAATTTCATAAAGTTCAGTAGTATCAGAGATACTATACAATGATACCGCAACATTCCGTTAAGTTGTAAAAAAAGCTTCGTGATTTCAGGAGATAACTGATCTAGTAATGAAAAAAGGCAACTACCAGAGCAGTTCTAGGAAGTCATACAACGGATAGTAAAGTAATAATAGCAGCACGGGGAATCAAAGAGATGAACGGATGGTTCTTTGGGTTGTCTGCAAACTGAATCCCAAAATCGTGGATTTTTTCCAGCCGGGAACGCAAATTGCCATTTTCCTCTGAATGCCTGGCTGAAACATTGCTTTTGAACTAGCCGCTGATCGAATGTGGCTTTTAGGATTTTAGTGTGCTGGTGCCGAACAGCTAGTTTCCAAATCATGATATATTAGGGGCTATTGCTCCTTTTTAATATGCTTTAGTTAAAATTATAAGCTGCTATAATTTAAAATTTAGCGGAGTGATCGGAAATAAAAGCAGCACAAGAATGATTCGTAACTTTAGGATCAATGATCGTGCTACATTTGCAATTATGGACAATTATCGCCGTCATTCAAACTTACAAAATATTCTTTCCCTCTTTCAGCTATTCGTTTCACTTTTAATAGTCGCAGTTGCCTAATTGAGATTGATAGTTTTTTTTCATACTTTATGTCGGAACTCAAATCAATATTAGAAAATTAAAGTTGCTGACGTACTTTCAAGAAGTAATATCATCTTATGAGAGATAAATACTCCTTCGTTCCTAATAGGATCATAGATGTTTTTGAAATGTGACTGATATCATCATCATGCAGGTCATATTTTATATCTTTTTAAAACGAGGCCAGAATGAGAACAAACAACGAAAGTAATTTTTGCAAAACTTGATGGTATTTCAAACCAGAATAGTCTTTATTAAAAATAATAGTGTTCATCAACTGTTCAAATTGATCCTTTTAATTAATTCACATCTAATTGATATCAAATCACACGGAGAAATTTTATTCATTTATTTACTCCTTATAACTTTTTTGATAAGCAACAATTCATCATCGTCTGATGGATATATAGTAGTTGTTACTAATTTGTTCTTCTCAAGACGAGTGCTGTCCTCTGCATCAATATTTGCAGGATCTTCAGGTCCGACTAGTTGTGAACTGGGAAAATCTTTTCCTGAATCATCCAGAATCTGATCAACGGTTGGAGTTGTAGTCGATGCTCTGAAGATCATATCCAGTTCAGCCAGTTTCCGCAACATCAAACGAGTAATATCGTCTGAAAATGATTTTTACAGTTACATAAGTGTATTTGCGAAAGGGAAAAATAAAATATGAGAAAAAAAAACGAAGAATGTTACTTGTAAGATATAATCCAATAGTAGGAAAAGCTTTAAGAATATCATCCTGAATTGGTTTTGATAGTCCATCAAACATGTCTATAACTTCCTTTCCATATCCTTTCAATGCTTCAAGAATGTTCATTATACCGTCTTGACTAAAAGCTGCCAAAAATCGTCGCAGTAGCTGTAAATCCTCAAATTTAAAGTAAAGTTGTTCAATTTCTTAGAACTAATTTTCATAATTGAAAACAAGATTTATGAAATCTATACTAGAATCTCGAGAAATTACATTTTCAATGAACAGTCGACTTTCCGGTTGCATAGTATCCAATTTCTTATTAATTACGTCCCTCAAACCAATTACCTTGCTGAAAAGTTCTGCTGCTTCATTCTGGAATATTGGTTTAGTTTTTACAAAGATATAATAAATTATTTCATATGTTTTCATAATGTTATGCAAGAGATAACCTCCAGGTCTAGGAATCGAAATATGCAGTATATTCCTGATTTTCCTTTAAAAAGTTCAAGGATAAACAATTGCAATTCCTTTAAAATTATTTAAGAAAATTTTACAAACAATGTTATGAAAGTTTTACCTTTAAATTATCCAAAAATTGGACATCTGTGAATGAAAAATTGGTAGCACTAGCTTTAGCGAATTTTTTTAACTGCGCTTTTTCTTCCTCATTCAAACTGCTATAGAAAGTTCTCAATTCATATTGTACGGACTCTGCAAAAATACAATGTAAATGAAATATAAGAAAAAATGCACAGCGGTCAGTAATGACTGTTTAAACCATTAATTGATAAAATATATACTAATTTTGTATTTCTAAGAGCCTTTCATTTCAGCTAAAAATTTGGCTTAAATGATGGTAGCAGGAAAACTTATCTTCGTAAGCGCTGTCGGTTATAGCGGTATGATTAGTAAATGCTGGGTTACCGTGAACTTCCAATGCAGTCTTGGATATGCAGAAAATTGCGGCGAAGAAAAATTTTACGATCATAGGGATAATTAATTTCCTAAAACATCCTTAATTCCAAAAATGCTTTGAAATTTTAATCTTATGGCCTTTAATAATCTAACCTTTGCTGATTAAGCAATCAACTTCTAAATCTGAAAACTCAAGTTTCGATTTCGTCGAACTGGCTTTTTGAAGATCAAAGACCTTGAAATTGTGTTCAAGCCATAACTTCAAACCAAAATCTAAAGACTCGAGACTTTCTTGGTCTCAGAATTGTCCATGTATTTGTGTGCAATAAAGAACGTAAGCTAGTATAAAATTTATATTTGTTTTGTTAATTAAGCAATGAAATCGGAAATTCTGCAAATCAATTGAAAATGAAATAATTCTACTAGATTATGTAACTTTGAGAGCAGCGTTAAAATGAAATTAAAAACAATTGTTTCTGAACAGCTGACATCTATCGTTTCCCCCTTATTCCCTGCTTCTTCCTTTCAGACTGTTTTCTAACCAGTAAGACTTCAAGTAATTTATGACCATACGTAAGACTTTTTGTTAAGGAAAAATTTGTGAATGAAATATGATAACGATCACTATTTTGAATTTATTTTCACCACTTATTTTCTTTCCAGCTCTTCCTTTTTCTAGCATCTATTTTCAGGCATTAATTTGGTTGATCGACAAAATCCTTTTGGGTCCATGCAAAACTGATAACCATGAGACCATAAACACATGATATGACCATAAGCACATTCTAAAATGTATGATCATTCCAGTAACTCTTCCACATTTACTTTTGCTCATTTATGAATTTAACAGAATTAACTTTAGCTTATTTTTATGAAAGCTTGCGAGATTTTTAAATTGTAGTGTTCTCAGAGAAGACCATATCCAAGGGACCTTTACGGTTAATCAGCTATTTATAACTAACAGGTCATTAATCCAATTTCTATCTTGTCAGTGTGAACCTTCGAAATTTCACAGTGGAACGCGTTGAGAAAAGCATCGCTTTCTGTGTTTGGTATGAAGCGCACTTGTCCATGGAGAATTTCGGCACTGACTGGACATTAATAAAGAAACACTTCTGTTTTGTGTGATAGCATATCTTCCACTTATAATGAATATGAAGTTTTTGTCAAATTTTGAGATTTGTTTATGCTTTCTCTTAGTTATTATAGTGTGTCATAGATCGGTTTCAGTTCTAGTCTGGCATACTGTATTAGTACTTTTCTTGTAAAGCTATCATCTTTTTAGCATGTTATCCTATTTGACTCTTAACCCATTATGATTTTATTCAAATCATATATTTCATGTAATCGATTTGATGTGTCAGTCACTCAGAAATGTACCACTTTCAGTAGCTTCACACGTCGTACATATTTAATGGCATCCAGGAAGACGCTGAATCGACGGCCTCGTCCGCAACGAGCAACCAGCAATGTTTTTGCTATGTTCGATCAAGCTCAAATCCAGGTCACTGCTGCTTTATGGTTATGTGAACAGGTTGTAGTCTGTTAGAGTTTTACTGGTATATACTTGATTTGTTGATTTACTTTTTTATGTTATCTCTTGTTCAATTTCTATCGTATGTAGCTAATAATTTACTACTTTCTTTAACACTTGCATAAGCCTAATATATTCCATGTTACATTAAGGATTGAATTAGTCTTATTCAGTTGTGAAATGATAAGTTCTCATGAATAAAGTTTTCAGGAATTTAAGGAGGCTTTTAATATGATCGACCAGAATCGTGATGGTTTCATAGACGTCCAAGATTTGCAGGATATGTTTGCATCATTAGGTTTTTGTCGTTAAGCAAATACGCATTAATTCTCGAAATACATATTGTTGTTTTACCCATTTTAATCAGCAAATAAAAGATTTATTTATAGGGAAAGAAGTAAATGAGGAATTTTTGGAAAAAATGATCAGTGAAGCTCCAGGACCAATCAATTTTACTATGTTCCTTACATTGTTTGGTGAGAAATTGACTGGAACAGATCCGGAAGAGGTTATAGTTTACAAAACATTGATCTACTTGTTTGTGGGTTACTCATTCTATATACATATATCGACTTTGATTATGCTACATTGTTTTGGTTAGAAGGCATGCAAAAGACGCGTTCTTTGAAGAACACGAAATTCATCTCTTAGAATCAAAGATTTGAGCAGAAATATCTTTGTTATTATGACAACAATTTTTTTTATTTAGGTGATCAAAAACGCATTTCAATGTTTTGACGTAGATAATAGTGGTTTGCTGAACGAAGATCGCCTTCGAGAATTGCTAACTTCAATGGGTGATCGCTACACGGATGAGCAGGTGATTTTTAAGATCTGTTTAACTTATTTTAAGATTTTGTAAAAGTTGCAGTTGAATTGATATCTCGTGTTGTCAAGTATCATTTGTTGAATGTTGCGTATTTTAAACATCGTCTTTCACGTTCGGCTTTCTCGTTCTATTTATCTTCGGTGCATATCCTTGTTCCGTGGTTCCTTTTCCTCTTTGTTTTCTCTATTTACGACAGTTTTAAACAGAACGTTTGACAAAAAAATTATTTTGGAAAATAACTTATTTATGATTAATCGTATTCATGAGATTTATGTTATATTCAGTGCTTACTGTAATAGCAGTTTGTTTGTTAAACAATATCTTTAATCGTTCAAATACAGCTTAACAACATTTACAGGGCTTTTACTAATCACATCTGTGCTATCCTGCTATATTTTATCAGAAAATTGATTACAGGTGGATGAACTGTTTCGCGATGCGCCAATCAGAAATGGTATGTTCGATTATGTCGAATTCACTCGAATGCTTAAGCATGGTACAAAGGATGACGCTAACTAAGAACTACTGTTTAAGATTCCGTTCTCATCGTTAACAAGCTATTTTTATACAATTTTTTTATTACTGTGGTGTCATGTTTTGCTTTTCATTGCTTCTATTGCATGGATACTGATAATTCTGAAACTATCCAATGGGAAATAAAAGCTTAACAGAAGAAATCAAAAGACTGTGAGGTGATGAACGTAACATATAAAATGTAGTACTGTAACGACATTTCGATTTGAATGGTATTAATTTTCTGTTCCACTGAAAGAATTAAGACGCAGTTTTATGCATATTTTTAATACTTATTGGTGATAAAAGGTCATTGCCTTATGCCCTACCACTTGCATTTTTAAAGACTGTTGAATTATGGATATATAAGGGTGCTAAAAACCATGTTTTTATTTGATATACTGGTTAGTTCAGTACATCGCAATTTGTTGTATTATTGTATTTCTCGTTCTAGAGTTTATGCTTCATTTTTGTGACTCATATATAAATATTTTAATTACACAGATTTTTTAGCAAAATAAGATGAAAAATAATTTTATGAGTAAACTGCTGCATTTCGAAAACTGGATTAGAATTTCAGAAAGGAATAAGGAATCACTGAGATCAGGGATAATTTGGCACTTGATTTTCACTATCTGCAAGGATAACTGAATGTCGGACTGTTTTTTAATTCGAGTCTGAATTCATAATTTATGGTCGTGCACTTCATATATTTTTTTCATCTTAATGAGAGTTTTTTACTATAGAATTTCTTTTGTTGCACCACCAGAACTGAATTTTAATAAGAGTTCTTGAAGTGTTGGATTGGATATAATTCATAGGAAGATGAGTCATCTAATCAGGCTCAATTATTCTATATAGCGCAGAGAAATGACTAGTAAATTCTATTGTATTTGGACTTGTTATTTTTTGTACTTGTTAGCAATAATAACGAAGTTAGTGAAGAGCAAAAGAATGAAAAGGTGGATGGTCCCCATTTATATAGGCAGTTATTACTCTTCTCTGCTCACTTGATTTTTAATGGGTTCTGCACTAATTTGAATATATTTAACAGTGTATACCAGTCCTTCTTTGTTTATTCAAATTTAAGTTTGCTGTTTTCGTTTGTTGCTAGAAAGCTTACTTCTTTGATTGTCATAACTATCAGCGTATCTATAGTCAAACATTTTCATTATCTTAGATACACTGCTCAGAATGAGATCTAAAGGGTTAAAAGCTAAAAACCTGAAGTGCATTAATAACCTGTAGAGTTGTATTTTAACTTAGTAATGTATTGAGAATGAATACAAAGAAGTGTTTACATTGACTTTCACTTCCTGTTGACAAATATAGTATGTTTCTATCCTTTCTCATCACGCTAGCATCAGGAGTCTTTAATCAAATTTCAAAATATTCTAACTATCTACTTAGAAAAGATGATGTTTCATTGCTTGTTACGCTGTTGCCATGAAAAATGTTGTTGTAAAAGTTCCAAAAGTGTAATATTTCAGGCTTCTCCTTATTACTACTATCTTTTCATCTTTTCAACACTTCCAATTATCACAGAGCACACTATACATATCAGTGATGTCAAAGCAGGCGATGAAGGCAGCAAATAGTCACCAGGAAGAGGACAGGGAATAGTCCAATCGATGCGTCATTTTGAGAGGTATATGTTATGTGTATGTTTATATGCATGTGTTTGTCCTCCTGTTCCGGTTAGGGATGGCAGGACGATTTCCATTCAACATATAAAAATAGAGAGGAATAGTGAGCGAAGAGGAGAATGATTGTTTGTCGTAATTTTTAAGGCCAAACAGATCCAAACTTCACAAGCCTATGCTCTGTTTGCAGTGTCTCTCATCATTTCACTAATGGAAATCTTTGGCCTAATGCCTACCCAATCCTTTGCACTTAATTTCCATTTGCAATTGCTACTGCTTTGGCTTATCTACTTCGACTTGGCCTTATTCATCTCAATGGAAAGGTGTTGTTATATTGACGACAGTCGGATCTACTTATCACAAAACAAACGATACCGTCAATAATTACCGGAAACGTTGCTAGCTCAAAATTTCCCATTTTAAAATTCTCCCTTTGCATTTGCACATGGCATATTTTAAAATTAGATTCTCCGTAATAAATTCAGTGACAACTTTTCCACCCTGCTTTTCGTGATGTCTTCCTAGATTTTAAGCTTCAGTAATAAGCATAAAAGACGAGATGACAATCTGCAATAACCAATGAACTAATCCATAATTACCATATAGGAATGATCCTATCTGACAGAGACGAGCCTCGATTCTAGATAAATCTTAGATATTCTTTTTCATATGATCCTTGCAGATGAAACTATTTGAATTACCTGTAATTTTCCTGAAAAGTTTTCTGTTCCCACTTTTTTGAACAATTCATGACTGTGGTTTCACTTACCTACGTTACCTGCTCAATATTTACATGGTTCCCCTTCTCTCTCCCGTCTTCCCTCACATCCTTCCTTGCATAAATTTACCTAATTTGCAGAAGTGATCCCGTCAAAAGCCGGAAATTTCTTTGCAGATTTCATAAAGAGCTCTTTGCTCATTTACTTATCTTTTTCATTTTGATCACACCAGAAATTTAATTCAGATATGTCTTATTTATGATGAGCTAGCATGACTTGTTTTGCAAGTGGTCCAACTCTCCACAGTAAAGGAAAGAGAGTAAGGTTCCAATTCAGTTAAGCTGCACTATCATTTCTTGCATTGCTGTAATTGACTTCTGTTTCATCGAATTTCTGAAACATCGAGAAATTTCGGATTTTTCGCAAAAGTATTCCATTCATAAAGGCAAAATAGTGCTCAAATCTCGAATTTTCTAATCCAGGAATTGAGATGTCGTCTAATTAATGATAATATCAATTTAGTGACAAATTCTGCCATTATTGATTGATGAGATGCCTATTCTCATAGTTTTCTCTAGAGATACAAATATATATCTGTGAAACATTATTCAAAATGAGTTAACAAAGGGATATATCAACAATTGGATCCAATAAACGAACAACTTTTTCATCAACATTTTCCGAAGATAACAAGAAGCTATGAATATAAGGACCGTTTTCGTATTTACAGTCACATATATTAGTGTTTTTTAATTTCCAAAATTGCTTTATTCTTTTGCTTATCCTCTCAAAAATACTAACCTTTTGCTGTTTTCTTAGGTTTATCTGTCGCTATTTTAGACTGAATATCGCCCACATTTTGCAAAATTTTCTAATATTAATTCTTTTGCAACTTTGTTACTTCCTTTTATTTGTTTATTTGCCACTATTTTTATCAATTTAGTATTTGAAGAATCATTAATAATTTTATTTTTATTCAGAACTTACATAGATATTTATGTCACTTGCCTTTTACTTGTCAACCTTTTCCTACTGTCTAGGAATTGTTGCTTTCCTAGATCAGCAAATTCCATTTGCTGCACTTTTTTCCTACTAAGTTCAGCAAGGTGAAGTAAGACAAACAGATTTTTTTATTCTAGTAGAAGTAGGTGAAGGTTGTAAATGACGATCATCTCTCAGATTTTCTGTTGAAATTTTGGCAACAGAAATTGCTCATTTCATCGAAATTCAAAAAAAAAAGTTTGATTAGACTCATCAATTGATTTAGAAGTATCGAAACTTGGATGCATTTCTGGTTATCTGACTTTTACTTAATAAATTTTACTTACATATTGTCTGTTTTTTTTTTTTTTTCGATTTTTTGAAGGAACAAATTATGTGGTAAAATCTTAATTTCTTTACGACATCATTTCTGTAGTTTTCAATGTCTTCAAATTTCACATGAATAGCTGCAGATGGCTCTATCGTCACCATCAACCACAATATTCAATCTTTCTAAAGAAGATCTCAGCTCGATTTTGCGAACTCTGAAACCAGCAATCGGTGAGGCAACTGCAAATTCGATGTCTGTTTGTGAACTTCGAGCCCGTATCACCGAATGGCTAATGCTAAATGATTTATCAACAATGCATGATTTCAAACATCTGGAAAATTCGCAACAGTGGAAGGTCCCTGATAGAGCTGATCACTGTATATCATGTGGCAAATACGCCGTTACTTCCATCGGTAAGCTGTATGATTTCAAAAAACTTCAAAAAGATGTTGAAATTCTCAAAAAAGTCCATTACGTTATCTGTTATGCAATCACCTCATCACTGGGTTCAGGATAGTGAGTGACTGAAGACAAATTTTCTGTTCAGCAGTTATTATTTCAAATTCATATCTTACTCCTTTGAGGAAACGCTACAGCAAAAAGTACCAGTCCAATAACTGACCAGCCATTAACAAGTCGAGAATCGCTAGTGTTTGTTGGCAGGTCGACTAGTTTACCTTCGTCTGTTTTACAAATCATAGATTTCACGAAACCTCTAAATTCAAGTGTCATTTTGTAAGTGTTGTTTTTTTTTTCTTTTTTCGACACAATATAAATATATCATTGAGATTAAATTTAAAGCTAATTGTATTGTCTTTGAAACCTTATTCGAACTTTTAAGTTTTCTAAATTTCTTCTAAGCTAATTTTTTAAGTTAACTTGGGACACCAGAATGAAATTAAAGGCGTAGATGTTAGCATGTATATTTAGTTTTCAAATTTAACTAGCAGTTGCATCACATGATATTGCAGGCGCTTTACCTATCTCAATCTCAACTCATTGATAAGACTGTACTTTGTTTATGTTGTAGAAAAACGCTGCATGATCGAAATGGCAACGAAGTGGTGGATAAAAACAAACATGCTTATGTGTACGGAAAAGATCTATGCAATAAGTATGCCCATTGGGCTTTTCCTAATTTAAATTGTTTTCCAAATGATCAAGATAATTGGACTGATACTCCTTCTACTACCAATACAACTGCTACTAGTTTTTTGTGCTTTTCTTGTGAGAGTTAATTTTCATTCATTTTTTCATTCCATAGCTGATTAAATTTCAGTTATGCAAATGATTGATTAATTGAATGTTAGATAATTTAAATATTTCTGATATGTTTTTTTAAATTAACTCTACCAGAAATCTTTTCTCCAGCATATTTCGCTAGAGCCTTCAAAGCTATAAATTATTAGAATGTGTATCTATCGATCGATTTTCTGCTTTACTTCACTTTAATCTCGGTGCTGTTGTGAAACAATTTTAATTTGAAGTGGAAACGATGGATGTTAATTGATAATGATGAAGAAGCCCCAGTCCAAAAGTTACACTCTTTCAGAAGTTCAATTCAAAGATTTCTAATGGGTGTTACTGCTGAAGCATATTTCATATGGTAGAATAAGGAAAGCAACAAGGTATTACACTATGAACAAAGGACGATAAATCGGTCGATAATTATATTTTTAGGCATTATGTACTAGTGAAAGTAGTGAGTTATGAATATTATTTGTGATCTCTAAGTAATTTGTTCTTAATTATTGATATTTGCAGTTTCACATTAAAGCTTAAAAACAAATTTGTATTCTACCTTTGCAATATTAATTATCATTTAAGAATTTATTTTGAGTAACTTACGCTTTAATGATGACTTCCTGCCAAGATAAACGCTAAAAAGGAAGTAAAAGGAGCAATTATAGTGCATTCACAGAGCTGAAATTGCAGAATATTGAAATTCCATTCATATGATCCTATTACTTGCTCTTGTCTCACCTCTCGCTACTATACTTGCACTTCAAAATCTCAAAAAGCAAACTAAGCTTAGGTATCAATCTAAATTGCGAATTGTTGTTGTCGAGATATTTACATATCCTGCACAGAAATCATTGTCAGTGCTGAATAAATTAAATTAGTTGCATAACAATATCGAACATAATGTTCTAAATCTGAAATTTCGGAAATATTCAATGCATTCTGTAACAGATGACTGTTTTCTGATTTTGATGTTTCGGATGTAGAAGCATCAAATAGATGACTTCATTTTGAATTTATAGTGAACGTATTTCTTGCGAAGAATTTAATTTATTTCATGTGGTTGACATATTTTGTTATTTTATATTTCTAACAATCCTTCGAACATCAAGTAGGAACACTATTGTTAATGAATGTTGGGATAGCCTAAGATTATCAAATCAAACTCGTAGTCTAAATTAGTCCAAACTAATATAAAATCAAATCAAATTTATTGTAATCACAATCATGTACCGTAATTAATGTATACATTTTGGTATTTCCGGATTTACTTACGCCATAGTGAATTTTTGCTGTGTATAAATAACCATTGGTGGTGCTCTACACTGCATTGCAAACAAATGCAAGAATAGATTTATTTGTTTACTTAACTATTTCTAAGCATAGGCTTATTTAATCAGCACTGATCAGCTAATCATAATGAAGTCAATCATATGCTACTATGATTGAATTGTCTTCGAAATAATTGAGTAATGAGAAGAAGAATAATCTATGAATAATCATTTTCATAAATTGATAAATTTTGGAATTGTCATTGAAATGTTAACAAAAATTATTTGAGTTAACGTATGACAACAAGGAAGAATATACACTCTTCATAAGAAAGCAAATTTTTCAGAATATCTACCACTAACAATTGTAGATTTACGTTGTAATATGAGTAACGTGGCGATGTTAGCATGTATTATTCCTCGTAATTTTTAGGTTAAGTTGTAGCTAATATTTAACTTTATCTTTTCAATACTACTGGAGTACATATCTTTAATTTCTCTAGAATTCTCTATTTTTGCAATTTGCAGAAACTAAATGGAAAAAAAGAGATTTCAAAAGATAAAAAATAATGTAAAAACGAATATGTTTTAAGCGCAAAGAACTCCAATTTCCGTTTCAAACTGTGAATCATAATCAATTTTATAATTGTTTTCTGTTACAAAAGGTGAAAGTGAATTCTTTCTAAAAAGGTTCCAGGAAGCAGAAACGGAAAATGCTCCGCTACGTAATAAATGTTAGAGTTAATTGGAAGAATAATTTGATCATTTTAAATCAAAGCTTGAATGATTGATTATTTTGGAAAGAACCCAGTAGCTCGAGTAATATTTGTAATTATTACTGAAGGAAGTAAAAAAGTCACCGTTAATAGAAGATAATATGCAAGTTTTGCTTTATTTGATCTTCTGGTTTATAAGCTTTTTGGTCATAGCCTCAATCATATAGGTTAAATTTCGTTGCTTCTCATTTTATTAATAAAGAGAGTTTTATGATAAAAACAAAGGTAACATTTATTTGTTCCTGACTTGTACAAACAAAAATTTAAGTTCGTGTAATCAATAATTAAGATGAAATATCACACAATAAAGTCTTATCCTTATTTTCTCATTATCAATGTTCAGTTGTATTGAAATAAGTAATCTGGTTAAGACATATCTGGGCTATAAACCTTAATACTTCCTATTCTATCTGACAACAGCTGATTTAGGTGTCATCAAATGTAAAATCTTATGAAAGACTCAATTCTTTCAGTTACTTACAAAAGTTAAATTCTAATAAGGATAAGACAAGAAACTTGCAACCTAAAATATGTCAAAAGAAAGCTGTTCGAAGTAATGGCAAATTCAGAGTAAAGCATATCATAATCCACCAAATGCAAAATTTTCTGCAACACAAAGAATAGACAAGGAGCAATAAGAAAGAAAAAGTTTGCCATGTGTCACCATTTTTGGAATAACAACTATTAAATTACAAATCAAGCTCTAAAGTATATAAACAATTAGTTTATAAGCAATAATTAAATTAGTAGTGAGGAAAATAAATCGAAGGAATTTTACATAATGAAAAAGAGAAAATAAGGCGTCTGGTGGCAGTAGAGAAATTGATAGCCACAATATCAAAATATTTGTATTAATATAATGAAAATGTACTGCAAAATCAAAATATTTTTTACTGAATAGCAAATCTGAAATTCAGTTTGGAATTCCAAAGTGCTGTGAAACTTGATAAGATGAAAGAAATATTCAAAACTACTAGGCAAAAAATATGAATTTTGGTATAAAGTGTTAAAGGTCTTATAATTGAATATAAGTGATCAGTTCAACGAAGAAACGACATTGTTTGACAACCACCGCACTTCATTTAATATCCACTGCTGTAAAATGTAAAATTAGTAAAAATACATTCAAATAATAAAGATTAACCTAAAGAAGTGGCGTTACTTCTCAAAAAGTGGCGTTAATAATTCGCATTGTTTATTATGCTATTTATTTTGACTCCAAATCTCTATTTTGAATGTCCATTATCTCAGAGCTAATTTAATCTCTTTTGCTTTCAACTTGGATTCACTTTTACTTCTTCCTATAATACTTGCCACCGTCATCGTTTTCATAGTTTTGTAGATGTATATCGGTCAATTTTTATTTTTCAACTTATTATTCTTCCTATTGTGGGTCTAATTTTAGAATTGTATTTTGAAAAGAAATAAGTCTATTAGATTTGGGTTGATAATTAAAAGTGCTTGAATAGTCTTTTCAATATTTCGGTTTTCGTTAAGAATGCGAAATTATTTGAAAATCATTGGTTTTTCTTAACATTTTTAAGTACGAACTCCTGTTTTTTGTTCTCCTTTTTAGATCTTGTTAGTGGCTTTTGCTTCTTTACTAAAGAACATCTTTAAAACTTACTTTCCCGTTCTAATGAGCAGTGTTAACTCTTTCACTTGATTATTACTAGCATTTTTGAATGGTTTAAAAATTTTTTTAGTGGAATAAATTTACCTGATTCAATTCGCCACGTGTACATCTGCTTAGCGTAGGTTTCAAAACATGTAACGCATGGTAATCATTAGGATCTTCGAATGGCTGATCTAAACATAATCCACTTTCACGATGGTAGAATGATTTCCTCTGAAAATATTAGAAAAATGATGGAAATATTTTTCAAAAATATTTGCGTAGACCGGAAGTAACAAAAGACCAAAGATGTTTATTAATCAAAAACTTCTGCGCCAGAGTTAAAATATTTGTTTTTATCAAGTTGCTTTTCTAGATTTGATTCTTGTTTCCTATTTAGATATTCATGTTCTTTAATTTTACTTGCAAGTCTAAATCATTATTATGTAGGGCGAAGTCACTTAGTATATCCTAATTTGACTTATGACCAAAAAATCATGAAAATAAATAGAATTTGTGTCTAACTGACAATTTCCTTAAGTAAATAATTGTATTCAAAACTGACGTGAAAATTATAGTCCCAGTACTCTGATTCATACTGACCACATTCTTTCAGTTGAATTTTCCAATTTCGTGGTTCTTGTATTGGCTGATATGCACTAAGGCATAGATGATCGTCTGTTTTCATTTGTCCTTCCTCAGTAAATAACCAAAGCTAAAAAATTTGCAACATATCACCAGAAATCGATTTATTTATTTGCAATTAGAAAATACAAGACATGGTTATTTATCACCTGATGATTGAAATGATCACCTGCCACAAGTCAAAGCCCAATGTGCAACGAGCCATCATAATACTAGTTTGCTTGGAGCCAGGTTCACCAGTTCGAGCTACCAAACAATTTCTTGAAGTGCTATGCGAAATCTGAAATTAGAAAAAAATTTGCATACCTCAGTACGATCGAAACTGTCAGGTGCAGAACAATTATGCATCGCTGCTACTCTCATACTCTCGCCCAATGGCACCGTCCAATGTAAACACCCATTCATACCTCCAATCTGCGATCTTGAATGAATTACCTAAAGCAAAGGTACTCACTGTTATTAGGTGAGTACGTCTAATTAAAAGTTAATTTATTTATTTGAACCTGCAGATTATTAGTTGGACCTGAATTAATAATTACGATTAAAAAGATTTATATTAAAAAGACTTATTGTAATCATTAACTAAACATGTATCGAATATCCTGACACTAATTCTATCTATATTTTCGAAGGTTTTGGTAAGGCTTTCCCATCATTTTAAGATAATATCGGTGAAAATGTCAGGAAGAGCTTATCAAAAAGAAAAATTCGCAACTAAAACGAACCCTCCCAAAAGCACTTCCCGGTTGTGGTAAAAAATGATCTTTCCACACATTATCGAGAAACCATTTAAAACTTTTACAGTGCAAACGTTTTCGGAGTTCTACACGATCACTTACATCAACAGTTTCACGCATTTTATAAGCTTCTGAAATTGGTTTCGTTATTTAGTAATCATTTCACTTAAAAAAATAGAAACACTTCATTTGTCTGAAATTTCATGAATGAAAAGACGAGTTACTTCGATGATACAGCAGTCATCTTCGCATAAAACTATCGCAAATTAATTTTGTATTCCTTTACAACGACGCAACCAAACCTACGCGGTGCAGTTCTGTAAAAATGAAATTTCCACTCATCCATCCAAACTTCTGCCACTCTCAATAGATTACTGTTCAAAATAGTTCCTGATTTGCGACCAGGAAAATCGTGAGGAGAAGTCCGGCGAAAGACATGACCCACATGCGAACAAGGAAGAATCTCGACTCGTCCACCACATTGCCAAACCAAGAAACAATTTTTTTTTTAATAATTTTAACTGACATATATCATCTTTCATAAATAAGTGCACTATGAATCACGCCATTTGAAAAAATAAGTTTAAATTTGTAGCACGCGCGTCGTAAGTGGAATTGGTTAATGTCTTGGTATCGTTTTAATAAAAGAGCCAACATATGCCAAATTTCTGCAATACATCACATAAACTTTACAGCATATCAAGTAATTTCATTTAATTTCAAGATAATCCAATTCACCATTTTCTGAAATGAAACTTTAAAACAAACTCTCAAGGATATCTCAATATTCTCGCCACCCCATATGTCCATTTCGTGATCATAAGTACCAATTTCTTCGAAATATTTCCGATCGATGCTAAACAATCCACCAGCCATCGTTGGAGAACTGTAACTTCATTGTTCATATTCTTTGAAGAATGATATAATTTAATGAAAGAATATTAACTAAGACATTTTTAATCAGGAACCGAAGTAACACACTGATTCATTGTAAAAAAGAATTTGTCAGGTTCTAGACATCGTTCTGAAATCTCAAAACATGATTGCTTTCAAAATAAAAGCACCAACATGATCGGTTTCGTAGGATCGTCACTCCGTGATTTTATCATTTCCGATGGTAGAGCATACCACCGGAATTGTAGATTCCAATTGAAACCACCGCGAAATAGCTCGATACTTTTCTGATATGCAAATGTTCGATCGTTGATAATGTCAATCACAGGACAAACTACTGCTTTTCTGTAAGTACCATGAAAATTTTTAAACAACAACTGCAATAGATCTTTTGCTCATGTTTTTACCTATTTTGATTCTCTTTTATTTCTTAGTAGAAAACCAAAACATCCATTATTTCAAATAATTACCTGTTTTCTTTAATCCGTGCCAACAGTGGCTCCATCCATCCTTTGGTACATTCACAGTGAGAATCCAGAAAAGTTAACACATCTCCTTCTGCTTCATTAGCACCCATCAGGCGGGCCCTTATCAAACCGACGCGTTCATTCGCTCGAATTATTTTGATACGAGTACCCAACTGAGCAACGAATTTCTCTAATTCAACTTTCAAAAACGCTAAAAAACGAATCCAGTACCAATAATTTTAAAACAAAATATTTTATCTCAAACTTTGCATTCATCACTTCATTAAGCGCATTCAAAATTTACACATCAAACATTTCGCGTAAGTTGAAAAGTTACTTCTTGTGCTAAAATCATCCACCAAAATAATTTCTTTCAAGTTTTCACGTGGTGATCTTTGAATAACGGACATGACGGTACGCATCAATGTCGAAAACGCTTCATTGTGATAAACAATGATGACACTGGTAGTAGGTAATTCCGAAGAAGCTGAAATTAGTATAATTTAATTCTTTTAATAGGAAATTGATAACAAACGATAAAATTTTCACATACGCAAATAGGTTTTGGTTCGGCATTGATGCTTACGAATGTCAGGTAAAGATCGATTTAGAGCTATTCGATCACTTACTACCAAACTGAACTGAAATATGATATTGATATGCATGAATTGAATGATTCTGTTAGTATTCTGATAACGGATGCATCACTCTCGTATGAACTCTCTAATGACTATTGCGCAATTTTAGAACTTCAAACACAAACATCTTACTGATAACGAAAATTTTTTATTCATATCAATGATTTAAAAAAAGCTAAACACCTGATTAATTACAAAGGTGTCTTCGGAAAGACGCTCATCCTCTTCACTTAATCTAACAGGTCGACCATCCTCTCCAGCACCAGTAATTGGCGAATAATTATTTGCATTCAATTGCTCTGGAAAATCAATAATCGATTCTTTATTTTAATTTAATTTTTGACATGCTTAAAAATAATTTGAAATCTTTTGTAAGACATAGACACTGGGACATATAAATAAGCCAAGGACTAATATTACTAATACACTGCAAAAGACATCATCGAAATTCAGTAGAAACTTGCCAGCAGTTAAATTAGAAAGTTTATCCTTGGCAAGATTTCCGTTGTAGTGGCCAACAACTATTTGTATTCCTTGACTCAAATACGAATTTCTATCCGTGAATACATTATCTGTATAATCGGTAATCTAAAGCAGTTGACATATCAAGTAAAAAGAAAAACAATTCTGCAGCATAGAGAAGTCAATATTATTTTTAAAAATGATGCATTTTTTCAAATTAACAAACTTCTTTTATCTATCCGAACATTCTCTTTTATTGATGGAGTACATACAAATTCCTTAATAAAATTATTTCACATTACATGTTAATAAGAACTATCGGTTCTTATAAAGCAATTTGAAATTTTGGGGCACAAAATTTGTATCAAATTTCAAAACACAAAAGTGAATAGAGATAATTTTACAGAGACACACAGGTTGATTTTTTATTCGATTAAATTATCATGGAATATCGCCCCAAATTTATTGTAATTCAAGGATGTGCCCTTTAAATATATATTTATTTCTGTTACTTTTATACAACCTTCAACTTTTTAATTTTTGTGTTCAGAAATAGCACTGCCAAAGTAAATACTGGTTTGTTCCAGTTCGTCATACTTGTGCAATTATTTCAACTTCTACTGTTAATGAAAAAACAAGTTAGTAAAATTAATAAAGCTTAATGCGGTTAATAAATCCAACAAAAAAAAAATTGAAATTAAATTAAACTTCCTGAAATCAAATTAATAAAATAAAAGTTTGAACTTTGCTGACCATTAAAAATAGCAATTGTTCAATGGTTGAAAAACATGTTTTGTGAAATTTAATTAAATAAATTAAGATCTTTTTTTCTCCAGAATAGTAAATGTAACATTCGAAAGCATGTTACCTAAATATAGACTATGCCGGATAAGATAAAACATTATCTCTGAAAAGATGGTAAACCACCAATAGTTTAGATGTTCACAGAAATAAATGGAATTGAAAAAAATGTCTGTTCTTTTTACTTCTATTTGCTTTTTTTACGAAACATTCAAATCCGACCAGAACAAATCAAATGATTTATTTAAAATGCAATTTGAAATAGCTAACCTTGTCCTGTACTATTAGGATAGTAATCGTTAGCAAACTCCAACATATTAAGAAAGCCAGGATAAACAGGAATGCAAAAAGTAGTGCACGTAGTTTGCGTCGATGAAATATAAGCAGTGAACGACGAATAAACATTGGGTGAAAAATGACGAATTATTATTGAATTGATAATATTGTTAATGACATGATAGATACTAAGGTTATTAAATAGAAGCAGTATGATCGAGAATAAGAAATGAATGACTGCATAATTCACATCAAATAGTCACAATTGAGGTCTAACTAAATAGCTTTGATTCGAAGTATCCTGGAACAAATTAAAACGCATATAAAAAGTCAGAATAAAGTTTATATGAAAATTAATTAAATAATGAAAAATATTCAATGACAAAGTCTTACAATACAAATGTACGATGATAATAGTAATGCTAATATTATTTTGATAGTGAAAGTGACGGATAGTGGTAGCGATAACGACAGCGATAAGAAATGAATAACGAGCTAAGTCTCGATAATTCAAGTAAAAATAAATTAAATAATAGAGTCCTAATTTAAAAGATACTTTTGATGTTGATCGAATAATTTTGCACAAATAGAAGCAACCTCATTTTCTTTAACAAAAACCGTAATGATCCCGCGATCGTTCTTTTTCTTTATCCTTCCATAGTAAACGCATTATTTAAGGGAAATTTACCAATCCAACTACCACTGATGGCTTCTCAATTCCATCAATTTAAATCTCATCACCTCTATCTATTACAAGAAAACAGGAAATTTTTGAGTGCTGTAACCTATATTTCTCTTAATTTTAGGAATCTTTAATCATTTAATTAATGCTGATGATAGAAATGAAAATTAATAAAACACCACTCCATTGTATTTGGAATTAAATTTTGGAAGCTCTTTTCCTGTTTTACTTAGTCAAAACATTATTTTGATGCCAAGCTATTTCTGAGCTCTCGTTAGTTTGTCTTTTTTGAATGCTTTAATAGAAAACAAAATTTCATTTGCCATTTTAGATCCAAAATTAATCAAAAATTTGATTTATATATATCAAGATCACTTGTTATCATTCTGTCTAAAAAAGACAAAGAACGATTAAATCTGGAAAAGTTGAAGGACGAAGAGTACAGAGTAAAATATCGGAAAAAGAGAAAGAACAGCTTATATTTAGTTTAGGCTAGTTGGTTCTTTTATTAGAATTCCAATTAAAATCAAACTTCAAAAAGTGTAGCAACAATATTCTTGTAAACATCGCAAAATTATCGACTTTACAATTGATCAATTAAATATATTGGAGTTCACTAATATGAATGATATGATAATGATACCGGTCTAGTAGAAGAAGTTTATTTGAAGGTACAATAAAGATTGAAGTAACACTGAAATATGAGAAAAAAAAACTGTTACAATATTTTCGTTATCCATCGTCATATAAAAGTTAAAAATACTGATTTATTTCTGATTGTTGATGTGCAGTAGCTCCTCAAAAAGTGTTTTAAAATTTCTACTGTTTTATTAGCAGAGTCCAGATATGCACATAACAAGAAAATTAAGAAAAAAATTTTTTTAATTTAAAGATTTCTAAAGACTTAATTTTATTTTCAGATATCGGTTACATAACATGTGACTACACATTCTCTGAAGTTGGTTAGTGTCAATATTTGCTATATTTTTTATTACTTAATTTGATTTTAATTCTTTTATTGGTTTGATCATTTAATTAATTCTCCCTCCTAAAGTCAAAAAGCCACTAAGAATCTTATGGTCAAAAGTTATTTCCATTTGGATGATGATCTGTTATTAGCTAGAGAATCACATCTAAATCAAATCAAATCAGTTTTAGAAATAGCAGTAAATGAATAGAAGCTTTCCATGATTCCTTAAAATAAACTAAAAGTTTCAATTTTTTTGAAAATAATATTAACAAATGGCTCAATTTTGGGTATTTAAAGTAACGAGTAATTTGAAGTATGTGAGTGACATACCGATAATGAGCGATAAACCCTTCCAGAGAGATTTTTTTTTTTCAGAAGAAAATATAAACCTAAAGGTGCAATTGATACTGAAACAGATGTAAGTGTGTTAATTTAGAGAAGTTGAAGAAAGAAGACGAGAAAAGTCGACAGTTTTAAGTCTCGACTCAACTGATAGGTTTACAACAAATTTTACCAAAAGCATTTAATTGGATAGATGACGAATATGAGTCTGACAAGTACGACAAGAGGATAGAGATGAATGACACGAATGTTGGACAAGAAAAAGAAGCTGAATAAGTAAAAATAATTTTAGCCAATGAATTTGTCAAATCCGAAGTGTCTTTAATTGGTGAATATTTGCAGAAAATTAAACTGATCGAAAAGATGAAATGAAATTTCTCAGCATCAGGTAGTATGTGTATGTCTAACAGTATCGAGAATTCGACAAGTACGGTGCTTAAAAAATTTATTACAAGGTGAAATGTCTGAATTACAATCCACTTCTTTCGTCACTATTTGAAAATCATTGAAGTAATTTTTTCTAATTAATAATTTATATAAATAATGACTAACTGTTTGCAAAGGATAGTTATTGGCAGTTAAATTTGATGTAGTGCAGTTATCGCCCAATGTAAATTTTATCTGTAACTTCAAAAAAAAATTCATAATTATCTCAAACAAACAAAAACCTATCCTTAACACATGCCAGCAAGGTGAGAAGAAGTTTGGAATTCACTGCACACGAATACGAAACGACCTCGTGCTGTACACATGCGCTAAATTGTATGTGTCTCTATATGTATTTGTATGTATGTGTGTGTGTGTGTGTGTGTGTGTGTGTGTGTGTGTGTGTGTGTGTGTGTGTGTGTGTGTGTGTGTGTGTGTGTGTGTGTGTGTGTGTGTGTGTGTGTGTGTGTGTGTGTGTGTGTGTGTGTGTGTGTGTGTGTGTGTGTGTGTGTGTATGGTTGTAAAAGGTGGATGGGAAGGGAGGAGATGTGCGACAGTGAGTTGTAGGGAAATGGTGAATGAATTGTTGATGAGTAGTAGGGATGGGATGGCGGTCATCTATCAGTGCAATGTGACATGGCCATTTCTGAGATTTTTGATTGTCTGCCTCTCCTGGATACAGATGAATGGAAGTTGTGTTGACAAATTAAGTTGCAATGAATAATAAACTCACTTAATAATTTAAATGACTTTCTGCAGCTGCAATTTTTCTCTTTTATTAATTACCACTATGCTTTTATACCACCATCTTATTATTAAGCATTAATACAGATCAAGTTATATTTTAGACGTTTTGATCTGAAAACTTCTGATAAATGATCGCCGCTGAAGAACGAAATAGTGTCATTTCATCTTTTCTGAAATAAGAAATTTCTGTGCCGATATATGTTTCAGTCAATATAAATTCTCTTCCTTCTCTATCTCTTACTCAAAATTTTCCTTTTCATATTTTTGCAGAGAGTACCATTTTTTGGATAATAGTACGCATCACTGAAAATGTTTGAAAAAAAATTAATCCTATCACAAATTTAAAATTTAATCTTATCACAAATCCAGTCAATATACTTCTCATATCAACTCGAATTTAATAATGTTTTTCTAAGTTTTTTTAAGAATGTAATAAGATGTACAAAAACATTGCTTATCTCAATTTTTATGTCGGATTTCCTTACATATTATTTATGTCAGTATTGTAAAGTATGATATAATGAAAGGATTAAAGATATGCCGACAAAAAGGTCACCAACTGAATCTATTCTAGTTCATGAAGAACTACTGTTATTCATTTTTAACTTCGCTCAACACTTATTTTCCGACAGATTGTCTGAAGCACTTATTTGAAATCATTTCATTCGAAGTGAACTATCAACAAAGCGACATGTCAAATTATCAGCATCAGAAGTTGTTGATACTGTTGGCATAATTTATTTTGTATGAAAAATTTCTCAAAATGTGAATATAGAAGTCTCGGTTAACTCTAGATTCAAGGTAATTGTCAAGAAACAGCCTGATTTAAAATAGCTAGAAATAGGGTTCACTTATGAAAACGGACAAACCTATTTCATTATTGACATTAATATTAGTGCTTTGTTGTCCCGAACTTTGAAATTTGCTGAATCGAAATCTAAAAAGAGTAAAGTACTTGTGCAAAAGAAGTGATAAAGTTAAATGATAAGTAGAAGATGCTTTTAATTCAACTTCAACTTCAGTTTAACCTTCTCGAATTTAAAGGCAGACTGATACGTTCTTTTCGGTGACGTGACCTTGTTGACATTAATTTTTGGCGCATTCTAGGGTCCACATTTACATTCATCGTTCCTTGATCCTGAATAATTCATTCATATCATTGCAAAATTTTGACTTTCAAATTTCAAATTTATTTTACAAGATTTAAAATGGCTTTAAAAAATGATAAACATTACAATTTCAACACCCGTTTCAAGATATTTCTGCAATGCTTCACATCTCTGTATCTAAAAAGGCCTTCATTAATATAGTGTAAACCAAATTAGTTGCAATAAATAATGTTCGCTGTTATGTTAACACAAACAAGTATTTACTTAATGAAATTTATAATCATAGATGAAAGAAATCAATACATATGCTATTAATTTTCATTTAATAAAACATAAAATGGATAAAAAAAACTTTAAAATGGCTAACCGCTTCTATTCCTTCCATTCCCTTCCTTCGACGTTTTATTATCATACAACTGATAATTCCAGCTAGAGCTAACACTCCGACCAATACTACTGATACCATCACAGTGGTCCGCATCTCATTTTTCATCCTTTAATTTCATCCATTAGAATCTTCATCTCGAAGTTAAACTTATCATAATTTTTGATTCTTTTGCTTCTAATTTAAAATCGCTACTTAATCGAACGAAAAAAATATAACGACCAAACTGCTTAATACCAGCATGAAAACTGCAGTGACCTTATCAATTCTTATAAATAATGAAATATTTAACATGCAAATTTGTTAAAAATGCATTTAAATTAAAGTAGAAAATTATTTTTAATTAACAAAAAGGTGATGCCGAATTTTTCGACCTTTACAATCGAATTCTTTTTGATTCTTCCACAGTTGTGTTAACAAATTTATTCTTGACAAAAATAAAAAAAAAACAACCTTCAATATTAAGCTTTGCAAATCACTTACTACACTACTGCTCCGATTTGAACCCCCATCATTCTTACATTTCTCATTCCATATAAAATAGTGTTACTCGTTTCTCTCCAAATTATTTTATTTTGTTACTTACTAGCATTTATAGTAATTACATTTATAGGAATTACTTACTTGAAGAATGTTAATTTACTTTTACGCCTAACATTTTCATATTTATTTTGAATTTAAAAGTCCTGCTGAGTCATATCACTGAAATTTCCTTAAAATATCATTCTCTAAATATGCTGGTCTTCTGGGACTTTGACAATTATTTGTTCCAATAATATAATTATCTTTTTTTATCATTTAAATATTTGAAAGATCCAAATTTCGAAGTAATTGTGCCTTTTGTTGTATGTTGATTATTCTTTGAATAGTTAACATACAACAAAAATTCTTTGAATGGATTGAAATTTTACAAATGTGAAAACTAACTGGTCAAAAACCATCCCATTCTGTTTACCAATGAAAATCTGATAAAATTGCTAGAGAAGTTGTTGAATATCTTGATAATGAATCGTTTTCTATAAATCATTTATAACAAATGAAAATTTATTTTTCAAAATTTACTCAGTTATTTAGTTTCTGCACTTTGCTTATCAAATTTAAATTAAAAAAATTTATCGAAAAGAAAAAGAACTTTAAGAAGGATGATTATCATAAAATATCTTGCATCCGGTCAAGAATATTTAAAAACTTTTATATCGATAATCTATAATATCAGGCTTGATATCATTACTTTCATTCTTTCTTAGCTCATTAACCATTATTATTATTGAATACTTAGAACATTCCATTTGATCGTTTTGAGATAATTACTGTCGCATTTTTTTCACCAAAATTCGGATTTTAGCTGATGCTTTATTTATTCTGTCAATGCGTTTTTTATTACAACAAATTTTCTTGCCAAACAATTTCAGCTCTTTTCAAAAAAAAATTCTTTACTTCTGAAATTTCAAATTATCTCGAATATCTCATTAGAAGAAATGTATTTCCAATAATCTCATATGCCAAAAAGTCCATTTTGATTATAATATGAAAAGAGAAGAAAGATATTATTTTCACGAAACTTTATTTACTGACTACAATCAATTTCAATTACTGACTCATACAAAGCCCATATAATTATTTCTAAAATTCATTTTTTTTTCACCTCATCTTAGAATTTTCATTCAGTTTAGAATGAATTCAGATAAATCTCATATAGGCATTTCAAATATTTCAACACGGAAGTCGAGAGTACGTGATCCAAGGACAAAAAGAAAGTATAATTAATATATGAAGTGGATATCATTCATAGCGTAGTACAGTACGCATCATTTGAGATTAGTGATCAACATTTAGTGTTCATATGTGCAATAAAAAATAGTTGAGCATTTGATTAGAAATATTTGCTAGCATTGTTTTGGAATTCACTGGTTAGTCTTATCGGGAAGAACCAAATATAATATATGTGGAAATAAAATTGTATTAAATTGTAAGACTAAAGATTGTCTTAATCGAACATTATTTACACATATGTTCAATCTCACGATCACATATAAAAAATCATTTATACATTATTCATCTTTCAATTGTATCTGAAATTATTTGCATTGTTACAATTTATTAGCAGAATATGAGTTGAAATTGTTTCCAATTAGATTGTTTATAAGGATACTAACCTCCTTATTTAATTGACTTCCTTTGACGTTTGTCGGTTTCACACTAACTTGAATTTGACAAGGTTAACGGTTCTTTGTTCAGCTGACTGCCTTGCGGCATGTCCGCTTCTCATCATAAATCATGCTCCTTGTTATAAGTTAATGCTTACTATATAGGAACTGACGCCTACTGTTGGGAAATTCTTGAGAATCAACAAGCTTGGCTGCTTCACGTTCTTGTCCAGCTCCATTCATTTAAATCTTTATTTATTTCTTCCTCTTCGTAGATTTTCAAATCTACAAAACGAAATTATCAGTATATTGTTGCTGTAGATTAACATTTGTGTGTCAAAGTTGTTGTGTGACAAACTTCTCATCAAAACATTCGTCTGTAGCAACTCCTAAACTGAAATACGTTCAAATAAAGACCTGTGATTTCTCGACAAGTATAAACAAAGATAGATACACTAACACTGAGATAATAGTGTAGCTTGGTTTGATTTTGACATTTGACTCTTAGAATTGACTTTTTTCAATTTTCCAAATCTTTATTATTCCTCAATCTTAACGTCCTGAATCTTGAGGAAATTAATCCGTAAAGGAAATTAAATAAACAATTACTGACTACTAGTCGGCTGAAAATCGACAATGAGATTGTCAACATCTGAAATCACTGCTGTCGATCTCATAACAATAATAAATCATATGACTCTAAGTGGTTGAGTCTCCTCCTATCCAAATGAAGTCTTCTGAATAATTATCATAAATTCAACAAAATTTAGAGTACAAAATTTTTTGTTGAGGCCAAAAATTCTTAATGTTGTGCTGTTCTCATCCACAATTTTAATCCTTTACTTTATGAGAACGTTTTTTGCGATATTCACTATTGCATATGACCTTATTATCAAAATCGTTAATTCTTATTCAATAAAATTCAGAGATTTAAGATAGACCTAACATGGAAATTATTATACCTTTACTTCGAGCTATATTTTTTAAAAAAAGTGGAAATAAATGAAAACTTCATCGCATATTTTTCACAGCTAAAAGATTTACAATTTTTGTAATTCTAAAGACTCGAGTCATATTATAGAATTTAAGGAATCATTAAGTTCAATTTTCATCCAAAAAAATTGCATTTATTTGTATTGCCATCATTGTTGGAAATTGAATACTTTCTTCTCCTTCATAAATATTAACTAGTGATCATACATACATTAGAGAAATGTCCATACTTCTGATTACTTCCCAGGAGTTCGTTTTCTCTTCTCCTTTCTGATGTCGAATGAGGGAAATATTTTCGATTATCATTTCTCACCACTGATGTTTAATGTCAACATCGGTTATAAAGCCAGTCAGTATTTATTTTAAGTGGATTTAAAATCTTCAGTAGGAAGCATGAAGTAGGCTCTTTTCCTCTCATTTCGCATCCACTCGTTCTTCCCTTCATTTTAAGCTTTAAAAGTTTGATAAAAAATTTCAAGTATTTCAAATTCTAATTCGATTCTCAGTTTTTTCGCTTCCTTTGAATTCAATTTTTTTTGAAATTTTTTCTTTACAATTACAGTATGGACAGCAATTCATTTGGAGTAAAAAATTTGGAAATAAAAATGTTTTTCATAAGATTACTCAGTTTTGATTTAAAACTGGCTTGATGAATAATTCTGACGAGAATTTGTTTTGTGGCTTCTTTTATGGGAGAGCCAGCAAATCGAAGTAACAAATGAATTTTGCAGTCTCCTAAAATTTCCTTGCAGTTGGAACATTTTTGATACTAGAATAAATCGGAGAATAAATATAAGGCAACTTAGTTTATGGATATTTATTAAGAAGTGATTTGATAGAATTATCAACTAAACGAAATGATTTTGATGTAATTAATTTGGTGATTATCTGATATTATTCAAACAAATTTGACAATACTGTTTCTCTATTTTTAGATTGCTTCGCATATCACGTAAATTTGACATTATTTTAAGAGTTTTATTAGCTTCATGAATTTTAATAACTAATTGAGTAAGACTACAGAGAATTAGAAAAAGATAAAGAGGAAATGACAAAAGAATCTTTTACCCCTGTAGATCAATTAAAGTTATTAAAAATTAAATGTTTCGAACTAACCCCATGCTTGCAGAGAATGCGTTACATAAAGAAGTAAACGAGGCGTGCATCATCTCGACCTTTCCTATCTTTCCTACTATGCTGGTATAAAATTAGATTGAAAGACAATTGTTGTTCAGAATAACAAAGTTTTTTGAGGCGACGCCTATTCTTTAGCAATTTAGGTTCATGATTTTGTTGTCATAAAAAGTAATTTTCCAAGGTTTCAGGTGGAAATACAATGATGTGGCAAAATCGGACCATCATAAATCTCTTTATCACATTTTATGCCTTTCTGTTTATGGCATTAGCTGCTGTTACCGATGCATATATTTTCGGAAGTGGAAGTAATTTCATTTTTAAAAAAAGTATAAAAAGAAATATGGTTTTAGAATTAGTTATTCTAATAGTAAAGTAACTGAAAGTTAACTATTTCAATAAATTCCTCTACACTAGCGTATATTTATTCAAGTCGCACTGGATGGAAATGATACTTTGAACATTCCATTTAAAAAGTTAATCCCCTTACATACATTTCAGTGTTGTTAAAACACATTATCCAGAAGAATTCAAAATATCATAAGACCATAAAAGAACATAGCTATTCCATATCAGGAAGGTTAGCATAATTAGTGTATTTTAAATTCCTTTATTGATGAAAGATTTGAAATTTCAGACTACGTCCGGTTTCGTCGGCCGGAAGATATTTGGGAACCACCATTTCGTACTGTTTTATGTGACAGCTATCCAATACGTATACAGATAGAAGCGGATCCAGAAAAAGTCTGTCGAAGTTTCATAAATCAAATGAAACAAATCAGTTACGATTAACAATAAATAGTGATAATAATAAACTATTGCATATTTGCACCTTAATACACAATTCTCAGCTGCTTTTCCTGTACATCCACAAATAATTTGAACAATGTTTTTCAAATTTTATTGCTGCTTTTGATATGATTAAAACAGATTTTAACATATTTCGTAACCAATTTCTTTGCCAATTTGAGTTGATATCTCATCCTAGATGTCGAAAAACTTTTCAAAAGAAAACTTTATCCATGCTTTCCCGCTTTACAGAAAAATTTTGAATAAGAATTTTGTCCATATGCAAAAATATTTTCTAAAAAAATGGCTTAACAACTTGTAGCTTTTGCATAGATTCTTAATCTCAGCAGATGTTTTAATTTTTGTTATTCAAAATATAGTTTTATTCTTAGCCCGGAATCCTATAAAACTATTAATTATTTTGAAAATTGAAGTTTGCTAAGGAATAATTGTAAGCCATTTCACAACATTGCATGCGCAAATAAAATGTAAAATGAACTTAAACTAACAAAATTGAGTGGCAATAATGGTCACTTAATTGAAGATGCATAAAAAAGCTCTGGAAAACGATAAATTTAAATTATATTTGATTCGTTTTATAAAAAAATCTTAAGCATTGGTTTAAATAAGGATTAAGAATTATATATGATTTTCTTTTGCAACAAGGAAATTTTTAAAAAAAGTGTTGGAAATTTAAAAGCTAACAGATCGGGCGATCAGCTAATCGATATTATTTCTTAAACATCTTTTGTATATATTATTTAGTAACTAATCATAAAGTTGAGTATAATCCAATCTCTAAAATAAATATAAAAAAGATCAGAGTAACTTACCAAATTCATGCAAATTCGAATATACCCAGATCTATTCCGCATAAAACACACATATAGCTGTGGATGTGTTAGTACGATAAACCGGTAAACCGGTAAACCGGATGGTTAGCTCATTTGTGAGAATAAAATAAGGCAATTGCAAGGATTACAAGGCCATTGACTATTGACTACAGAAACAATACGGATGTCGCTACTGCAAGTACATCGTATTTGTAATCACTTAAATTGGCGCGAAGAGGTTCATTTTGGCACTCTGTCAACATTTCATATTTTTGTTAAGATTATTGGTGAATGTTTGGGATGCGGAGGAGGAGCTCTATCTCATGTGCTTCTTAGGTTAAAGGTCACTTGTAGTGGGTTCTGCAGTGATTATCTTGCTATCTTTCCAGGTTTGTGTTGCCCGTGTTTCAATACACACTGATCGTAGACCATTTCCACTGTGCAGTATTCGTTCATTCCGAAATGTTTGGTAAATCACCTTTCGGTTCATCCAATACATCTGCATTTGGTGGTAAGTTCCATCCGATTTTCGAAATTCCATTTTCCTGAGGAAACTTACTATCATTGTCTTTTCGGGAGAAATCAAAAAGATGATGCCAATTGGAATAAAGGCTACCTGTGCTGACACAGTGTTTCTTTAGCCCTGTTTCTGTTTGACACTAATTTTCTATAAATACTTTATCAGCATGTTTCAATCTTATAAATCCTCTTGTTAAGTGAACAAGTACTTTATATTGCTGAAGTTGTATCTTCTGTGCATTATATTGCTAATATTGTAATCCAATATTCTCATTGTAGCAGGTAGCTCGTTGTTTGGGTCATCCACTAATCGACCAACAACAGGATTTGGGACGCAGACAACCACCCAGAGTACGGGCTTATTCGGACAGAAATCTATTTTCGGTTCTCCTGGACAGTCGACATCACTTTTCGGTCCGGTTGATTTCATTAGGTCTAAAAAAAAAAAAAAGAAAAAAAAAACCAAAAAAAGTTTTAAAGTTATGAAATGAAATTAAACTTGATTCATATATAAGATATGTTAATCTCCTGAATTAAAACAGTTTTAGGAAGTGCGCAACCGGCTTCCTCTGCTTCAACATCAATATTTGGTCAATCAAAACCACTTTTTGGTGCATCGTCAACAACGCAATCGACGAGTTTCGCTGGTACCACATCACTGTTTGGTTCGGCTCAGTCGACACAACAGACTGGCGGTGTTTTCGGATCAAGTTTCGGAAGTATGGGATCATTTAATTATTAGCCTTTTAATTATTAGCCATTTATTTAACTTTTATCTCCAGGAGCCGGAGAAACTTGATGTGCGTTTGTTATCCTTAAAAAGTTGCTAGAATTATTGCAGCATCAAATATATCGGGCACAACTCTTAAATTTGAACCTCCCACATCCACAGATACTATGCTTCGTAATGGTACAAATCAAACGATCAGTACGAAACACATGTGCATCACTGCCATGAAACAGTATGAAACTAAAAGTTTGGAGGTCTATATTTAGTGCTTTTTTGGTTTTCAAACGCTAATGAAGATACTTTTGTTCTCGACCCATTCATTCTTATACATTTGTCGACATCATTACATTGATTTTAGAACATACGTGGAGATTCTGCAGCATAACATGCGTATCTATTTTGAAGAGTAATCAAAGTAAAATGTATAGAAATTAAGTTAAAATGAATAGAAATTGAATATTCCGATTTATAATTTACATAGGAGCTGAGATGTGAAGATTACTTAGCGAATAGAAAAGGCCCTCAGAGTGGTGGTTTGGTATTCGGTCAAACTTCACAACCATCTTCCTCGTTGTTTGGTTCTAGCACTACTACAGCACAATCTTCAGTTTTTGGACAAAGTAAACCACTGTTTGGAAGCTGTGAGTTCTTTTATTTTGATTAGCATCCAGTTTATTTTTTTACTAACATTCGGTAGTTAATGCTTTAAGTATCTCAATGAGAGATCTGATTTCTCGTCAGTTACACAAATGCGTAATACTTAATTAAGCAAAGTGAGTTCACAAACGACTTTATTTTAGTGGTAATTTATAATAAACTTTCTTCTTAGCCTCGACTGGTTTTGGTGCTACAACCACGACCTCATCTTTGCTGTTTGGAACTCCAACAACTGCCACATCGATTTTCGGCAATAAACCAGCAACTGGAGGACTGTTTGGTTCTTCCTCCACAACATCACCATTTGGACAGACTCAGACCAGTACAGGATTATTTGGCACTAAATCAACGACGGTTTGATTCGTTTGCTTTTTATCTGCTCTTGTTTTGGTTTCCCACTACTTTTAATTTGTTTCCGTCAACAAGAATACTCTTTTAACTGTAATAATTGCAGTACTATAAACGATAATTTTGTTCAGAACCTAGGCATCCTTCTTTAGAATATTTTGGTGTTAAAGTCATATGATGAATTTGACTAAATGCTACGAATACTTATTTGCGAAAGACTTGAAGCAATGTATCGTTAAGATCTGTTCGTTTTTTATCATAGTTAAGTACTCCCTTGTTGCATTTATTATCCATTAATCCTAGTTTTATATAGTCTTGCCATTTTCATTTGTAATTTAGTTTTTCATATCTTGCTAAAAATTTTTCTAAAACTGACCAAAGCTAAGTATAATTACAACACAGCAAGCACGACCACTTGCTTAAATAAAGTTCAATTATAAATTTATGCAACTTCTCTTTACTCCTCATTCTTTTGCTTCCAAGAATTTAATTCTGATTATGTTTCGTTGTTTATTTCATTTTTATTTAAGAATTTTTGCTTAGATAATTCCAGGGTTTTGGTACTCAGAGTTCGTCACTTTTTAGTGGACCAGCTTTTAGCACTGCTACATCCTCGTCAAACCCATTTACATTTGGTAACAGCACGGTGAGAAAATATTTCATTCTGTTGTTTTAAAATTGTGATTTGTATAAATTTCATCCTACTGAATGCAAGGTTTTCCTTGAGTTTATTAACTTCATTTAATAAATGTTTAGGAAGAATCTTATGTTATTTACTTCTATGCAGTACACTGTAAATTCATTTTTAATTCACTATTCAGTGATTTCAGCAACCTTCAGTATCGACTACTTCGACAAATCTTTTTGGTGCTAAACCGTCTACTTCTAGTTTTGGTGCTTTCGGTGCATCTACGTCCACAGCTTCACCCTTTGGTATATATTAATAGCTACTGTTAAGATTCTTAAATAAATTCAGAGATTTAGAAATTTTATTTTCTATGTTGATGAGATTTAAAGAAAAATATGCTCTTTTCCAGGGAATCAATCAGCGGGTGGACTTTTTGGGTCTAAGCCAACGGCTGGTGGATTATTTGGTTCAAATACAGGTACTATATAATACAAAATGCCATTTTATTGACTCTGAGAATAAATTATTGTTTTGTGCAGTCGAAATTTTTAAGTTTTTTAACTTTCTGCTTTAATATTTTTTGTCTTTTGGTGGTCTTTTTGGACAAGCCGCTCCTTCCTCAGCACCGTCACTATTCAGCTCATCTGCAGCGAAACCAACTAATTCCTTATTTGGTTCTGCATCGACGCAACCTGGTGAGATTCATACTCATATATAAGGTTTTTCTACTAATTTGTAAAAACGAAATTAAAATTTCCGATGTTTTGCAGTTTTCGGTTCTGCGTATCAAGTAGCAGGTAGCAGTGTATCGTCAGCGGTACCCATCGTTTTGGGTGCCGATTTTAATCAGTGGCAAATTGAGAAAGCAGTAATTGAAGCACAGTTGGCATCAAGTCCTTACGGTGATAATCCGTTGTTAAAACTTTTAACGACTGAATCACAAGAGAAATCAAATATTCCTAATCCAGTCAGGTTAAATGAAGTGTTTATATTTTCTTTTTCCTTTCATTTCCTGTATTTGTAAGTACGATTCATATAATTTAAAGTAGTATTTTTTTCCGATTTGTTAAATATTTGTTTATGCATACGAAATTATATGTCACAAACTGATTATCGATACTATTATTTTTTATACAAAAATGTTCGTGACAAACTTTTTTCCGTATTCCTTTTCTTATTTTTGATTATTTCTTGACTTATGGAGAAAGTAAATTATTATTTATAGCATCGAACGACAAATTCGATTTTTGGCTTCAAAGAAAGAAGCAGGTGCAGTGACGACAACAACACCGAGTGGACCACTTGCACTGGGTTCAATACCTGCTGCTGCATCACGTATCAAACCTTCAGCCAAATCCCGAGATAGTATTGGCGATTTTACATATCACTCCATGTTTTTGCCACCTGGTCTCAGAGGAACTAATAGGATGAACACATCGTTGAATCATGATAACACAATTAATAGGTATTTTTTCTTGCTGTGGTAGTCTATAATAAAGTTCTTTATAGCGACGACATTTAGATCACAGAATAAATACTATTAATATATCCAAATACTTTCCTTTTATTTAAATTGAAGTTGTCAGAGTTGGAATTCATAGAATTTCAAATTGCTCGAAACATGACCTTTCAGGTCGTGTGGTACCAATGGTTCATCTTCATCAGTAGATCCTTCGAGTTTTCTAGGAATAAATACTAGTCAGTCATTGAAGTCAAAGTATAACTCGAATGTGAAACGACTTGATCTCAGTGTTCTTCATAAATATGTGGTATGATAAAAATTCAATAATCTTTTTATTCTATGGATATGAATATGATGTCACATTGATTATTACGATTATCACATCTTATAAAGCCATAATTCATCTTATTGTAAAGCAATAAATAATTACTGAAAACAAGGGAATGGAATTATTTACAGCAGGAGAATCGACGAAATTCTACCAATTCAGCAACTTTTTCACCACCAGCGGCGCAAATTAGTGGAGATAATGAAGCGACCGATAATGCACGAGTTGGAGCAGTTTCAAAGATAGATACTGCAAGTTTTTGTTTTGAGATAGATGTTATAAATTAAAAGAAAAATCAAGATTTACTAGCCTGATATCCTTGCAAAACTTGTAGCGGTCAGTTACTACCGAGTTGACAACAACGGGACAGAAAATAGGCGTTTCATTCATGTTGCCACCTTCGGAAAGTTTATCAATAAACAAAACAACAGTTGAAGAAGGACGACCAACTGTCAATTCTCACTCTTCCTTACAGCGGCCTGCTGAATTTCCTCCGCCATTGGTTTATTTTAATCATATTATTTATTTATTTATTAGTTATTAAAGTGATCAGGACTATTTGTGCATCTTTCTGTAACTCAAATGCTGCTATTCATTTTTCTTAATAGAATGCAGTTGTGAAATCATTCAGTTATTTTCGGGCCATATTGTCCGCTGATATTAATTGTTACATGTAAGTTGAAAGCACATCAATAATTATGAGAAAGTCTAAAAATCGGGTTTCTAGTTCGTTTCGGACTAGTCAACATGTAACTATAACTGGTGGTTATCAGTATGTAATTGGTATATTCTATGTGTTCACTCTGAAAATTTTCTAAATTAGACAGTAAATACGTCATCATATTTCTGTGGATAGATAGAGAATAACTATTTTTGTTAACTATCAATTTAGACTTATTCCGAGGATGAGAGCATTAGTAATTCACTGAATATGACTAACAAGAGTACTGCCAATGCCTCTTCTGAAAATGTTTCGGTACGTAGTATTCATCCAGCAGGCATAGTTTTAACAAGGTAAGTTCCTTTCATTTCTTTTTTAGAATCCACAGTACTTTGATTTTTTCAGTTTAATGTATAGATGAACAGCACTTCTAAAATAAAAGTACAGCATGCAAAATCTCTCTAATACTGTCTATAGCTTGCTCTAAATATTTAGAGCTCTTTATTAGTAGCTGAAGTTTTGATTACAGGCAAGATTATGAATGCGAACCATCTCTAGAGGAACTGGCAGAAATGGCACTGAAGAATAACGGTATCTGTCATATTGAAAGTGGCTTCACAGTACGTCGACTGGCTTTCGGAAGTGTTTTCTGGCCCGGACCATTTGACTTGCAGAATGTTAATTTGGATAAGGTTTCGACTTTTCATTATTTTTTCAACGCACTCAGGTGATTCAGAAAAAAGATTTGTTTCCGTCAGCTTTGTTTCAGGTAGTACATTTCCGTCAACACGAAGTGATTGTTTATCCTGATGATAATTGTAAACCACCAGTTGGAATGGAATTAAATCGGTTTGCAGAAGTTAGTTTGGACCGAGTTTGGCCTCGCGATAAGAAAACAAAGGAGTATATCGTGGTATGTTTTGATGATCTTCGTTTAATTTTGCTCTACACAGAAAAACAAAGAGTGCATGAATTTGTTTCTGAGAAAATTTTCAACAACCAACATAAATCATAAAATTTATTTTGAAGGATCCTCTTCGGCTAGAAGAATTGGGCTATCGAGCAAAACTAGAACGTGCTTCATCAAAAATGGGAGCAAAATTCAAAGATTATCGTCCTGAAACAGGCACTTGGGTTTTCACAGTGCCACACTTTACCAAATACGGATTAACGGTCAATTTTGTTCTTAAATTGCATTCTGTTCATTTAAACTTAATTATAAGAAGAGCTAAAATGCTGCTGCCAACCGTGACTTTTGTAAGTTATCAAATCTTCCTTCAATTTTAATCTAAATTCAAAACATTCCGGATTGTTAAGGACGATGATGACGATGATATGCTTGATGAGGCGCAGTTAAAAATGGCCTTCAAAGCTAGTAGAATCCAGAATGCTGTGCAACGCGCCAAATTACCGAAACTGAAGGTTGCTCATGAACATGACATCTTCTCAGTGGTGTCAAGTGATTCTACAACTGATCGTTCCCAAGTGAGTTAATTTTAAAAACCAAAACAAAAAAAGAAAAAAATGAAAGAGATGGTGACTTTGCTTTGATTTATGTTGGTTCAACTTATAATGAACTACTCGTTGCTTTTTACATAAAGAAAATTTTTGCATAAAACTTCGTTTAGTAAAATGTGGAATACAGCGGTCTAAATGTGTTATTTCTCAAATGCTGATCGATACTGCTATAGTGTATGCTGAGAATATGGACTTAATTTACTTAATCAGATCCTGATTCACATAGTGAAATTTCAATGGCTTTCATAGGAAGTTACATCGTTGGTATAAACTTAATGTAGCATATTTCAGGACTGTCACGAAGGCTTAAAACAAACTAATTCAATGCTTTTTGTACGCGGATTGGGTGGAATCAATGGTATAACACTTTTTTTTTAATATTTTTTTATTTATAGGAATTCATTTCTCTATTGATACTTTTCAGTTCGTGAATTTAAGGTTATAGAAAATCATTTCCCGAGCAGAACGTCCATACACATGTTGAGCATCACTCTACTCAGCCAAACATAATGTCAGAAGCGGAACATAAAATGGAACTTTTTGACAATAAGACAGTTCTAGGTTTGTTTTAGATTCATCCTGGTTTCATTTTAATTTGTGTCCCTTTACTGTGGCAATAATGTATTTGTTAAAAATTCATGAAAACAAAGTTCAAAAAAGCTTAAGATTTTTATATCGTCTAGTTTTAACTTGTGGTTTAACGTCATTCACCATTTGTTGTACTTTTAAAAATTATAATTTTGTAGATGATTTGGTGAGTGATTCTACTCTAATTGATGCAGAAGGACACGATGATGACATGTACCAGACGCAGATGTTTCTTACTGATCCGGTTAATGAGATAAAAAATTATTTTAAAGAAGGCGAACAAGTAGTAATGAGAATAGCTAAAAGAACCGGTACCTTTATAGACGGCTCATTAATGAATGGTAGATGTGGACGTGTAAGTTGGAATCATGGTTAGTTTTTTTTTTTTTTTTTTTTTTCAGAATTTAAAATTAATAAGGTCATATAATCAAAGACTATTTCAAAGTGATATATATATATATATATATATATATATATATATATATATATATATATATATATATATATATATATATATATAATAGTTGGTGATAAATTTAAGATCAGAGAAGCTTTAATTTTATACAACATAGATATATATTTATCAAAAAAAAAAAAAAAAAAGAATTTAAGCTCTGTTAAGATTTCTGTATATTCTATGAACAAACTTCAGCATATTCTATGAGCAAAGTGTATTTCCTTAGCCCTCACAAACGAGTGTCTGCAATCAGTTGTTTTATATTGCTGATAATACTGTCTAAGTCTAAGAAAGAACCTTTAAAATCCTTACTCACTATGCTTTCTTTTTAATTTGCGCGAAATCGTAAAAGGTTTTACAAACTGACATTTATCGTTTGCCAGTTTTTATAGTATATTACTGAAGCATTGAAATACGCCTGTTTAGCATGATACTTTATTTTAGTAAGATTGAAAGTCGAATTTTATAAGGATGAAATTCTTCCGTTGCAGGACGAGTATATTGGATGAGCGATCTTCCAAATTCGGTATCAGTCCGATGTCTTAAGTTTCAGTGTATTGATCAAGTGCCTACCGTAAATTTTATTTATTTACTTTCATTTACTTTTTTGGATTATTCTATTTTCACAGCTCTGGTCACAAATATTAAGTTACTTGTCCACTTTTTTGGTTACACGGATCTAATATGAGTTCATTTGTTGTTTTGGGTCATTGTAGGAATATATTATCGATCTGTTCCAAAAAATCAGCTTGATGAGTAAAGTAGTAAATAATGAGGAAACCGAGAATTTGGTTTTCCAGAATGTTTCACAAAGAAAACCAGATGGAGTAAGCTCATTTTTCGAACTTTTTTTTCGAAGTTGATAATATAATTTAATGCGTTGAAATTTTTCTTTGATTTTTGATACTTGAATAAATTCCTGACGTGTTTTTAAAAATAGTTTGCTGAGTTCTGATCGCAGAAATTTACGGCGGAATACAGTTCCCGTGTCATAATTAGATATCCTTGTAGGAGTTTCCCGATTTAATAAGTTCTTCCTTGACGACATCGAAACTTAACGGCATGGCACATGATTCGAATGTTTTTGAATTATGTGATGCTCTTTTTGGCTCTCAAATTACAGGTATTTCTGCCCTATTACTATGTCTTTGTCTGGCTTTAAACTAATCACCTTTTTTTTTTTTCATTGATCGAATCGAAATCTAAACAAAGTCAATGTTTTTAAATTGTTTCAACATATTCTATACGATTTTCAGCTAGCACCAGTTACACCAAAATGTTAAATCGCCGTGAAGAGGTTGCAAAATGGCTACAGAAGTATCTGGCAACTGTTGAACAGCATGGGAAGCCATCACCATCCGGTTTTGCTAAAATTCTTCACTTAATCTTGATAGGTGAATTGGAAGCTGCAGTAGAGGAAGCTATCGATAGCAATTATCCTCATCTTGCGTGCGGACTTTCAGTATTTAAGTATAGTGACAGGACGGCTTACAAAAACCAGGTTCATATTTGTTTTAGTTGTAATAGATCTATTTTTTTCTTAAACTGTTCCAATTGCATACTATTTTTTAATATCATCGAGATTAAATTCGGCAAGAAGCATATGTTTACTGAAAATGAAACGATATATTTAATAAAGTACATTTAATAACTTATTAAGTAACAGTTGAGAATTTGATAGTTCTGCTGTACAACGCTTTATTTCTATATAAACCCTTAGCATTGTTTTTTTATTTTCGATTGAACATTGGAAAGAAACAAAGGAGTGCAAATTCATTGACGAGAATCTGCTGAAAATTTATCTTCTGATGGCAGGAGAAATGCAAGCTGAAATAAATGGCAGAATGTTCTTTGTGAATGATGGTTTGGATGGATTAAAAGTAAGCTGGCATGCCATTTTTAAAATTCTAGTCATTTTGCTTTCTACATCTATTTTTTCTTTTTCACCGAATTCTTATCGAAGCTTGTTATGACCTTCACTAGCTTAAAAATTGCAAAGACAACTAATAATGAATCTCAGTGCGAAAAGCGCGGTTAATTTTGTCCTTGAATAGCGAACATCTTTTCTACTATTTATTTTCTTTGTATTATGCAAAAAATGTTGTCTTTTATTGCAGGCATTATATACATTCGTTTCCTATTTTGATCCATTTGATGCTTCGTTAAAATGTGTTTTGCATGCTTTCGAAAACGATTTGAAGGCACGGGAAGTAGAGCATACTTTGAAATGCAATATATTTTTTAAACTTATTCAGTTAGCTTGTGATCCCAGTCAGTCTATGGAAGTTGTTCTGGAGCCTGACTGCACTGCTTTACATCCTATGGATTATCATTTATGGTTTGTAACGGTCATTGTATTTTGAATTTTAAGAATAAGTTGAATGTTCTATCACTTCGGAAGTAATTTGGTTTTAAGATTTTCTACAGATGATAAAATGAATACAAAGACTTAGTACTGAAAAAAGAAGGAAGTTTGTGAGAAAATCGAATTATCAAACATAGACAGAAGAGTTAGAAAGACTTCTTTGCAGGGAATCCTTAGTTTGGGTTTATCATTTGATGATTTCCTGATTTTTCTCTTTTTATTTCGCTCGCTTTTTTTTCTAGAAAAATAATGTTTGCAGCTGGCATTTGTGGTTTATTTTACGAATTTTGAGATTTGAACATCCGTCAGAATCTGTTGAACATGTACTTCATATTCGATATGCTGAACAACTTTGTCAAATGCAATTGTACCATCTCGCTGCAATTGTACTAATGCATATTTCTGATTTGCAAAGGTACGTTTTATCGGTAAAATTTATACTCGATGTCAAACAGTTCTTGGTAAGTCTGTCATTGTTAATAAGTATTAAGCTGAAAGTGACATATTCAGTACCATTCTGTACTTTGAAATTAATTATTAGTCGAAGTGATTCTTTGATCGAACTTTGTGATCGAATCGCGGATAAAGCTGATGAGGAAACTTATATGAAACTGTCAACAATGGCGCTTCTACCAGATTCTGTTATTGCTCGGTCAAGGTAAATTTTTTGATTTTCTTCTTGTTAGATAATGCATACAGTATTGGCGAGGTTGACATATCAGTTCTTGATTTCTGAATTTCTTTGTTATGTTCCAGATATATGAGAGCGAAATTGGAAGGTAATGAAGTTAAAATGTGTTTATATGCTCTGCAAGGTGGCATGCTTGATGAAGCACATTCTGTTTTCTTCGAAAAAGTTGCGCCCGACATGATTATATCAGGTGTTTTAAATTCCTTTAAAAAAATCACACGTTTCGTATGCAAAACAAAAGGCTTTTCTATTATTCGATTTTTTATTTTATTTTCGGCTGTAATGGCTCCAAAAATGAAATAAAAAGCATAAAAACTAATCCTTAAGGTAATGAAGGGTCAATTTTTGTGCTTTTTATTAAGGCTGTAAACATTCGTGAAATTAATGAACGGGATTCAAATATCGTTCACTGAATTATTTTGTAGATAATTACGAGTGCTTGAGTGAACTTGGTGGTTTGTTTGAGGAGGTGAGTGATCAAATACCAGCGTGGGGGCCAGGAGGGCAAATTTTCACCGATTTTCATCATATTAAAAAAAGATTGGAAGAAATTGGAGATGATGAGGAGGTATGTTTTAGTGTTCTGGGTAGATATATCATTTTGAATTCAAATAATATTTAACTGAAGTTATAACGACCAGTGATTTTTCGTAATTTTTTCATTCTTTTTGACTCTATTTCTGCAGGTAAAAGAAATTATGGAATTGGCACACTCACTTGAACTACGGTTGGTTGCTATGCCCGTAAGCAACCCCATACAAAGGTTGGTATAGGTTTTATTTTTAAAACTGGTGAACTTTCTCATCTTTTTTTCAGCCTTTATAAAAATAATACTTAAACCAAACTCATTTTAGACTTGCTGCAACAGTAATGTCCAAATATGTTTTCAAACTAATCTATGGCTATGAAGGTACTGAAACGGAAAATCTACCATTAACTTATGAAGATAAATTGGAAATTGCCAGTGATCTGGAAATTCTTCCGAATTTTTCTGTGGATTGTACTGCTTCTCCAATATCAGTCGTGAGTTGCAGCAATAGTGATTAATAATGTTAACACTCATAATTGTTTTCATTGCACTCAAATCATATTGTAATAGCTGTTGTCAATGCTTTGGACCTCAGCAGAAGTTCAGGATCTGACGAGTCGAGCCACTTCCCCTTATTTTCAGGTTTGGAGCTCAACTCCGGTGTGAGTGTCCTTTTGATTGTTTATGTGCTTTTTCTGTTCTTTTTTTTTTTTTTTGAGTAAACGTTTCAAAAATTGGTATGTCGAACTCTGCTTTCTATAAAAAGTCGTGAAAAATCAATTTTTTTAGTATCATCGTTGCTAATCTGAATTCCTACGTTTTATTCAAACATGTATTTCTAAAATCCGACGGGAGTTATGCTAACCCTTGTGCTACTTGATTTTGCTGATCAAGACAGAAAATAGGATTTACATCACATATCATTTCACAATGAATATGTCTACTTCGTTATTCTGTTTGTTGTCTTTGTGAAGGCACCGAAATATTGTATTTGCTACGATGTGCAGCACTGTTTCTCTTTTATGTTTTGTAATGACAAGTTCGGATATTGCAAATTTATATACCGTCGTCCCATATATTTTAAATGGTGTACTTTGAAATTCAAGATACCTGATTCGTTGCTGTTAATTTCTCGTTTCTTTATTTGCCCGTTTTTGGTTCAAAAGAATAAAATCAATAAGCTTTTCAACAGTACGAGCAGAAAGAGCGGAGAGCACCGCAGAATCTTTTGTTCTCGAGACTTAAAAATAAGTCTGCTAGGAAATAGGTGAAGCATAATATGGAGGTGCTGATAAGTAATTTGAAATCTGAAGCCATGACCCAGGCGGTATATGTATACATTGCATGTACAGACAGCGCGTCCAACCTTCGACCTCCAACAAAAGGGTTCGTTAGCACGTGAAGTAGCACAAACCAAGTCATCTTTTCATATCGACACTTGGTTTCGTATTATTGCAATACATGCTTGGGTGTAAAATGCTTCCATTTGTATGGGCAGTTTCAGTCTCAAGATAAAAGGGTTCACTTGTATGGGGTCGAAAAGATAAAAGGGAGTTTGGTTGTTTTTGACGCAAAATTCCCGAATGGGAAGTTTAAGATTTTGATACCTCACAGATGTTTGGGGCTTTTTTCTCTAAGTTTTAAAAGTTTACGCGTTTTGATGAGTGTTTTAATTAATATTCATTGTAGCTCTTGCATGAAATGGTGGGTAGAAGCGCGGCAAAACAACGGCCCACACTTACGCGTGAATCAACCTCTAAGGACCTTACGCAAACACCCATGTCACTGCCTACAAGTAGCACGTAAGCTTATTTTCTCACATTTGCATTAGTATTCTTAAGCATATTTCTCGTTCCGTGTGGCATTATTGAAGAAATATAACGAATTACGTGCATCTGCCTGACCGACTGAAATACTGTATTCATTTGCATAGCATCAAATTCTGAATAGGTTTGACAAAGGAACAGAAGAAAATTAGAAAAGCTATATGTTTAGTAAGTTGAATACACTCCACACATATTGCTATATATTACCTCGTATTATTTTATCTAATGCTTGTTGAGCATTATAAAAAATTCTTAACCTTTACTCCAAAATTCTGTTTATCTCTTGAACTTACAGGACATTAAGAAGTAGCATTACTGATTAAAGTTAACTGGTAATTCATTTCCTCTTGACATCTCTATTTTTTCTCAGATCTGCACTCTCAGCACCGTTAGATGCTTCATCTCAAGCATTTCTAACAAGCGATGGAAATTGCGAATTAAGCGAAATTGATAGTCTAATTCAGAGATACTTAGCAAGCGCGCAATATAAAACGGCATTATTTTGGGCAGACAAGCAATTAGCATTATGTCGGAAAAATGGGTCGCAACCATCATTCGTTGATATGGCTCGGTTTATTAAAGTATGTGAAAAATATTTGGTGCAAATTTTTATTCATTATACTTTATCTTTTTCTGGATCTCATAATTTCATTTTAGCATTGAGATCTCATTCTTCAATATTATTCTTTTATGGAGCTATCCATAATGTTTTCAGCTATAAAATCTTCAAATTTTTTATATCATTCTTTATACTAGATAAGTGGGCAACTCAGATAAATAAATCTTTCCAAGATCAAAAGCATTTGTGTGAGTTTGAAGTTTGTAGTGAAGTTTTGAATTATAATGGAAAGCATAGTTACGACTGTCAACAAATTTTGGAATTTCTTGTTTGGTAGTTGGGCATATTATATCAAGTTAAATGTATTATTTTTCTGTTTAAATTTGCTTTAAATGCAGAAACTTTAACTATATAAATTTTTTAAGGTCTTGGCAGCTGCTGGAGAATGGACACGTTTGATGGCTTATTGTGATCGTCATGAGCTTATTATGAAGCATATGTTCTTCGCTTATTTTTACGTAAATGCACTTTACAAAAAGAAATTATTTGTTGACATACTCAAGTTAAAACTAGGTACAGGGGTGAGTCATTTTCGTATTTTTTGTCTCGTAAGTCTTCATATTTCGATGACACAGTTTATAAAACGAAATCAGTCTCCGTGAATGATAATTCCTGTTTTTCCTTTACAAGATCACTCTTCGTGAAAATTCTTTCGAAAGTTATAAATTCAACTTTTTTGAAGGATCGATGCCACGACCTCGTTTTTTCTATTATGCCTCATATGCTTCAGCTGTCCAGACCGAAGTCTTTCCTTCCAAGTTCTGAAGAAATGATTGCGCTTGATAAAATATCAGAAGATTTGCAGGTGATATTTTTAGGGCTAATACTGCCACATGATAAAGATTTCCGTTTTTAACTGAAATTTTATAGGGTTAGCAATCTTTTCAGGAATATTTTTGATACATCTCTTACAACAAAATAGTTTCTTCAAATTTTTTCTTTTTGTTAATACATAGGTAGAAGCAGGACTACTGCTTTTGTTAGGAAAAGCTTATCTGATGACTCAGAATCGTCGTGCAGCATTCTCTTGTTTGCAAGGAGCCGTTTATAAGGATGATTCTTGTATAGAAGCATTCGAGCTTATCCAAAAATATCGACTTTATTCAAAACAGCGCTTTGAAGAACTGATTGAAAGGTCAGTGATTTAGTAAACACTTCTTGAATGCTTCACTTCTTCATACTGATTTATTTATTCTGTTCATTAGTAGTTTTTGAGAATGTTCACAAAAACTTTGGAAGCTCATTTACCAATATTTTTTCAGATCTGAAGATAAAAACAGTATGGTTGTAGCTCTTCGAAATCATTATTTTTCTCAAGGGAGTAAAAATGCAAGTTTAGAAAATAATCTTGTTACTAAGAACTTTTGGTTTTATTTCATGCTTTTTTTTTTCATTTCATTGTTATTGGATTCGTTTGTTTTTTGTAGCTGAATTCGGATGCCTTAATAAATGAAGCTTTGATAACGGATTTGTCAATTCTTACTGCGCGAGCTTCACATTTATATCAAGCTGGGGATCTCACCGGAGCTTATAATATTACGAATGAAATTTTGAATGAGGCTGGCATGTTTCAGGTTTCAAATTTTTGCTCATGCGAAAAATGAAAACGTTTAATAGAAGTAGCATGATAATGTATTCCAAACTAATGTTGAAATAGTAATAACTGATGAACATGAATCTAGTAAATTCTTTGTCATTGTTTACTTTCTTATTTCGTTGTAATTCTTGTTATGTTTAACTTTCCGCCGTTGGATTATTTATTATATATTGTGTCAGTATTGCTTTGAAACCATTGCATATGTTCATTGTTATCTGCAAGATTTCCAGCTTTAGGATTGTTTGTTAATTCATATTGCAACTTTGGTACAGTTGCGGAAATTCGAAAATCTCTTTGTACTAGCACATCAACTGGTCGATTGTCAACCAGATAATGAAGTTAGTTGGTATACCGTTGGTTGTTATTACTATTCTATTGGACAGCTGTCAGCGGCAAAAAATTTTTTTAGTAAGTTTTAAATTTTATTATAAACTGTTTAATTTTGGTTGTAACCAATTAGGTTTTTAATTTCATATTATTGATTTTGGCAGTTTACTGTTTTAGTATTCTTTTCAAGTGTTTAAGCCGATTTCGATTTTTGCATCGTTCTGATTTTGTAGAATCTAAACATGAACATGTTTTTTTCAACATGTTCGCTTCTGCAAAATTCATAGTGACAGATAATTATCTGTCGAGAAAACGATGAAGTCTTTTTAAAATCAGCTGTTTCAGATAAGTGTACATCGATGAACTGTGCATTCGGTGAGGGTTGGTTAGCATTTGGACATGCACTTACTGCAGAATCAGAACATGAGCAAGCGATGAATTGCTATTTAAGAGTAAGTTATTTGAAGTGGGTTCTGAAGTATTTTAAATTATTTGAAATAGACCATTTGGAAGAAAAATTTTGAAATGAAGCATTTTATTCGATTTAACATATTATCTTCTTATGTAAAATATAGGAAGCTATCTTCTTCGATGGGAAATTAAGTCTTGTACTAGAAATTATTAAGAGTAAGTGGTTCAATTGAATAATTAAGAATTCATAAACCTTATATATTTCAGGCATCACGAGTGCTGGAAGGTAGCTTCGAACCGCTGTTATATATAGGACTCGAATATGCTTATGCAAATAATACAAAATTGGCGCAGGATTTTTTGAAGGATGCAGCTGAAATAGCTGGTGACAATGCGCTTGTGTTACATGAGCAAGGTTGCATCTGCTACATGAAAAAAGAATGGAAAAGTATGTTTTCGATCCATATAGTTTCAAAACAACTGAATTTTTGAAATATGTTGTCTGTTTGAAGCCGTGTCTGTAATTAATTATTAAGTTGTTGAATAATTTCGATTTTTAATTACATGTTGCACAAAAAATCTTCGTTTTGTATCTCAAGCTGCTTGAGCACTTGCTGAGTTCTTGATCTAGGCCGCATATTCACTTGTATTCCATACTGTCTACATAGTAATATATAGTGGTAGCTGCAGTGTACAGAATAAAGCGACAAAGCATTTTGTTATCCATTTATTATATATGAATCATTTATTGTACGTAAAAATTTTGACCTAAACTGTTAATTGTGGTGGATATCGAAAACAATTAATAATGTCGAAGCATGGTATAAAATACTTATCAGAAGTTTGAAATAGGTTAAGAACATACTTGTTATGTTTTTTCAAGTTCAGTTAAAAGAAACGTTCAAGTGATGGAAGAAATGTTGAAGGATGTTTGTAGGATAAATGAAAGACTTCTATTTTCCAATTCTGGTAAGTACTAGATCCATTTCAGATGCTGAAACTTTTTTTACTAAAGCTTTGCTATCAGCATACAACGAGACCGATGAACATGCTCACGCATGTGACTTGTTGAATCGACCGTTGAGTGAATTTTGGGAACCACTTGTAAATAATTTGGGACATGTAAAGTGCAAACTCGGATCTTACGACGAAGCGGTCAAGTTTCATCAGTAAGTTCTTTGAAATGATTGCATTCTTCTTGAGCTTTATCCAGGGTTCGCTTTCCTGAAGAGTCTTACTGGATTAATTGCTGATCTTTAAGATCCACTCTTTAAACAATTCTATTGCCAGTAATTTTTGCACTTGCTTCTTGCTTCTAGAATTCTAGAGTTGCTTGTCTTATTTTTCCCATGAATTATTGTTTCACCAGCTGATAGCATAAATTATAATAAGTAATAAAGTCAAGCTATTACCTGTGCTTAAATGTGGATGTGTGATATAATGTTTTTAATTAAGGAAAGCACTTCTAATGTGTCCGGGAAAGCTAGGTCCAAATGCTGGACTAGCAATAGCAGCAGGACGATCTGGTGACATTGATAGAGCTGTCCACTACTTTCATAAATCACTTAGTGTGGACCCACATAATAAGGTATTACAAATTTTAAAGAGGATATTTTAAAGTTTTAATATACTTTTTTTAATGAAAATTTGAAAACATTTTATGTCGCGGCACAAGCGAGTAATTTCCAAGTGGGACCAAAAGTTCGCGTTGTTCAAATTTATTTTTTCAGCTGTTTCCTTTTATTCATTTGTTATTTATACTTGTTTTACCACACTACACTCAACTTTCGATTACATAATCCACTGTTTTCGACCTCATTTTTCAAAGTATTATTTTGAGAGTATTTTGTTATCGACAATAAACTTGCTGAGTATAAATTGTTCAGTTTTGGGCAGGAGTATTGTTACTAAAGTACTTTAAGTTAACGTGGCTACCAACCTGTTTTCCAAAAGAACTCATGTCTGAATCATTTCATTATTCACTCTTAGTTATGTTATTCAATCTCTTGATGTTAGATTAACTTCTTTAATCTTCCCTCTAGGACATTACTTCATAGTTAATGCCAACCTTTGGTTAGGTAAAATCTAACTTTTAATATTACTAGCTTTTCAGGTGTTGGAACAAGGACTTCATCAGCTCATGCATTTTTTGGGAACACATACCAGCTTTTTAGCATCATGCATAAGAACTCCAACTCTTATGATCGGAGTTCGTTTTACAAAGGGTTTCAAAAATTTGAGAAATTTCATGAACTTTTTTATCCTTATTCATTTTCACAAAAACAGTTTTTTTTTTCAGTCATTCGAGAAATTCTTAGTGACAAAAGCTGATCTAGAAGGAAATTCTGATGAAAAGCAAACTCAACAAAAGGCATTGGAAACGCTGAAGAGGAAACGCGCGAAACGTGCTGCTCAGGAAGGTTGCGAAAGGTTCTCAAACCGTCTACGATTTTTTCATTAACTTATCAAATGATACTTAACTTATGTGTTTGCTTCATATTAGAGCGTACTAGAGCAATTTAGATGCATTGCAAATGATCATATATTAAAAGCTTCGTGTGATTGTTGATTAGTTTGGAATTTTACGTTAGATAAGATGATCCTGGAATTTTCAAGGTCTTATTCCAAATTCTAAGGGAAAGTCATAAATATGAATAAATCTTTGGAATTTTCTATTTTTATGGTATTTTTTCTTTCAGGACAATGTTGGATCAGCGGCCAAGAAATCTTCCTATGCATGATATTAGCCCAGCGGATGTTGAAATGACTTAGAAAAAAGTTACGAATGATTGCATTCGTTTAATTTTTTTTTTTTTTTTTCGTTATAAAATGTTTATTGATTCAGTATAACAAGTGCTTAACAAAATTTTCGATTTGGTGAGGAATGAAACTGTGGAGTAAAACCGAGGTCTGATTATTAATAAACCGTACATTAAACTCACGATTGTCTTAATGATCCTAGTGATTGGCCAAACCAGTGTCTTTTTTTGACTTATCGTGCTTCCGATAAAAGTGAATTTAACAAATTAGTGATCGTAAAAATTCAAAAATCTTTTTTGAACGACTGTGTTTATTCCCGTTTTTTCTAAAATTTAAAAATATTCTATCCAGGTGGACTTTCCACTATATATAAAGTACAGTAATTATTTCCTCCTTCTACTTTGCCTTCCGTCTTAAAAATGTTTTGAGATGTTTGTAAATAGAAGAAACATGAAATTTCAGCTTCAGTTTTGATTTCAAAATTAGGCTGTAAGTCAATCTTCAAAATTTTTAGAAAGGTGAAGTTTGGTATTGGACTATGCATGTCTCTCTCAATTCAAAATCACATTGAGTTGTTTCATATGCTTGAAGATTCGGTCGTAGTTCTTGGTACAAAGTCCAAAGTGTACGGAATGATAGTTTTAACAGTGGTTATACATATCTTTTGACTGGAGGTAGTTTTAGTTTGCGCGTTGTATAAATTGAGATTCGGCATGATATATCTGATTCTTCATGATAGTTATGGGAAAACTAACACACATTGGGGACTTAGCAAGAAGCAAGGGTCTTTTTTACAAGTATGATGTTGCCAGTTAAACGTCCTTAGTTTTTGTATCGCATGGTGGGAATCGGTAATAATTGTTTTCATTTTCACTATAAATGATTTTCAATTAAATAGACATTCCGACACTTCAGTAAATCACGGGGGGGGGGGGGGGGAGGTGAAGTAGCTGCCACGTAACACGTGGTTACCTTAATTTTGCTGTTTAAAAATTCTTAAGATTTCTTCTCTGTTGGGCGTTATTCACATTGTTGTAGAATTTCGGCAGATGTCCCGCTCATTATTAATAAATCTGGGGAATATAAATCGAATTAAACCGCTATACACAATATCATGTTGTTACTTAACCTCAACAGCACCTACGATATCAAGGAAAATATTTTCCAAACCCAATCAACCGAATATTGTTCTCGTGGATGCGGTACGTACACCATTTTTACAATCGAGAACGATGTTTAAGAATATGATGGCTATGGATTTGCAGCGAGCTGCTCTTCTAGGTATTACTTCCTCTACTTCTATTAGTTTCTCAATCAGATGAGAAGCTTTTGTTACATTCTGGGGAAAGTTTAGTTTGTAATTATTTGAAGATTTAACAAGACCTCGGATAAATTTAAGGAAAAGGATGCTCAAAAGAAAATATTTCGTATCAGTTCGATAATGTTGAGTCGTTGAGATGCCCACAAAGAGCTATTTTGACCACTTCAATCACACGTGTGGAGTATGTATCAGTATACAAAAGTATTCTTCGTCGTCTGAAAGTACTTTGAATATCGGAAAAATCTTCATTTTGCAGCATTAATGGATCGGGCGAAAGTGAATATACATGATGTGGGGCATATTGTGTGTGGTACTGTGATACAGGAATATAAAACGAGTAATGTGGCACGGGAAGCTGCGTTAATGGCAGGATTTTCTAAAAATGTATGTTTCATTACTTATGTAGCTTTAAAAAATAAGGTTGTTTCGACACTGTTGCTATGTCGTTACTACTTTCATTTCAGTTTCAATAGACTTTATTTTTGGATTAATTCAGATACCGGCGCATACAGTTACACTGGCTTGTATTTCGTCAAATGTTGCAATAACTGATGTTATGAATATGCTTTCGGCAGGTTATTGTAATGCGGGTATCGCTGGTGGCGTTGAATTACTTTCCGATGTCCCAATTCGATATAATCGAAAAGTATATTTATTTGTTTTTATTATCCATATTTCTTATTTGTACATTTACTTGTTTAATCCAAAAGATGAGCCATTCTTGATGGAATTTTCTTTTAATAGATTTGCTTTTTAGGTACGTTCAGCATTTCTTTCTCTAGATAAAGCAAAGAAGTTTTCTGACAAGTTGACAGCAATAAGGAAAATAGCATTAAACTTCTTCTCACCTGAATTACCAGCTGTTGCTGAATTTACGACTGGTGAAACCATGGGACATAGCGGTGATCGACTAGCTGCAGCATTTGGCGTATCTAGACGGTTGGTAATTGTCTTTTAAGCTAACTAAGTAAGCTTTGAGAATAAATTGTCTTCTTTGAGAGCGAAGTATTGTGTATCAAATAATCAGTAAGAGGTATAAAGTAAGTATTCGAAATAAACCATTTTATCATTTTAGTTATGATGCGGAAGTATTCAGTTTACATTACAAAACTTTGTCTTAACAGGACAATCATTCAAATGAATAAACTTTTAGGGCAGTTATTTTCTTTTCCATTCTGGATTTCAGTGAGCAAGATGAATTTGCCATTCGTTCACATATGCTTGCTGACCGTGCTTCGAAAGAGAACCTGCTCTCTGACATTGTACCAGTTTTTGTACCTGGCAGTAAGCCGATGGTTGTTCGAAGAGATAACGGTATCCGTGTTTCTTCGATGGAAAAATTATCACAGCTGAAACCAGCTTTTGTAAAATCTCATGGAACAGTTACTGCTGGTAAGTTTTGTTGATGAGTTCAGAAATGTAAAATTGGGCAACATATTCTGCAATTTCGTTGATGAAAGAAAAATTCGCGTGATGCTGTATATATTTTATTAGAGTAAACTAAGATTATAAAATTAAAGAAGAAGTATGATTTAGATGGAAATATCACTGGAACGGCGTGCTGATTCTTTATGGTTAATTTCTATAATGTTGGCATTATCGAGAAATTCTTTTTTTTTTTTTTTTTTTTTTTTGTATGTGTGTGTAATTTTTTCTTATTACATCAATACCGTAACTTATTTAATTTATGCATTGCTGTTAATGAAAATGAAACTTAATAACTTGCTAGTACAATTAATGTAGAGATATGAGTGGGAGGTCGCAAAAAACAGTTAATGTATGGGCTACACTTAGTGGCCCGAAATTCAAAAGAAACAAATAAAGAATCAGTATCAGACATTACATTGACATGCAATAGTTCCATAGTATTTTTTTTTTTTTAACTCCAGTTTGCAGGCAATTCTTCGTTCCTCACAGATGGCGCATCTGCGTCACTGATAATGACGGAAGATTACGCAATAAAGAAAGGTTATAAACCAAAAGCCTATCTGAGAGATTTCCAGTATGTAGCACAAGATCCAACTGACCAACTTCTTCTGTCACCTGCCTATGCAATTCCGAAGCTAATGGATAAGGTGCGAATTTTAATTTTACATCACTGAACTTTCAGCGTTTCCAACTGAAACTCCATATTTGTTTTATTTCCAATTTCTTAATCTGGATTCAGGTTGGACTAACGTTAAAAGATATTGATGTTTTCGAAATCCATGAAGCTTTTGCTGGACAAATTCTAGCCAATTTGAATGCCATGGATTCAGATTATTTTTGCAAGGTATTATTTAATTTCTAAAAATTTTTTACAAACTTTATTAGGTCCTTTTTTTCTGTTCTTTTATCTTACTGAAGAATTTTCTAGGAAATGTTACAACGACCAACAAAATATGGACGTATAGCAGAGGAGAAGTTGAATACCTGGGGTGGTAGTCTTTCGCTTGGACATCCATTTGGTGCAACAGGCGTACGATTGGTGTCCCATGCAGTAAATAGACTGCAGCACGAAAAAAGCATGTTTTCTTATTCGTTTCCTAACATTCAATTTGAATAAATTGTAGGCTATAAAAGCATTTACCCAAAGTTTGGTCAGAAACTTGACTAAAACAGTTTAACTTCTTACAAATCTCTTCAGGAATTTTATGTAGGCTAGATTTAATGCTTAATTGCATCACTTCGGAATGAAACTTTGTAATAAGAACCGAGCTATGGAAGCAAAAGTTACACAAATGACAGTCTTCATGTCAGATCCACATGAAGTGGATGTTTTTAACTAATGATTGAAAATATCCGGAAGAAGATGAATTAATGCACTAAATCGATTAATAAGACTGATTAAAAATAAATTCTAGTCTTGCAGCACATAAATGCTTTAATTTTTCTACAGAACATCTGGGAATTGTAGCTGCATGCGCTGCAGGTGGACATGGAGTCGCTATGCTGATTGAAAATTATCCGAAATAAACATAATTTGTTATAAAAATAATAAGAAGTCAGCTTCTTGTGTGTGTAAAATTTTATGTGCAAAAAAAAGAATACAGTGTGAATGGTTCATTCACAGCAATTCCAATAATTTGATTGATATTTTCCGCGGTGGTCAGTCTATTCTCTTCTATGTAGTAGTTTATGTTACATGCGCTATGTTCCTCAGTACTATTTATAGGCCTTCTTCAATTATTTCGGATTTTTTATTATACCAAATAGGAGCTATAGATTACAAACCTATAAACTTGACTAATAAATGTTGAGCTAGAATGGCTGCTTTATACCGAACAGTAACGACCCTGGTCCGGAATTAAGTTGAAACGACTACCTCTGCAGCGTCAGAGTAAACTGTCAGCTTTTGCTCATCTTAAATTCGAGTTGTGTTATTCGAAATATGTTTAGAGATTATATACATATCAAGTGATTTTACTATGTGAACTGTGATAAAGTTATCAATAAAATTAAGTAAACATGAAAATACTATTTAATCGTGGTAGATGGTAGATTACATGGGAAGCAAAATTAAGTGAAAAGTTAACTTTCAGAGGTTCATATTTTCCAGTCATTATGTATAGGATGGGAAGGAATGTGGTGGTTTGTCACATTAACTATCCTCGTTTACTGTTGCGGGGAATAGGAGTTTTATGCGCTGGGAGGGTAATAGAGAAGACTATCATATTGAAATAAGTTGTAGTTAGGTTCTAAGGATGATAGAGAGGTCGACAGGTTAGAACTGCTACCTCTCATCTAATAAGTCTTGCATCTTGATTAAGTGGTGTCCCACTTATCCCATCATTCATGTTCATGTAGGAGTAAAATCTCATTTCATGTGTGTAAAACCTTTCAGCACTTCAGCTAAATTCAGTGTTTCTTTTATGTTTGAAAATACTCAATTTTGGGAAATGTGGAAGAACTTTTTTTCCTGCATTATCGCGTCGTTGTCATTAAATATTAATACATCATGCGCTAAATTTAACTATATCTAAATTCGGAAAAAATACATACATGAGATTGACAAAGTAGAGATGGAGAGATAATTCTAGAGCCTAACAATAGTGGCCTTAAGGCCAGCCTATGGTAGCAAACGGCCTTCAAGTAAAAGAAATCGATCGTTAGTTAGTGCTGTATTGAGACACTCAGACTGCATTCACCATCCTTTCAATATTTGGTTAACAAACCCAAAAACTTATTAGATTGCTCATCTACCCTTCTCTCTTTCATTTGTTGGCCTTTATATTATTTTAAGTAAAATTTGAAAATTTTCTGCCAGCTGATTTTGTAGCTTTAATATTGAATTCTAATGATATTTGATAAAGCGAAGCTTTCGTCCTTGTCTTCACAATGTTTTTTATATGTAAGAACAATGAAATTGAAACTGAAGTTGTGCCATTTTGTTGAATTCATAGCTCTTCACAATTTTCAATTTAAACTGTGAAATTATCAACAAGAAAGGACAGTGGTGCATCTAACATTTAACGTAAAGGTTACCTCATCCAGCGTAAGTTGCTTGTTACGCTTTTCAAATTCCATTTATAATTGTTCTTATGTTATTTTTCTCTGATAGTTTATAAGATGCTGTGCAGTTAGAATCAACTTCAAGAAAATTTTATGAAGTTGTGCTATTTTATTGAATTCGAATTCATTGTTCTCGAATTACACTGACTCATCACATTATCCTATTTTATGTAATAATCCTTGATAAGATTTCGTCTCCATAATGTTTTTAGTAATTGAGTTGACATTATAGGTGACATTCAGATACAAGGCCACTTCAGTTATGAGTGTAAACGACTTTCTGGCTTTCAAATTGTTATTCGTAAGGCTGAGATAACTTAGAAAAAGAAGAAAATTATATCCCTAAGAATGGATGCTCAAAGTTAATATACATAACAATGCTCTTTTGTGTTATTCCTATTCCTTTGATTCTGATTTAAATGCTACAGAATATGCTAGATCGATTCAAGGAGAGTTTCAACAGAACCAAAAAGATCCTAAATATTATATTGCTTGTTATTTTAGAGTTTGGATTAATGAAAATTGATTTCTCTCAATAATACATCAGCCATCTGGTTCTCTTATTTTGTTGAATTTAGTCCAGTAGTACTTTCTCTTTAACGATTTCCGACGTTATTTATGGACAATTTTGTCATGTACTTTTTTAATATTTTAATAATCTTACTTATCTATCGAGCATTATTCCTCTGATCGCTGTTACCACTGTTTTCTATCAATACAATAATTAATCGAGACATAGTTCCTCTCTTGTTTCATTTATATACTCCTTGTACTGAACCACGCTAAGTCATTCTCGAATCTTTTGACCTCCCACATTATGAAATTTTATTTAGAGTCATATATCTAAATTTACATTGTTATTTTTCTTATACATAACTTGATTCAATTAACAATTTTCTTGCTTCGCGCCATTTCAACTTTGTCATCTTTACGTCGCCTTTCTTCTTTGTCATTTCTTCTGTTTAATGTTCCATCACCAATGCGACATTAAAATAAGTGAAGCTGTGATACCATGTTCGATTTCTGTGTCTCATCGAAAATTTGACACTGAATAGGAATACAGACAGAGATTTATTGTGCATGGCAGCTGTTGGCGTAAATGGAAGAGAGTAAGTTGTTGTGCTCTTTTGTGTAATTGGAAATCGATGACACATCAATCCTATAAGCGTCACTTTCATCGATTTTAACGACCTCGCATTTTGAGTTCTGGGATTTTGGATCAATGATTTCTCTACTACTAGTAGTTGCTGTGAAGTTATTATATGACTTACAAACGAAAGACCTAGAATCAATTATATTCGAATTCAGAGATAGGAGTGGACTCTACCGCTAGTTCCCACATCAATTCTCATACATACATTGCGTCAAAAAAGAGAAATAAAATAAATCGACGAAACAAGTTAGAAAAAAGAATGTGAAAAAGTCCAAAAATTTTGTCTTACTTATGAGAACTATCTCATAGAAAAACAACTTGTTGTCTTAAAAAAATATTTGATTCTTTCTTCTGCCTATCACATCGTCTGCGAAAGACTAAATGAGAAATGAGAAGAGGTGAAAGGCATTCATCAAAATTTCATTCTCATCGACGTTTTTTATTGTTCACAGTGTAAATACGTGAACAGCAAATGGTTGTCGTTAACGTAAAAGATTATCTGTCTCTCAGGCTTTTGCTAACTTTCGTTTCTTCCAAAAATTTGTCTATACTTATTTTTCAGCCTTGTAATTGTTGTGTACTTTCTGTTTAAAATCTGGAAGACAGATCCGATTAAATGATACTGGACATCAATATCTGTGTGCTTCTTGTCTGTCTGTGAGAGAAAAACTTGTTTCAGATATGATAAATTCTTCATATCGTTTAGCATAGATTAGTATGTTGTGGAAGGAGCCCTCATCTCTCAGTCGACACTTATAAAGAATTAATTAGTAGAAAAAAAATTGCTGCATTCCACTTTCTGTTTTCTGTGAAGCATATGAAAGACAAAATGTCACAAGGTCAAGATTAAGCTAAATGATTCCTTCACTGTACAAAATGTAAAGTTTATTTCTCAGCTTAAGCATGGTTTCCATAATAGATGTATTTTAGATTTAAGCAACATACATGAGTGGTGGGAAGTTCAAGTCTATTTAAATAAGGGAACTTTTGCAAAATTTCTCATCACAGTTGAGTGGAGGAGAGAAGAGAAAATGGAGTTAGACAAGGGAAGTAACCTGGAATGAGGCTATAACCTATATTTTTGTGGGCAAATATGTTTTCTATTAGAATATGCACCATTTTGATTTCGGATGTATTCTCGTTGCGCAGCAAATTGAATAATTTTTTTTTTTTCTTTCTAAAGAAGTATGTATGGGAAACGAACGTTGTATTCCGATTCATCTAATCATTAATTTGTTTTTTTTCTGGGTAATATATCGTAGAAACTCGTTTCTTTTCTCTTTTCTTGATCTTCCTTCCAAGTTGTTAGCAAAGATTCGCTTCCGAATGAGAACACTTTGAACATGAATTGCTTTTCACATCCATCATTGAGGCATCGTAATGAGTATTTGAATGGCATCCATCCTAAAACAGGATTATTATTATTGAGTAGTAACAGCAGGGATGACAAGTTTTGTGCAGATGAAAGGCTAAAAAGTCATCGGAAAATTATTGGTACAAAGTTAGTATGGTCTTTTGTTTTCTTTTTAACAAGTGAATTATTGAAGGTTTTTAATGAAAGTAATGATAGCTTAACAAAGCAAGCCAAACTGTTCAAAAAGTAGCAGTGCAAAATTCTGAAAAGGTATGGGCACATTAAAAGGAGCGAAATCATTTTGTTCACTAAACTCATCCTCTCATTTCGTTTCCTTTCAGAGAATTGGAAATAGGAAAATCTTGAAAAGAAGCGTAAATTGTCAGTTACTGAGAATTTATTTGAAGATATAGTTCACCATCAGTAGATTCATTCACTAATAAGTTTGTTGATCTGAACTTTAAATAACTGTTCTCCAACCGATTCTATGAATGTAAGACGGAATAATCTTCAATTTGTAAATAATTATTACTTTTTGTTCTGAAGTATTATATTATTGCTAAATAAGGATTGAATAGTTACTCAAATGATCTATTAAGTAAGAAGAAGACTAACTTATAATTTAATTATAATCGAAATAACTAAACTCTTGTAGAGCTGAAAAGCTAATTCAGTTATTTATTCCACATAAATATTTAGACACCTGGCAACAAACAAATACTTGCACTGATCTTCCCGCACTTCATGCTAAAAAAAAAAAAATCTTGGTCACATCTGTCTTGATAGATTATTAAACAACTTTGTTTTATTCTTTACATTTATATTATTTGATGACAAATTTTGTTAAACCTCTAGAATATTCTTCCTACATTTTTCCTTATTTTTCTCAATAATTTTCATACTTTTTTGCTTCCTAACGATATAATGTTCTCATTTTCTCCGTCCAACACTTCATAGTCTCAAAAATACTTTTCTTTCAGGATTTCTTGCACAAAATCTGTGCGATTATAACAGTATACATTTCTGCAATGCATGTTTTTAATTACATTTATGCTTTCATCTCTTCTATTGGATAATAAAAACTGATTCAACTGCTTGAAAAAAGTGCGAAAAGAGAATATTCGTATTTTCATAATAGAAAACCAGTTTTAACGTTGCACTGCTATAATGAAATATTTTTGATCGGTCGTTGTAGAATTTTTTTTCACAAAACTTATTAAAAGCTTTTAATTACTTTCAAACTTACAAATATTTTTTGTCATATTTTAATTCATTCAAAAATATTACCGCGCTTGAAATACGATAAATTTATAGTTGATGGATGTCAATATAAACCATTAGACAATCAAACAAGAGAGAAAGCTGTGGTCACTCCCAATTACCGATAATGTCAATGAAATACTATGGTACTATTTTCTGGGCACTACATGTTAATTAATATGGCTTAGCAAATTCACTAAGCAACAATTAAAAAGTCTACTCAGAAGTGCTACTCAACTTTATGGGAAGCAATTTCTTTTATTTGAAAGTATATGTTGTAGCACTTCTGTCTGTGCTACAATGTCAGCGGAAGACAAAAACCAATCCTAAAGAGCATAAGTAAAAAAAAAAAAATGCTTGAGCAATGCACTTCATTTCTTCTACATTCTCTTCCTTTTATTTTTTATAATATTTGTTAACAGCCTACATACCCAAACATTCTTTCACTTCTCTGAACTAATGCTTAAATAACTTTAGAATGAAATGAAAGCATATCACATATCTCAGACTAAGGAATATAATCGTTACCTCTTTTGACACTAAAATCATTTAGAATGTTTTAATCAATATGAAAGATAATCCCCTAACTCAGTACCCAATAATCGTACTTATGGTTACCGTTGTGCCAGGACTACTGTTAGATTCATTTTTATCAAGATTTTAATTTTGCTTTCCTTTCTGACGTGCATCTTCCATATATATTCAATCATTAATTGATACTTTTAGACTGAATAAGACTCGATAAGGAAGATTTTTGTAGCAGTCCTATAGTTCATTGAATACCTAATGCAGTCTAAGGATAGAAGACATTAATGACAAGCATATAACATCATTCATTCGATTTACTGAGGAACGCAATTCTTCTTGCACTGAAGATTATCCCACTGGCACAACTAACACATGAAAGGATGTTGATCAGAAATCCAAAGAGCAGAAGTTAAATCCACTGTTCAAGTGAAATCATCCCATCTCATAAATGAACAAGTTGTTACCAGTTCTCAGTTTTTTTTTTTTTTTTTTTTTGCTTACTTAAAACTTTCATATCCGACAGTAAGCGATCTAATTACAATATCTGAAGCACATTTCAAACGTACAGCTAAATAAAATCGATCAAACTTTTCAAGTCGGATCACTTTTTTTTCTTTTCCAATGACACCTATTTGCCACTGCAACATCTGAACGGCTTTGGCACATCTGCAATTAGTTGTTCTTGTGATAAATTACTGGAAATTCCGCACATCCTCTCTTGTCATATTAAATTCTCATGGGCAGCTGATATTTCATTTCATATTTACATTCATTTCTTTTATTTCGTACTTTATTTACTTTTCTTTTCAATCTGTCCAGCTTTTGTTTATATTTGTTTGTTATATATTCATCCAATGATTTTTAAAAAAATATTTAGCAAAAATTTGATTGTTATATAAAATGGCGAATTTTTTAAAATGGCGAAACTGGCGAATTTTTTAAATCGAAAGAAAATAAGTGGAGAAATTAAATTTACAGAATCAGTAAAAATAAATAGCAATGAATCGGTACTTTGTACGCTGATAAGCATATAAAAAATAAAAGTTACTAAGAAATAAAAAATCAATCAAGAAGCATGTGAAATAGAAGTTATATCCATGTTTTCATGTTTCTCATGTAAAAAATGTTTTATATGTTAGCTTAATGCTGACGATTTAACCTTCCGGTAGCCTTATGCATATCTGAAATGTTATAAATAATGAATGTTTTTTTATATGTTTCGTACGATATAAATTGAAAGGACTAAACAATGAGTTGGCTTGGTGAATTACTGGAACAAAATAGTTCGGATCCACGTGAACGTCTGGAACTTGGACAGCAGCTACTGTCGCAGTTACAAATTTCAAGACTTTCCTCTGATTCCACACTTCTCAATGATTTCTGCGATTTAGTGGTGCAGTGGTTATCCGGCTCTAATTATAAGGTTAGACAAGTTTACAACAGTTATCCGGCTAATTGTAAGATTTCATAATACTGCGATCTTGTTATGAATAATTGAAAGTATATAGTTTTATTAATAGCAAAATCTCCTTCTATAAATTCAATATGAGGAATTTTGCTAAAAGACCTTTGTTGTTTCAGGTAGCCTTACTTGCAGTAGAAATTATTGATGTGGCAATTGAAGTGTCCGCAGATGTAATCTCGCCGTATTTATTGGATCGGGTTAGAGCTCTAGTAGAACGTCTGGGTGATTCAAAACAAAGTGTACGTGAAGCTATGGTTCAACTTCTTGCTGCGCTCGCAAACACACCACATTGCAGTCCTCAGGTAAAGCATAGGTTTGGTTAGGGGGCAGCAACAAAATTCATATTTCTGCTTTTCTTTATTAGCATTTTCACATACGCCTGTGACAGATCTTATATTCGTAAATCGCTTACAACTTCTAATTATTCATTTCCACTTGTTTATCCGGCTCTTCAGCATGTGCTTTTGGTTGGAAATGGATCGGGAATCTCGGGAATTAATGCTTGTATCTAGCATACCATTAGCTATTTAAAAAAAAAAAAAATGTGCTGCAGTAAATTTTTTTTTTGCTTTTACTGGACAATCCACTGATTCAACAGGCAACTCCTGATGCCTGCATGCAATTATTCAACTAGAAGCAGCTCATGATAATGCCTACATCGTTATTCTATTAAATCTTTTTATGCACCAAGTTGTGTCTCTTGACTTGCCGTTTTATAATTTCCACTGAAACCAAAGTGGTTGTTATTTAAATTGTACATTCTTACGTACAGGCAAAGTAATTACCTGATTTTATTTGATCTGCCCAATTGCCTCTAATTGAATATCGATGTACTCAGTGGAAAGCAATGGCCGCATTGATAAACAAAATAATTATGGTGTAAATCCCAAAATACCTGCCTGACTCAATTGAACACTTGCCTCAATTCTTTTCAGACTGTCCTCGAAAAAATATCATTCGGATTAAATCATCGTCAGTGGTTAGTGCGCATTGGTACCATGAATGTAATCAAAGTGGTACTTGAACATCAGTAAGTTTTATTAAACTTAAGTTGAAGCATTTCATAGTCAATTTCTGCAAAAGATTTGATTAAAAATATTATTTTGCGACCGTCTCATCCCAAAAATAGTGTCAAAATTTATGCACAGATTTGTATTTTTTCTTGGATCTTCGGCCTTTATTTTCAAAATATCTAACTTCTTGTTTGATAAACTGAACTACTAATTCCATTTTGAGTAATAGTAAAAGAAAAAAAAAAAAATGTAAGATCTTCGGTCACATTCTATCAACCTTGAATGTCTTTTATTCAAATCATTCCATTTGACATAATTTTGTAGATAGGTGGCCTTTTTTTCTTTATTCGCTCTCTTTGTCTCAAAAATTTCTGTTCCAATGAAATAAAAATTTACATATTCAAAGAGGAATTCAACAATCTATAAACGTAATATATTTATAAAAACAGCATTTATATGTAGATCTATGTAATAGACGCATTTTTATAGTGACGCGTCTTTAATCAAAATTGTAAGGTGAAATTTAGGTGAACGTTAGGTGAATTTAAAAATAGAATGTAAAATTTATTTAATTGTATGAGATATGAGTGTTATTTCAGTAACGCATTAGGGCGATTAATAGAAAAGACTTTGATTGTGTCGATATCAATTTCAGATGTAACAGGATTTGCGAAATAAAGAAATCTTTTTTCAGATTTTAAATTTCAGGAGGCGATTTGTGGAACCGCAGATACATCGAATGATCCCATCTCTGTGTCACCTGATGGTTGATCCGAATATTGATGTGAGAGAAATAGCGGCAAGTACGCTAATTGTTATATTCTGGCATTTGGGTGAAAACGTTTTGTCAAGTATCCGAAAGCGACAGCTTATACCAGAACCAAAGTAAGTGCTTATGCAGAAAATTAGACAGTGCATGTTATTTATAATGCTTCAATTGCAGGACTAGATTATCAGGATGCTAAAAATTGTTATGGAAATAAACTGAACTGATTCATCTACAATCATGTAAAATTGTTAGCTTAGATAATGGCGTTGGTGCAAACATTACCATCAAAATAAAGTTGCTGTAATTTCCGAAATATTAAGATTAATGTCATGTGAGTAATTGGTATCTAATACGTAATGTTTACGACAACATCGTACGGTTGAGATATTCCATTAATTCTTTTAATCCATGTTACATTTGTTGAATAAGAAAACAGTGAGTTTGGTCCAAGAAAATCTTTCTATAGTCTCTGAAGCATCTTTGAACGGCAGAATGACATTGGCAGGATCAGGTTTAGTACTAATGGTCATTATTCTTTATAGAAATGCTGTTTTATTCTTCTGTTTGCTGCTGGTTGTTTTTCCTCTCTATTTCCATTAAAAGTTAGAATTCACTATTCTTTTAGATATTGATTTGTAAAAGACGAATTGGAAAAGAAATTTGCAAGAGTAAATTTTTTTTTAAATTTTTTTAGAGTAAACTTTTCCTGATGGTAGTATTAGAGGAGAGAAAAAGATTTCGCTAATAACTGAGTCGGTCAAAGTTTTTCTTCCAAAGACAAGTTCATTAGCTATATTTCAATTAACTAGAGGAAGAAAGCGAGATAAAAAGTGGTACTCTTTCTCAAAGGAATAGTAAGTTTATTCGCTTCCGCGGTCTAAAGGAAGGAATCACTGTTGCGCATGACATAATAACATTCTTGAAACTTTATTTTGTATTCATGTGAGCAGTGCTTCGAACTAAATATGTAAACGACACTTATGAGTTCCTTTTCTCGTGTTTAGGAATTTGGGAAAACGTATACAATATTTAATGATTTTACTTACATTACTGTAAAGTCTCCTTTTTAAATTTGACTTTCTTTGTTAGATACCGCATAAATATGGATTTTATAACAGAATTGAGTAAAATGATGTACAGTTAGTAAAAGGCTTGTTGATACCTTATTGAAATGAGATGACACAAGTGAATTGTAGTTGTCGATCCTTTCGCTTCTTAATACCTGTCCTATCAGTAGTACCCGTCAGTTTCAACATACACTGATCGACATAGCAACAGACATAACACACATTCTATAACCTTCTCTCCTACAATTAACAAATGATGACTGTCAAGTTAGTGCAGCAATATACCTAATATCGTTGAGCCAATCATAATCTGTTTGTGCGTTTTGTACTAATTTCACGTTCTTTCTCTTTCATAAATGTTAAAAATTTGAAGTGCTGGAGTGATACTGAACTGAGAGCCTGAATTAACTAAAAAGTAAGCACATCCTGAACGATTGATTTTATATAGTTTTATTCTTCATATAGAATTTAATTTAAAATTGATCAAGGAAACTCCTTCCACTATATGTATGCATATGTATGTGGAAAGAATGCATACCTTGATCAGATTAATAGTGGTATTTATCAATTAATTAGTGCAAGAGGTGGTCATTACCAATGGTAGAGAGGTCATTGTACATAAAAGATGACTGATAGCACGATAGTACAGCTGATCAGTGGTACTTGCGAAGATATTTCATTTTCAATCATTTTCACCCAATATTATCACTTAAAAAGCAATGTGTCTTGCTTATCGTCCCTCCTCTCTGTCGAATGCGTCCATTCTGCGTTTCATTTTCAGTTCCTAACTTTTTGTTGCCATTTAAAGTATTATAAATTAGATTTATTAGGATGTCTATCTAAAAGATACCAATCCATGCATAATGAGGCTTGACGTCATTTTTGTATTTTAGATGTCCAAGCACTTTCAAGAAAGAGAAGAAGTTATAAATAGAATCGTCAAATTTTTTGGAAGCTTGTTTTAAAATTTATCGATTTTCCCACTTGTATTAATAAAAATTACATGGAATGCATCCCTTTCAGCTTATCCTTTTATAAGAGGCAATTGTTGTAAGAATCACTTCATATGCTTATAATCTGAATATCCGAAGTTTAGAAAAAGACTATTTTACCTATAATGATGAGGCACCTTGTGATGCTCCAAGGTATAATTCTGATAACGATAGAAAGGAAATTTCTAATGCGGTTGAAATATATTTGCTTAATACATGTATAGCGGGCATCTCACAATAGTATATTAGGAGTGTCACTAATCGCTTCTCAATAAATGATTCACCGATTCAATGAACGAAATCAATTGTTCTTTTTTTAATAGAAACGGAGGAAGTGGGGGAGAGGAAGATGGTAAGATACATTTACATTTGCGTGATTTCTGTTGCGACCTATCAATTATTAATTACCTTCTATAGATGTATAAGAAAAGTGCTTATTTTATACAAACAAAGTTAAAAGATTGTTTCCTTTCAGTTCTGTCTGCTTACTCATTTTTCTGCTTAATTAAATTCTTACTGTGGTGTGTAAGTCAAATTAGCAAGCTTAATTGAACATTGTAGGAAATGGTATGATGGAATGTACGATCCTGAGATTCATGATAATATTTATGAACTTTTCAACTTTACTGGATATCTTGAATGACTTTTTAAGCTGTTTATTAAGATTATTATATTTTAATGCATGTATTAATTTTGAGCATCTTTCTCTTCCATCACTCTTGGTAAACGAAAAGCTTTTCTTTAACAGAACATTAGTGGTCTTATGCACACAACTGGTTTTAATTCTCAAATCAATACTGATTGCTTATAATGCCGTAGTCAGATCAGTTTACAATGGCCCAAAGTATTGAATGTGCAAGAGAATGACGAACCTTCTGCCAAATCTTAGTACTAGCAAAGAAGATTTTACTTTAGGTTCCAAATGCTGATGACACGTTTTAACGAAGCGCAAATGAATGGTAACCATGTATCGAGCAATACACCGACTACGTCGCAACGTACCGGACGATCTTCACGACGATCACATTTGCCGCAAAAGCCTCTGTTAACTCCAAGATGTAAGTTAAGATTGTATATAATGAAGGAAATGGTTTTCCAGAGTCCATCTGAAGAAGTCTAAAAAGAAACACTGGAAGAGTGGATTAAAACATTATATTCGAATTTATCGTTTGCAGCGATTAATTTCGTCAATTTCAACAGCCACGTCAGATGATCTGTTATTTGCCTTCGATTTCATTTTGTCCTCATTTATCATACGTGGACCTATTCAAAGAAGAGAAGATTCTTTTAACAATACTTGTTAAGCACTCGTCCACGCAAACATATCATAGGTCTAAAAGGGCCTCACGTCACCCTCTCCTGTTTTCCACCTTCCCCCCACGACCACTCACGCATTCTAGTTGGGTTTTCCGTGCAGGACCTTTCTAATTTTAAATTTGCGCGCCCAATTTGTGTCATGAAGGCGGTAAAATTCAATTTGCTGCATGACATATGCGTTCGGTGGGAGGTTGGTGTCACCTTCGTCTGGTGATGGTAAATTAGCTACCATTTATGAGTCTAAGAATGAATTGAACGACTTAATTAGTTTCAAAGTCATTTCCATTTGTTTGATAATCTTAAGAAAGCATCGGTATCTTCCTCTTAAATTTTTTCAGTCTGAATTGTGTTGGTGTACGGTATGATATAATGATAGCAAGAAATAATTTTTTCAAGAAATAATGTCACACACAGATTGAGAAGATTAGAAATCTTTTCCAAGCAGAATGGTATCAATACTGAAGAATAATAGAGATGAAAGGTCAAGTGGTGCCTTTTTTGTCTTTCTGCAGCACGCGTATGGTGCAGTAGACCCTCTGATATCCTACCTATCGTTCTACAGCATCCTTCACTTCCTCTCCTCTTTATCTATTCAACCATAAGAATGATTATCTTCACTGTATGGTTGTGATAGTGCCGTAATACTGCCCTCCTAAAGATCATCAAGTTATTTGTCTATTTGTATGTCTTTTCAACCGACTCATATTTCGGATCCAAGTTGCTCGGTGGGCTGTCTTGTATTAGCTCCTACTAAGTTATGGAATTGCTGATATAATCTAATTTACTACAAGTCCGCTTTTGGGAAAGATGAGAAAGACAGATCTGACTACCATCTTGCAAGCCTGTCAAAGATGTCGTTCTGCTGTGGATATGTTGAGAATGAATTTTCTAAATAAAAATTTAAATCATAGATTGTTGTCACTATCAAGAAGAATACACGAAGTCCGTATTTTACAGCTCGGACTTTTATTCACTTGTTTTGAACTTATAAGAATATGTTTAGGAAACCTCCTTTAATGACGTCTGTTATTGGTAAGATATTTTTATACCATGTTGGTAGCTTTCAATAGTTGAGATGTTTTATATGTGTTATAGTCTTTCTCAGTTTTCTTTCGGTTACTGCAGTGAAAGGGGGTTGTTTAATGGTAAGAAAATTAATTAAATAGTTTGGGTGATTAAGGATTATTGCAGATTAAGAAATCCATATATGGATGTTTGAATGTATGACGCATATTACGTCATAATTTCATAGGAGTGTATGCTAGAGTTAATTTTTGCAAATTCCAAGTTCCGTAATAGACTTCATAAAATTGTTGGTAGTGAAGGATTCCAGTCTTGTTTTTAAAATTCAAGTTGTCTTGCTTTTCCTTTTAGGATTTGATTCTTTTGAAAATTTCTTGCAATATCTGTTCTTATATGATTGCCGAAAAACAATAGCTTGTATTCTACTGTAAATTGCTATTTCCTACATATTATCTTCTGTGCGGCATTGAAAGGGGCAAAATGTTTCGTTTTTATGCAAATTTTCGGAAAAGCATGAAACCAGTTGCTACTGAAGAGGTTTTTTAAGTATTTCAAAAAGGTAGTAAGATGATAGATACATTGATGTGTATACTACAGAGAGGATCTTGTTCTTTTTATGAACCTTTTTTGGTTCATTCTAATAGCTAACGGTATTAGACTTAATTGACTTACGCGATTGCCACTTTTTAGTGATGACCTCTCTGCCTGATATAGTGACTATTGGTGTAGATATAATGTGGAATGTCCTCCAAATTTTTATTTCCATCAGGCGGTATTATGCTGCACTAATTTTTTATGAAATGGTGTTCTCAATCGATCGGTCCTAGAGTTTTCATTCGTTAGATACTAACACATTATAAATATCTGTTCCGCAATAACAGTTCTCATCATTTATTACTTCTAATATCGTTTTAGATTATTACAATCGTTTCATTAGTAGTAAGATATTACTAATAAAGTGGATTTATTGAGTTTTGCTGAGGAGCGACAAATTCTAACAAGGAGATGGAAAATTTTCATCAGTGACGTTTCGGCATTGAAGTCTAGCAGAGGCGCAGCAATTTTGTCGTTCGTTTTTGTCATTAAGCTCTGTACTCCAATACAAATCAAAATGGTCGTGATAGTGAAAGATTTGGCACAGTTAATGTAGAATTTAGTAATTATAGACTTCTAAGAATTAATACAATTTATTGTTTCATCATCGCTTGGCCCTTAGAATGTATATTCATATATAACCTTCACGTACGTGGAGATAACGTTTGTCCGTGTGTTTCTTGGTGGTTTTAAGTGCCTGGACCAGTTCGGTTGTTGGATGCGGCGATGATGAGTGTTGCATACCCTCGTTCCTAGTGTCTGACAAGGATATGTGCCCGCGAAAGTGAACTGCTTCTCTTGCTGCTTTGTTTCGACTCTTTTTCTTATCCGTGCATACATTCTTTTATTTGTTGGAAGGAAGCAGTATCCTTGTAACTGCCGGGATGGGACTATAGGGGTATACTATTTTAGTATTTTATTGTACATTGTAAGTGTATTTCATTTTGGTGGAAGACATTAAATAAAAAACCTTTGGAAATTTTTGTGTCTTGAGGAGTTAAATAACCTTAGATTTTGATGTTGAAATTTTGGATGAAATGGGTGGCATATTATTACTTTTCTTAGCAAACCGGGGCATGGTTGGCTCGCGTAAAGGACAACTGCTTGAAGAACAAGAAAATTCCACTTCAGTACCATCATGGCAACGAGCGAGCAGTGTGCCAGCCCATAAAAGACCACTTATTGTTTCTGCGAAAGGATCTAGTAAGTTTACATTAATTTCGAATTCATCTATCACTCATATAGCAGCGTCAGACCTGCGAAAACTTACTTTAGATTTTGATGTCTATCTGTTTTGTTTGAAAACATCATCTATATAACATCGCGGAAGATAAAGGACATTAGTCATTCTTTCATGAATCATATCGCAACGAATAAAATTCTTTGTTTTGCTTTTCTTTAGGCAGTGCTGGTTCTGTAAGCGATGAAGCTTTCCAACGGGCGTTCACTGAGGTCCCGAAGTGCAACGTATGTGCAGTGATTTTTCTTTATTTAGTGTTACTTAGATACATTATAGACAAAATAGCCTATATATCCGAAATGAAAAACGGTCCTGATATATCGTCTTCTTGTCTTTTAGTATAAGGAAATGAATTTCATTTCTCTACAGTTTGAAGGTTTGACTTGTAATGCTTTTCCGAAATTTATTACTATGAATATTACCTGTAGTAGCAGGTTGTCGATTAAAGCCATAGAATGTATCACTTTGATGATATTAAAATAAAATTTCTGAAAATATAGGTATTTTCATCCAAGCAACTAAAGGATCAGATCAGCGAAGCATGCGCAGTTCTTGAGAACACAGATTTAGATTGGAGTCGTCGTATGATTGCGGTGTGTGATTTCCTGTTCTATACGAAAATTTTCAGTTTCCATCGAATGTTTTGAAAATTTGGTTGAGGAAATTCTCTGTGATATATTCTCACTACCTTAATGGGAGAACTTGCGTGATTTTGTTGGTGTATTTTTAAACATTCAAATTACAGTTAAAAACATTGCGTTCGGTGATTATTGGTGGAGGCTTGGACTACTCGGACTTTTCAGAAGAAGTACGTGAAATGCAGGCGGCTTTACTCACCTCTGTTAAGGATTTGCGGTCGCAGCTCTGTCGCGAAGCATGTGTTACCATTGCGTACGTTAATTTGCTGCATTTGCAGTTCACATGGAAATGGTAGTTAAACCGTGTTTTATAAAAACCTTGCTAAAATAGTTTTTTGAAGACTATTTTTATTATATTTTATATTTTTTATTTTTTATTATGCACTTGAGATTATCTGCTTTAATTATCCGGAATAAGTTAAATGATTTAGTCGGATTATGCCTATAAAATCTTGATTAACCTATTGGTTTAAATATACAGTATATTATGTGCTTGTTTCAGTTTCTTTTGCGAAAGGTTAGGGCTTGTAATGGTTCACGTAATAGATGCACTTATGCCAACGCTTATTTCATTAATGCAGAATAGTGCCAAGGTTGTTACTTTTTGTGCTATTTATCAAAATCACTCTTTTTCTTTAATATGTTCTCACCGTTATGTGCATTTTTCTCAAGGTAATGGCAACAAGTGCGCAGCTTGCTTTACAGTACGTTGTTAAATATGTATGTAGCGCCAGATTACTTCCTCATTTGCAAACTGCAATGTCTTCGAAGTCAAAGGAGATTAGAAGGTAAATCCAGTTTTTAAATCTGAGGGATCGAAATGCAATGTATTTTTATGAGAATTTAGTTAGCAACTGAAATTAATTCTTAAAAAGTTTCAGAAGTATTTCATATTCTTTCAGGAATACGGCATCATTGTTTTTAATGGCGTTAACTCTTTGGGAGAGCAGAACAGTAGAAAAAAATATGAACATTTTTTTGGAATGTATTAAGGTAAGAAAATATTTTACAAATCCATTTACTCTATTCAGGTAGAATAATGATTGGTAAGGAGTGAAAAGTATTTTTTTCAGGCAAGTATAAATGATGCTGATCCAGAAACACGCAGAACGGGTCGCGAGCTTTTCATGCAACTAGATCAGGAATACAAAAAGCAAGCTGATATGCTTTATAAAGTCAGGCTTAACGATGATTTTATCACAGTTCAAATCTTTAAAGTTTCTGCTAGTTATTTATCCGTCATTAAATTACTAAAGAAAGTCACTTATTAAATATGAACGATGGAACTCTTAATAAATTATATCACTAATTCAGAAATAATAACATAGGTCAAAAATTTTTATGTATGTTTTATAAAGTTTTCAGGCCTTGGACCCATCAAAGCAAAGAACACTCCCTGGATTCGTATCCCAATCATCATCATCCCAGTCAATTATTTCTGAACGAGACGCTTTACCTATTTCACAACGAAATGCTGCTTATGTACTTCACAAAGGTATTGCTTATTGTCTATTTCCTATTGATCTTTATATCACAAGTTTAAAATTATTGGCTTGATTGATGCTGTAGTTAGATATATTATTAATGAGTTGTTGAAATAAAAATTTCTATGCATTTTATTGCTTTCTAGTAGTTTCTGTTTTTAAGTTTTGCATTAAAACATTGGGAAGCTTGTATGTTAATTTTATCAAACTATTTACGCACACTACTGATTTATCACGATTGAGAATTGTAGCAAGTCCCTCATATTATTCTGGACGTTCGACGTCCGATATAGATCCTGGTGCAGTAAGGCGTGTCACAAATCGAACTGTACGAACAGCTTCGAAGTGGGGTGGACCACTTCAGCAAGTAAATGGCACCCCTTCAAGTATGTATTTCAATTTCAGGACTTGGCATGTCTTTCTTTCAAGTTCCAAAAAGTCCACCGAAGTTTATACATATTGAGTATTTTAACTAAAACGTTTGTTTAGGCCTTATAATGACTTTTTTTGTGTTTACAGCCACTCAAATGAGAACAAGTGCTGCACAGCGTTTGTCTTCAGCATCGCAGAAGTTCGTTTCATCGTTACGGCGCGTACCGCCTACACCAACGAATTATGTTAGGTCGCAGCGTATGTTGTTTTTTCCATTAGTAGCAAAATCGGATAATAAGCATGATAGGTTATGAGTTGTATGATTTTTGCATAAATTATGCATAAAATGTGTAATAAATTATCATTAAAATTTATAGCTGGTAGTCGGAGCTCATCACCAGCTTCTCGTTTCCCTGCACGCATTCCTCCTCGATCACAAATGAGCAGTCGAACGGTAATATATGTTTTAGTTGTTTTATTAACTGAATCATTACGTGCTGTTTATGGGATCAATAAACATTCTAATGGGATTAATCAAAAAATAATCTCGAAGTTTTCAGAAAATCCAGATAGACGAACCGGAAGATCACGCTTCTGTCAGCAGTGATTCGTTTAGGTGTGTTTATTGCAAGATTATTTCACGAATTTTGTTTTCTTTGAATGAGAATGGAAATAAATGTATTTTTCCAACATTTCAATCCAGAAAGGTTTAGGAATCTCAACCGAATTCCCATTTTTTCAGATGTCTTATCAGCTTTGTAGAGATTTTTTATTCAGTGACGTATTACAAAATTCAATAAAATTTCTGTAATAGGTTTGAGACGATGGAACTAGCAACTGCACTTTCATGCTGTGCCTCGTCGTCTACTACAGAGAAGAAGGAAGGCTTAAAAGCACTGTTTACTATTATTTCAAGTGATAAACAAGTTAATGAGATGGATTTGAAGAAAATCGTTGAACGTTTAACTCCGCTGATCGTAGAAGCTGCTCATAAGGTAGATGATTTTAAATCTCCTGAATTATTTTGTAGAAATCGGTCAAATTTCTTCTAATAGAGAATGTTATTAAAAATAATTCTTCTGATTGTCATTTAAGGTCAACTAGAGATTAACAGTGAGGATTGGAAATGACACTTTTTTCATTACTTCCTTACTTTGTAGAAATTTTTATTCTAGCTTTTGCAACCTCTCACGGATACATTGATAGCTTTGGTACGTCGTTACCATGAGGAACTAAACGATTGGTTGAATTTATTAATACCAAAGCTAGTAAACAAATGTTCTACGGAGGTTCTACCCAGTAATCTGGAAAAATATCGGATTTTGATGGAAGCTGTACGGACGAGTTTTGATCCAGAAAAGCAGTTGTACGCTATTTGTAAATTTATCCGTGACCCAGTGCGGAATAACGTTAGTGTCAAGGTAATATATGCTTAAGGCAGATACAAAAAAATAAAAAGATAATAAAATGCAATCACTTAAATGGAGTGTAAGGGAAGGATATTCAAATAATTAGGCTAATTGTTCAGTCTATATATATATGGTTTTTTCAGAGTTACAATTTTTTAATTTTAATTTGCGAACAAAGATTTGCAGACAAAGCATGGATTGTTGATGTACTTGCATGATTTAATGCGTGGTATGGATTCAGCTCCATCGATGAACCAAAGCGAAGTTCGACAAGCAGTTAGTAAAATATTCCAGTGGGTGGACGATCCAAAAAATATTTGTTTAATGGCGGTATTATTTCGAATTTGCAAATATTGTTTTGTTTAGATTTTGCTTGTATTATATTCTGTAGATTTCCCCCACTATTTAAATAGCTGAGGTGTTGCTAATATGCATCGGAACTGAAGTAATACTTCATTGGTTATTTTGCTCACTGTTATGTAACATTAGTTTAGAATATTCCAGATGCCAAATTTTGAAGTTTCTGCTGGGAAGGCATTCAGAAGGTAAGCCGTAGTCTGTCAATGTAGTTTCGGTTAAGTTCAAAGTTCTATTTTCTTATGATATATCGCTTGTTTTACTCAAATGTTTAGCTTTTTACTTTAATGTCTCAAATTCCTTTTAATTATATCAGATCAGTGAAAAGGTCGTATGTGACATGTTCCATTTAAATGCCAGTGACTTCACTTCAATGCTTGCTACTTTTCCAAATGATTTGAAAGATCGGCTGCAAACTATTGTTCGTAAAAATAGCTTTTGTTTATCAACCGGTAATGGAATCAAGTATGTTTCAATGATTTTTCATTTTGAAAGAAGAAATTTTCTAAAAATATTCAATATCTTGTTTTTAATTTAGCTTCGTGAAATGTCTTTGCGTATATTTTTTTATCATCGGTCTCGACATATCTTGATCTGTATATCACTATAGTATTTTAGTTATTTTAAATATTTACTTTCAAATCACTGCAGTACATCAAAAATGGAGTTTAATTTACATTTTTCCTTTTAATGCCTTCAAAAATTCAACCATTTCAGCACAAACGAAGCACGTGTGGGTATATTAGAAACAACAGCGCAGGTATGCATTTTTTTTTTTCCACAAATTCTTAGTATAAATTGAAGTCTTGAGATTGCGAGTTTATGAGTTACAAAAATACTGCTTTATTGCGACGTAAAATCCTTGCAATTCATTGTAGATTAATGATTTTGTGGATCGGCGGACAGGTTTACCTATATCATCTCCTCGTGTATCACCTCAGCTGATTAATGGTTTAGCTCGCAGCCCGTATGATAGCATTCCATTACGTCGCGCAAGTCGAGAGGATCAGAGTGGAGTTCGTTTACTAATTTATTTTTGTTAATTTAGATGCGTTGTAATTTTATTGCTTTATCAATTCACCTCAAGTTTTTGACAGTTCTTACATCGTTCAAACCGCTACACTATTGTTTATTGACATCTTTTTCGCATAAATTTTTAGAGCTTTTTTTTTTTTAATTATTGAGAGCTTTTCAGTCGTTGTCTGGTTATATCTTGGATCCGCAAGGTTTCGCAGATGATCCGGAACAGCAGGAAGAGTTGATAACCAAGATAGGGGAGGAACTTTCTCTTCATAACCAAAGGTTTAGGTTTTTTTCTCAGAAAGCTTAAGTATCAAGAAGCTGCATTTTCATAATTCTGAAGAAAAAGACCGATCAAAGACTGCTAATTTTTGATGTTAATCGTTTGGTTGGTAGTAAAATTCATGCTAATCTTATCCTTATTTGAAAGACGATCTCATTTATATTTGCGATCTACAGAAGTGAAGAACGGCAAAGGGCGATGTCAGTACTTTCACAGATCACACGTGATAATTTATTTTCCCTTTGGGATAAGCATTTCAAAATGATATTTTTATTGCTCATTGAAACACTCAAGGATAGTGATGAAAATATTCGTCGGATGGCATTAAAACTTTTAAAGGAAATTTGGTACGAATGTTTTTTCTTTATGTGTTAAGAGCAGCTTTGTAGTTTCTTCATTTCTTTTCATTTTTTTTTCTCGAAATTTTCAATTTCTGATTTTTGGACTTTGTATGAAATATAAATGTTTGACTTATCAGTATATACAAATGTTGACTACTTTTGCCAAGCCATTTCAAATTTTCTAGTTATGCGCAAGCTTCTCGTTTCAACGAATTTGCGGAAATGGCGCTCATGCGTGTGCTCGATGCTTGTACGGATGAATCGAAACTTGTAAGTATCAACTTCTTAGCATTAAAACTCCTTGATAACATGCATTATATGTTAGACATATATATACTATTAAGGTAATTTCAAGCTACTTGATGTAAGAAAGCAATGTAGATGTATGGTTTCATGCTCTGCACATTATTAAGTATTTAATAGGTTTGCTAGTAATGTTTTGCTTTTATCAAAATGTTGGGTGCAAAGTGTTGATTAACTTATTCAGTAACGATAAGAAATGATAATATCTAGACAGCTACATTTGAAATATTCTAATAGGCAGAATGTGATTTCTTTACGGTTCTTTCAAAATTTATTTGATGAAATTTTTATTTAAGGTAGTGACGGCAGCAGAAGAATGTGGTGGTGTATTAGCTACACATGTTTCATCAGCAACATGTCGGCGAGTGCTCCTTGCCATTATTAAATCGGATGTTGGCGAGCCAAAAATTCATATTGCTATTAAACTGCTGACAAAAGTAATTGAATCGCTTAGTGCCACTGAGTTGGAGTTGATCCTGGATGAAGTAGCACCACCAATCGTCGACGTTAGTTTTGCGAGCACTGGTTGTCTGATTTGTATTTTTATATGTCTGTTTATACGTATTTCTACACTTGCTTCTGATCCTTACTGAGAATTATTCTGCATTTTATTTCAGTATCCGTCGTTATGTTCATCGTCTGCACATATGTATCATTTAAAAAATAGTAATAACTTCTCGTATAATTTCGCGGTATTTGTTGATATTTTCTTTTCAGACCTATAATTATGTCAGTAGTTCAATTCGTAAAGAAAGTGTTGTATGTTTGGTAGCAATGATTATGCTTGTAGGTGAAGAACATATGGCTCCTTATTTGTCAGAACTCAATAAAGGAAAAGTAAGTTTTTTCTCCTTTAAATCTCAAAATCTGTGTGCTATCAAGTATTATTGACTGATGTAAAAGTTGTTGTGGCAGAGGAAGAAGAACATTGCTTTGTGTACAAATGTTAAGCAAACATTTTTTCAGCAGAAACTGATAGACGTTTACGTGAAGCGTATGAAAGGTATATTCGAATAACAGAACTTACGGTGCAACACTTTTGGAAGCTGTTATTGTGATTTATTGAAACGTAGTCCAAAACAATTACAGATTGATATCTTAATGTTTTAAATTGTGTATAGCCAGAAAATGTCTATGGAAACACAAGCAGTAAAGCTTTTAAAAAAATTCTAGATTTGTAAATTATTTGATGGTAGGAACAAAAAATTTAAGTGGTCTGGATTTCATAACTCTCAAAAAAAGAAAAAAAAAACAAGGTGTGTTTGGTGGATATTTGAAATTTTATTCAGTGTTTTTGTATTAAATTATTTATAACCGTAATTAATAGTGCCAACCTTTCACTTCATCACCTTTTATCGTTAATTTTTGCTAGAAGCTGTGAAATTTTAAGCATAGATTCATGTTTTATTCTTTCACTGTTGCATTTGATGCTATCAGTACTACTGTTGACGTGCTCTTATCAAATTTATTTTCGTATAAGTTTCAGAAGAAACTCTTTTCTAGTTATGATTATATACTGTATTCCTCGGTTGTCATCATGCATTGTTATTCATGAAGAAAAAGGGATTTGAGATTTTTATAGAATTTGGATATTCGGTTAATTCTATGAAGTGTTTTGTTTTGTGATTCTTTATTTTATAAAATTTTATAAATTTTTTTTGTATGTTTATATTTTTTTTTATATTTTATAAATTTCGTATGTTCCAAAACAATATATTCAAGAAACATTTGATTTGATGCGTTAGATTGCCGATCAGTTAAAGGGCATGGAGGGAGACGATTTATGTTTTATTTCTTCCTCTTTAAAATATTGCGTTGGAACTTTGCACAACTTGGTGTTGTATGCTCGTCGTACTTTTCTTGAGGTTTTAGTCTTTTGTGAGAAGCGTGGTGTTCTAGAAATCTGGGTTTATTTTCTAACATATAGGAAAGGGCATGTAAAAAATCTTGTTAATTACAAGTATTTGAAACTTCTCTGCATTTTCCGCGGAGTTCATTTAAATGCCGAGTAAATTTTGAAGGAGATGGGAATTGATTGAGTCTGTGTCTGGTGGGTCTTTGTTATATGAGTGAGGGATCTTTGTTCAAGCAGCTTGTTTCGTCTGGTAGTTTTACACAAATCTCTTGTAGCTCAACAATGCCAACATTATACCATCGTTCTGGTTGACCGTACTTTGATATGAATTCATATGGTATCGGTTGTTTGTAACGTTGATGACACTGAAGATTTAAGTAGTAATTCAAGGTGCAATGGGGAAAACACAAAAAGCTGCACTATATTAAGCCATTTAAATGACTAAACGAAAACTGATCTCTTCGGTCAAAAGGCTATTTCATGATTTGGGATTAGCAAAGTGGTACTTGAATTCCGCTGGACTGGCCAACATAGATGTGGAAAAACGGTTTAATAATATCCGCTGATATAATAGTTGCTTTCAGTTCGAACCATCCTGTTATGTTTGTTCTAGCAATGGCCAAAATTTGCTCATCCACTGAAAACATAATTGTGATTGAAGTAGTGGTAAGTTTCATTTTACGAAAATTTGCGACACAAAAGAATTATTCCGCTTTTATTTAAGAAGTGTAACTAAATGTAAGTAATGAAGTAAATTTGCAGCTAAATATCATTTCATTCCCAAATGCTATTTGAAGAAAAATCTTAATATATTGGAAACTAAACTTAATATATTTTCAAAAAAAAAAAAAAAAAAAAACGAAAATATGTTGAAAATAAAAAGTTAACAATTAGTAATTAAAGAAATGATTAGTGCAGAAGGATTAATACGAAATCGATGCAAGTTTCAATCGCTAAAAACAGTACTTAATTCCTAAAATTTGAATTGCGAGAAATTCACTCATGTGAAACAAACCGAATCTGATATCTATTCCTAAAGCGACTCTTGTGTTGACCACATTTTCTTCACCACATTTCAATTGTCCTCGGACTGCTACTGTTTGCATCATTTCGAGAATTCTACCGGATTCTAATAAGACATGGAGTACTGTAAATAGTAACACTGAGTACTGAAACATTATTTCCTGAAATTGATAGAATTAATGGGTGTAGCGCATGTTTGAAAAATTAAATTGCTAATTTAAATTCAAGAGACAAAATGCAGCGAATCGGCAAACTCTTTATAGAGATTTTGAAATGAGTAAGGTCTTTGCGTGCAGAGAAGTTATCATGAAAGTTTGTGAAATGCTTTATAAGTAACTGTGGACACTCTGGAAGTCATCAATGGTATCTCGAAGCATTTTTCTTTCATAAGAATTACCCACTCATATAACGCTATTTGTATACACATCATCTTATTGGTCATCATCAAACCATTGATTTTAATTTATTAAGTTGTCTTCCTAATTAGACTAAGATCAGATTTACTTTATCTTTTGAGTTATCTGCTTCCCTTCTTTGCTATTTAATTATTATAGTTGTCAATGGTATATATGCATAGTGACCAAATTCCATAAAATTTAGTACATCAAACCAAGCTGATTAAAAAGTGAGAAGAAAGCAACCTTCGCAAATTTTTCAATTTTATTAACTGATTGTGCGCATGTGTGTTCGTGTGTCTGTGTGTCTGTAGATGTGGTGTGTATTAGTAGTAGTAGTAGTGATCAGTGTCAGTAAATTCGTTCTATGAAAGCTGCTTGGTGGGTTTGCTTATGGCATCATCAGTCATTGTTATCTCTGTGCATATGAAATGTTTAGGGTCTGAAACACGCTAATGGAATGCGTGAAGTGATCACACTCGAACTCAGGCACATCTGTCCCGAATAACATCGGGGAATTGTTGATTTCAGGGAGAAAAATATCAAAAATTTATGATTAAGTAAAAATCAGTTAGGAACAACAAAGTAAGCCTTTCCCAAAAAGATGCCTATTTTTTATTCTTGAGAACTTTTAAATTGTTTTTCAATGTTTGCTTGATTAGCACAAAATTAATTCGTTTGCAACTTTGATCACAAATGCCTTTCAACATTAGTCTAAATTAATTTTCTTAATTTAGTTAATCAATTGCACATAGAAAGTGCATATTACAGTACATTATGTGATGATTTCATGTGCCGATGCCTTGATTTGGGTTTCTTCCGTTCACTGAAAAATAAGGAATGTTTATTTTTGTAGAATTCACCCGTTTATATAAAAACCATCTTAAATAGTTGGTTCATTAAAGACAACTACATAAGCATATAGCGCTTCTGGAGTGCATTGGGACAAAAGCAATTGGTTATTAATTAGCAGACATTAAAAAAACATTTCTCAATAGCACTAAATGACATACTTAATAATTTCAGCTGACTTTTTATGTATCCGTGACTTCTTCTGTCTTCTTTTCCGTCTATGATGCTTCCTTCGTTTCCTCTTAGTCTAGAAATTTACTTTTTGGAATTTTACGATACTAATTAAAAAATACCATTAAAACATTTTCATTATAGTATGTTTTTTTTAAAACAACTAACGCTGTTACGTTGCAGCCAATTGCCTATAAGAGGAAGACCAACTCCTGCTGTTTGCTAATAGGAGAATGAACAAAACAACAATGGACAGGAACCATCTAAGATAAGGGAAGAAAATTTTCTAAAACAATAAATAGCTAGAGCCAAAATACCTGAGAAATGAAACTCCGTGAAGGTTCATTCAGATCATCTGCGTCGTCTTTCGAACTAATCTTTTCTGCAGAATGTGTATCACTAATTAACCTTGAATGGGTCTCAGATTCTTCCGAATATGCATGTTCTATTATATCTTCAATTTGTTTTACTACCTGTAATTCATGTTCTGAACATTCAAAAAGATCAAATTAGACGATATGTGGAGTAATAATGGAAACATTTAGAATAGAAAAGTTTCAAAAATTACTGGGAAATGAAAAGTTTGTTAAAAATTCTAAAGTGAATCAATAATTGAAACCAGTTTTAAATAACAAATGTATTTCTGCTTGATTTAATACTTAAACAGATCTTTCATATTGTTTTGAGCGGGAAAAGTTATGAAGTTCGAGATCACCATAGGAAATCGCTATGCCTTCCAAAAAAAAGACATATTAAATTTATTGATCATTTGGGATGAAGAGATTAACCTCTGACATGGAGTATCGATTATCGGGATTTTGCTCCCAACATTTCCCCATTATTTGAAACATGACGTCGGGACATCCTTCCGGTTTTTTCAAACGTTCACCGCATGAAATCTGTGAAAGGAAAGATGTTTAAAACATTATGTTCTCCAGTATAATTTGATTGTTGTAGCTTATTTTTAGTTAAAATAAATTTTTCTCTACATAAAAAACGAACCATCCGTTTTACTTCAATGCTTGTCATTCCTTTGTACGGTTCTTCACCATCCGAAAAAATTTCCCATAGCAGAATGCTAAATGAGAAAACATCCGTTTTGGGTGTATACTGATATGTTACCATGCTTTCCGGTGCCGTCCATTTCAGTGGTACCTTCCTGTTCCCTCTTGACATCTCATAAAAATTGCCATGCCTTGACATTCCGAAATCACTAATTTTAGCTACTCGATTCTCTGTATACAACACATTACGAGCTGCAATATCCCGATGAATGATTCTTTGAGCATGAATATATTCAAGACCACGAGCCGACCCGAGTGACATATTTTCAATTTTTTCGTCCTCATCAATATTTCCTTTCCGAGATTCCAATACATCCGACAAACAACCACCGTTCACCTATAATAAGTAACCAGAATTCATCGCTTTCGATTTTCTGTTCTGACGGTTTATCATCACTTGATCGCTTTAGAATTTAGCTACAGAATTAATTAATTCTAAAATTTTAATTAAACCAATTCAATGATGATCATTAATGGTTCACGGCAAACAGCAACTCCATGGATCTTTACAACATTTTCATGATCAAAATATCGCATTAGTCTTGCTTCATGCATCATTTCTTTTATTTTTTCTTTAGCTTGTTGTATGTTCTTCTTGTCTTTAATTGTTTTTGCCTAAAAACATGTAGTAAAATTGAAGTGAGACCAGATAATTTGCATACCACAATCATTGTGCAAGAAGTTTGCAGAGAATCTCAAACAGTTACAATTTTGACAGCCACAGGTATTTTTTTGCCGTCAATTATTGCTTCACCTGCACGAACTTCACCGAACTGTCCTTCTCCAAGCATGTCTTTTAGTATAATATTTTCATGCAAAAATTCCCATGATTGTCGTGCTATTGGTCGAATTAATTGAGATGTTTTTATCTATAAGACTGAACAAGTGATTTTACTCAGTTTATCATTAAGTTTCGTATGAAACAAAAAAGAACTTTTTTTTATAAAAAGCATAAAGTAATTTCTAAACTTTCAAAAAAAAAATCTAAGCCAGAAAAAAAGATGTTTATGACACTTAATATATTTAAAAGAAGTAATCTAAAACCTTCGAAATTCAAAACTTCTTCAAAGTTCAGTCAACATTAAGTGCTATTCACAAAATTTCCAATTCTTCTAAATCAAACTGAAGAGCATACCTCAGGATTGATTGGTTTCTTGCTAGAGACATATGCATCAATAAGTTCTTTGAGTGAATTAAATCTATTTTCTTGATTTGTTAGCCATTCAATTTTGCCATCCTTTCCTTTCAGCCTATGTATTACTACATGTCTAATCTACAATTTATTTAAAAATTAAAACTTTGTTTTAATATTGGGATCACAAAAATGATCAATTTCAACTATCATTTGAAACTCTCATTACATGCAAATAAGCTGTGGTTTTCCATTCGAATTTTTGTAAAAAAAGATGACTATATTCAACGTACTGCAGATGGCGAGTTTTGATCAGAAACGCGCAATGACAAAATAAGTTCACATGGATCACGTGGTTTCAGTTGAGTAATTCGAATTATAAAATCTCCCACCTAAAGCGTAAAGATTAGTTTGTATAAGTGAATCCAACCGTTTTTATGGCTGTTGGCTTGGCCTTCCAAGTGAAATTAAACCCGAACCATAAAACTATTGGCAAATGTAAAAAGAAAAGAAGATTAATTAATGATATATTGTAGAAGCTGAAGATTAGAAAGCATTGAAAGGAAAAACTGAATAAGTGATTGACTTAATTAGTACTAATACTTCTTTTAAGTTCAGTTGTGTGCATTTCGATCAAACCAGCAGCAACAAAAAAAAAAAAAAAAAAAATTAAAACGAATAATAAACTGCTAATTGAAATAGCAACCTGCTCTAACAAACATGGGAGATCTTCACGAGGAAGGAATCCATGATAATATGATTCATCCAACACTTTTTTTGGCAAATCGTCAAGAATAGAACTTTTGCTTTCTTCTTCAGGCTGAGTATTCGTCATCCCGCCTGTTATTAAACTAAAATTAAAAATTCTACCAGGAACTCACAAAACAAAAAGAGAAAGAAATTGTGTCGTGACGTAAACTTCAATTAGTTTTATGCAAAGCACATAACCTACAATAGCCATACCACTTAATTAGAGAAAATATTGTTTTTCAAAAGAATAATTGGTGAGGGAGCACCTTACATCTAGATAGTATAAACAAAATGACATTTCACCCTTATTCTTCTCCTTTAATTACTTCTTCGTTATGAGTCATTTTTCTGTTATGCAAAAATTTCTGAGATAAGAATGATAATGTTAGCATGAACTCATTTGGGTTGAAGCATCATACTTAGAAAAGGTTTTTACAAGATACTGCAAATTGCTCACATAAAAAATTCATCTCAAGCAAATTTACCAGAACTGTATGAATAATTCATTTCAAAAGTTCACTATAAATTTTACTATAAAAAAATTCTACTATAAAAAGTTTGTTTTATTATAATTTGTATTGTAAGAAGAAGAAGTTTGTAGGTGTCTGTGTAATTTTTATGCAAACTGCCTTACATCATTTTGACTAATAATTTAGTTCAGATTTTTTAAATAAAAGTGTTGGCAATACTGTACAGTGGAAGTTGACTATTAGTTTTTTTGCACATTTAAGTTTAATTAGGTCTAAATATCAGCAATAACCTTGTAGTTCAAAGCATTAGCAAAGTAAATGTATAATTAGTTAAACATTTCAAGGGTTTGTGAGGTAGAAGAATAATTACAGTCAAGATTATATAATATGATGGTATCAATCACAACGATAATTTTTTACTTTTTAGTTTCATTTTTAGTTCTTCTCTTGCTTAAGTTAGCATATTAGCAATGCAGTTATATTTTTTCAATCAGTTAGTCATAGAAACTCTCATACTATTCACGTGTGAAAGTGTGAAATCTCACGTCTTATTATATCATGAACTGCTTCAGATTTTGAGATGAAGATTAGAATATAGTGTTTATCATGAAATATTTCTTATTTGTCGTTGCAATCTTAAAAAGTAAATATGAGTGAATTACTCGCGTAATTTTTCCTTGTTTTGAAGCAGCAAACAACAATTTACAAAGGGAAATTTAAATTCAAATAAAATATGGTTAAATCATACAAAAATTCAAAGAAAAATTAAAATCTGAATCTAGTAAGTTTTAGCGAATGGATTGGATGGATCGAGATAAAATAGTCAAATTATATTTCTTTCTGTAAACAGAATGCTTTTTGCTCTTTAATCGATTTCTCTTTATGAAGGAGATTTAAGCGCATTTATCGGAATTCAAATAAGAGTCTGAGTAATTTTGTTTGCTTCTTTATTAGTGCTGTTCTTTCGCTTGGTCCTTAGTTCGACCATCCGTTGATAGAAATGAAACCGGCTGCTGATTTTTTGCGAAGAGTGGTTGCAGTGATCCACCTTCGGGAACTTGTTGTAGATTTTCCTTAGAAACTGGTTGTGACTCTCTTTTGGATAGTGGTTTTAATTGATGGTCGAGAACTGGTTGTAGATGCTGTTCCACCACATTTGATGCCATTACACTTTCACTTTGTTTCTTCTTAGGAACTGCTTCTGATGCTCTTTTCTGTCTCTTAGATCGTGGTAAATAAGAACGATACGTGATAGCAAGGTATACTGATAACATTTGCACTGTCCATACTAGGATGCTTGCAAAACAAACTGATATCCATACTATCTGCACTGCAAATAATATATTTTCACTGAAACGATATTAAAAGACGATAGTATCTTTCAATTATTCGATATATAGAGCATTATCGATTGGGTAATTTATATCTGAATCAAATTTCTACTTAAACAACCTCAGTTTCGCATTTTCTGAACTGGCTAGTTATACGAACGAATAAATTACCAGCATAATGGACCTTGTGACCTGCTATATTGCTGACTTGAAAGTGCTAATAAATAAGTTTGTGGGAATATAGCAATCAAAACAGCAGTAACAGCGATTATGACACGATATTGAGAATATATAAACTGTAATTTAACAAATCTTGACATAACTTTCACTAGATTTAAAAATGTCATTGGCGAAGAATAACATTTCGGATTTGTTCCAAGTTGCTATAATTTTTTGAATTTATTCTTTACGAGAAAAACAAGATGTTTTATCTTAACTTCGACGGATTCTTGAAGGTTTCTAAATGAGCGAGAGCTTATATAACCTTTAAAATTAATGGCATTAAAATCCTTTTATAAACGAGATTTAAAAAGCGAATGACATTTTAATAATATATCATTATTAATAATTTTTATCGTTACTGATGAAACATGCCGAATATCTCTTTTATAAAACTTTTCAAATGATTTGTGTCATGCTCAATTATGACTGGAGGCTTTTCCTCTTAAAGAATTATTTGAATGTCTACTATTTACCGCAGAAACCATATAGACGCTCAACAAATCTCGTCGTTTGAGAATGGCAGCGAGAATAAGTGCTAATAAAATTGACAAAACTAGGACTATTTCCAAAATAGCAAGCACAGCTGTTGGTAAATGTTTAATAAATTTTTGTATAATAAATATATTTGTACTGATGACTATGACACATGCGAAACAAGCTGCTGTCAGTGTTTTATACTGAAATTTCAATTTTGACTGTTTTCAATTTGAGATTCAAATTAGGTTTACATTAGGTTTCAGGCAGTATCAACAGATAATTAATTAAAAAGAGGTCATAATCTTCACGTTAATATATAATAATATCAGCTCCAAATACTTTGATATTTGCCAAAAAATTAACACTCAGATTCATATCGAAATTTTGTAATAAATACTGAGACAGCATTTCTGGTCTTTTCAACTGGTAATAAGAACTTCTAGGAATCATTTATGCTGTTTTTATTGGTTGAAGAAATCTATTTTACGACTCTTTCCTGTTTCAAAGATAAATGTTGATTCGAAATTTCATATAAACCTTGATCAAGTAATGTATATCTTTCAAGTTTAAAGAATTTTTTTAACAGAATTATGAAGTGTTATTGTATACCATATGCCTACTTTCGTGATTCCATCTCTTCCAAAATTTGAATGAATAAGTCATCTTGGCGCAAGCATTAAATGAGTTGTTTACTGAAAATTTCATCCATTTAAAAATGTTTCTTTATCGAAATTTAATTTAAAAGGATATTCTATTAATTGGTGGCTTACAGGCACAATGCAGAATTTTTCTATAATACTGAAATTGGTAGAAAAACTTTTTTATTCTTAATTCATTTACCGAAATTTTAAATCATTTTTTATTATTCAGACATATTGCAAACTGTTTTCTTCCCAAAAATATTATTATCGACATGTTATTTCTTCTTTCCTGTATAAGTCATCAATTCTACGATGCAAAAATTAATTTTTGAACTTTATTTCATAGTTTCATTCTCTTAAATTTTCTTACTGACCAAGTAATTTCTAATGGGCTCAACGATATCACTTTTCAGTACAGCTAACCCAACAAATAAAGAGTCTCCTTCTAAGATATGAAAAATTACAATCACACTTCATGTGTTGCCTAAAATATGTTTGTAGCAGAAAATTTTCTGAGTGAGTAGAATAGTAATTTAAGTTAGAAATTGACTTTAAAATTGTCATAAATGGTAAAGTAAGCTTACTGTAAGTTAAATGGCGACTTTAATTAATTGAGGGACGTATTTAATTTGGATAAATTTATTATGTCTTTCGGAATTTTGTTAAGTTGAGAAATTAAGATGAACAAGGCTCTTCAAGCTGGCTTTCCTGAACTGTTCCACTTCTGGTATTCCCCAAGTCAAATTCTCACTCCACCAATTTATCATAGTTTATCAGCCAACTGATCTCCTGAGGAAACTCACATCAGTTAGCAACCACACTGTATCTTGCAGACTATTTTCAATGAAGGTACTATTGAGTTTGCTAAGATTTATAGCTTCCGTTTTCTTTTCAATTTCAACGAAGCAGTTCGCAAGACTGTCACCGAACTGGTCGTATAAATAAATCACTCACCTAATCCTCCCGGAATTCTCCAATTACGTCACCGGGAAGGTTTTTAAATACCGGAAAAAGTGTGCTATTCAATTAAATTTGCGATCTTGACAGGAAAACACGCAATTCGGTCAGTAGGTACGGTAGTGTGAGACTTCGTTGATTGTCGGTGCGGCGGGATAGGTGGGATAGTTTTTAGAGGTGGGGTGGGTGTGGTGGGTTTCCGATGGGACGTTGAGTATGTTTTGGTTATTGAGTAAGTAAATTTCCATTTTTTGTACTGGACAGAATATGCCGAACAAGCAGCAACAGATTGTGGTAATCTGAGTGATGTAATCACCTATGACCTTGTGATTCGTAATTCCAAATTTCCTTTTTTCTTTCGTTCGAACTGTCAAATGAATTGTCAACGGGTTTCTGTTGTTCATTGTTCTCATCAGTCTGTTATCCCAGGATCTTCAGTTTTCTTACCTCTCTCTCACTATCCCATCTGCCAACTTTGGGAAATGGTTCCAATAGCTGCTTAGGCGTTCCAATAGCTATATTATACATGCTGTTCCTCCATCTGTTTGTTGGCCGTAAGAGTTTAAAGAATGCAAAACATTACCTAGCCTAAAAATCTGGTAGAAGGAAGCGAATGAAGGAAAGGAGGAGAACAAAAGGAAAAGGAATAGAGTAGATCATGGAAGAAGTTTAATCAGATTGTACTTCTGAAATATTCTCTTGAAATACTCCAAACTTATTAAGTACCGCAAATAACGCGGTGGAATGCAATATTCTGGAAGTTTTGCTATTTTCGTTATGTAACAAAATATTATATTTGTTGATTGGTAAACAGTGTTGTAAAGATATGTCCATGATGAATGATTTATTTTATTCTCCTTTTCCTGCTTCATGTTGAACTATTCCCTGAGACATCGTTTTTAGTATCATCCCCATTTTCGTATGTAAATATGAATAAATCGTTTTCAGAAATTGTTTGTGAAGAATTGGCTTTATTTTCAACAGGAAGATTGACAGACGGTATATTTGAAGAAGTTTTGTCTCGATCAGTGACAGGGATTGGATTTTGAGACAAAGTTTGTTCACTTATCTGAAGTAATGCTTTTTCCTAGTGAATACTTGTCTCTAAGCATATTTCATTGTGTGATCACTGTGCAAAGGCAATCACTATTGTATGTGTGTGTGACCACTACTGCAGAACAGATCCTAGGTAGCCTTTTCGTGTAGGATAAGTGCAGTGTCATTGACATAGAAGAGACTTATTGTTTGCACATAAATATTCATCAAGGTAAGGAAATTTTGTCTTTATGGTTTTTATAATAATTAGCTATCGCTTTCCAGTAGATAGCAGCGGCTGGACTGTGAAAATAATTCGTTCAGAAAATAGTGACATATCAAAAAAACAAATGGAGCATTTTGCTAATCGATCAACTCAAGCGCAACAACATGTCTACACCACAACCCCCTATAATCTATACCCTAATCAACCACCCTACATTGCAGGTTCGTTTTAACTTCTATTTTTTTTTATGATGACAGTTTAATGGCGAAGTTATAAAAGATTAAATCTTTTTTGACTAGTTTTGCTTCATTCATATTTTATATCCATCTTTAACTTACCGTTTGAGATTTCTGGAATCCAAATGATTAAAGTAGGAAAATTAAAAGTATTTTCTATCAATCATTATCGTCATTTATTATTACTGATCTATGTTGGTGAAGTGGTTTTCTATAAAAAAAGGTTGGGAAAAACATGTCGGAAATTCCTATTGTAAACCAGATTGAGAAATGTATGTAGGTAGACTCGGCTTCACATTGTTTTATATCCAATAATTTTCAAGACCGTAGATTCCAAAAAGTAATGTACAGTATTTCTTGATAGCATATTAGCAAAGATAACGTAACTTTTGTATAAGAATCGAACTTATGCTTCAGAAGTATTAGAAGTCATTCAGTAGTTAAGTTCATTGAATTACTGATGTTTGAAACATATATGTTATATATTTCTCGTAACCTATTACTGAAAATTTACGTAATGGGTATGACGTTGTGAATAAGGATACATGTGTGTACATCTTCACAATTCCATGCATTGAGTAGCATTTGAAGATTTTAGATTTTTTGCTGTTTTTTTTTTTGCTGTTTATCACTAATAGTTAATTTGAAAAATTACTTCCTAAAAACTTAACATCTGTAATCGTTTGGTTCCTCCAACACAGAGTGCTTAAAAATAAGATTGCTCTTTACTCTTTTTCATCTTATAGGTAACTTAACGGACTTTTCATGGTTTATATGTTGTTCTTATATTTTGTCGACTATACATGTTCCATTATAATCAGTTTTTATGGGAAACTTTTTATCTTAGTGGAAGTTATACCACAGTACAATTTGAAGTTAGATTCTTCACCGCAAATAAGGCTTTTTTCATGCATTAGTTATTGGCTCTAGTTTTGAACTCATATTTCCAATAATTTTTTGGTGAAAATCCCAATTAATGATGACGTACTTGGAAGACCTTTTCTACTGAAACTTTTGAAATACTGAATAAACGATTTACCACTTAAAATTTGATATCTGTGAATTATATTCGAAAAAATCTAAATGATTAATAGAATTTTCTAGCAAAGTATTTACTGATTTAACAGTTTTCACACAGTTCCTTAGTCATCGTTCAATTTTAGTCCTCTCCGGTGAAAGTCGTTGGACCATTTACCTTTTTTTGCTTTGTGCTTTTTGTTTTTGGAAAGATATTAATTATTGTAACTTTTTGTTATCATTTTTCTCTTTATATGAGATTTTTCTTGAGATACGATAATTTTCGGATGTAGTCGTTGCTGCCATGTATTTCATGAATTTTTTTCGTTTGTGTGCTTCGCCATAGTTTTTTTTTTTTTTTTTTATGCATCTTTAAGCAATTTAACAATCAGTACTTTTCGAGATGGAATTTTTATTTCTTGGTTTTGCCAAGAACGCAAATTATGTTATGAGCAGTAGTAATGGAATCAACTGTGGTAGGATATATGGTAGTAAATAAGCACCATTTCATTGAAGACTGTTTAATTCAGTCTTTCATAATCAGTCCCAAGCGATTATCTAGCTGATTACCCATATAAATAGTAAGCAAGTCCCTTATTTACGTTAACATCAGTAGGGAGAGGTTAAAGAGGAATTTTCTTTTATTTACTTTGCCAGTCGAATTTTATTAATGTGAGAAAATTCGAATTTTAAATATTTTGATTTCCATGCTGTAAAAATATTAATTATGTGGAAGCCAGATAGATAGATCGAGAAGGAATCGATAAGGATCGAATAGTGTAATGTCTTAGCATAAATGAATTTTGTTTTTTCTCCAAAAGTACTAAACTTTCTTTTTCAGCAATTTCATTTTATCCATTTATAACTTGAATTTGCACAAATACTGCATAAATTTGAAAAATACAGTAGTATTCTATAATATATCATGATGCTAAATTGATTGCAACATGGTAATCGTGAGTGAGATGAGATATACTGCAGCTTTTTGGCGGTGAAAGTTAAGGAGTCAAAATAATGGACATGTATGGATGATTGAATCAAAAGATATCAGAAAGGCTAATGCACGCCATATGCTTTATTTTAACCAGACATATTGTTTTGTATTTTCCAAAGTTAGACAGTTAAATTTATTATTAAAGTTGCTGCCCGTAACATTATTTGTATAGTTCAAGATATCCATAATTGTGTGAAATTTTTTTGTTTTTTAGGTTATCAACCTGTTCCGCAGCATCATCCCGTAACATTTCAGCAAGGCCCAAGCCATTACTCTCGTCCGTCTATTGGTACTGGCCGTAAGTGTAGACAGTTTTCTGTTTTTTAAAATTTATTTAGAGTGCTTTTTCCTTATATAGTTCTATCTTTTAAAATAGATATATGCAGCAAAAAATCTATTCATCATAAAATATTTTTCAACATAGCAACTAGTATTTCTTTATTTCTTCGTGCTTTATTGTACTTCTTCAGGTTTAGGTTATCATTTACTACTTCGCACAGTGATTTATTTTATGCTGCGTCTCTTCATTCCTAATGGAAACTAGACTGGAATGTTTACAGAGATAACAAATAATGTACAGCAACGGCAAAGTAGTCATGAAGGTGGAAACGGTATAAATCGTGGTAGTGGTGTACACCAGGGCAGTATTCCATCGGGAAGTATCACGCATCAGAGTATGCATCAATCAGGAACTGTTTCTGCTAATGGATCGCATAGCATTGCTCAAGGCATTACACCACTAGCAGCTTCGCTTACCCCGCATCATTGTTTGCCTTCGTCTCAGGTTGCAGTTTCGATATCAAGTTCCAAATTGTTTAATAACTCTAATGGAGAATAGGTAATGATTACGAAAGGAGGAATATTTTCTGTCAGTGCCTATTTCAAATGGTGACCAGTAATAACTAGTACTGTAATTTAGAATTTGCGTTCGGCATAAGTTTTACTTCTATGTGTATTTGCTCTATGAAGCACCTGTGGCTTACTCATATCAACATACACATAATGCGGGCATGCACCCGTTGTTCATACCATCATTTTTATATCACTGTTGCTTACGTTTTTTAAGCAACACAGTCATTTGGCATATTTGAGGAGTAACTTATTATAGACGTAAATCTGGTATTTTACATTGCAATCAATGTAAATTGCTTTTCAAATACATAATGGGTTATCCAATTTTTTAGTTCCAAAGTTTTTAATTTCTAGGATATGCCATTGCGAATTGTTGTTGATGCAAGATATGTGGGAGCCATAATTGGTCAGGGTGGATCGAGCATTCGTGAAATAACTAAAGAATCCAAAGCACGCTGTGTTGTTGATGTGCAAAGAGCTTCTCGTGATCTTACTAAAAATGCCGAGAAGGTTTTATTGTGCTGTTATAAAATTTTTGTTTTTTTTTTTTTTCAAATGCTCGATTTTCAAAACTTCAATAATTCTGGAAGAATCAACATAATTCCAAATATATTTCAATTATTTTTTATTGTAGGTTATATCTATTTTGGGGCAACCGGAAGGCTGTTCGAAAGCATGTATCAAAATTTTGGAAGTTGTGAGGAAGGAAATGGAAAAAGACAACAGTATTTCGCAACAGTAAGATTTTTCTTGTCTAAAATATCACCTCATAGATTTTCTGAATTCTGCTTTTCGTTAGGCGTTGTTTAGATTTTTTCATCAGGTGATTGTCTCGTGCTTTTATGTATTTGATTGCTAAATACGCAGTTTGCAGTCCTGATATTGAACTCAAAATCCGCGCTCATAATCAGCTGGTTGGGCGTTTGATTGGTAGAGGTGGCGCAACAATCAAAAAAATTATGGAAGATACTGGTGCTCATATTTATGTATCAAAGTTGGTTTTCATTTTATTTATTCTTTTTGGTGCTGAAATACAACTTTGTCGATATTCCCAAACCATATCCAAAATTTCCAAAACAGTTCATGGTATGAAAAAATGGTATACTTGTGCTTTTTTATTGTTATAAACTTTATATTGTTTTTATTTTGCACTTATGTCTTTAAACGGTAAATTTTACTCATCAGCAACTGTGGATGTCTGTAGCATCTTAATTGTATTTGTAAAACTGGTGTTGAAACTGAATTTTTTATTTTTTATTTACTTTTTTTTTTATTAACCCGAGTGGGTCTTCCTTTTGCTAGTGGTGCTATCAACCTTAGTTGAGAATAAAAGAATTTCCTTCACAGTAATTTAAGTGAGCCAACCTTGGCACGTGATACTTATGCTTTGATGCCACCCTATGCTGCCTCATCAGTGTATGGATCCGATATGTCAGTACATCTGGAACGAACGGTTACTGTGAAAGCTTCCACGATGAATGTTGTTTCTGCAGCGGAGCAAAAAATAAGTCAAAAATTGCGTTTAAGTTTTGAAGCCGATGTGAACAGTCGGGTTAGTTTCAAATTTTAAATGAGTCTTGGTGTTGTTTTAGGACAAAAATTCTTTTTTCACGCTGTAGTTAAAAATTTTAAAACATTGTAAACAGTCATTTAAAAGATTCCGCAAAAATGATATATCCTAGTTTTCCAGTAATGCAGTTATCCAGACTGCTTCTTAACCTAGTCTAATTCTTAGAAAAAATGTTTGACAATTTTTAAGACGATGCTCTTATTTTAAGCACTTAAAAACTTTCCACTTTTCCTTACAATTTTTTTTTTTATTCCAGATAATGTTTTCAAGTACAGGTGCTGCCGGAACTATGCCTTTGATGACATCTATGGGCGAAACAGGTTATCTGGGTGCTGCTGCCGGTGTCCCAGCCGCTCAGTATGTTCGCAATACGGTTGGTACAGCGGTGGCTATTACAGGCCAGCAACAAGTTCGTACTGTTCACATGTGGGTACCTAATAACATGGTTGGTGCGCTTATTGGTGCAAAGGTTAGTTTTGAGAATTTTATGCAGGGAGATCAAAAACATGACATGTGAAAATTCTTGAGAAAAAAAAAAAAGAGAACCTTAAGATATTTAGTTAAATTGTGAGCATAAATCAGGAACACTGAAGCTATATTTTAATTGGCGATATTCAGTTCGCAGTAGTTTACCCAGTAGTAACATGTTGCAGTAGCAATTGAAAAGACATGTGATTTTTCAGATTTGTCTATTACTGATTGCCAGTTTTCTTTAATGATGTCTTCAGGGTGCTCACATTCGAAGTGCAATACGGCTGACAGGTGCGCAACTTCGCATTGAAGGCGGTGGAACGAATAAAGACAAGAAGGAAAGCAGAGGAGAAGGGAATAATGAAAAAAGTGATAAGGTTCAACAGTTTTATTTTGATTTCCAGAGAACTCATTGAATTCAAGTAATATTTTAAACAGATGTTCGAGATTTTGAATGGTGCGAAAAAGTAATCAGTGTTGTGCATAGGATAATGCTGTGACTGAATTAGTAAAGAAGGAACTGGTGGAAGCAGATGAAAGGGTTAATGAATTGGATAAGAATGAAAATAACAGCGATGAAAAACAAAATGGGAAGAAGGAAGAGAATGTAGAAAAGGTCACAATGCTTATAATATTTATTTTTCCATCAGTAGAACTGATCAATAAATATAATAATTTAATGGTGAAAATAGAAAAATAGACAAAGATCGCTAGTTAAATCATCCATAAATATACTGTCCTTAAATGTAGCAGAATTTAAAATCAGTTTGTTTATTGTTTTTTCTTGAGATATCTGCAGTTGACGAATATTCCGTTATAAATCAGTCCTAGTTTCAGGTGGCATCACCAAAACTGTCGAAAGATAAAGATAAGGATGTGCATGCTGAAGAACGTCTTGTAACGATTACTGGTAACGATCCTCAACAATATAAGGTAATTTTTTGACTTTGAATAATTCTCAAAAAACTTCAATAGATTTTCTGCAGAGAATTATGCAAAGATCTAAGTGCATTATAGATGTATTTTTTTTCTGGTGTTTGAAACTACATACAATATTTGTCGGATTATAAAGGAACTTTGCATGATGTATCAAACATTTAAGACTGATTTTTAAGCGCATCGATGGTTTCTTATTCAGTGCAGTGTTTTTTCAACTGAAAAGGAATAACGTAGCGGAGTGGATTAGAAAAAGGGAGGCAAAGGAGTCATCATGTATAATGTATAATATACTTAGCCTGTCAGTTGTTTTTTTTAGGACTACTTTTAAAATCTCAGCATATTAATTGGTAAGGTTATTGTCCATATTCATTTTTTAGTTTTAATATTAAAGCTGACTTAGGATGAAATTCTAGGCACAGTTTTGGATATATCAGCGCATTGCTGAACAAAGTTGCCACTACATGGATGAAGTACGATTATGTACTGAAATTGCTGTTCCGAGCAGACTTGTTGGAAGAATTATTGGGAAGGGTGGTCAGAATGTGAGTTTCCAATCTTACGAATGTAATACACACCAAACTGATGCTGAGAACTTAGTTATCGAAGTAATTTCATTTAAATTATTTTAGGTGCGCGAGCTGCAGCGTCTGACGGGTGCACAAGTAAAAATTCCGGATGATGCAGGTGATGATGAAAACCAAAAAGCAACGATTGTACGCGTACTCGGTAATTTCCAATCGTCACAGGCCGTACAAGTAAAACTTGGTCAGCTGATCACTGATTTTTCACAGCGGCTAAATATTGGGCCTGCCAATGGGCAAAGTACTTCTAACACTCAGGGTATGTACAGATGCTCAATATAGGTAATTTTTTAATATAGTTTTTCCAATCAAATTTCGTTTAGCCTGTATTCACCTTTATATTTCCTCAAAATTGTTGGTTTAAACTTCATTTTGTCTTATTTTGTAGACATTAAGCCTCATCACATATTATGGTTTTAAACTCAATTGAATTCATTTTTCATTCATCTTTCTGGAAAATAGACTTCTAGTCATTTTAAAATAAAAAGCAAAAATGGCGAGATAGGAAAGTTAAGTTTTCCAATGAGGAAAAATTCTCATTTAATCATGTATTTCAGCTACAGGTTCTTCACCGGGTCTTCAAGAATTGCAGTGGTAAAATACTACTGAAAACTGCAAATTAAAAAAGTGTGTACCTTTACCACTTTAAAAAGCAGAAGGATTGTTTCAGGTTATTTGTCGGTGAATTGTTTTAATTTATAATGCGAAAAATTGATTTGTTATGAAAATCTTTTAGATTCACATTGGAAAAATAGTCAGATGTGTGTGTATGTATGTATGTGTAAAATAATATATATACACCTTTTGACATATCTTGTATATTTTCGCTGTGTCAATATTACACTATTTCCAGGGCAGCAAAATAATATTTGGTGAAAATTTGAGTTAGGAAGTATTCTCAGCCTTTGTTATGGGTTGAATCTTTTTTTATCATCCTGTTGTTGATTCAGTTAGAAAATAAATGAATTTCGCTAGGCTGACATGCAGGGTATGTTAAGCGAACAGTGGTAAACCTCTGACTTTTTGATTTCACCGGTCTTTTGATCAGTTGTAGTAATCAGCAGTAATGTATTCGTTTTTCCTTTTTTCCCTTTTCCTGAATTCTCATATATTTTGCTGCCTTGCATTTTTAGCTGATATAAAATGGCTTTTGTAAAGAAATTTGTTCCTCCTTTGTTATTTGTGTTTATTTAGGAAAAAATGAACATTTTTAACTTCGTGGGTATCAAGTTGGCTGCCAATTTTTGCAAAGTTGAATCTCAAACGTTAGAATCAGAAAGTGATAGCTTGATTTTATCGGTCTCTTGTTATTGTCGTGCTCAAGCACAGTTATTAAAAATCATTTTGTGAGCCTTCAGTTGTCGCTGCTTTACGCGTTGGCTGTCTGTTGTTCCACTCATTCACTATTATTAAACTCCAAGTGTCCAGAATGGTATTGTTGTTGAAATAATTGCGTTTGTTGTTTTTTATTTAAAGATTATTTCGCTACTAAATAAGAAATTGGTAGAAGAGGAAATTAGCGACTTTGAAGTTTTAGTCTTTTTACGAGAGATTTTGGAAAACGTATTCGAAACTTTTTTTTTTTTTTTCAATAAGTAAAGTGGTTTATTAATTTCATTTGTTTTGTTTTTCTTTTTGTTGTAGGGTATATTGATCTGCACGTGTATGTTTATAATGATTTGTTTTTCTTTTCTTTATCTAAAGGAACAACGTTTTTGCCTTTAAGCTACCAGATCTGTTAATTGTTCCACATTGTACCCTACAGAATATGCGTAATTCCGGAAGGTATCATTTCTAGAAACTTCTTTATTCTTTGTTGCATTGGTTAAAATTCCAAAATCGACGTTGTTCTTATTATTGCCATACACATATGACTGTCCTATATGTAATCGTGTGCAGAGCTAATAATTGTAATTTCAATTCCCAGATTTCATTTCTAGTTGAAAACATTTGGATTGAATTTCAAGAAAAGTAGTAACAGCAAAAAGTGGTAACTAAATAGATGAATAGGCAATAATATTACTACTCATTTTTTTGCTGCTGTTATTGAACTCTTGAACATCGTTTTAAATGTTTTCCATTTTAACATCGCTTAATCACCCTGTCTAATTATTTTTTACTATAATTGCTGTTCTTGAAGCTTGTCTTCAACCTACGTACCAATTGGCATTTGATATATCTAAAAATTTTTTCTCTATACACGTATATTTGGGCAATTACTACAAGGAAACGGTTCTTTCGCTATAGCTTTTCGTCACCGTTGTTATTTCTTGTTGCTGATTCTATCACAACGAATATTTCGTTGTTGATTTCTTAATATGTCAATGGTCCATCATCACTCAGAAAAATTCAGCAAGCGAAATCAGCTGACGATTTACCATTTTTGCCTCGAGTTTGAAGTGGATATGGCATTATTCTGATTTTTAAGGGAGGAGTTTTCTTCTAGTTTTAAGTATTCTTTCCTGCTATCCTGGAGAAAGTGTATTCCTCCTTTACCAAGTAGCTCACCTGATACTGGAGTTATGTCATGTTCTTTCGCGTAATTTGTTACGCTGCTTGCATTGTTTTACTGTTACTCTAGCTTGAACGTATCATTTGACTTATGGAACAGTCAGGAATTTCTGAATTTATATATCAGTTTTGTGAAGGAATATTCGAGTAATCTACTTCTAAACCTCACAGCTATCAAATGTGAGTTATTCGCATTCTGTCTGCAATTTGCATTTCGAAAAATGGATCCACGACTAAACCTGTAATCCGTCTGTTTTATCTTTTGTTACTTTAGTACTTTTGTATCGCTTCTCCTTTTCGTAAAATATGGCATAAATTTTTGTAGTCTTCTGATGCTTTTTTTTTTTCTGCTTTTTATGTTTGAATTGTTAGCTTCTGCTGCCACGAATTAAATATATTCTTGAGTGTTTGGAAAGTATTTGCAAAGCTCAAGATGCTAGGTTTAGATTGAGATTGACTTTAAGATTCTCCGTCAAATACCAAGTATTTGAAAAATAAATGTATCATTTAGTAAATGGAATACCAGTGATCTGGCATCATATGTGAATTCAGATTTAGTAATTAATATCCTTCAAATAGCGGAAAATGTTTTGAATTGTGCATGTTTGTTATGTGCTGAAACGAGAGGTGACAATCCGAAAAAAAAATGTCAGACGCTTGCAGGGTTACCAATTTTCTGGAGTGTAAACAAATTTATCATATCACTGAAATCATTTACTTTCGTTCGGAGATTGAAAGTCAAACAGCAGGAGGTCGTACACATCACTTATGAACACCAGCGCTTGATAAGAAATCTACATGATTCGTGTAGTTTAGAGCTTTATTTGTTAGCCTAGTACTACTTGCGTTGTGGTTTTTCTCGGTTTCATTGACATTAGAATATAAGAACCCAGATTTTTGATCACACGGTAAACACTGAAAAACCAAATAGATGATGTTTTTTGCGTTGTTCAAGCTATGGTCTAAAACTGCTGCGTAGCAAACTCGAGAAATTTACAATTAGACGTTAACTTTATGGTAGTTTTCGTTGATCCTGTTTTGAAATTCATTTCTTACAGTGATGTTGTATTATTGGTTCTTATTCAACCTCTACATTATTCGCATCCCATTTGTTGAAAGTGTAACTGCTGTTTCCGATTCTCAACAGTTGGATAATAATGTAATAGAACTTAATGAAACACAGGTTGCTATTGATAACCATTTGTTACCAGTTAACAAAATTGACAAATGCAAGATATGTGTGGTTTTCCTGGAAGATTTAAAATTGGTTATCAACGGAACAGCATCTCCAGTTGTCAGCCAGGTACAGTCAAATCAGATTTCGAAACAGAGAAAGCACGTTTCCAAAATTGGGGAAAGTTTCAATGAAAGATTAGGAAATGGAGTCGGGAGGTCAGTTGATTTCCCTGTCGAGAATGTTTTAGAGAAAATGTGGGAGACTTCTATCCATCTGGATGGCGTTAAAGTGATGAATCGATAAAGTTGAAGACATTTGTGTTTGCAACTTGCGTACATCAGATGCATCCTTAACTAAAAATGTTCTTACCAAGCTTGGACCCAAATCCAAAGACTAAATATGCAAATAATTTCGACAATATTTTGTATGTATCGGAATACAGGAAGAACAGTAATATAACTTTTTTTGTGCCCAACATTCAAACCACAGTGATAAGTTGTCATGCCATGCATGGCTTCCATTAATTTTACAACCTATCAGAAATTAGCTAACAAAGGAATTTAAAGTTGAAATGAAATTCAGCAACTTCAAAAACTTTGTTTTGGCATTTATAACTGCATTAAAAAAAACACTATTGAACACAGATATTTAAAACCTCAATAAAAAATCAATTAATCACCAATACGAGGTTCCGCTTCCATATATATATATATATTCAAAAAGAATTTGTAAGTGGGCAACGTAGTTCTCCATTTAATTTAAAATACATTTACGTTCCTATGAAGGAGCAATAATTGATGAAAATAAACGCTTGTACAGAAATTTATCTACTATTCTGATCAATTCTACCATCCAGTAGTAGTAACAAGTGGCATCCATGAATCCATTTTTCGATTTCACATAACCACTGAATACCCACTATTTGGCAAAGTATAAAATGCTGCTTGAATTAATGACACATCTGCTAAATCAAGTACTTATTGAATTTAAAATATAAGTTGATTAAACAAGTAATTTGATTACTCGACTCTATCCACTATTCATTTAGATGATGATGGAACGTTGTGAAGATAAAGTTGGAAATAAAATCGTTTTCGAACCTGTCTGCGAGCTTGTTTTGCGTGAACTGGTTCGTGTTCTTCAATGGATCAGTAGCAAGATTCATCCCGATAACATATGCAGTAAACTCCACATTTGCGCCCAGTGAGAGCTACAGCTCTTCACTTTTCAAAATCTCTGATTTTGAAATGCATTCGGTTTTTCTTGTTGTTATTATATCTTGGATATTGTTGATAACAGTTCAAAATATATAGATAGAATTTATGCACTAAATAAATCGGCCGTTACTTAATGAGGAAGTAAACGAATGTTATACTAGAAACGCATATTAAAGAAATAAACACCTATCTACATTCCACTGATTGCTTTTTCAAAGGCTGTCAAGACAGTCGGAAATGCTTCTCCAAAACAAATCCAACCTAATAGATTTAGCTCACCACACTTTTATTTAAATTTTCGAGTTAAAATGATGGAACAATATAATTTGCATGCAAGCCCACAATATTTTTATATTATTAGCACTTTTGTTTTCAAAGTCCTCTCATATTCTTCATAACATCACTAACATTTTTAAAATTTCCTTGTCAAGTGTTCTTTGAATTTTATATTCTCTATGACATGTGGAATTCAAACATTTCTTATAAAAACAAAGAGCACAATTTGCAGGACTGAATCGAAAAACGTTGGTGAAGAATTTTCAAGTATGGCAAATAAACAAAATTTTCGAAGACAAATAGTTGAGTATGTAAAAAATTGCAACTTAAATAGATTGCTTTATTGTAATCATGATGCACAGATCGGAAATTGATCTTTAAAATTAATAACTCAAAGTGATTAATTATTCCTGTCAATTTTTCTCGAATGATTAGCTCAAGCAAACTAAACATAAGACGAATATTTACAACTGATAAGTGATAAGTTGAGAACGTTGATGTTGTTTGTTAATTCGAAATAAAGTGAGTAAAGGACAATGACACACTGTTCAAAAAAAAAAGTGTAACTGTAATTCTCATAAAACGAATGGAAGGATATCAGTGAATCGACTGGAGTAATGAATAAAAATCTGACCAATTGCTAGCTGAGGATGAGAACATTGAATTTCGACCACCATTCTCTTACATGAGCATTTTCCTCAACAACCGAGGAAGATGCCCATGTGAATGGGGTGTTGGTGAGTTTACCGGTAAATGAGATAGCATCTGAAAGAACATCAAAGATAATGATAGAGGAAGCTGAAAGAAATTTGGCGCATAACGTAAATGGCAAATATTTTTAGAAGGATTACTCTCTTGATAATAATTGGATTGAGTTGAAATTATTTTATGGAAGAAAATTCGACCTCGCGAGGAAATAGCAAATTAAGAAATAATACAGGAAAGAAATGACCAGATATTACCATTACTGAATTCATTAACAGCGAGAAGGGCAGATTCTGCGGAATATCTCCGGTCGGCAAAGTTGGCCACATCACTGCTAACGTTCTCTTCATTCCACTCTTCAACATCAGGTAGTTCGCTAGCTGGTAACTGGAAATAACAAATCTGTATTTCTTCTTAAATGATACCCAAACTACAGATTGAGATAGACTGTCAACTTATTTGTGCATCTCTAGGAACCGGTCCAAATAAGAAAGCTTCTTTCCTTTCTTCTTTCATATATATATATATAATTTCCTTTAATGGAGATAAACAGAAAAATAAAGCTGACGAATGCTGTACGTACATTAACTTGAACACCTTTGATCGACCTCTTCTCATCCCTAGTGACCGCTATACTCTTTTCAGTGCTCAACAAAGATTTCACGCTCTTTTCTTCACGAAAACTTGTCCGATCCACCGATTGAGCACTATGTACTCCTCTCACCCGCGCGCTGGAGCTTCCGGTAAAAATGAACTTTTTTGCAGCTTCCTAAAATCTGAATTCACGATTATCTGCAGTAATTTTACTAATATAACAAAAATGAAAAGTTATAGAAAATGTACTTATTTTGTCGTAATTTTGTCAACAATCGTCATTAAATAATTTACTCACAAATTTGGTGAAAGTTAGGCTATGTATATGGATATGATGCACTGCTACGTGTTGGAACATTTGCAGAACGAGTTCCACTTCATTTGCAAATAGCAAGATGACACACATTTCAGCTTAACATTTACTATGTAAGAAAGTAAAACATGACTCAATTTATGTACTGATTCAGAATCATAAAGTGGAAGCATTTACTAATTTGATATGAATTTGTCCCTAACACTTTCTGTGTTACTTTGTTTCTTCCTTTTCTGCGGATTAAAAAAAAAAAAAAAACGAACACCAACAAGTTCCGGAATGCTACTTCTTCGTGACCTCTTGGTCGATTTACATTTAATCAGCTCCTCCTCTTCATTATCCAATAATTCACCAAGTTGTTGCGGCTGATCTTGCTGAAGATTACTTGCTGCGTTCATTTGATTTAATTGTAACATCGAGTGCATACTGTGTTGCTCATTTAGAAAAGGTCGCAGATGTGCAATCAGCGAATTATCCTTCTGAAAGTGCTTACTAAACTTCATATTAATACTCCTCCTGTAAAATTGTATATTGGTCGGAAAATATGATACACTTACACTAGATGACTTTTATTATTTATTCAGCTCAAATGGAGACGGACGAGAGTTGACATTGAAAACTTGAAGTTATTAATAAACAAAATGAAAATAGAAAAAGGCACATTCTGCTGTGCTTTGATTCGCCGTAAAGAGCCTTCTAACCAAGAACGTATTGTCTGCTTTGCTACCTCCTCCTCAATGATATACTCTAATTCCTCCCGATGCAACAGTTCCTCAAGCTGTAAAGATTTTCGTATATCGACGCTGCGATACGACAGCATACTGAAAATGTTTTCTTTTTTCCCCATAAAAACTGAAACTACTGTAATGTTAACCAAAATTGATCAATAAAAAAAGAACAAGAAACAGGTAACGAATCTTTTAGAATTTTTCAATAGGATTTGTAAGAATTGTTGAAGTAACCAACTTTAAGACATCATGAAAGGAGATGTCGTCGCCATTGTGCAATCGAACCATTTCATGACACATGTACTTAAACAACAGTCGATCTCTGTTAGGGTCAACCTCCAGTCGACCTTTCAATAAGCGTAATAGAAATTTCACCCGACGAACTGGTATTGTACGCTATAAATGTTCAGTTACTAACGAGATATAAAATATAAGTGTTGTACGGTAATGTTGAAAGAAATAACTGCATTAAATGATAAGATAAAAAGGTGTTAGAAATTCCCCATCATCAAATAACTTGCCTTTTGTTCTACATCTACTATGTTCCAGACTTGCTGGAAGTTACGGATGTCTGCATAGCTTAGAAGAGCATCTTCTTCGCTTGAATAAAACAGTGAGAAATTCTCGATAATCACAGCTATAACAAAAATTATCCGAACTGTTCCATGTCACTTTTGAACAAAAGAATAGAAAGTTAAAGTTGATACAGAAAAGTGTTAAAACAAACCAACAAGAAGATTTAGAACAATATAAGTAATGATAAGATAGAAAGAACAGAAATAAATGATTGCACCAAAGTAATTGCCACAATCAGTTTGCCAGTAACTGACACCTTTCTTCCAATAGCAAAGTGGTGGACTGCGCTTAAAAAAACATCGGAATAAAACTTTGTCTCAATGTAGATATGTCCGGAATGGCAGGAATACACGACAACAGATGTGATATACGCACTACGTACGATTCCTTTTCTTGATCCTAAAGCTCCACTTCCGAAGCACAGCAATCTCAATAAAGATGCTTCATGTACAAAACCATTTCATATAATTTTTTGACAAAAGATAAATTAACAATGTACCATGCAGTCATGCATGATATCGTTCCAATCTTCACCAGTAACACTTCGGAATAATACCACCAAGGCTTCCTTAGCATTTCGAAAATTCACATGCCTGAAAAAAAATCGTTAGCTAATTTATGAAGCTATAAATCATCAGTGGATTAGATAGCTTTTGATGAAAAATACTTCAATTCGAAGGATTAAATGTCTCACTGAATTCAGTATATTTTCGTAGTGAAGTTAAATTAATAAAAAAATTAGTATTTGTAACAACAGTTTGGGATGCAGTAGAAATTGAATAACCAAAAAAGTGAATATATAGGAGTAAATTCAAAACTGAAAAAAATAAACAATGAGCAACGAACTTGGAAACAGCTTGTCCATACTTAACCATACCAAACAGTATAACACCAGTATAAGCGTAGAATAACACCAAAAGAAACATCGCTGTGATAATAAACATACTTCGCACCATACTCATTACTACTGTTAACATCAGCATTTTCAAAGTCGTTTTTCGACCTGAAATGACAAGCAGTTCTATATTGTGGATATTTTACTTTCATTCTCAATGAAAGTCTTTTTTTATTGTGATTAATACAAAAAAGTAATAGAAAATAGAATAGTCATTCTGACCGGCTATGGTGAAGAATCTCAAAATGACCACCAAGTATCCAAAAGTATATGTAAATTCCTTCAGCTCTGTAGGTCCGCCAACAGCGCTTGCAGGTAAAGCCATAATAAAGTGAGTGAAGATCCAAAAAAGCCCAAGTACTGTTATCAGTAGATCGATCCGATTCCGCCTGGACTGCCAGAAACCACGTACTGTGAATGCAATCATCTTTAACAGAATCTGAAAATGATCCATCCCAAAATGAGAAAATAACAATTCATTGAAATTAATGATGAAGAGAGTTAACAAATTTACTGAAGAAAAGAAGATCGAACCGTATTTCTCTTGAGCGCAATTACTTTTAATGCTCGGTTCGGCTTAAACTACACAAAAGAAATTCAAAATAGCTGTTGATCGAAGTTATTGAATAATATTAGAAAAATTAAGGAATAGATTTGGAGGGACGATGAAAGCGAACAGTATGAAGGAGCGATAATACCATTTTACCTATTTCCTTCAATTTATATACAGAGATTATTTAATTATTTGAGTATTTATATGCTTTCAGCAATTCCACTTCCTGATTCCCATCAATAACATGCAGTGTTATCTCAAAAAAGTTGGAAACTAATAGATCATTTGATCGGTTCCTTTCTTATAATTCAATCAAGTACTAAGCAAAATTTTGAGAAAATGCCAAGGGACTTAAAAGGCTGCAGAACTAAAACTAATTCAAATTTTAAAACAAGAAAGAGATGACAAAGTAATTCTGTTGAAGAATTTAAGAAAAAGAAATGAAAAATGGAAAACAACCTCAAAAGTGAAAAGGATATTGGCAATAGCCGATACACCTGTCATGAAGACAAGAGCCTTGTAGCTATTCTTCTCTTCTTCAACATTCCATGGAATAAATAAAGTCACCGAATTGATTACTACTAGCACTGCGAATACCTAGAAAATGTCAAGTGAACAAGAAATAATGTAGTGTGATCTTAAAAAGATTCGGGAAAATCAAATGCTCACATTTAAGAAAAAGAAACTTTCTGAAAAGGATTTAGAATTTTTTGAAGAAAGTCTCGGTTTCCGGCTCATTACCTATAAATTAATATAAGAAAGTACCTGTTTGAACCACCTGCTCAGTGTCATTTCATACAATCTAATGCGGAGTTTAGCTGACTCCGCTGGTTTCGGTGGAACATGTAAAGGCTGTGCCATTTTCAGACGTGCTTTCAGGTCATGCCAACGTCGCTGGTCTACTGTAAGCAATGCTGTACCCTAAACATTCTCGTTAATAAGATGGTGCTGAACATGAATACAGCAAATTTTTGTAATAGTTCGTACTGAGTGTAGGAAAACTAGTAATGAAGTAATGACGAAACAAAAATTCATATGCCCCAAAAGATTCAAAAGTAAGACAAAATTGCTTCTTGGTAAATAAAGCCAGGCTGTTTGACTTATAAAGCTTAATTAGAAAGAAGCACTCTAGCTTAGAATAATCTGAGATGAGGAAAAGTTATGTGCTAAAATCATAAAAGTTTTACTCTATTTTCAGTGTAGTTGGCAATGACGACACCAACAAAGAGTGTAAGTCCGATCATACACCCAGTAAATACATATATATGAATAAAGACCACTGCCCACTGAAACATGAAACAAAGTATGATAATGGAGCACTGCTCTATAGTCTTCAAATTTTATAATGCTGAGTAAAAGGTGGAAACTTTACAGGTCCTTGTCTCATCCACAATATATCACGGATAACATTCCATCCTTTGTACGATAGAGTCTCAAACAGTGCCAGCATAGCATTGCCGATATGGTCAAAATTAAAATTTCGTGGATTTGTCCTGCAACATCTTTAATTTTTAAATAGATTGGAGACAAGAAATAAATAAAACTAATTTAATATTACCAAACTCGAGGTACCCAAATTTTCGGGTGCAGCTCATTGTCATTCTTCCCATACACTTCCATTCGTGTAACAAAGACTTTTTGTTCAAATATACCGAAACATTTTTCCTGCAACCAGATTTCGCCAGGATTATTCCACAACGGGTAGGATATTCTTATTGCAATGTATTGAAACGAACTCTTTCAGTGATTGCTGGATCATTACATGCAGCTAATTTGCCACCAGCGATCTGTACACCGAAACTGGCGAATATAAACATGAGCAAAATAAGCAAAGTAGTAACCTAAAATTTCAATCATCTGCAAGTATTCCTTCTGACATGAATAAGCAGAATGTATTTAAGAGATTGTAGTAAGAAGTACCAAGAGAATCTCTTTAAATCCTTTGCATAGCTCTACCACAACTCGCCTGATATGCGGAACAAGAGTGTAAATGCGTAATGGTCGCATGGCTCGGAAGATCATCATCATCTGTGCCAGTGAGTTAATTTCCACATAACGCGGCATCCAAATCAAGTAAATTACACTCGTCTAAAATAGCTTTACAAATAGTGAGACTCATCATAGTGAGAAGAAATACCAATTATGAAAGTAGAGAAGAAATGAGTCTCTACTTTCATAATTGGTATGCGTATAAATCAAATTGTCCTGGATAAAGCATCATCTCTCAAGTTTCAAGATAATCATTTTTCCTTTTCTGTTGACATATTATTTACTCTGTTTACTATTCTACAAAATATTGCTGGAATATTTGCATGGTATCTCATTAGCTACTTTTGATCCAAATAGTTAGAAGGTGCATCATGGAGTATATAGCAAGAGAAATTCAGTTAGTTTTGAACCGATACGATAATTATCATCAAGAGATGATACGATAATTATCATCAAGAGATGATGCGATAATACAGGTAATGCTTTCTATAAAAGAAAAAAAGCAGCTCTATAATTTAGAACAAAAGAAAAAACAGAGGATAAAAAAGACATTTTGCTTCCAAAAATCGCAAAAAAAAAGAAAAAAAAAAAAACATCGGAGAAAATGTGAAACTCTTGTGTCGTTTATATTATAATTATTGAGAAATTAAAATTATCTGCAATTATGTGAGACGGGAGAAATCATCTTCACTCTCAACACTCAATTCAATTTTTGCCATCCTAGAATTACCAAAATTGTTAAGGTAATTTAAGGTAACGAATGGATATAAAAAAAAATTTTTTTTCTTCTATTAATCCTTATTTATAAAGATTAGTAGACAACTATATATGAACTACTTGTGTATGGAAGGGTCAGGTATTTGAATTAGCAAAAATTGTGAAAAGTACTACCATGATAAGAAATAAGCTTGATGGAAGGAACATACAATGTAAATGAAAAGAGTCATCACACCACCGACATCTCGTACTACAGCATTTGGCGTAAAAATAAACCCGTTTGCAAGTACCTTGACAGCAAGTTCAAAAGTCATTGATATAACGAACATATACTCACAGATCTGAAAAAGATGTTGCTAAACTACAAAACTTAGCAGCTTCAATTCCACTTCTTCAAATTACATAATTACAACAACTACCTGTAGATAAGGGTTGTTGAAGATCAGATTCTCGCCCGTAGTTGGCCATGGACTTTCGAATAGCATTGAATAACAGGAAAGCGCCGTAAAAAACACCATTGCCCAATCAAGATATGTCAACAAGCCGATCAGCTCACTACAAACTATTTTTTGGTGTACCATTAATAATCAATTCTACTAAATGAATGAATGGAATTATAAATTAATTGGAAAAATCTACTTCTATAATTTTTTCTCCATATATCAAATCAAAATTGAGTTGAATACGCTAGAAACAAAATATTTCCTTGAGAACTTTAAAAAAAGAAATGATATTGCCCAGTATTCCCATGCAAACAAAAAATATCTCCAAATTATCGGCAAAATCATTGGCATTACTACGATGAATTTCTGCTAGTTTATAAAATTTTCAATTATATACTAAAGACGACAGCACAAGATCTATCGATCTAAGTTAAAACAAATGAAGAAACTGACTGTAGTTGCTTGTAGCGTTGCTGTATTTGTTTTCCAGTAATTGAGTCAATTTTGTCAGGCATATATTTGGCATAAACTATTTCGTGACAGATATGCCTAAGACGTGAATCCCGATCAACGAGAAAAAGCGGGCGATCAAAAAAAGGATGATTCTCGCGAATTTCCTCTTCAATCCGATTCCTCAAATCAGCACTATTATCGTTTTCAATAATGATGAAGCAGAAGTAAACGAACTCTTTTCATAATATCAAGCAAACTTAGCAAAATGAACAAATTCGAATAAAAGAAGTAATTAGGTTAATAGAGTTGATAAAGGCGGAAGAATATATGCAAGAAGAGACAGAAACGTATATTTTTTAAAGCTTTAGGTATTATTGTCACAGATAACAATATTCCTGATAAGAGATGCAATACAACCTAGTTAATTCTGCATGCTGTCGCTTTTGCTGCAATGCTTTGATATCAATTTCACCGTGTTTTAAATCATTTTTTGGTGCCGAATCTGCCAACCGCACATCACCATTTTCCTTCAGATGTTCATAAACAACTTTCAATTTTACTGGTCGATTTATGCTTCTGTTATGATATCTGTAGTGATGATTCATAGCGTTTATTACAATTTATACAGTGCTTTATTTGTAGTTACACGGTGATACTTTTATAAATAATATGAAAGAGTAAAGCAATGAGTAACCTCGAATCTCCCCAAATTCGAGTGCCACCTTGGCCGAGTTGAGCAATGAACTGATTTGAATCCAGAAAAAGGGCACGATTCCGATTTGCTTCTCTGAAAATCAGAACAATCTACTTGAGAAGTTGAGTCAGTTCATTTTTAAATGAATAACCGCAAGCTCATACTCGATAAGAATGCTAATTGTCCATTTCGATGATAGCTGACCGATTTGTCGTACAGTAACGGAGCTACGGAAGAAAGATCTCCCGACACTACGTAACAGTTGCTTCCGCTGAAGATCCGATTCTAAAATGGTAAGCAGGAAAAGTGAGATAATTTGTATATATATATATATATCCCATATTTGGTGATGGCGTTTTTTCGTTGAATGATCCATCCATCTTTGCAAGTCAAAAAAATATATACTTTAAGTGTACAAATGATTTCTTAAATTGTGGGAAGCTATTTAAAAAAGTGTTAAATAGTTCTATTGTACATCTGAAAATAATGTTACCTTCAGAATGGAAACTGTACGTCAGTGTATTGTCCTCTGCAAATTGTTTTGTGAAACTCTGTCGCACTTTTGGCAGCGGAAATTCACCGGATACTTTTCGTAATTCTACCATTTGTGGTCGAGTAGGAAATTTTTCAAAAATTTTCAAACGCCACGGAAGTGTTGTACGCATGCACGTAGTCTGCAAAAAGTTTACTTTTTTTTTAATAAACTAATTCACCTTAATTTTTCTTAGACTGCTCTTTCTCAAGATTTTCAATCCATCCATGATTCTAGGAAACAATAATTTCATTCCTGTATTTCCTCATCAAAAACTGCATATTTCGATAATAATGCCTTCACTGCACATTATACCTCTTCTCTTGCTTTGAGTTGTTTCACTTTCTTCAACTCTTCGTCCATTTCCAAATTATCGAGTATAACAGCAACGAATAACGACAAAACAATCTGAAATAACAATGTTGCCATAGCTGTAAACGCATCATGAATAGAACAAATATTCTAATGTGATTTTAACAGAAAATGAAAGCCCAAGCCATATGTTGTATCTACAAGTCTATCAAAAATTTCCAGATTAAAAAATAAAAAAGAAAAATACCAAAGTAACAAATAAATGATATCCGACGAAATATATCGCAACGAATGGGACCATTGATTCGTTTGTGGTACGTAAAATCTCCACTACTACATCTGTCCACCCTTCTTGTGTTATTATTTGAAACATTGACATGAATGCCTGGAAAGCGTCCCACACATAACCCATAACTGTATTTAAATTAAATTAGGATTATGAAAAATAGAAAGATCTACTTGTGGGAATGTTCGAAATTTATCCAAATTTGGAACATAACAGAAGAGTTGAAGAGAAACAGCAGAAGTGATAACGAGTAGTACCATCGTAAATACTACCAGACCACCCAGTTTTTTTCCTGGTCCAAATATCTATAATCGGAAATATCTGCATCAAGAAGTAAGAGCTATCAAAATTATCATGTTCACTTCCCACTTATTGGGACAGTAGCATACAGAGCTATTCGTGCATCCCTCCAAGGAACAATTATATTACATACATGCTTATCTTCCTCATGATAACATTTCAATTCTCCATTTTAACTTATACGAAATACCTTTTATGGGAAGTGGAGAAGCAAAGTACTGATTAAACAATCACTCATTTATTACTTTCTATTTGTCTAATAAGTTGTAAGCTTCCAATTCAATTTGTGTAACAACTTCAGAGGCGATAAATTGAGAGTTTATGGCACTAGTGGAGTTTTCTCTAATTTTTTCCTTTTAAAGAAAAGCTAGCAAACTTATACACGAAATTAATACAGTAACCTTATACACGAAATCCTCGAGCATTGGAGAAGCGCGAATAAGTCGAACGATACGAAAAACTTGAAAATAAGTGAAAAGATTCATTGAATACAGTGGCTTCACGATATTTAATGTGCTTCCAATGCATAAAATAAGTTCAAACTTGTGCAGTCGTATATATCCATTCCATCCCAAAGCGACCATTTTCAAAAGACATTCCACGTTGAATATTATCGTAAAGCCTACCTATGCTGTGCGCATATTATTTTAACAGTTACCTTGCCAACTGTAAGGCAGAAATGGAAATAGACTAACTAGTAACGTTCTTTCAGTCTTTTACAGTTTTTTACACGTTATTCATTAGAATTGGTGGCCATAAAAATGTCACTGGTGAGAATAATGAATGTGGAACCTCAATATAGTAGTAAAAAAGCTTGCGTGGTTCATCACTTGCGTCATGTTTATAAACAAAAGATGCATTGATGACAGCGTTCAACACCACCATCACCATCATACAAGTTTGAAACACTGCTGAACGAACTAACTGAAAACATCGACTAATCACTATAACATGTAGCTGTGTTATTACTACAACTAAGTTGTTTATCAAAATAACTATGGATTCCTTCTCTAATAAAACATTTAATGCCACAACTAATCGTCGATTAATGCAATCGATTAAACATATCAGTTATTACCATAATTTTTCACTTCGTCAACAGTCAATGACAAATTGCAACTAACCCAATACAACGGTTTGGGAGCACTGTCAGGATTTATCTTTTCTGCATCCACTGCCATCAGTCGCCATCCATCTTCTGTTTTTTCCAGTTTCTTTAAAAAAAATTGCTGCATACTATTTTTTTTTTCTTTTGATATCAGCATCATCTTACCAATGACTCGTACAAGTTAGTTTACCTGAGCGAAACTATCCTCAATAGTGATTTCACGTGTCTGCCACATTTCACTGAACTGCACCCGTATTTCCGCAAATGTCTCCGTTATTACGGCGATAAACACATTCTAAATAAACTGTTTGCTATATTCTTTGTAAGTAAATGTAAATATCGGCCAATTAATCAGCTCTATGTATTCCGTAAAAAGAGATGAAGGCAAACCTTAACAAGCCAAGCGAGTAAAAATATCAATGTGATGAAGTAAAAAAAAGCGATATAGGAGGGAAATGTGTCTAAACAGTCGTATAGAACGTATACCCATCCTTCCTGTGATGCTGCCATGTATACGGTGAATAAGCTAGAACCTGAAATCTATCAAACAGATCAATGAACTCACTTTCTTTGAGAAAGAAAAGGCATCTGGAAATCTTGACTATAACTGTTTAGCTTAATTAGATTTTGATTTCAACAATACAACTTTCTAATCATGAAAACTCACCAAAGTCATTAAACATGCCATAGAAACCTTCAGCATGAGCGCTCATATCCAACTTCAAACATTCCATATTGGTTGGGCATTCGTAACCACCAGCCCCCTTTTGCGAACACATCGTATCTGGTATAGCCAAGTCGGCGATAGTCACATTAGAAATATTGGTACCCGGAAGGACACAATGATAGTCCATTCGACCGAATAACTGTACTCCCATGATTGCGTAGAATGTCATGAAGAACATGAAGAATATTGTTACATTCTGAATCTGCTGTGAAGAACGTCTGAAGTAGAAGTTGGGAATTCCAGTGGAATCTGATCAAGAAAGGGACCGTCAAATTATCACTCATTAGTTTTCTTCTGATTATTAAGCAATCTTTTCTGAACAGATATTTAAAAGAGTAAGACTATTAGATAATTACTTGATGATCTGTTGGATGCGATTCTTCGGGAGCTTAAAACGTACGATGGACCGTACGAAGCGTATCATAATAAATGGCCTTGGAGCCCTTATAACACCATACCATGGATGATAATGCCATTTCAAGTGTGGAAACCAGAGACAGATAAGTTCGTAAGCGTTCAACAATACTGATGTAATGTGCAAAGTGAGTAAAAAAAAGTCAAATTGACACCAGCGATCTCGAAGATAGCTCCCTTCATACTAAAGAATAAAATTAATGTATATTTCACTCACTCAGTAAACATTACATTTCTGCCATTCAACTTCCGTGGCGCTATAATCCTTTCTGACTAAATGACGAATTAATTCGAATAATTTGAATGAATTGCTTCTCTATTCTTTAATCTCAGATTTACATAAATTAGACATCACTGTACAAGATGGATTTGACATGGAATCAACTAACCGTGATAAGACCATTAGTGACAATTTTGACAATAGCTTCGATAAGAAATACGATAGTAACAATGGCATCCGCAAGAAACACAATGTAATAGAGCGGCGGAAAAAAAGAAAAAGTATGAGGAGTGTTCAAACATACTGACATCATTGATATTAAGCATGCAAGTTTGGGAATATCTTCAAAAATACTGCTGCGCAGAATGTCTGCAATGAATGAAAAGATCATTTAGTAGTGGGCATTTCTCAATGTTATATATCTGTCATCATTAATAGCCACTAGTACGAACTGAGTTCATGAAAGATAATTTGACCTTCATAAACGATACTTAATTCTCACAACGAGTCGAGTCTCATTATAATTATAATTCAGTGACCATTATTTACTTATCTTTTGGCCAATAGTTAATGATTAATAATGGATGACCATGAAAAAAATGTGTTAAAGAATGTGTTCAAGTTGATGAATTCACACAATTGGGATTCAATAACACTCTTCATAGATAAGTAGTGTGCTTAAACGAATAATGGGGAAGATACGAGTTAATAAACAGTTTGATACTTAAAGTAGGGTTAAATTTGAAATGTGAACTATTCGTTTTTCTCATTCCTTCAAAAGTTTTTCATGTCCCTGTGTCTTCATCAATAGATTTGGGATATGATGTCAACTTTTAACTGATGTATTTAATTTCATTTCCAATGAGAAATAGATCGGAACTGAGACATTCACTGAATATTACAAGTTAAAAAAATCGAAGGAAGAGATACAGGACGAGAAGCAATGTGGCTAACTCACAAATTCAGTTACTGTCATTTCCTTTAGCTAGCATAGATCAAACTAAGGCCTTTATTGTCTTCCTAATCTATTAATTCAGGTATAAAAATCATGCTTTCCATCGAACACAATCAATATCAAGATATTCTACTCTCTTTTCTTCATCAAAACAGAAATGACAGGTTATACAGCGAGATGAACACTTATCATGCTTGCAGATAACTAATAATTGTTTTGTTCATTTCTGTTTGCAATACTGCATACGAAGTGAGCTCAGTTTCTGAGAATAATGTCAATGTTAAACCATTTCCAGATGAAATTGGGAGTTTTAGGCCACGGATCCATCTTGCATTTATCCATGTTACTTTCACCAATCACATTCACTGTTCCATTGTATCATTAGAAAAAAAATCTTGGGATAACTTTTAATTGATCTCTGCAGATCTCTTTTAGATTTATCATGGTAGAAGAATTAATGTGGTAAACTGATTAACTTACATATTGATTAACTGAACACTTAAGTTCTATATCCAAACATTTCTTATACGGATGAAAAATATACTGTAACTAGGTAACAATGTGACCTAATATTTGGGACTACGTACCACTGGTATGTTGCTTGCTTGCGGAGGAATCCATGTTTAGCATTTCTGAGAGCACAGCAACTGAATCATTTGCACCTCGCTCAGTCCCTATTGATATTTGCTGCTGCTGCACTTGTTGTTGTTGTTGCAGTTGTTGTTGTTGTTGCTGTTGTTGTTGTTGAATAACTATTGATGATTTACGACAGGTCAACATGACACCCGTCATAGAATTACGTCGCAAGCTAAAACAATTCGTTGTAAAGGATAATTGTGAAGATCCAACATCACTCAGATCGGTTAGTCTTCCCTAGTTAATTCACAGAGTACATACCGTGCAAGCTAGTAATCACATTTTTCAAGCATGCTAAAATAACAATCTAAAGAGAGGACTCAATTATGAGATTGGTTAACATCAGTATAAAATGAACGGAGAATGATGATTTAGGACATTTAATTGATTTTAGCTGATGAGATAGACCAACGATGTAATAAATGGGAAGATGGAAATAGTTAATTTAGCATCTGTTCTGATTTCTCAAATTTTCTATTCATTTAAAGCTGTGCAGTAAATTGAGGTACCATTATCTTGTAGTGAATTTGCAAAGAGATAAAATAAATCAAATATTTTTGCACATTTCGATTAAATATAAGCTTTTAGATGTCCTATAATCTGCAACACTAAAACTTGTTTACTTCAGAATTATTATTCCACTACCGAATTAAACGATGTTTCACGGCACATCTTTGAATCTTGCCCCAGCTTCATTATACTGTTATTCTATTCCACTTATCATTATAAAATATGAGGAAAAAGATGGGAATGTTACTTGAAATAGTTGATCCAGGCCTGGTTGAAACAGCACAAAATACTGGAGGGAAATGAAAGAATTAGAGATATCTCTCATGAATTTTAGAGACTTCAATGTGTCTGTATGTGAGCAGTTCGAATGAATTTGTGGGAAGGCCAAGTGTGCCATCTTTGACAACATAGACTAACCCATCTGGTAATGATAACTAGGCAAGATAATGTAGTGGGATTCACAAAGAGGAAAAGAGAAGATAACATCCAAGGCGAAGTAAGACAGAGAGATACACGTCAAAGGTAGGTAAGCTTGTAGCACAGGATATAAGTGGATGAAATCGAATGATTTAACAGTAATCTGAAATAGATGGATTCCTATATTACTGGAGCGAAAATAGATGGAGGCAGTGCTACAGTGAGTACAACTGGAAAAGAGAATGCCTAAGTTTGAAATGCCAGGAAGAGTAGTAGTAGAATATTCAAATGAGTACCTGTTAGAAAGCCGTTGAGGGGACAAGAGGAATGTCAACGAAAGAACAACTTCCCATACCAACTATTTGCGAGCTTTGCGCTAGTCTTATCTAGAGCGGGAATGGAAATGGATGAATTAGATGGGAAATAGGGAAGAAGAGTTGGAAAAGATGAGCAGAAGAGTGCTGTGAAGACCTAATTGAACGGAAGAACCAGAAAATTTAGTGGGAATCCTTGGCTTGCGTACAGAGGGATCTGATCAAAATGAACTAAACGCACATCGTGACAAGCTAAGAAGGGGAAGGGGAAATATTTGAAGAAAGCTATGTCACTCTTACATTCGTCAGAGCGAAAGTCGATTCCAGGAAACAAAACATTTTGAATTGTTAATGTACCGCAAACATGCAACGCTGAAAATGAAATCACCACAGTGCAATTAAAGGAATCGATTTTAGAATTTGCAAAAGTTAAACATCTCTGCTAGAGAATGAAGAATGAGGATGTCTTAAGAGTAGATACGTTATTACATAGCTTCTGCATAACAAAATCTAAAAGTTTATTCAGCTCACTGCATCCATCTTTTACTTCTCAAGGCAGCTTTTTCTTTTGGCTTGACTGCATTGTGGCATATGTGCTCATTAAAATTCAAAACTATCACCTGGATGACTTTTTTGAAATAATGATAAACCATAATTATATCAGTAGCGATAATTAAGCAATTTGCATTATAATTTGATATCTTATGTGTAAAATAAACTGTCGAACTTTCAACTATCATTAAATGAAGTTCTATAGCGAACTGATATACCATTAAAAAATCCAACCAGTATCCGATTGAAAAAAGTACATAATACTTCCTTATTGATGCCTATTATGACCAAACGAAATGTTTTTTGTAAAAGAAACAGGCGTGCCGGATCATTATCTGATTAATAACTCCCCATCCCAGAACAATTTATATATTTGAAAATTGTTGAAAATGAATTGAATATATAAGAGACTCTCCATATTCTTTTAAACAACTTTTGAACCTTATTTTCAATTCATTTTACTAATCATTTCAGTTACTGCTGCTTCGCTCCTTCCCAGTTCTCATCCAGCTTCTTCGGTACTTCATGAAACATCTCTTTCTCAGTTTGTTTCAAAAAAATTAAATAGGTCTGTTTCAAATTCAAAAAATCTATTTCGGAAAATCCAAAAACTGGCACACTTAACAAAAGCAAAAACATCAATAATGATAACTAATAAAATAAGCCGACAAGTTCACAAAGATAACATTATCTGGGAGAATATAATGCATCCTTTCCTAGCAATGAAGCCTAGGAACGATAAATGCTTCTTTTGGCAAAGAAGCCTGAATGGAAACATTGTTATTTTATTAGATGTATTACAATGGTTGGTAAATTGAATACAAGTCTCTTCTAGCAGGAAGACTTATAATTCTGAGTGAAATAAAAGAAAAGAGACTTTCAGGAAGGAAGATGAAGGAGGAAAGTAGTGGTTTTAAAGTATTTAATTAATTAGTGTATGACAGTAGGTGATTAGGACTGCTGATTAACAAACAGATGGGTCTTTATAGAGTTGTTATGCGACATATTTAATGAAATTCACACTTTACTGATACTTCCTTTGAAAATGAAGAGAAGAAAAAGAGAAAGAAGTAAAAGAATAAAGATTTCGGGGACACTACCTCTTCTAAATTAATTGCAGTTTTAAGCATGCTTTAAAATACGCATTCAAAAAACACTGTCTTTCAAAGTGTGCTTAAAAATACATTTAATTTAATAACTCTGTAAAACAATGCAAAATTTTAATTTGCACTCAAAATGGTGCTTGCATGTGCATTTGGTTGTGTTAAAGAAGTTTTTGTTTGAAGAGAGATAGAGTGAAATGAATAGATTGACGCGAGTTGAAGATCAGTGAAGCGAAATTTGACGGATATCAATTCTATGACAAGTTGACATGTTATCTTAACATGAAGTCAAATAATGGTACTATTGAGAACCTTCAGAAACTAATCAAATTGTTAAAAAAAAAAAAAAAAAAGGAAAAAAACTTTCTTTTTTATTCCTCTCGTTTGATCAAAAGTAAAAAAAAAAAAAAAAAAAAAAAAAACAGGTGGAAAATTGCAGAGAATATAAAGTTGATGAGAAACGAGTACAACTGCTATTTCCATTGGTAATGAAGAAATTAAAATTATTATCATCATTTTTGTTGATAGAAAATCAAATTGAAGTGTGTATTAACCAAATAAATGTATCATAGCAGCTCAAGAAATCAATCTGGATTTGGGACTACTTATTGAGCTTTTTAATTATTAGTGTATACTATCCAAGTACACTAAAACTCTCCAAACATTATGAACATTCCATTCTACAGCTCTACTCTGCTCTGCAAAATTTCAATTTTCCGAAATAATGACTATAATTTGAAAATAAAAAGAAAACACATGCTAACTCATTTCTTCTTCCTACTGTGAGAAAACAAAAAAACAAGCATTTGGCTAACTTGTTACGTAGTTTCATCGGACATTAGAGTTGTTTAGAATACACAAATCATCCTTATTAACAGTCTTGTAGCCTAGAGCTATCATTCCTCTATTACTCAGTGGTAGTTTTTCCTAAAAGTAAAAAGTAAAGTAAAAAGGTCTAAGTATGGTTCAGTATCGAAATGACGAATAGATCTAGTTATTTTTTCCCATAATCTAGTGTCTGCAATGTCATATAGAATAGTTTGTAAAATAAGTCATTTCAAGCACTACTTAAAGCAGGAGAGAAAAAGGGTAATGAGTGCTTTTAATATAAATCTGAATATTCAATAGCTGTATGATTTATGTCAGTACTAAAATGTTTGTATTTGATGCATCAAGTGACAAAAATATCGTTTCCACGAAATTTGCTATCGCTGAATCAGACGACGTTCAATCTCAAATTCAACAACAAAATTTTTGTGTTTAAATTTCTTCCGATATTTAAATCCTCGAAAGCAATACATGAAACCAATCAATTATAATATGCTGATATCATTCTTATGACAAGAACAGTTATTATTGTATGAGAGTATAATTCTTATGAATAGTCGCAGGATAATATCTGCAAGGACCTCATGGTTAACCTGACGACGATTAAGTACAACGAAAAGGCTTTGATGACAACTGTCATATTTCGTAAACAGGCAAAAGTTCTTCACATCATATCAGGTTGGTTTAATCTTTCATTTTCTAACTCCACCCAACTGATATAATTCTCTTTATATTGTGTTACTTGCTGAATGATTTGCTGGATTTCTTCGAGCTGCAGAAGAAACTTCTACTGCAGCTTTTAAGCACGTGTCTTCTATTGTAATATTTAATAAGCATTAAATAAACTTCTTAATGATATAAACGCTTCACTTGTTGTCATGGGCGCATGTCTATCTAGGGATGGAAAGATAAAAGGTCATTTAAAAAAAAAAGTTTACCAAGTAGGTATTGTAATATTTTGATGAAGTGAGGTGATATGCAAATTAGATGAGATATTATCATTTTGTTTTGTTAAGTTTAATTCCAGATATAAAACGAAAAATGATTGTTTGGATAGTAAGATGCAGCTACTATCTAAGATATCCATCCGAAAATATCATCTATTCATAATGTTTGATAACAGAAGATGACTTAGTGCAGTATCGTAGTACGACTGTTTCTTCACGGTGCTCTATTATAGTTGTTCTGGACTGTAATGATGAAGAGTCTGCTAAGTATTCCTAGCAATTTGGAACAATTAGTTCAACTGTCTATGTTTTTCTACTTACTTTTCTTTGCTCAAGTATGAGGAATACCTGCAATTATTTCCACAGATATTAAAATTTTCTTCATTTGTTTAAACAAAACGGTTTTTGACATTATCAGTTAAGCTAATAATCTTGAACCAAAAACACCACTAAAAGAATTTTTTTATTAAAGATAAAGTCGAGTTCATGTTAGTTAACTTTTATTAAAATTATTCTAGATCGATATCCATCCTAGTCTTTAATCTTCAAGCAAAAATACTTCGCTCCCAGAGCGCTTTCCTTCGACAGTTAGTTTTAATCCTCAAAGAATGATCAACTCTGCATTCGTTTTAATATTACTCAATAATATCAGTACAACTGATGGCGTCAATATAATGATACAGGAGCTGATATAAAAAAATATAACATAATGATAAAAGCTGTGTCAGTAGTGCATTTCTATAACTATATAATTACCAGATAACATTCAATATAGGTACTCGTGATATTCAATTCTGGCTTATAATTTGCCTTGCCGGTATTCTGAGGTATATATATATATACATCGGTTAGCAAAAGCATCATTACTGAAGATTTGTCGTTCAATATATCTATTCTTGAAAAGAAATTCTCGAAAAAATTTCCGACACGAACTAAGATGATAGATCTTATGATGTGAATGAACTAACTGCCACCATGGAAAAGGGGAAAATGTCAAAATCAGAAATACTGTTCTCAGGAATCACGAAGGACTACTACCATACCAGTTTTCCGTATATCTTATCAGATACTGCTAGTTGCATACTTGGATCTACCTGGCCAATTTGCAGCCTTTACCATCACTGTTTACATTGTTTTCATGAACATCTTGGGAAATGAAGCACTGAACCGTCTATATTATCTGCTTCTATGCATTATTTTATAACTGAAAAGCTTGCGACGAATACACTACTGACTATGACTCCAACGACGTTCATACTTCCCAAGTCAAATAGACTGAAGAATAACCGGCTTGGCTCTAATCATTCTTAGGCCTCATTTCCCTAGTTAAATGTGATCACAATGGCAGGTTGGTATTTTACGGCTGTAAGAAAGGTAGTTGACATGACAGTTTTAGGCAGTAAGGCTATGGGATGTCTGGGTGGAGATTGGTGGCATTGAGGTTGTTTCGGTAGTATTTTTTTATCATTTACAGTTCTGACAGATTTCACATAAATGTTTATATAGATTTCAGGAAGCGAAATGTTTTCGGGGTTAATTCAGCGACTATATTATTTCCGATTCTTGAGAATTAATACTACCCGATACCAGAATTTAGCAACAGGAGAAACAAGGATCGTGCCTGTTTCCATGCTTCCTGATGATTATACTTTTGCAAATGCTAGTGATGCCAATGTATCTCGATATCGTAATAAAGTCATAAGTCGTGCATTGGAAGTTTATCTTAATGATGTTAGAAAGCAGAATAAAATCATGGCCCGAGAAAAGGCAGAATTCGAGCTTGGGAAACGATATTTGGCCAATATGTTGGGACTGGAACCGAATAACATTACTCAGGATGATATTGACAAGTAAACCTAAATGGCTGTTTATTTGCACTGATAGAGTATATTGAAACATCTGATTAAATTTAAAGAGCACTTTATATAGAGACTGTATTATTTAGGGCGCTGGAGTATCTTTTTCCATCTGGTCTAACAAACAAATTAGCTTTACCGGTAATGAAACCACCCGAAGAAATTTTACCAATGTTGCATCAAATTGCATTTGATGACGAAGGCCGCCCAAAAGATTTACTATTTTTCACACTTGCGCCGAAATTTTATCGACTTCTCTCGGTAGGTTTGTTTTCGTCCTCGAAAACACTGTGATGCGAGGAGTCGTACAGCGAATATCCTCTATTTTAGGTTGTTGGTGCGAAGACAGAAGCATTGTTAGGCTATCAGCAGAAACAAGAAGATGATTCGAAAACGCATAAAATGTGTATATTGCATTTAATTTTAGTGTCAAGCTGTGCGTCCTATATTCTTACATATCATTCTTATTCATTCATAACGTTTGTTCTACTTCCAGGGAATTGTTGGGCACGGAATGGATCAGTCAACAAATGCTTTGTAGTAAAATGAAAGAGAAAATTACGGATGAAATGGTCATTTTTTTTTAAATTTTAAAATTGTAGGATTAGATGCATATAATTTATTATTGCTTACAAATTGTTTTAAAAGCAAGGCTAATAATTGATAATTGAGGAAGAAGCTTTAATGATGTTTGAGGAATTTTCGTGTCCATAGTTGTGTGCATTTTAGTATGCACATCTGATTATTTCATTGGATTACATGGTTTCGCTTCCTGGTGCTCATAAGGAATGGGACTTCATTTTCGAATACAGAAAGTCTGTGGCTGTTGGAGCTAAAGACGTTATTTTTGGTGCAAAAGTAGGTTCAAAATATAGGTTTAGTAGAGGAGAATGAGCTTATAGACAGTGTGGATTACGAATGTCAGAACAATAACCCAGCTAGATTGAAGACTGATTCACTGAGTAAAATTGTTTAATTCTCAAGAAGAGACAGCATATGGTTTGAAATTTATGATTTGAAAAAAATTCAGATAACAGCTGTTTAATAAGAAAAAATAAGTTTTCTTATTTAGGTACCACCAATTCAGTTAGTAGAAGGTACTAATCAACGAATGGCGAAAGTAGAAGTTCGTTTGAAAGCATCGTTTGCTGAAGTTGAAGTACGAGATAAAGGAAGTGGAGAATATACCGTAGACGGATATAGCCTTGATGTATTTCGTTCTTTACAAGCTAGGTAATATATTTATTCATAATCTTCACTTGCTGCAGAGCATGGAAGAAGGAAATCTCCTGAAGTTCGTCTTGTTATTTCCTCAAAAAGCACTTAGGTGGCTAAAAGAGCTTTTTACCAAACAACATGAAATTAGTTTCTGTTTTTAGGGAAATATTCCTAGCACCGCTGATAGTGACGGATTTACTGGGAAAGCTGGACATCACAGGTAAAATTACGGATGGTCCAGGTGGTACCTCTGTCATACCGAGGATCATACGATATGGCACTTCCTTATGTATTGCTGCTCTATTTCCCGAGCATTTCGACAAGCTTCGTCTTGGTATCTTTTTTCATCATCAATGGTTGGTAAATAATCTCCATACCACTGAATGGAGAGTCTTTAATGTTGTTTTGCTCATTAAGTAATGCAAGTATACTTGCGAATTGATTCAGTAAATTGAAAGTCTAGCTTATAGCTGGTCTACTGACATCTGATCCAAGAAGACGTGAACGGTACAAGATCAATCAAAAAGGCGCTCGAGCGAAATGGATTTGGTATCTTTCTATTTTTGTAGCTTTATCATCACATTCTCTTTGCATATGTTTGTACTTATCCGCCAAAACGGACATGGCTTTCAATGCATAACTTCCAACTTCCAAGAGTCTACTTTGTCCTTTGATGTTCATCCGTACCTTGATGATGTAGCTATAGCATCCCAGCACATCACACTCGTCGTAATGGGGGATAATGATCTGTAAGCCTTGCTCTTCTAATTCTTTAAAGTTGTTTTTATACATATTGATTAAAACTCTTCCGCAGTTTTTATCGATAACATATTTTAATCGATAGTGTAAGCCCTAAAGTATTTTGTTAATTTTCGGTAGGTAGAGTAATTGCTGGATTTTTGGGCTTGCTTGTGGGACTATTTGACAGCTCCAAGCTTATTGCTTTTGAATGAAGTGTCATTAGACTTGATGTTCTCAAAAATATGTGTAAGGAGTGGCAAAATTCCTACTTTAGTATAATATTTAATAAGAGCATTGCTCGTGCATTAATTTTGTGATTTATTTTTATCACGTCATTTATTTAAGTTAATAATGTTTATCGGAATGAATAAGTTCTGTCTCATATTCATTTGGCTGTTGTGCTGTTACCGAATTCATCAAAATTAATAATTTTCCTTGAATGATCTATTGCGTGGAACAAGTCAAGATCATTTTTCCTAAAATTGATATTTCGGTAGAAAAAACTTGACATTTTAACGAAATTTCCGTTTACCTACGAATGAGATGGAAATTGTCTAACCACTTCTTCTAATCAATATAAAAATGCACAATCTCTATAAATTTTTTTGTAACTGATGCAAGTCGGTTGTTTCATGTTTCTGTGCGAAGACTGCATTCATATTCAAATAAAAATTTGCTGAATTCAACTGCTAATTCATTTATCATGTCAGCAGTTATTGGTTCATGCTAATTGCTAATTGTTTCAGGAAAAAGCGGTAGCCAAATGGTCACGTTCTCGAATATGTGGTCGCAAGTAAGGATAGTTGGAACAATCTCTGCTAAAACTCTCCAGAGTTCTCCTTGCAGAAAACTGTGATTAAAGAGCAGATAAATGAGAGGCTATGAGAGAGATTACTTCTGATTAGGTGGGTTAAAAAAAGTGGGGACAGATGATAACCAAATAAAAATTTGTAAAATGAGAACAAAGGCTAGGATGTCCGTAATATTAATAGTAAGTAGCATATGGTTGGAACATTCTGAATAGTTCTCTGCTCTGGCCGACTAAAGAAACAAAAGGAAGACAGCTGACTAGCAGCCACTCTTCCTTTTCTATTTGGACGTGTATGTATGTGTATGTGTGTATATATATATATATGTATGTATGTGTACTGTAGTGGGTGATGGCTTGTGGACGATGCCCTGTGGTGACATCTCGTGCAAGGCACCAACCGCTCGAGGAGTAGTCTAACACTGATTTTTCGTCTCTCGCTATTCCAAGGCACCACTGAACTGTTGCTGTAGCTGCACGCCTTCTTGAGCGAATACAGCTGCATTTAAGTTGGACGACGACGAATCGAACCGATCAGCGCACGTCTCCCCTTGAAATTGAGTGCATATCCCTTTTCCTAATCATCTCCACCTCTTCCATCTAGCCTTTTTGTTGCAGTAACTGGAAACGAATGGTACCTCCTGGTACCAATGCATTATGTAGTTGGTATGTATCTCTATTCCCGTCATTATGTATGTGCCTGTGAATTTCTTTGTTGTGACGTATAAATGTGGGTGTACGTTGTTTAATGCATCCATGCGCTAACTCTTCAATGCTGCGTTCAGTATTTCCATAGAAGCTGTGGAAAATGGGAATTGTTATTGTTTTTTTTTTTTGCAGTACATTTGTAGACTGGTTGGTCTTTTGATAAATTGTGGACAGAGGGATGGGCGAGGAGATGGGTCATGTTAGGTGCTTTATCCCCTCAGTTCGTATGATTTGTTTTTTGACTTCTCGTCTATCCATTCATTTTCGGATCCTTTGCTGTTTTATTTCTCGTACAGGTCTGTGATTTGACTCGAAGTTAGGTGGCATACTTTTGGATTAGGCTTCTCTTGTAAATCATGAATGTGTTTATTGTTTGCGTTACTGTCAGGTGTCCTTCAGACATGTGCATATCGAAACAACCATGAGGGAGTATGTTGTACAGGAGATATTTACAGCGGGTTGTTTAACCTCATCCCTCTTCAGCTTATCACCGCTGTTCTAAATAGTTTACCAATAACACCTTGCTGCTGGATCTTTCCATATATATTTTGTTTGGTGTGATTATTCACGTGCTTTTCTTCTGTAATGATAAAATGATCAGATGCAACCAACTGTAATTTGATTACATTTCGTGGAACAGTTATTGTGAATCTTGAGAGTAGTCGTGAAAGACAAACTTACAAAATAGAACAAATTTTGTGTGGTATGTGAAATGTATAGTTTTATACGATCCATCACAATGTACAGGATCATGCAGTGGTCAAGTTTCGCTACGTTGTGAGCTGAGCAAGGTATTGGTAGTTTTAACATTTCCTCCAATCGATTTCATCATCACGTAACTTGGATTACATCACTGTAATATAATATTCAAGCTGACTCTCATGCTTATTTCTTTGTTGCCAGTGGAATGACCTTCTCACTGATAACAAATTATTGGACAGGCAAGATTCTGTGATATTATGCATTCATTTATATCTGTTAAGTTGGAATAAATAAAGATCGGTGAACCCGGTAAAGATATCAATTAACATTCCAATTGGTAAATAGTTTCATGTGGATTACTGTTTCTTTTTTCTCGCAGTATAGAATGCTCAGTGGATACTCCATAAAGTTTAAACGCAAGACTATAGGTCATCAATACTTACCTTCCCTAATTTCTTTTGATGTTTTGGAGGTTAACTATTATCTATTTCTTCATGAAGCTTTAGATGCTGATAGCCTTGAAATTGCATGAATTGAATATAGAATGCAGAGTGTTTTGTTTTGTTGAAGGTCATGGTTCAGCACAATGTACATCGTGCTGTCTTTCCTGCAACAATCATCCGATCAAAAGGGACACTTCAAGCACGGCGGTGTCCAATACTGTGTGTCAACAGCGATGCATGTCCCTACCGGCTGTATTTCCTTGCTTCTCTCATATATTACATGTTTTTTCGGAAGTGATATGCTTCCAACAAATGATATTAATTTGCTAGCAAAAATGAGACTGAAGAAAACTGGAAAAGAAATGAATGACAATATTTCGGCACTTTTTGGGCTCTGAAGATGATGATTGGTTAACAACAAGCAATTTTGTGATAGTTTATTTAATTAAGTTAAATATGTTCACTCAAAATTGTGAGTTTCTCATACACGTCGTCTTCGAGTCAGTTAGGTTATTGTCATGATCTTAATACGAACTTTCGTATTTTCGAAAGTAATGAAAAGTATTTGAAATTGATTTTATACAAAAATTGTCTCAGTTACATGCAGATAGATCAGCATTCGGTGTATTGGATGGGAAACATATTTCTGGTTCATTTCTCCATCATTTCCTCAACGATGTTATGACGTTCAACTTTTCTTGTTTTTTTTTTTTTTTTTTTTTTACCTATCAGTCTGCATTGCTATCGTTGAACAAAACTTTCGCTTTCTTTCCGTCTCTTAGAATTATTGAAAAGTGTTTCGGCATGAAGTGGTCATCTGTCAAATGGTCAACATACGTCGAATGTAAAAGTCACTAAATTACTACTTAACTATGATACTATTCTGCTGGATCATTTAATTTTAGTAGTATGGTATATTCTATCCTTAATTCTATTCTTGATGTTCGTAAACCTCACTCTCCCACTAATTTACTTTCCTGAGTTCGACTTACATAAAAATTAATAAACAATCTCGAGCTTGCTTTTAACAAAGCTGATATTCACCAATTATAGTTGTTGTTAGTAGCAAATGATGAAAGCATTTTTTGGCCGTAAAAAATATTTCATTATATATCATTGACTTTATTTACACAACATTTTTGTCGTAGACTGCAGAAGTATTTGAACTGTCGATAAGTGAAATTGCACTAGACTTTTATCATTTCTTGTTATCCTTAACTTCTTTTATGGCTTCTGCAAAAAAAGCAAGTGAAATTTTATATACAATCATGCCCAAAATGCAGCAGCAAATATAGCCATTTAATTATTATAAATATAGCTTTTTTACTGCAAAATGTGCTTTTACCGATGAAAGCTTGACCCAAACTTGAGGATATTCAGCGCTTCATATTTGTTGTTTCCAATCTGATTGTTAGTATTTGTGCTCCATCTTATGCTTTATTTGATCTTCGAGCATATCCCAATTGATTCATTGCTTAAAAGTAAGTGATAAGGTATGCATAAATCATCGTGAAGCTTCGATCATGTATCTACAACTATTAGATTGATAGTAGGGAAATAGTCTAGCTTGGTCTATTGCGATTGATGCCTGCATAGAGAGAAAAGTAAATAGCTATTCTCAAACTCTAAACAAGGAGATTAGAAACTTTTTTGCGATCTTCTGAAAAGGTTTTACAAAGAGATATTCAGCTACCACTTTTATTCCTTAAGTCTTTCTGAAATATCTCAGATCTGGTTCATGCTGCAGTCAATGTTGTAAACTAGACGTTATCGAGTGGATAATCCTCTGTTTCTAGAATAATAACTGTTTCTACTGCACCTGATATTGCTTATCTAGAATATGCTTCAAATTATTGGCTTCGTAAGTAGACCAAGGTCATATGTCTAATGATTGTTCTTTAAAGTGAAGTAATAAGATTAGAAGGTTAAAATTGAAATGGAATGTTTTTGTTTTTTTAATTGCTCTCAACTTCCTTTCAGATGAATTCGAAGATCCCTTTTTTTTTTTTTTTTTATACTCTTCGATTTTATCATCTCTTCAGTAAGAAAATATACTACTCGAACTGGATATCGATTACCATTTTTTAATTTTATAAAGGGCAATTTTGGGCTGCCATTGATCTTCACATTTATGGTTATATCTGTTTTATCAATTTATCAGTGAAAATTTGAAATAATTGATAAATGCTTACTATATATTTTTACTATTCATGTCACCGATCGGTTAAACAGTTAACAAGCAGTATATGCTAAGAAGCGTAGGAAACCCCATAGCACTATTTATGTCATTATTGTCTCAGAAACAACAGCTGTTTTCATCTCCGAGCAGTGACAATTTTACTGAAGTTTTTGGATGGTTTTTTTTATAGGGGATTAGCAATCACTGACTAAAGAGAGGATACTCTGCTCGCATTTCTGGCTGATAATCATAGTACAAGATGTAATAATAATAATAGTAACGAAAGTGGTAATAAGGAGTTATTTTGTCTTGGGGAGAGGGAATTTATGTAAGAAAAAAGGATAAGTGACCGTAATGACCGATATTGTGCCAGCCAGGGACGGACATGGGTCATGCCCCTCTCTGTACTACCCTGTACCATAACATACCATATTCCTATCACACCATAATACCGCTCGTAGCAGCAGAATCAACAAGACAGGAAATTGTTGCTATCGTCTCACAGCTCATTATGTGCGACGAGCATAAAGAAACACGACGATCCAACAATCCACTTCCTCTTCCTGCACACCTTAGGACCTGTGCTGAGCTCAAAGCTCAAAAGGTCCTTGGGCGGTTCATTCGTATGCTTTGTTGGCCTTCGTTAGCACATTTGTAATACGTTATTTTCACCACAAGCCATTTAGAAATCTCGAAAAGAGAAAAGGGAACTCAGTGTTGCCTGGAAAGGAGTATCATCTAAGGCACATCAGTTCAGCAGTTATTCGTGAAGACGAGTGTCATGGCCGTGGGTTGCTTCAATCAACCGTCGATGCTTCCTGGAGAGGACAAGATCTCTCTTTGGAGTACTGGCAGTTCACCCTCATCACCGAATAGCTCAAGTTTATTCCATTCCTGCTGGTCACCCATTCCCAATGCACCCGAATCTTTGCCGTCACCCTGGCATTCTGTTTACAATTGGATCAGTGGCACAGGACAGGCAAGTCTTACTCGTATATATTTTCCCAGTGGTAACTGAAAAAATTCCTAAGCTGTATTATATGCCGTGAATCCACGGGATTAATCTCGAATATTTTTCCCTAACTAAAAAAAGTTGACTTTTCAAGAAATAGGATATCGAATATTGTTAAGAACATTACTTATGCGAACTCTATCTGATCCTTGTCCAATTTCCTATACTGTTAATATAAAAATTGCTGGAAAGAGATGACAACGGTTGGGTTAATGACGACATCGTTGGTAGACTGTCCAAGTAACCGCCAATATTGCTAAGTTCATTCATTTGTGGACGAAATTTTCTTTTTGATTGCCACCATAGTTACAGATGTTATTTGCGCAAGTGTAGATATCATCACATTTTTACGATCAAAAATAATTTCAGACATCGTACTTTGAAGAAATATGACCCATCAGATTAGGTTAATTGCAGGTCGAAGTGTAAATGACCAAATATGCTACTTCGCACCGTTTGTTATAAGTATCATTTAAGTTCCACTGCGTAATCAGATGTTCTTTTTTTTTTTTTTAACTTTTCTATAGCATACATAAAGTCGTAATAACCCAAGAATATTAACCTACATATAATATATACATTTATTTAAAAATAAACATGAAATTACCTGAAGAATAAAGGGAATTATTTTCCATCTTTTTTTCCATTTTGATTTTCTTCTGTTTTTACAAATTCAATATCAATATCTGTAAATACTTTCATTTAAGTTTCAGAGAAGTGGAGTTATTTCGGAATTAAAATCGAAAAAATTACTCCTTAAGTAGATTTCGCAAGTTTATTTGAAAGGAGGCTCTAAAAAAGTTACCTGTTAGAGTTAACTTTGATTGGTTTCTTATTTTATATATGAAAGAGATACTGATTAAGACTTTTTTAAGTTGGTTAGGCAAAATAAGAGACCTTTCACTGGAGTTCCCTGTAATAATCCATGTGACTTTCAGGATGGTGCCAGCAGTGATCGTACAGAGAGTTTGCATTCAGAATCGTATCTCCAGACTTCCCCAATGCAGTCACAAAAATCATCCACACGCTTCTATTATGGAAATATCTGGAGGAAATCGACGGAAGAACCAAGTCGGACGACCGAAACAATTCCCACATTTTCGTGTCGTCCTCAGCCAACTTCATCATCATCATTTCTGTTAGAACAGAGCGTACCTCAAACAGTATCATGTACTCCACCACCACCTCAACCGTATCCTACCGGTGGTATGGTACCTTCATCAGCACAAACTGCTGCTTTTTTTAGTGGTGAGAAGGAATACGATCTTGTTCAGGTACTACTTAGCATTTCGATCGTTCTTTGCGAAATGATTTTACCTTCTTATTTTTCAAATCTTCGTAATCTGCACAAACTCTTATTTATTGTGTTTCAGGCGCTCTTGAAACTGAATATAGAGAGTTGTATTGGGTCAAGATCCGGAATCGGAACATTAAATCAGAATCCACCAAATATTACAGCATTACATACAAGGTCACAAAATGTAAAACCGGAAAAGGAATCACTTCCAGTGAGAGCTCCTGCAAAGTTCCCCGCTATATGTGATATAGGAACCAATCAGCGTGCACAAAATACACTACCACTCGAACTGCAGTCAAGCCAGTTACATTCCCTTCACCAGCAGCAATTGGATCTATTAAATTGTTGGTCATCGACGACACCCATCCAGAAAGTGTCTGCCGGTAAGCATTCCAAGTATATCATACAAAGCTGATCATAAATTTATATCTACTCTACTGGCGGCAATTCTTCGGAAAATGAAATCTTTCCACTTGATGAAGTGTGTCACTATATTCTTCTTCTATGCAAGTTATATAGGAGAAGAGCGAGAGAGAGAAAAAAAAAGGCTATTTTAGAGAGAGTTGAACTGCATGTCATCTTTCGTTTAAGATAAGTTTAATTTCAGTAATGCCTCGTCCCGTAGTAGGCCAGAATGCAGTAATGAAAACGGGATCATCGGTAATAGATGATGGAGAGCTGAGTCCTGTTGTGGTGGAACTGTTACGACAACAGGTACTGTACGAACAGTTATGTGGTGTTTACTTATGCGGACAATTACCGCTGCCACCAGTATTTAAGTTCTACACTCCACCGGTAAGTGACACTTCATATTCCACTTTATTTCTTTGAATGCTCCAGTGAGAAATGTATAATGCTGTTTATAGCTGAGGCCATACCATTGCGGTTCAACATCTGCACTGGAGTTGCATCTTCGTTTGGAGGAGTGTACGGAACAGTATCGTCAGCTGGAAAAAGAACGTAAGAAGACAGAAGCGGAGTTGGCCCGACATAACCTGGGTAAAAGGATATCCTCAACCAACAACATGCCCATTCCTCGTCTCGTCCAGGTGCCCTCCAGAATCGATCGTCTCATTGTCGATTTCTTCAGGTTTCTTTATCTTAGTTTGAGAATTCGAAACGGTAAGAGCCTTCGGCTTATCGTTATGTTCTTTTATGACTCCAACAATATTTTTTATTTTTTGTAGAGAACATGCCCGCGTTGTAACGTTATTGACAAAAATGGAACAGCTTCGGGAAGCGCCACTACCACATGCAGTTCACCTTGTATTACGCGAACTACACGATGCGATTAAAGTTCTGCAGCAATGTCGAATTAATGAAAGGCAGACCATATTGCAGCATCTTCGGGGTGAAATGATTCGATTTAATGAAGATCTGGGTAGGTGTTCATTAATTAATAGTTGACACCAATTTGATTTATATGTTTGTTCTTGAAATTGGTTGCAGAGACGAGTACGTTGACGGCAGCCCTGACAAACATATGCAGAGCAGTGGTGAGGGCTCGAGCAGCAAACTGGTGTTCTTTGATGTGGACTATTGGTGTGGATGCTGACAGTGAGCAGCATATCGGTCGGATCCTCAGTGCTGATTTCCAGATAGCTCCTCCGGAAATCAAGCATCGTCCTGTTTAGACCTCGGAAGGGTTGTGTAGACTTGCCTTATCAGGTATTACTATCAGGCTTGATCCAACAGAACAGTACTATCCCATCTTCCATTTGCATAGAAAATACTGTACTTAAGCATTCTAGCACTCACTCGTTTTAGTTATTTTTGGCTGGCTCCATTGCTTCTTCTCTTCTTTCTGTTTATATCTTGTATGATTCATGCTTGTATTCAGACATGTATTCGGATGATGGTCTATTACAGTTAATTATTCTTCCTAGTTTTGATATTGTTCTATAGCGATTAGCTCCCTTAGCACCATTCCTTTTTATCCTGGTAACAGAGTTGATGTTGTGCTACACTTTCTAAGTGTCTTTTCATGAACTTTATCTTCTCAGGTATCTGTATTTTGCTTCAAAATTAGTTCGTTGTGGAATTCATATGTACACAATGTTTACACAACATCAAACCCGATTAGTCATTATCAAAAGGATTTACTCAAATGATTCACCTTGAATAGACAGAGTACCGCATGCACTTTCATCACTCAGTAAAGCAGTATTGTCTATAGTTGCACATTTCGTTATGGTAACTAATAACATCGTAATCATATGATAGGAGACATTTTGTGCTCTTTAGATTTTAATCATTTAGAATAATACTAATGCTTTTTTCCCACGAGCGATAACACTCAAAAACTAATAGGAATAATGTCACCTTATCAAATGAAATGCTCATCTTTAATGAGAATTTGAAGTGGAAATAGTCTGGACTCAAGCAGCTCGGGGACTTCTGACTTGTAAGGGAAACTGTCAAAATAAAGCAGCACTTCGTATTCGCTCGCTGGGATAAATGTTAAATTAGCTGGCATAGTTCCATTTACTTTCTCAACTACATTTGTTGTACATCTTTAAAATAATTTTGGAAAGCTTGCTTCTTTGGTACCAACCTCATCTAGAATAATGCAGTTCTTCCATCTGTTCTTTTATGTAGCTGTTGTGTATTTCTGTTTCCACTTTTTCGCTGTAACAATCATAACCCGTTTGGCACATTTATGAACATAATGATGGGTCAGTTGTATTCTTCCTGATGTTTCTATACAGCTATCTTCGTCAACTAATTCCTTGATATCTCCCTGAATTATAATTCAAGAGCGCGCCAATTCAATTACCTGAAATTACTGAACCAACAAACTGGAGCATTTATATCTTACCTCCTTCATAGCTGGTGGCAGTACATTTTAGCTGTAAAAAGATGTTTCGAGAGACTGCTGTGAAAAATTATGACTATTTCAAAAAATAGTAGTAGCTGACTTCACAAGCAACTTTGCACTTCTTCGATACATTCCTCCAGAAGCATACTACATTTTAACGCTCACTTATATCGGACTACAAGATACGATCTAATCGTCGTATGATCCGCTTCCTTGTGACCGCCTCCCCCTACTTTATAATTGTGCTACTGTAAAACCCCAGTTCACCTGATATTTATTTAACCGAATTATTGGACTAACATATTATTTGAATGTAGAGAGGCCGAAACTTCAAAATCGCTATATAATTATTGTCCATATATGAAGGCTTTGTCGGCTCAATTTCTTGTTTTAAATCATGACTCCCCTTGAAAGCAAAATCAATTATGCCACATGTTAAGAATCCAAAAGTTAAAATTTTTTAATACATTCCTTAATTTTGAAAACCATGGACAGACATAATTCAGGTCACATCAGGACGGCAATTATACAATCAATTATAATTGAACAAAAAACATTCCGTGGATGGACTACGCCGATGGATCCTCCTTGACTTTCGTTTTCTTCTCTTTCTCACGTTTGTCTGGGCTATCATCACTTCGGTGACGCCTAGAAAAGATATTTTTATACTACGTCAAACAAATACATTCAAAAAATGAATAAATAGCAACAATTTGTTTTGGGAAGAGCAGGGTCCAAAGATTATACAAAAATTGGGACCAAACTAAGAGACTAAGCAAGGCATATGATACATTATTTTCTTCCTTGTAATAGAGAACAAAGAAATAGTGCCTTCTTTATGCTTCAATGTCATTGTCAATTAATGCTTGATGAAGCGTAGCAATGAAATAAATAAAATCTCCCATACTTAGTCAACTCTATATTCTAAATCCTCGAAAAATTAAGAAACACAAAATAAACCTTCTTTTCCTATCCCTATCCTTGCCTTTATCTTTGTCCCGATCACTCCTCTCCGAATCATCTTTTTTCCTTTCACTTCCTTCTCTTTTATCGTCATCTTTTTCTTCTGTAAGTTCTTCCTTTGCCCGAATTCCCGACTCATCTTTCTTATTTCTTCGTTTCTCTTTATCTTTATCGCGATCTTCTTTTCTCCGTGAATTGCGTGAACCTAATGTAAAACCGAATCAATGATATTTCAAATAAATATACTTCGGAGTGAATAACAAAGGATAAGTAGAGAGCTTCATAAATCACAAGTCTCAAAAAGACATATTGTTTGTCATCGTTACTCTAAGTGTGCGGCAAATGATATGAAAACATCAATTTAAGCGAATACTCCAAAACATTCCAAACAACGCCACAGCAGATAAGCAAAGGCAGGCAAATGTACTCTGCGAAGCTCAAAGTTAGGTAAAATTCTTTCGAATGTACATCCCCAGTAACTCACAAAGGATTAAGAGTTATATAAAACTAACTTTCATAAGGCGAACTGCTTCGTGAACGATGTCGTCTGGAGCGCGATTCTCTGTCACGATCTTTATCTCGATATCTTTCTGAGTCCCGATCCCTATCTCGGTCATCGCGATGTCGTCTTGAAGCCCTGTCAATAATCAAGTTGTCATTTTGTGTAATTGGCAATCATTTGAAAAATTATTGAAAAGTTATAAATTCTTTCTTACCTGCAGCTTATGGAAAATTAGAATATCAATGAAAAGAATATAGCGACAAACCATACCGTGGGGAGTACGACCTGGATCGCCTTCGATACCTTCGTCGACTGCTATTGTAATCATCTTCTCCACTATAAAAAAATAAGTAATTTCAGTAATAATTTTCAACAAGCTTTCAGCAAGATAACTTTCTCAGAAAATTGGGTAATAATTTGGAAGTGACAAAGAAAAATTATCTGACAATGTCTACCGCACGGAAGTCCATGAGTATGAAACTTGTTAATATATAACTAGACAAACGCAAGATATTACAGACTTAGTTCAACAAATCTATTCAAAATTGAACTTAAAAACACTAAGGGAAAGCATACCTGTCACCTGAATCACGATCTCTTTCACGTTCACGACAACGATCACGATCGGATCGATCTTTGTCATCATCTTTGAGTTCTCGACGATCCAGACCAGGAGGTGGGAAAGTTGGTCTAGACATTAGTGGAAGAGGTCGCGAAAGTGGAGTTGTTGGAGCGCCAGAAATGCATTACATTTAATTCTAATTGTGCCACTTTCAAAATTTAAACTTAAACTAAAGATATTACAACATAAAGTTACCGAATCGTGGCGGTGGAAAGTTGAGTGATGGTTGTGAAAAGTTAGGTGGAGGTACGCTGAAACCTGGTGGAGGTACGTTTGTATTTGGTAATCCAAGTCTTACGGGTGGTGGTGCGCCAATTCCCGGTGGTGGCAACATTGGATTAAATCTAAATTGATAACGTGTAGATATTGCTCTCAGTAAAAGAGCTCTGAATTTTGATAACAGTAAAAAACCAAATAAGAACAACTCTAAAAGAATAATATAAAGCGAATACCCAGGCGGTGGTACGGAAGTGTCAACCGTTGGAATATGTCGTGCATTCATATCACTGAAACTTGGCGGTGGCGTAGAGGAACCAGGTGGCGCTGGTTCATCCACTCCTGGTGGACCATCATTAGCCGGGACCGATATCTTGGAAAGAGCTGAGACTGTTGGTATCGGCACGTTACTGAAAATAAAGCATATTAGGAATAAAATGCGAGATGGAAATAAACTAAAAGCATCATAATAGAAGAGTTAGGAATTAACCTTTTATTAGCAGTATTTGTGATATCAATAACCGGTGGTGGTTTAGAGAAATCCGGTGGAGCTTTAGTAAAGTCGGGAGTTCCAGATGTGGTAACATTTGTTAAGGATGAAACCGAATTATCTGGAGCCAGGGGTACTACAACTCCATCGCTAGTGCCATCCAGAACACTAACTGTCTATAAGAAATGGAATAAATAAAAACAAATAATGAATATGTTTCATCGAAACAATGGATATTGTTTCGATGAAATTATGGAGACTAATCGTAGGAATTTATCTATGAAACAATTAATAATGGAAAGGGAAGTATCTATAAAACAATTAATAAGGAAATAAATGGGGACCACCCCATTTATTTGCAGAACAGATAGAGCAAGTGCTCTTAATCTGTCAGATTGACAACAAAATTAAAAACCAAAGCATTATTTACATTATTTCTGCTTACCAGTTAATTATATAGAAAATTTATTCTTTTTGAATATTTATAAAAAAACTTACAGAAACAGACAAAGATGTTCCGGAAGTTCCACCAGAACCAACTGTTCTAGGTGCTGTACCAGTTAATATAGTGCGCATTATGGGCTGCTGATTCTAAATATACGAGATTTAAATATACTCTGACATATTTCGTTTTATAATTTGGTTTATTCCAAAAAGATCTTTAAACTCACTGCTTCCAATTTGAAACCGCTGAGATCCATTGATGATTTTTCCTGTCCCAGAATCGGAATTGTTTGCAACTGCCGACCACCTAAACAAAAACAATTATATTATACCAAAAAAAAGTTATGTTTCTGTAAATCTCCTTTATATACCAAAAAAAGTTAATTAATTAATTAGTACTCGTCCTAATTAATGGGCAAAAAGATAAGCAATATCATCAAAAGGCGCTTTCAAAACCTGTTAAAGTAGTATTTTGTGAAATTGGAGGAACAAGAGTGATGCTCGAGAAAAGGGCCTTGTTAACAGCTGCTTGTGTACCATATTCAGATCTTAATTTCCTTTGTCTCTCGCAATACATATTCCACGTCTCTGCAAACTGCATTCACTGCTTTTTTATAAAAATGTACTTTACATCTGACTGAAAAATATTTCCAAAGCTCAACCTTCACAGAATCCGTAATTGAAGTAATCCGTAATGTCAGCACCAGGTTTTCGCCAAGGTCTCTCCTCCATCTGTGCCAAGTCTAAGTCATATATTGGTTCTCCATTGATTGTTGGAGTTCCATCGATATCAAGTTTACCAACACTACTTCCGGCTGCTTTCTGAATTTACTACCCTATGTTCCAACATAGTTCATACAGAGAGCAGTTGTATTATAATACTAATTAAAGTGTTCGTTCATTTTTCTTCCAACGCTAATCTTTTACTTCAATTCCACTCTTCATTAAAAAATGTTTAACGATTTACCGCAGTAGGAAATGGAACGTTTTGCTTAATTTGTCCAATAGTGACAACCACTTCTTCGTCATCACTGTCGTCATCATCACCCAATAATTCTGCCTCTTCCACAATCTTAATCCCTTCATTTAATCAATAAATACAAAACCAATGTTCTAAAAAACTTATTAAAAAACATCTTAAGCTTGCTTGAAAGCGAAACCTAAAAAAGCATTGTAGAAACTGTAAGGAAAAGGACCTGCGTGGTTGTCACATCAGATTTAACGTTGTGCTCACTATCACCATTCACAGGCACGCTTATATCGCTGCTTCCTATCTGACTATCTTCTTCATCGTGTGGAGGCAAGGGCTCTTCGTAATGTTCGTCCAAATCGAGAAGAGGTTCCCCAGACATAATTTACCTAAACAAACTCTTAAAATGGAACGACTCCAGCTGAAATACAAAAGCACTGATGCTCAAATTTTAACTAACATCCAATTACTGGAGCAGATCATAAAGAAAAATGCGGGCTAGTTAACTACTACTCGATCTGAAAACTTGAGTATAAAATTCATTTTTGTTACAGCAACGTACTGTCTCTGGCTAATTTCTAATAATTTAGAAACATCAATGCAAAAGAAATCAGAAATTAAAACGATTCAAATCTATGCCGTATTATTTCCTACATAACGAATAAATGAAATCCATTTTTTCCATCCTTCAGGAAATCCTGATGAAATACAACAAAAAACATTTATAAAAAGCAATGTAGAAAAAGGTAAGAGCAAAGAATGAAACCCAGTCTTTCAGAGTTCTGAATATTTTCAAAAATTCATTACTATTAATTTACTATTAAAAGTAAAGAAAAACATAGTGTATCTATTATGTCTGAAGTCAAAACATATGCTCAGAAAATTTTCCAAAAGCATAAAGTGTATAGGGATAAAGTAGATAAAAAGTTATGTAGATAAAAATCCATCAAAACAAATTACATTATTCTATTACGTTGAACAAACTATTTTAAAAAATTAAGAATAATAACAAGCAATATACTGTGGCGTTAAGATAAGAATAAATCAATTACAAAGTTTGGAACAACTAGTGGGCTAGAGAGTGACAGTACAGCAAACAATGCTTGTTCAGAATAATTTCAATTCATAAAAGCGTTTCTGATAACGGATAAAAACCGGAAGAGTATGGAAATCATTAATGTTTGCGTAATATTGGAACAGTTGAGATCTAGAGAATAGTATGAAAATGATATAAACTATAAACCGGAAGCTTTTGCTTTAATTAAAGATTAGAAAAAAAAAATGGAACACAATCTGTCAACAGGAAGTCATGAAACGATTTGGATAAAACGTAAGACCTTCGATTGTATCATCACGACAAAGCTTCGCCTGAGCCTCCGCCGCAAGTAATCTTAAAAATATTCTGATGAGTTTACAAATGGCTAAGCAAAAACTTTCGCACAAGTTTTTAGTGAAATAAATATTTGTGCATAATTCCTTGAAATCACTTTACATGCAAAATTTTCTGCACACGCGACATTAATTATATGTGTCGGAAATCAGCAGATATTTACAGCAACACTTCTGATTCTGCTGATTATCAATTATAAGCTCATGAAAAGAAAGATTTGTCTGAACAACCAAACCTTTAGGTCTATAACATCTCAAACACAGCAAAAAATATCTTACCTCTCCTTTGCAAGGATGACTGTAATACTAAGACATTTAGCGAGCTTAGTAGCATTACAAGTACCCATAGTCGCTACTAACTCCGCAGTGCTTTCAATCGTGGTTTCTACACTCATCTCTTTCAGCTGTACAACCATGACACCACTTTCAAAACGATTCAAACTGAATAAAAATTTTTAACCTTTTGAACTATCTTTCCCTCTAAATGAACTTAAGAATTTCTATCCACTGTATAACAGATTTTATATTACTAATATCCATATTTGCAGAAATGAAGTACCAGAGTACTTTAATAACTTAGAACAAAAACATAGGCTCCAGCATTTTTCTTCAGTTTTGTTTCGGAATCAACTACGATTGTTTTTATCGGAACTTAATCAAAAACTGTTGCAGATGAATAAATAGATGAAACTGTAATAACTTACGATATGGGTAAATTTATTTGCTCCAACATCTGACATGCATTCAAAATGTCTTCTGGTGACAAGAGTTCTAAACCACGAGCTCTGTTAATACGACAATATACGTCTGATAAAGTCATCATACCACCGCATTCCTGGACACGTATACACCATATCATAATGTAATAAGAGTATTTTAAACACCAAAAACTTTAATGATTTACCTTAAGCGGGGTACATAACACCACAGCCAACTCTTCCGCAAGTTTTTTGTAATACTCAGCGCTGCTACCAAATGCTGACTTCGTTACTGGGTCACTAACGCCCAAACTAAGCAAGTAGGTTTTGAAGCGTACAGTCTGCAATTGAAGATATCATTTACATACATTGACTGGAAGAAAAAACAGATGGCTCACTCACTTCATCGTCAGTTATCTCTCCTTTCTTTGCTCGCAATTTATCGGTAATGGCTTTCGAAAGGGATACCATTTCTCGTGCATATTCCATTAATCGATTCATATCTTCAAAAGCCTAAAAATCCAATTTGAAGTGATAAACTTATCATAACTAATTCGTACCGCTTTCATAATATAATAAATAAAAAATAACACCTGGCTTATACTTTCATGGGTACGGTGATGGTTTTCAGCAAATCTTTTTTCGATGCCTGAAATACCTACTGCTCGAGGTACCACAGTACTACAGTTCCGTAACTGAAATAAAATATTAGCTATAATTTCTTAATTCTTTCAAAACCCAGATGAGAATTCTTCCTTAATTAAATACTATTGAGTTTTCAACTCAAATTTTTGGGCTCATATTCTACTTTGTTATAGATTAATTTTATGAATTCCACAAACATTAACACATACAGTGACAGAGCTTGATGTTGCGCAGCCAGAAAGAGATCGTTCCCATGTATTCATTCCTATCGCTTCCTTGTATTTCTCAAAGAACTGTAAATGAAAATGACCACATAAAATTAAAAAGAAAAATACCAGCAAATACGTTTAAGCATAATATCATAGGGCAACTTTTAGTTTAAAGGAAGTCTGGAACGAAATTTTAGACCCTAATGACACGAGGAGTTATAAAAAATGACAACTGCTCTCCATCAAATCTATTACTCCTATGAAAGGACAAGGCACACTGGACGCTGTTCCCGAAAGTGACTTATTTGCTAGCCGTGCGTAGGGAACCCTTCTAAATACAAACCAGATAGATATTCACCTCGTCTTCTCCCCCATTTCGAAAAACAAGGCGAATATAATTAAAAGAAGAAGAAGTGAAAGGGCCTCGTTGTTGTCCGAGTGGTTTAGGATGCAGAGAAAGGATGATTTTGCCACCTCGACGGAACATCGATTTATGGTGCTTCTCAATACCTGCTACCAATGAATGATGTAAAATCAGTCGATGATCCTGTAAAAAAAAATTAAAAGAAAAAAAAAAACCTGAATGGAATTTGCAAATTATTGCCTAATAAGAGTAAATCTGTGAATGAAAAGTATAGTATTCACAACACAGAAACCCCAAAAAATAATTCTGACTATGACGACCTTACAATTTCCTTAAGCATATGCTTTCGCACAAAATATCACAGTCAAAGGAGATTACTATGTACAACTATTGGTTGGTTTAACAAAATGATGCAGAAAGAACAGAAAAAGAATATAAAATTGCTCACCGGATCATTGGAATCAGCCCAGATAATACGATGCAACGTTAGAGAAGCAGTCCCCTGTTCATATGCTGTCTGAAACTGTTCACGATTTTATAACTCCTTATTTTTCAGAGAAAACTAGAAAATATTGCAGGTTGATTTGGTAATACCTGTTTCACATCTCCATCATATATGCCCACGTGACCGCTCTGGATGATTATATCTTCCATATATTCTCCAGGTTGGTACCACGTCAGCCTGTCCATTATGTCTGTGACGGACAAACAACGAAAAAAAGCACATACCAAGCAACAACTTGCACTACACGCACAGATAACTTATATAACGTGGCCCCTAAATGAAAAAGTCGTGATACAATTGCGTTCTTTTGTTAAATTTACATGTGAGACTGAAACTGTAATGGGGATGTAGTTTGTCGAGGTGCTTCTCATATGTTTGTTTAGTAAGAAGTGAAGTAAGAATTGGAACTTATTTGAAACTGCCACATGGCAGGAACGAAAGCATATTGAATTACGTGGCATATCACATCACATCTTTAGTGCTTTCTGGGATTAGTACTTATACTTAGATAAGACTTCTATACTACGTCACGCATTTGTAGATATTTGAGGTTTGATTGTGATCAGTCCTCACCATGATGGTATGCGGGAAGCTAAAATTAGTCATCCTTCTTCCTCTTTCCCCGAAAAGACAATTCCTGAAGTCTCATGGCGATTGGAACCTGAACTTTCGCAAATCACTGAGAAGTCGAGATTTATAGTTCCCGAAAAGTTACACGAACTAGAAATTGGCAGATAAAGTTGATCGTCATCCCTATTGTTCTTCCCGTTAATTGAATAGCAAACCTGTCTAATTCCATTTCCAGATGGAAAGAGGTCACGATTTTAATTTTATTTCAAGAAAAAGTTTTTCCCTTACATCTTTAGTGTGTATCGAAACATGGCTAGTAGCATACCTTGAACTACTTTGTGACTTAATAACTTCGAAAACGGGAAAACGCAGTTTATTTCTGCTTAACTACCCTTCTCGAATTTTTGAAAAATTCCTATCCCCATTTCTTAAAAACAACGCGCGTTTGCGTGCTGATCCTTCTAAACAGTGTCAAACAATTTTCGGAATGACGCCAGCTCAAAAGTTAAACGACGAGTCATATTTCTCTATATCTCCAATACTAGTGACCAAATATTTCCATCTCCAGTTACTTCATTTATGTCATCATCGCTCCTTACCTTTCCATAGCCATTCACGTTGTTTTCTTGTGCATACCAAACATGCATCTTTTGTTCAAAAACAAAACAATAGGAAGTTTTTTAAAAAAGACAAACATTTGCAACACGTAAGTTTATACGTGCATCTTTCAGTGATTTTATCTGGATAATTTATTCTCAACATAACACTCGCAGTGCACTATGTACACTAGGTGTATATAAATACTTCACAAGTTATTTGCATGAAATTAAATCAAAGAGAGAAATTCAATCACATAACGCTCCTCTTTATGACATCTGGAATCTTCCCTTTATGATCTTCAAGTAGTGGTCTAGCCTCATATGTTGTAATGCATATCTGAAAGAACCACTATACGCTTCTATATTTCACATCAACATAAACATAATAATTGCTGAGTGTTAGCCGATGAACCTTCTTCAGCAAGTGAATTTGGTGTTCATGAAGAAAAATCAAGATGACTTGTTCAAGACAAAATGAAAATCAATGTTCCATTGCCTACCTGTTGCCTTATGTCCGTAATATACTCGCCACGCAAACCAATATAGTAAATCCGAGTTTTGCTTTCGCCAAAATTAGTTGGGAAATGTAAGCTGAGATGCGTTATATTTGAGAATTTTGAGGCTTTTATGGGATAATCTATTTGTGCATTCATGTCCTGCTTCAGTGGAAATTCTTGATCAGACTCTAAAGTCGTTGCTTCAAATGACATCTAAAAATTATGATATGATCAAAAATGATGTATTCAATCCTAACAAATAACAATCGAACATCAACTCAAACCAAACAAACCCTTTCTCTCTAATCGTACTCAAAATAAGCTTACTGATGGTCGATCTTTGTAAAGACGTATGTATGATGGATGAGTACCATCCAAGTCGCCAGACAGCACAAGACCAGTTATTTTCACATGTCCTTTGAATGGTACATTAAACAACAGCTCTTCATCAAGGTCGCTTGCTACATAAATGGTCCTAAAAGTTCTTTAAAAAAACATCAGTTGTTTCTTTATCAATAGTTTTATTACAATGTATATACTAATACCTACATTCACTACAGTAAACGTACGACTCCATGACTTCTAAAAACAATATGCCAGAAGCCTACCTGTCCAATCGATCCTCCCATTTCTTGAAAATCTTTGCGCCAGAACCTTCAACTGCTTCATTCAGTACTATTACCTGCAACATATCTTTTAATATTACTTAAAACAAGACAAAGCAATGAAATAAACGGTTTTATCTAAAAGGAAATGTTAAAATAACAATCGAATATAACGAAACATAAATACTCTTTACCACAACCTTTTGGAGATCAATGTGAGAGTTGATTGTATAACGCATCCCCTCGTTTTTTCGCTCAAAATTAACTGCTTCATTTTCACAATGAAAGTTAGAACCCATAATGCTATAAAAATCTACCTCATAAACTCTATTCTTCAGAACTGACCAAATGATGACTAAAATATTAAAAAAAAATAAAACTGTAGATAATGTTCAGTATGAAATACATACACAGAATACAAACAAAGCAAAAAAATTTTGATTCCACAGTTCCACATATATAGATAGTTTTGAGAATCAACCGCCACAATTAGAAAACCAATGAGATTCTATAAGAAATAGTCAACAACATGTGCACTAGTCACTTAATGAATTTTGGCCTATTACATATGAAAAAACAAAATGAGGAATACATACAGAGACAATAATAATGAGCTAAATACATATTAATAAATAGCACATAATAAAAATTGTGCAATATGTCCCAACAGAGATAGGAAGTTGCTTGTATACCAACAATTATTATCAGCTTAACCTTACACGAAATCAAACAAAATAATTCTTAGAAGAATACAGAAACGAAGCCATGGAATGTTTGCTTCTTGGAAGAACAGTTAAAAGAAATAAAAAGATCCGTTACGTACATTCTGATATGTGAAGCACCGAAATGTTCCTTACAATTATCAAATGTTTTGGAAAAAACAACCGTACCTGTAAAAGAACTTAGCAGATATGGTCTCTTCTGCCATAAATCTTCTAAAGAATTTCCACTTAAAACTATATTCTAAAGTTCTTTGTAAAATATCCTACATACAAAAAGGATAAGTTAGATATCAAGATATGACGACTGGAGTGTGGTATTCCTTGATTAACAACTTCTCAGCCGAAAAACTTTTCCGATGTGTGATTCTTAAATCAGGTTGCAGTTTGTCCTCGTAGATTCGACTGAGTGCCTATAAAATCGGTAAACAATAGTCCATAATTGAGAAACAATTTGAATACATTTTCTAAAATGTTTCTGGCTCAATTGGCTCATTCAATTAAAAGCCATTATTCATCACGATGTCCGATCCGCTAGCACAGCGTGTTTTCCGATATAATTCAATAGAATTGCTATTATTTAATATGTACCAAAATACTGTTCCTAAAGACTGATAAAAGCACGTTGCGGATAGTGAAGCAAATTTAAACCTCTAACTTCCTCGCCCGTTCTTTATATAATGGTTGCAGTGGTAATTGCAGATCGTTAGCCATGGCCAGTGTCCTTAATTCGTAATAATACTTTGCATAAACAGAACTTGGGACATTAATATTGAACTCTAAGCATTCCAAAAACTGCCTCTCCAGTTCGTTCCTGCAAGAATATCTCAGTTCTAGGTATATATATATAATTGTTCTAAAGATTACTTATAGTAAGAAAACTTACATATCATCAACATTAGTGTCTTTCAAAATCTGACAATAATCAACATTCCAAACAGCCTGATCATCCCACACTTTTGATGCAAGCATAATAGCTCCTAATACTACTCGTCGCCAATTTGATGGGCATAAATCCATTTCAGCGTAATTCAGCAATCGTTCCACATATACCTGGAAATAAATTAGATGAAACAAATTCAGTTCAATAACTGTTTATGCTTAAACAAAGGAAGTGGAATTACGAACAAAGCACATACCAAAGTGATTATTGCGCATTCTGCCGTTAACTGGGCAGCATGGAAAAGAGTCCTGATAAAACGATATATCTGCCGATGATCTGGATCTCTCGACATCATTTCGATTGGAATCGGATCTCTCTAAAATTACTTTGCCTTAAGAAGACCCAAAGCAGAGGGTACTGACCACTTGAGAAAATGTGTCCCTGCGTACTTTAGTTTTTTTCATGCTTGTAATAGGGACATCAGAGTGTACTGTTAGTTTGGATGAAGTCCTTCAGCTGAAACATAGCGAAGCTTTTTTTTTTTTTTTTTTTTTTTCACAGCAAAAGCAAAAAGATACCTAAGACGATTTGATGAGATTAAAATAATCTCTCAACCTACTGAGATATGAAGCAACGCCAAACCAAACTTTTACATCATATTTTCAACTAGTTCACATATTTTTAGAATTGAGGACAAGCTTATGTAATCTCACAGAAAATAAGAACGAATGCTTAACTGTGATTGGATGAAGCCGCTCTTCAAAAATTTCCATTAGCCTCTCATGAGCACGATTTTTTCGATTTACAATATGATAATAAATAGCCAACGAAATGCATTTGATCGTATTTTTCAAATTTGGCTGTGAAATGGTAGAATCGTCAAGAAATATCGTCGAACAACTATTCGACTTTTGTAACGGTGACATAATAGTAGTCAAGCTCTGTGTATCCAGAACATAGAACGAACGACGGTTATCCTTCACTAAATTCTTCAGATTACAATGAAACATAATTTCAGAACCGAAAGACTTCCACTCACCAGCAAATTCCAGCCAGTTTTTGAAATGTTCATTATAATGCTCCAGCTGCCAAATGATAATTATTTAAATTTCTAAATCATACTAGTATGTTTCATATGAAACAGATTATATGAAGTTTTATTTTTGTATTCGATGAATAGGAAAACCAGCTAAGAAAACAACTATGAATAGAAAGTAGAATCAGATAAGTCATTCAACGGTAATTAATGCCAGTTACATAAAATATATTGGCATTAAAACCAACTCAATAAAAACGAAAAAACACTCAAAGCTCCAAGAATTAAAACTACTTGAAGAAATTGGCACAGAACTTAATAAGTAACAAATATAACAATATTATGAACTAACACTTCATTTCACTTCTGCTTCGTTCCATAAATATTGGTTTAACCATCGGTTGCGTTGACGGGTCCTCACCAATCTCTTAAAATGCGCTTTATTACTACAGTACTTTTTTCATAAAAAAACTGAGAGTGCGACTTGTTCAGAAGTTAATTTTAAAGAGAATTTCACTTACCATCAGGCAGCTCCCTTTCACTAATATGAGGAAGAAAATTAGTTGAAGTGTCCTCGATCGGAAATGTTTGATTCACATACTAAATGACTATTTTTATTACCCACATTCATAAGCAAATTTGACGACTGTCGTTATAAGATTCTCAATTTCAAACACAAAATCTGAATCACAACATCATCGAGAGATTTGATACAGAAAATACAGAACATAGTTTTGGGACTTGAACATAACTTGTGTTAAGAGAATTCTTACAGAAATAAGCGATCGAAGTACGTAACATTTACATTTAGTCACATCGCAAATACATTACGATATTTTTGACAAATTGAAGAAATTAACCTCGTGATTAGCCTGATGCCTTACATCGTACATCACCTCTTTGCTTCTTGCAGCAGACGAAGAGTCTTGCAAGCAGCATAACGCGTTCCCCATCAGACTCGCGATTTACTGGAATTGAACGGGCCGATTCATTTTTCCCGTCATATCTCTCTTACCACTTTTAAGAAATGTTAGCTATATTCTTCTCTACAAATGATATTCACGTAAAAGTATGAAATGGGAGATTCCTTCTCCCAAACTACGAACACGCTAAAGATTTCTTGTGTCCGTCAATTAAATAGTTAACGATGTTACGTAAATTTTATCTGAAAGGTATAATTTAGTGGCAAAATACGATGATGCAATCTTTTACATGAAAACAGCAGTATCGCTACTCAAACCCAAATATTAGCAGCTCAAACTACAAACTTATTGCTATTATATGATACGATACTGAACAAAACGAAAGCAAGTTTTCATTGTTACCCCCTGTTTCAATAAATTACGGTGACGCAATTTAGAATGAGATTAAAAAGCAGCATGTGAAAATAAGTTTGTATGTGGCACGATGACGTCGTCTGCTGGACGTTAATTCTACATGGGTTATAAGGCAGAGATGCTTGTTAATGAATGGTAACTTTGGGAATATACCGTGTCAAACCAATGCTCGATCATAATCGCGGAATTTAAGATTGCTGAGCATTGATTGGTTGGCTTATTATTAAGTGAAATAGTAATAACGCTCCACTCTCGTGAAATGACTGCTTGTCAATAAGAGGTTCAAGTTATTCCACCTATAAAAATCGAACTGCTAGTGGGTGGGTCGTTTTACCATCGTCACATGCTCCTTAACAGGATGTCTTCTTTGCTTTTTTCCTTATTGACAGATCGTTCGTTGTTCTAGTATCCCTGTTCTCTTCCTTTTTCACATTGATTGGAGAACACTATTAATGCACTGTAATATGGTTTGAGAAAAAGTAGATTTATCAAATGCATCTTTATAATATGCAATGTATTGCAAATATATCGTTATATACGACGTGATTTTAATAATTTTTATTTGTGGTGAAGTTTTTGAGGTTTACTACTCGTTAATTTTCTTAGACCCAAAATGATGAGTGATGGGAAGGACGTACCTAAAGATGGCCGAAACCATCGCACAGTTGAAGAGGGTATGATGGTTGTAGAAGCAGAAGGCGAGATGCATGATGACCACTGGGTATTAGATGATCGCATGAAGAGAATGATTATGGACTTACAAAGACACTGGTTGACAGATTATCAGCAATCCAGAGAGAAATTATTGGTTGAAATGACTGAACGGGTCTGTTTTAACTTCATTTCTTGTAATAGAGTGTGTTCTGCTGTAGACTATAGACTATAAGAGGATGCTACTTCGAAGAGGAAGAATTCAATTCTTTTCATTTGTTATCTCACTAAGGGTGTTTAGAAGTGGTTGCGTTTGCAATACGATAAGGGATTATTCTGCCAGGTAACTTGTAAGCAAAATGTTATGTTTGCTAGAACTTAATGTGCATCTGATGGGACTTGTCATTTACTTTATACTAATTGAGCATTTTTTTTTTGCTTGGAAACTTAACAGATTATTTTATCTTCATATAAAAGATTGACAAATGACAGACTAGGAACAAACAGTTGGTGAAGAATACCTGTTAAATGTGCGTTTTTCAGCTTCATCAGGAATTTCTTTCTGATCAACAAAAGATTAGGACTGAACTCCTTACGCAATTCAAGGATGAGCTAGATACTACGAGGTTAATGATTATCTGAACTTGAATCTTTCGTTATTCTCACTAAATTTGTTCGGCATTTTCTGTGGTAACTAATTTTTCGCTGCAGAGCTGAATTAGAGGAGAAGTATCGCGAATCTTTGAAAGTTGAATTGGGGAAAATGGCTGAAAAACATAGGAAAGAAATATCAAGTGTCAAGAAAAAACAGTGGTAACTTTTTTCTGGCCGTATTTTATTGATAAGTCGGACTGTCAAAATGATTTACTAATATTCTTTTCACTCACAGATTGAATGATAGAAATAGAAATTCAGACATGTCGTGCTACGATATATTCAGCTATAATAAAACTTCGTCAAACCAGGAGAAACTGAAACCTTTATACTATTTAGTTTTTTGGATAGGATTACTTGATAGAATATCATTGTTGAAATTGAAGGTGTTGGCAGTGCGAAGCTGAAGCAATTTATCATTGCTGTTGGAACACAGCTTATTGCAGTGTGGAATGTCAGCAGAGCCACTGGGCGACTCATCGGAAGTTTTGTCGACGTAAGAAGCAGAATGCCAATACTCACCAGCAGCAGCAACAGCAGCAGCAGAAGAGTAGCAACTAATTAGTCTGAAGTAGCATTTTGAAGACAGGATTCTATTTCTTTGTTTATGCCTAAGTGGTTTGAGGATCTCAAGGAAATGCTTGACTTGTAGATGTTGTTTTTTCTTGTCAACATTTAGTGTTTAAACTCTGCTCTGTTTTTTTTTTTTTTTTTTTCTATTAAATGTCTCGGAAATAGGAATGAGATTTTGCTACTTGCTTGATTTATTTGGGTGCTAATTCAAGGTTTAATTTTCGCTGCATTATGACTTGTCTCTTAAGAGTCAGTCTAAAGGATAGAGGTTAATAAGAAGAACGATCCGGTATTTTTTTACAATTCGTAGTTAGTTTCCTGTGGGCCAATTATAAGCGTTATGCATTGTACAGGTTACTAATTATCTGTTGTACAGTAAGCTTTATGTTGTATTTTGAGTAACTCTTATTAGGCTTCTCTAATTATTAAAACTTATGTGAGAATCACTATGAAAACTTTCATTTTAGTTATATTCTGCTTATTAATTGCAGTACTGAGAACAAAGTTATTCGTTAATGTATTTCTGTGGTTATCTATCTAAGTCTTGATAACCTACCCTTATATTCATAATAAAGTTGAAGATCATTATTGTGGTCTCGCTACCACTCGGTATTATTCAAGTGGTACTACCACTACCATCAAATTCACTAATGGGTTTGTGACTATGTATAAATTTGTAAGCGTGTATGAGAAATAGGGAAAAAGTTTGTTTTTGTGAAGCTTCTCCATTCTACTGGAGAGACTTGTGGATACTACTTTTTTCTTGCTGTTAATACTTAAACTCTCCTCCGTTTTGTAAAAAACTATCAACCTTATTGACGATTAAATTTTTAATGAACCTGACCTAATGGACTTTTGGGTTGCATTCGTGATGTGGAAAGAAGTTGTCGGTGTTATTTTCTGTTTGTAGTATTTTCAGGAAATATTGCATGAGACAAATTGCTCACGGAGACAAGACTACAGTTAATGATCCTAGGTGTATTGGTACTTCGAATCCAAAAAATGAAGCACTAAAGCCATGGAAAGTGACTGTGCCACTGCGACCACTTAATCAAGGTGTGGTGGATTTGGATTTAACCAAACTCTTTGGGTTAATATGTTTCGGCTGCATGTTTATTGGGTCATAAATGATAATATCTTACAATAAAGATATCTTACAAATTAGAATGTGCTTAGTAGAGTACCAATTTCGTGGAAAACTGTTACAGTCCTATCACATTGTCCCATATATCTGATGATATGTGCTTGTTAAGTCTTTGTTTTTTACTGGTTTATGCATTTTCGATATTACAGAAATATGTTGGGATTCAATTCATGCAAAGTTTTTGAAAAGTTCTGGTCAGCATTCGACTGTATCTGAAAAAGAGAACAGCATAGATACACAGGTATTTTCTACTGATACAGAGTTGTGTGCAACTGTGAAATTTGGGGTTCACTAGAAACCTCTGATGCTTCGTTTCCTCGCTGACGCTATTGTAGATATAAATGGACGCAAGAGAAAGTTCATTTCGTTGCATCCTAGCTGTAATTAGAAGATTATTTTTTCGTGATTTGTTTTTTTGTTTACAACTTACTTTTATTTAAGAATGTAACGCGAACATTACATAAGAAAATGAAGCATAGTACAACTGTTAGCAATGATTTGTCATGTTATGGATTTACGCGTGATAATGACTTGAAAAAAACTTTGTCTTATATGGAGGAGAAATTTACCAGTACGTCCGAAGAACTTCAAGCAGCAGAAGAAGAGTTAGCAGAGCTAAGAGTTGCTTTGAGCAATGCTAATCGAACGATCAAGATTTTACGTATGAAAAATGCGGTATTTTTAGTTGTTTGCTAATACCAAGGAATGATTTTTTTTTATTTTTTTATTTTTTTTTTTATAGAATTTATAGAATTCTATTTTTATAGAATCTAAGATTTTCTATCCTAGGACAGACATTTTTTATATCATTGTTTTTGTTCAAAGATTAACTTTGATTCAATCATTGTAGGAACAGGCGGATAAAATCAAATTTTTGACTGCGGAGAAGCAAAAAAATAACTCATCACTGAAAAAGCATAATGTAAGTCCGATTTCTTGAATTTTTATCTGCCCATAATCTGATCAAGATTTATTAAATAACTTCATTATTGAAATTCTTGAAGAAAAGAGGTTTTAAAAAAAATAAATAAATGAAGATGCAGTTATGAATCACCCTTATTCCTTATTCTTCTTGCTAGATTAATTGTCAATTCAAATTTGAAAAGCATCTCATCACCGTTTGTGAAACATAGAGTGATATGTTTGACAAGAAAAATGGTCGATATTACTATTGCATTTAGATTTATGAGGTCATCTAGAGCTGCTTTGCGCTCTCTATTACTCGATACAAACCTTTGACTCGGAAGAGTAGAATCACTGAAAAATTACAAGCATTTAGAGGATATGAAAAATATTTATGAAGTGATTTATGATAGCAGAAGATAACATGCATTTTAGAACGAAGTATTCTTTGTGAAACATGGTCCAAACAGAGATCTTCAAAAACTGGTTAATGAACTTAAGGAGGAGAAAATGGCATTGAATTTGGCTTTAGAAAATAGTAAAGCAGAAGGATCAAAATTTGTACTGGAAAATAATCGCTTAAAAATTATTATTGAGGTAAATTATTACTGTTGTAATTGTAATTTTATGCACCGTATCTATTGGGTATTTCTTGTAGATCGATTATAGGAAGAACGTAAAGAATGGGACCAAATGCAGAAGGATCTGCTGGTTGCCGTAAAAGTAGCAAATGATTTTAAAATGGATGCACAGAAGGAGATGTTCAAGTTATCAGAAAAGATAACAGAACTACAAAGAAGACGACAAAGTGCAGCATTTACTGCTCAGCAAAGATCGTCAGCGGTCATATACGAAAAGAATTTTCAAAGCTGGGAAGATAAAGCTTGGCAGAGATTGATGCTTGGTTGTGAGCGTGGTTTGTGTTTCTCTTCATTCATTGCGTTTCTTTTTATTGTTACTTTCTAGAAAATTGTTTCCACATGTTTTCAGGGTCACGACGTAATACTCTTCTTCGGTGGTGTCAAGAAGCAGTTGCTAAATTTCCACATGTTGAGATCACCAACTTTAGCAGCAGTTGGGCGGATGGCAGAGCTCTGTGTTGCTTGTTGGCTTCTTTTTATCCTAACAAACTGAGCATCGATGTTAGTTTTCCTTTATGATTTCTTATAAATTAACTTATATATATATATATATATATATATATATATATATATATATATATATATATATATATAGACTTTTCAGTAGAAATTATGTAAAACGTCTTATATAATTAACCAAGATTAATTCAACTCATCAAGTACCTGATGTATAGGTGTGTTTTGTTTTAGGAAATTTTTACCCTGGGAGCGGAGGAATGCTTAACACTGGCTCTTAATGTTGGTGCTGGTATAGGTGTAGAAGTGAAGATAAAAGTGGCTGATTTTAGAAAAGAGGATCGTCCAGAGTGGTCTCTTATTATGAAGTATATTCTCAATTTATACTATGTTATTTCGGATGGATCTCATTGTTGAACTTTTTTTCTGTCATTTCTTTTCTTGTTTAGTAGTCACCCATAATTCCCATTACTATATTTTGCTCTGTCTTTTTCATACTGTGATTCTATTAAGTACTTCTGTATAAAGAGTACCAGAGATTACCTTAGTCATTCAGTACTAACTTTAAGCAAAATATATCGTATTCAGTGCTTCCAAATCGGGAAAATATTTGAATCGAAGCTTGAGAATGCTTGTTTTATTCTTTTATGAGACATATTGAACACATCATTTCGGCTTGCGCGGGTCGAAGTATGGAACATTTTTTTCTAACCTGCTCACAATTTACAATATGGACTTATGGTATTTTATACTTGTTTCCTGTTGTGAGCATGACAGGACATAATATAGTCAGAGTTTTTCGAAAAATATATGCTTTCTTTATGAAATAAAGATTTTCAACTAGGTCGGAATTATTTTTTTTTTTTATGATGCTCTTATGTCCGTTCTTTCACATAAGTATCTGTAATTATAATTCCGTTTACTTGATAAAAATTATTCACTCTTGTGACTCAAACAAATTTAGAACAAAATCGCAAAAAATTAGTGTATTGGCGGCAACTAAAATTCTGTCCAGTAAAAAGGTCAAGGAAAATATGAGCTTTGTTGAGGAAAAATTGCTTTCGTTGCGAAATTAATCACTTTGACTGTAAAAGTTCTTTGTTTCTACAACTAAAGGAAAACTAATCGGTTTCGATTTCTTTGACCGATGGATGGATTATTATTGACCCTGCCGATTCTTGATAAAATTGAAATTATTAGGTAGAGAGACAACTGCCCTCTTTTTACTACTATGTACTAGAAAAACTTAAGAGATATTTTACCGCGGTTAGTTTCTCCAGTGACATTGTATAGATTGCTGAGTGCTCATAACTCTGTCTTCTCCATATATGTCTTTAATCTATCTCGACTGAAGAATGCTTGGATTTGCCTTATTGCCCGGAGAAATAGTGCTTCGAGGACGGTCACTAATTTACACATATTTTTTGGAAATTTTTGATTGATCAAAATGTGGCAGTTGAGAGATATGTAATATACATATATGTATATATACGTGATGTGTTGAAAAATGGGTGACATTCCCGGTTTACTATTTATAATTTCAGACAGAATGGCGCTTCCTGGGTTGAGAAGCAATTTAGCTGTTTTACATGCTGCAACAAAGCACGATTTGAACAAAATCTTTAAAAAAACTTTCAAACTTGATTTCCCAGAGAACTCAAAAAGAAATCGCATGAAAGAAAAGAGCGAACAGAGAACTCACATTTATCTGATCACTTCTTTACTATGGCTCCCTATCACATTGCTGTTTGCACTGAATAATTCTGAATTGTATAGGAACGATCCATCAAACAACAATAGCTCTGCTGGTGGGATGATGACCCAAATCTGGATTCCGTCTTTTCTCTCTCCCTTTATTTCGATTTATATTTTCCCACAATTACTCCCTCCCCCTTCGCATGACCTATGTTGGTATATATTATATCTTGTCGTAAATAGTTATAAAGCGACAGGCGTTCTTAAGTATCTCCTAGTTTTTCAAAATAATATCCCACGAAGAATATTATTTCAAAAGTTTTTGAGTTCATTCCATATTTATGTAATTTAAACCTTACGATGAAATCCTATTATTCTTGATGGGGATGCTATTCCCTCAATACAGTAAGAGAAAACTCCCACTCTTCCTAACAATCATCTTCAATACGTATAGTTCTAATTAAGTATTAATTTGCGAACTGTAATCTTAAATGAGTGGATAATTACAATGAATAAATAATTCCTTATTTCCACTTCCCAAGTCACACTTTTCTCGGGTTAAATGATACCCTAATTGTTTTGCTTCAATCATGCAACAAAAAGAATAAAAACAAGAAGTTGAACAATAAATTAAAAGAAACTTCCCTCCAGATTTGTCTTTCCAATATTTTTCGGAGACTCGAACATGAACAAGTTACACGGACAGAAGACAAATCTCGTTAAATTATTCATTTCACCATTTTAACAACTTATGCTCATAGTTATATCATCATTGCAGAATGTTTGCATTGAATAATTTTGAACTGTACAGGGACAACTTATCTGGTCTTCACACCGACTACAAATACCGGTAATTCCTTTTACTACTTTGTATATCTAAAACTGCTGTCTAACCACTGTGCTTTTGCAAACGTTTGCAAAGTTTTCTCTAAACATTATTTTGTTACGTCACTTTCAAGTGTCCTGCCTGGTATGTCTCTAATTCTGCCCTTACTTTTCAGCTTTACCTAAAAGACAAAGCAGTAAGAGAAAACTTGTAAACAATCATAGAGGATGTAACTCTGCTCCTCTTTACTTACAGATATGCATTGCCATTCGAAAAGGTGCTTGATCCAGTTGAGAAAACGATATACTTCCAAAAAAATTGGAGTCAAACGATCACTGTTTCCATAGGTTATTTCTTCGTAGTCAAGCTGATCCAATATTTCATGAAATATCGGTCTGCCTTTAATCTACGCTGGCCTTTATTCACTTGGAATCTTTCACTGGCTCTCTTCAACATTCTCGGTTTCATTCGATTTGCTGAAGCAAGTTGTTATTTGTTTTCCACTCAACTATTTCTTCATCCTTTGTACCTTTGCACCTTTCCACACCTGATCATATTACCTACTGTCGTTGCCTGCTGGTGCTGGTCACAAATCGCTTATTCATCTGACAGTCTATACTATCACTTCTCTCATTCCACTTTCAGGATATGATCCACACACTACTATACCAGGGAATCTATCCATCCTTGTGCTATTCGGTAAATCCCACTGATGTCGCGGCTTACTGGTCTTATTTATTTTTCTTGTCAAAAATCGTGGAGCTCGGTGATACTCTATTTATTGTCCTCAGAAAGAAACGTCTCATTTTTTTGCACTATTACCATCATACTTCAGTACTTATTTATTCCGCCCATTCAGGTAGGTTATCATGCCACATTGTTATCCTCCTGCAAGTTTTTCATAATTTAAGGATTGATTTAATACCAGAATAAGTTACGAATATGGAAGAGAGCTTCCCTTACAGTTTTTGCATTGTAGGTGCCGAAAATACGGGCTCCGGAAAAGCATTTATAATGATGAATTTTCTGGCGCATTCCGCCATGTATACATACTTTGCAGTTGCATCGTATGGAATACGACTGCCCAAGTAAGAATTTACCAGATCTGAGCAGTGTTTCTGTTGGAGTGCTTGATAGGCCCTTTTTTTCATTGGATCCTCATTTTGCGTTATTTCTCTTATCAGTCTATATTCTAATAACTTGAACTTTATTTGCTATCTCCTAATAAGTTGAGCTTTATGATTTCACACACTTCATAACGATCATTTTAGAACAGTATCTATGATACTAACTACAATCCAGACAGTCCAGATGTTCGCAGGAATCAGCGTCCTGGCTTATGTTTATAAAATCAAAACTGGAACTAATTTGCCGTAAGTCCCCACCACGTATGTCTACACCACCTTGGATTGGAATTTCTCCTTCCCATAGTATTTCCCGCACCTCTTTCCTTGCATTTCAGCTTCGGTTGTATAAGTTGCTGCTCCGCGAATAATAATATTCATGGGATATATAACCAAAGCAAATATCCATTGACTAAGTTAACTGAAGGTACTGATCAATATTAACTCAAGAGGACGTTATTGAAAATGGAATTTGTTTCAGGTGCCAACAATCAATGCAAAATCTTCTTTTCGGTACTCTGCTTTATGTCACTTTTGCGGTACTTTTTATCCAGTATTTCATCTCCAGTTATTTCCGCAAATCGGATAAAAAGATGAAGTAATCTTCAGCTTCTTTTCAGACACTTTTTATATTACAAAATGAAACCACTACAAAACCACTGCACTCCAGAGAAATGTTTAAATAAAAATTGCTGTTTGGTTTAATAATTTTTACAGTTTTACAACATAAAACACCACGATGGTAATTTTCCTTATTTTGAACTTTTAAAAATCAAGCAGTAGAATAAAGAGATATGTATGAATTTCATTAGTAAATCAATGATAAGTAAGAGAAAGAATCCCACAGTACGAGCATTTTATGGAATTCATGATCAATGATTTCCTTTTTTCTCTTTAAAAAGCACTCCAGTTGCTAACGTGAACAACATGTGATATGGTAAAACAGTATAACAGTTCAACTGCAGTCTGTTCCGCAAATAAGAAAAGAAATCTAACAATATCCACATAATAACTTTTAAAAGCAGGATGGTGACGACACAAGTTAAAAAGCGCTAGCCAGTGGTACGATAACAATACAGCTTTCATTAACAGATAACTTAAGCACAATTAATTACAGTCTGAAGTGTATAAATGACAGCTGTAATAGCTGAAGAAGAACTGACACAAAAAGTGTATAAATGACAGCTGTAATAGCTGAAGAAGAACTTCTCAAAAAATCCAGTTTCAACAAGACAAAGAGGAATGTCGCATTTAAACTCCATAAGACATTGTTAATTGCATGCAATCCAAGAACTATGAATTCTGAGCTCAAACAACCAAAAACAATTGCTCCGCATCGATGACTTGCTTTATTCTATATAAATGCTCTCAGTTCATTGTAAAGAATTATGGAGAGAGAAAAAATCAAACATGAAAATGTAAGAATATAACATAAAGCCAATACGTTAGGTAAAGATTCCTCCTCTTAATAACATCGAGATTCAGAAGAAACCATATAAACTAAGAAAATAATTTATAATAAAGGTTTTATCGAAACATCCTGAAAGATTTATAGTAACATCCCTTCAGCTAACTTCGAACTTTCCAGCCTAAACTGGCAGCGTGACGATCCACTGCTTTCCGAACATTCATTGCTGTAAGTCGACACACTGGCGACTCCGTCCAGCACTCTTGCATTATTTGTAATACACCTCTCATCACCTGTACTTTCGAAATTGTGATAATATCGTAAAGTCCCCACCACAAATAATACCTTTTGAACTTCATAAAACGCAATGTTTGAGTCATTTAGCATTAAAAAAGTACTTATTTAATGTGAAAACTCATCAACCTCAGCTGTAATACCCAAAGAAATATATATTATAAAAAAGCCTCATCCGGAAATTATAGAAAAGGGAAAACAGAAAATTACAAACCTTATCATCTATCCAATGCTCTTGAACAGTAGGTCGTCGCTTCTGTATACAAACACACAATTTCATCTCCTCCATTGTTGGATCTCGACCTACACAGTCAAAGTACGGTAGTTCAAACGATCTTGATTCTTCTGCAAAATTAATGATTTTAAATGGAATAGTCCAACTTTTTCTGTAAAACCATTGACTTTAGATGAATAAATAAGACATATACGATTCCACACAAGGGACTTTATGAATACATAGCCTTACCCTGGCTTCCGCATCTCCACATGATTTCCCAAATCATAAGACCCATCGCATACATATCAGCAGTTTTATAGGTTTCAAAATGATTTATAGAGAAATTGTCTTCTAGTATCTCTGGTGCCAGATAACGCTACAACGATAGTAACAAATTAATGACAAATAAAAAATACCTCTCCAATAACATTAAAAATAATTAGTATGTAGATTTTTTTTCGTGTGTGTATTCTTTATGATGACGAGTTTTTAGAAACAATTAAAATAATGATTTAATATAATTCTGAAGCAGTAAACATGACTTTTTTGTCCTATTTGCCATATGTTGTATTATTCTTCTATAATATTTTACAAAAGACGCAAAACACTCATGCAGAAAAATAATATTACAGTAAAAAAACAAGAAATATTTCTGTTAGAACTGCTGAATGTTGCAATTGTCATTTTTAAAGAACCTGAGAAAAAGTTGATCAACAGTGAGAATGAAATTAATTGGTTAAAACACACTCAAGATAGCACACCAAGATGAAGATTTCGGAAATGAAATTCAGGCTACACTTAAACTGTAAAAAATATGAACTTGTTTTTGCAAGGTATATTTGATTATTTACAGGATGAAACTTACGACAGTGCCACACTTGCTATTATCAGGAACATTTATCTCACCATTCATGTATCTCACTGCCAAACCAAGGTCAGCAATCACACAAGTTAAATCTGACTTTACCAAGATGTTTTTCGACTTCAAATCACGATGAGCAATTGCTGGCTTCCCTGTAATCATCAAGAAATATTTTTGTTAAAATTCTGTTAGATGTTATATGCGTATTACAGATATTACTTTAAGAAAAAAAGAAACTTCCCGCGTGGACCAGGAATTTCGTTGTGCAAAAAAGACAAGCCAACTGCAATACTGCGAATCATTTGCAGCATCACTGATTCACTGACAGGATTCGCAGACAGATAGTCATAAAGAGAACCATGTTCGTGATATTCAGTTATCAACCACAGCTGGGTACTCGTTCCAGTATCTGTAAATTATATATCATTCAGATATCAATGGAAAAAAATCAAACATTTTTCGCAAAATTTTTAATGATGGTGTAAATACATGCCAGAATCATAAAAATCTTCAAGGAACTTCAAAAAAAAAAAAAAACATTTTGTTTAAACAAGTATTGATTTTTATCGTAACACTCAGAAAATAGCAAGCCAGCAGATATCCAACTCGTATGACATATTGTATTTCTCTAGAGATATTTTGCATATTATATTGTCATAATTATTAGAAAAAATAGTCCTTATAGATTCTTCAGAAGTCACATATTTGCTAAACAAAATATCTCTAGAGAAATACAAAATATCTTTCGAGTTTTTTAAACCAGTCTGAAGCCTATTAAAAATAATTCAGAAGAGGCAAAAATATGTCTTTTGCAGAATCTGATAATTATAATGCAGATTCCGCATCAGTTAAGCGTACTGAATGTTGGAATGATATTTCATAATTAACTTGAAATATATAAATTATGCAATAAGTAAAGAAAGAAACCAATACTACAAAGATTCAGTACCTTTATTGTCAGATGCGATAAAGCGAAGCAAATTCGGGTGTCGAAGAAGATTTGTTTGGAAAATTTCGACTTCTCGATTCCATGACCTTTCGTCACGTGAACTAAATATCTTCACAGCAACCTCGTCACCTTTCCAATAACCCAACCAGACCTATAAGGATGGGATCACTAAAATGTATTAACGTATAGCGTATTAAATCAAAAAAAAAAGAAAAAAAGTATGGTATCTTCTTTAAGATATCTTTTGTTCAAAATGACAGAAAAATCACTTCTCCAAAGCGTCCTTGTCCAATTTCTTTCTGTAATTCAATCTGACGAGCGATAGTACGTTGAGCAAGTAATGGAAATCCTGGAAATTTGTAAATGGAATAATAATTTTAATAGTATTATTACAGTTTTTTAAACCAATTAAGTTATTAGGTTATTTTGCCCTATCTTTTTTTTTTTTTTTTTTGCTCGTAATAAATTACGTAATAAATTTGCTTTACTCTTTTCTTCATAAATTTTTTCAGTTTCATTCGCAGCATCTCATTCGAAGATAGACTTAATCAACTAATTAGTAACAAAAAAAAAGTGTACCTGAACCAGAACCCGTAGTGGCAGAATCATCTAAATTATACAGTAAATCGCTCAAGTGTCCTAAAGCATCCGTTGAGTTCATTAGTAGTTTTTCTTCACCAGTACTTGAAACAATACTATTATCGGACGAAGTGAAAATAATAAAACAGTTTCCTTTCCGCAATCGATGCTGTGCTATACTAATTTCATTGATGCATTGGAAAGAAGTGATTAGTAACTAGTGTTATGATTTCCTTTAATTGAAGAAGACAAGAAAATGAGAAGAACCAGTGTTTCCCTTGATTAATAAGCTTGAATTTGAAAACATATAACCAAAGATGATTGCTTACACTTCAGAGTGCTCCTCGCCAGACCTATGATGTGTCCAGTAAAATAACCACCGCTTTAATGGCTTGTTGATCCAAGCAAAAACTAAGAATATAGAAAACACAAAAACGGCAATTCCTATTAAAAAGATAACCACAGAGTGAATGAATGATATATTGTTGTCCTGAAACTGCAGAAATAAAAAAGATAAAGGAGGAAAAACATAACAGTGCTAACAAATATGGTAGTCTACTCGTTTCCAAAGAAACGTTTTCTATCCTTACAACTTGCCACGAGTACTCTTGTAAAAACAATGCATGCATATTTTCATGTCTTTTATAAATGTATAAACAGTTAACAATATAATTTAGAATTGCTTTACACCGTGTTACTGCCCTATTAATCAGAATGATAAGTGGGTCTTACTGTCCTATTAATCAGAATGATAAGTGGGTCTTACTGTCTTAGTAATCGAAATGATAAGAAAATAATGTTAATAAAAAAATGTAACTTTTGTATCTTACCAAAATGTAGTCATTCACTGGATTCAAATTCAAAGCTCCATTGCAGAACGAGTAGTTCTGGCAACACTGCATTATACTTCCATCGTTCATCGGTTGTTTAGCTCGGCAGTGCAAATCAGGACTAGCATCTTTGCTTAGACAACTGAAACTGTCCTTTATTTGACTATAATAGTTCACTTTTTTTTGTTGGTAACTCCCAAGAACACGAAATCATGTTCACGATTTGCATAGAACAACATTTTTTCCATTCATTTTTCAGTGAATTGCTATAGAAATCATTAGTCGCAAAAAAGAAGCTTACTTTCATTAATATAAAAAAGCACATCAGTACCAACCTTAAGATAACCGATCGATCGGGTAGTAAACGCTTGTGGCATATTCCACTAGTGGACCGACAAAGTCCTGTGTAATTATTTCCCAAGAAACGAGTAATTTCTTCACCGCAACCAGAATATGAGCAATTGCAAATCAATTCCTCAGATAAATTTATCGGTTCCTTCAGATCTAAAATCTACATAAGAATCAAAAAAACACGAATTACAGATTTGCCGCAATGTGATGGTTGTGATGAACATTATCTTGAACACACCTCTTTACTAGTCGACAAAAAAATTCTTATTCGTAAAGTTCTTGACCAAAAAGCAATGCCATTTGCAGCATAGTTCAAAACTGAAAGTTAGGAATGACAGCACTAACTTGCTTGAAATCGTTCCATAAACTTCAGGATAACATATCCAGGATCACTGTTATCCTTAATAGCTCTTGTAACAATTACAAAAAGAAAGAAAACGAAGGATGATAATGTCTGCATTGTTTCCTTTTGAATTACTACTGCTCAATCAACCATATCGAGGAATCGTTTGCAAAATTAATTCACACTGCATTCATGAAACAATATCAATATCAGTTTGGAAGTATATTTTTTGATCACTCTGAGTATGCCGAAGAGAACAGGCTGGAATAAGTAAATGAAGAAAGTGACTGATTAACCTTTAGTTGTTTGTACTAACGCTGATATTTAGATTTAATCAACACTGTCAAATACCTAATGAAATTTAAAATTATTAATTGGCAGCTAACGTCCTTAATGGTTACTTTGGATAATATGCAACAACTCTGCCGAAAGTTTTAACAACGTAATTAATAAGTCAGGAATTATACTCTTTTTTTTTTCTCTCTGATACACATCTCAAATGATACCACAATCTCAATAAATACGAAGATGAAAGAATGACAATTAAACGTTCAAAACTGAGGAGAACGTTCAAATTAATTAGTCCAACTTCAGAGATGTTTCGACAACTTCCCTGCCACAGTTCACACCAATCCCATCCTTTCTTTTTATCATCTCATAACCACTAGCAGAGATAACCTGTCCATTCATCCTTTACTTTTCCTCATATGTCTATGTCTGACAGATTGAAAGCTTACAGAAATTTTGCTCGTTAATTCCCATTTAGTGATAGCTTCTTTGATAATGACTCAAAAACTTATACTGAGGATAAGTGAAAATTAAAGAGTAGCATTACACTATAACACAATAAAACACAAACAGATGACTGGCGCACATACACACGGACGTGGTTTACAACGTAAAGGTTTGTATTCACATTGCAAATGGATGTCGAGAGGATGTCACAGTAAGCAGTGGACTAATGATATATTTAGTCTTTGAATTAGTTTAGTATTAAGGGTCATCACAGTCAATGATTTGTAGGCCGCCATAGCTGCGTGAGGAATCATTAGATGGTCAATGTCGTCGATAGCTACTGATGAAGATATCGTAGATAGATGGATTGAAATTGACGATTCAATCAGTGTTCCCGAGCAAACCCTCGATGAGATTCTTGCCGATGTAAGCATTAAACAATGTAATCTTTATTTTCTCTTTCCTCTACAAATTGATTTGGACTGACTGATATATCGCATATTATTTTTATAGAAAATCTTGGATTTGGATGAGGAGATACTGTGTGGACTGGATGATGAGGAGTCACTATTCACATCGCCGCGACAGTCGAGCCCGACATCATCTATTCCTTCCTATACGTTGGACTCGCCCCTTCATATCAGAGAATTAGGTGGCCCTTCGTTATTATATTAAAGGATGACATTGCGCCGGAGAAAAAAGTGAAAAACGATAGTTTAACAGAAAAGGCATAAGCATGAGTTACCAATCTGTTTCTTGTGACTCGTAAGTCAGTATCACTGCACCGACGATCACTTATTCAATAATGACAGATTTTTACTTTCTATCAAAACTACTTGATCAGGCTGAACTTTAACCTTAATAGCTTAACTACAATGCGGCATTTATGTCTCCAAAAGTACCATCATGTTTGGATATGCCCTAATCCTTCTATATGTGCTGACAGATTGTATCAAACATAGAAGAGCTTAATTTTAGATCACTGTAATCTACTCCTTTAATTAGGTAGCAGCATTGATTTCTCACACATTCTCTTTAATGTTGACGTTGTTGTCAGTAAGTGTTACAGAATCCATGACATATCAGTTGAAGACACGGAGCGATAGTTTTGGAGGTCGTGCTAGAGCCTTGGCCGTTTCTAATGCTAACGTTGCAGTCGGAACGAGTCGTGGATTAGTACTGATCTTTGACTGTGAAAATCAAAGGTTACTACAACGTTTTCTTTTCGTTTCTTCATTTTTGATACAGATATTCACAGAGACATGCTATTTTTGATTTACAGACTAGTTCAATCAATGACAACAGACGGTTGCCCAGTATCGTGTCTTGACTTCAACAAAGCTAGTACACTTTTGGCCATTGGTTATGGTTCCGGTCTAATACGTATATTTAATGTTACTATGGGTAAAGTAATAGACAACGTCAGTGACGTAGTGCAACCTGGTCAAGGCGTACTGCAAATTCTTTTTTGTGAAAGGTGTAGTTTTTATTTATTCATAGTATTTTGTTGTTCTTTCCTTTTTTAAATACACTTTTACTTATTGGTTGGGATCAGAACGGTTTTATAAGTCTCAGCTATAATAAAGACTTGAAAGAGGAATTTTATTACGTTTATGGTTACAGATTGCTTTATGGGTTATTAATATCTTATAAATAAACAGGTAGTAGATATAGATGTTTTTATTTGAAACAACCATTAATTTTGTTCATGATTATTATTTTTTTCTGCTCTTATCTTTACTGCTTCAGTGACAAAAGACTTGCTTGTCTTGATAGTGGAGGTTCGGTTTATGAACTAACATTACCAACAACAGTTCGATCACGGAAAACTCGCTGTGTTTTCTCCGGTTCTCATGGAGAGGTCACTATTTGAAAAAAATTTAATCAGTTACATTCTCTGATTACGAAAATGTGATTTTCAAAATGTGATTCTAGGTCGTATATTTGAAATTGTTGGACAGCGATGTCTTAGCTCTCTTATCACTCAAGAAATTGTTTCTAGTAAGCTTGAAGAAGATGTGTTTGATATATGCTATTTCATTCATTGGACCAGCCAATCGCCCACCTTTAATTGATTGTCAGACAGTAAATGTCAAGGTAGGCTTATTGCATGTGTCATTTACATTGGTTGCTACGCTGGTCTACGCTCGTTTCAAATATTCATTATTATGCTTATTTAATGTGGCATATCCAAGTTATGGGGTTGGAACGTACAGCAGAAGTCCGAAAAAAAGTTGAAACATGCTGTATTTCCGAATTTCTAAGCGTGCCTTACTTTAACCTTGCAGAAAACATCAGAAAGTAAGAACACTGCTTTCTGTCTGGCACGTGGTTCGAGAGTTGATTTCTATTACTTAAATTATGAATTTTCAAGTTTGCGAGTTCTGCATTATGGGTAAGTTCCTGCACTCTTTCTTGAGTTATTGCGTAAACTCCGCAAAGAATTTACAAAGTCCTCCGAAAAACTTGTGTTTTTGTTCGTATTTTTTGTTTCATCTTTGTACGTCTGATTTTCAAGATCAACTTTTGCTTTTGAGAAAGTATATTGAATATTGTATCGAGCTGCAATATGGCTGATATCTTTAATTGAATATATCTGTTTATTTGAATTTCAGATTTTCTAAGTTCTACTTTGGGTAGGGAAGGTTTTTATTCTTTTATGATTTTGTTCCACTTTTATCAACAGATTTATTTCTGTCCATCGCCGCTTTCCGTTTTTGGCCATTATTTTCTAGAGAATTATCGTTGGATTTTGACATGATAAATCTAAAGTGGATAGAGTCATGTTACTTGATCGCCGTGGATGATGTTGAAAGGGTTCATATGATCGAGACTATGCAAGGAGATATTGCAATGGAAAATATTCGCGATATACAACTAGCATATGCTACTGCTGATTTCAAGGTACGATGTATGAATAAAATAGGGCAGAAGGTTAGACGAAGAATAACACTAAAGAATTCTTTTGCAGGGCTTATCTACTGGAGGTAATGTAAGTGCTGCCTTGGATTATTTGGCTGATTGCGTGTGTTACCAATCTATTTGTCGCGTTGAAAAAATGATATTTCTTCTCGGCCAGTCTTCTATTTATATGATCTCCATAAGAGACCGAATAATGCAATTGGAAAACTTAGTTAACCGGTTATTTTTATTGTGAAATTATTGTAGTATTAAAATTTTATAAATATGAACTTATTGAGTCACATTATTTTCAATATTTCAAAAGATAAAGAAAGCAGAATTTTAGAGGACAAATGGTGTCAGCGATTCTTTTTGCTCTTGATATTGTTATGGGCAGAGTCGTTAATAAAAGGGAAGGACTAAATTTGAGACATGTCGTTTCTTCGCGAATTCCTAGTCTTATTCAGTCGTTGCTAGCTTTGACCATATCTGGTCCAGCCAATGGAAAAGTGACACAACTTGTTGATCACTATAAAGTGAGTAAAGTTGCTGTTATAAGTATAGAAGCGGAAGTAAGTATTCAGTAAGAGTTTTACCACAATTTGGTTTGTTAAAATAGCTTTATTAAAATTTATGTAGAAAGATATATACAGTGTATGTGATCCACAGCGATCAAGATCGTAATCTTATAATTTTTATCCTTCCTCATAAACGAGAAAAACCTTATCTTATTTCGGTAACTTACAGAAACATATCCAGCTCCTCATACGGGCATGTGTTGCTACCAGTCAATTTGATTTACTCTATAATACAGTGTACAGTTGCTTAGAAAGAGACACCCTTTCCAAGGCAATATTTTTCGACCTCATCGATGAAGTTGTATTGGATGGGCGATTGGAAAACCCACCTCCTGCATTAGTTCGTCTTTCATTCTATTTATTAGTTTACCGTCGTATAAAGTTTACCTTCTCTTTGTTATTTTTTGACTGGCAGTATAGCTTAGATTTACTGTGATTTATTGCAAGTTTCCTGGAACCACATCTGTCTTTAGTAGCGGAAGTATTAGAAAACGTGTTTTACTGATGACTGAAAATAATTCCGATGATGAAAGTGCTTATTTTAGGTTTCGGATTATTTTCATCATTTGATATCAGAAGGAAATTTAAACCAATTTGAAGCAGCGGTAGTGCGTATTCCAGTTGAGAAACAGGATATTCATTTTGTGATGACTACTTGCAGAAAAAATAGACTTTATGACGGCGTCATATATGTTTACAATAAGGCAATGTCAGATTATATAGGGCCACTTGAGGTAAGCATGCTTGTTTTAATAATTACTCATTTATGTTCCAAAATTTTTTGTCAATTTAAATCCTGGTGTAAAAATTTTCAGTTTCCTAAACGAAAGTCTAAATGCTACATGAATAAAATCTTTATCAGTGAATATTACAGGAGATATTTGATAATTTAGCAGAGCTTACCGATTGTGAAATGCTATCAGACTGCGAAATAGCGCTAGGAAATAAGTTATTATTGTATATTCAGTGTTGCCTGTCGGCCAGAGCTTACCCAATTGGATCTTTGCCGGAAAAAGTTGCTGCAACTCTTCCCTTGCAAGTGTATCGCTGCCTGATTTCCTACAAAGGCAAGAATGGCACATCAGGTAATTTCTTATCTCACTTATCATTGCCGTTCATTCGCTAAGTAATTTGCAGATCTGTTTTTTTCAACAGTATATTTTTCAGCTTCAATTACATATCCATATTTACAACTGCTTATTAAGTTTGACGCTGTTCAGTTCTTTAATGTTATATTTACATGTTCAGACAGTGATATTTTTAATTCAGAGTAAGTTTATTTCTACTTAACGCCCAAAAACGAGTGATAAATGACTCAGAAGAATATTCAGTCTATTGTAACTCTTTTGATTCTGGTCTTTGGTCTCTTATCCACTACTATAGTACACTTTCTCGCTAGTTTATCAGCTTCCTTTTAAAAAACCTTTGTTTTGTGGACTGCCGTACCTTATTGATCAGCATAGAATAAAGTTTTTTTTTTCTAAGTATATTGCAAAAAATGCGCACAATTATGCTGTGGAACTGTTATGTGGAACTACCCGCTATTACTAATCTCAGCTGGAGTGAGATATTCCAATTAAATTTCATGAAAACCGAACATTTTAGATGCCCACCAATTTACTGCATCTCATTTCTCATCAATTTGAATTAAAATTCCATAGTTTTAGAGACGGGAGATTACAGAGAATTACAGAAGTGGTGTATCAAATAATTAAGTCGATGGATCAAAGTGCAGTACTCTTTATCAATTATTTCACTCTTGTTGCTTATCTGTTGCAGAAAAAAGCAATTTTTCCAGCGCTTGGCACCATCAATGAGGTAAAGCTTGGCTGAGAGTTTTTTCGTTACAGCTACGACTGATACAGACTCGAAAATTTATTTCTAAACGTTGTACCTTCCAAATGCATTTGTATTACAGTTGATTGAGATGGTATTATCATTTGGTGAGTCTGTTGAGCGGGTAGCAGACGCTGAGAGATGTGTTGTGGAGGTAATGAAAATTGTGAATGGTCTTGATGAGATGAAGATATTGCGACAAGCCAGAAAACTACCTCAGTATGTCCATTTTAGTTTTGAACCAGTTGTCTTCATTTTCTTAGGAACATTTTACATCTTATATATTATCGGAATGAAACTTTATAATTGAAATTTGTTGACTTATCAACCAAAGGAATCGAATGTAGTTTCACTCTGATGGAAATAATGCCAACTGCAAAAATTCCTTTTCAATATCGGCTATTACATTCATCATTGTGAATCGGAGCAATACACCTGCAAATCGACGAATGTAATTGGACCGCAATACAGAACCTCGCTTAAACTTTGAGGTGGATAGAAATATCGTAAACGATTCGTAATTTGGTTTTTATTTGTTAGTATTGGAGGCAAATAGTATGTAACGCTAACCTGATTCATATTTAAGATTACTTCTTCAATGATATTGGATTATATTTGTTCTTGAACTTCAAAAAAACTTCAATGAACGTAAGAGAATTCGTCCGGGTGTCATTGTCTATAAATAAGGAAGAAAGAAAAACGTGAGAATCTCTGATAAATGACTGATCAATAGATGAAAGAAGCTATTGCGACTTGTAATATATCCCTCAGAGCAATTTCATGTCTTCACAGATGCATCAAGTTGGCGTATTATAAGGGCATATACACACATAGCTATGACTTTCAAGGAATTAAAATGTGATGCTTGCTAAATGTCGAATCGCAGCAATTATACTCCGATTAGAGTTATTAACAACACTTTAAAAAAAAAAATAAGTGTGCACTAGTCCAGAACCGTTTCGATTACAACCAAACTTAAGTAGAAGGAATAAAAAAGGCGAAATTCTGTTTCGTTGAATTCTAAGTAAGTATAATCTTGTTGATATTACAACAGTGAAACTCTCTCTCTCTCTCTCTGACAAAACTTGAGAATTACGAAATATGGTGGGAAGACCACCATGGATGGAACAGAACCAACTGGCCACAATGGGAATATGACTTCGATGGAAGCTTTGCAAATGATGAAAAAAATGCAGTTCTTGTCGTAAAGGTCAAAAAGCAAATCGTAAAAAGAAGTTTCAAACTTATAGATGCTAGTCACAACTTTTTCTTCTTTGGTTTCATTTGAGTATTTTTAGCTTGCAGGTCTGCTCATATATTTATGTAAACAGACGGGAATTCGTCAGTTTAATGGAGTGTTATCTAAATAGCTCAACGAATGCAGTATGTTTTTTTTTTTCTTTCAATTACTGTTTCCTACTGAAACTTCAATGAATGCATCTTCATGAATTTGAAGTAACTTAATTATACATATTTCCATGCCCTCGTATTTCCTCTGGTCAGAACATTATTGTTAGAACTACAAGGCGATGAATTATCAAATTTTTATTCGTTTGTATGGAATTCCTTAAAGGTATTTTAACTTCAGTTTCTGCAAGTTTTATGTGTGAGGTATTGGTGTTGGGATGATAAATCTCTAAAGAGATTTGGTTTACTACTTGCTGTAATTTCTTACGCTAGGCGAGTATTTATTTTCTTTCATTTCATCGCTCACTTTTCATAAGTTTAAAATTGTCGGTATCTTGTTTTTTTTGTTTTGTTAATGGTTCATTTCCATTCATTTTTTTTTTCTGGATTTTTTTCTATTTATAGAGATTCGCAAAAATCGATTACAATCAGACAGCCGAAATTATTCTTGATCACTTTATGGATTGGCTATCCAAGGAAACATTGGAAGACAGTGATGCATTAATACTTTATTATTGCTTCTTAGCAAGGTTTATTTTGTTCTTGTTGAATGTGTCTAAAATGTTTTTTAATTGGAATAATTTTGTCTTTTAAAAGCTTCCTTGTTGTGATCTATAAAAACAGTTGTAGTTGATGAGGTCTTCTGAGTAATCTGTTTTAGGCGTGATCGTGGATATCGGACTTTAACTGATTCTGAGGAACGTGATGAACAGCTTTTGATTCTTGCTGTAAAGGAAGCTGTAGTACATAATTTATTTGAAAATCTAGACACGGTAATCAAAATTCTTTCTACACTTCAGCACCATAAATTTTGTCTGTCTCAGTAATCAATATCGAATCAAATATGTCTGGTTTCAGCAATTAAGTGAGTTTCTGCGGTATTGGCTAACGATAGCATCGAGAACAGATCGATGCTTGAATTATACAGTGAAAAATGGATTTATTTTGTCAAGTGTGTTACTTTTGGAAGCTAGGAAACTTCTGGAAGGAGCTTTTGAACTGCTTGAATATGAACTTGAAAAAAGATGGATGAAAGATGCAATGCTTTCATGTAAATTTTCAGTCTTATATAAAAATCCTTGAGTTGTAAAATTGAAAAAGAAGATAAACAAAACTGATTTCTCTTCAGCGAAATATATTTACGAAGCAATTCGTTTGGCTAATATTTATCATGAAGAGGCTCGACAAGGAAGCTGGTTGTTCAAAATACTGAGTAGAATCCTTTCGCTTCCAGAATCAGAACTTCAGGAGGAGCCAGGTGGGATATAATATATTTTGTTCCAAAATAAGCTCATTTTGAATAATCTATATGCCAAATCATAACTGCACTATTCGTAGTACCGTTGGATTATCCTGTTTATGGTATTTACAAATCATTTAAAGATTCCACTGCAAATATCATTTTGAAGTTGTGATGTCATTAATACTTGTGTCATGTTTTCTCAAGATAATATATGCAACACATAATTTATTGCTCTATATCACATAGAGTTTATAGTGCTCAGTAAATCGACTTCAACATTGATTATAAGTAACTTTGTAGCCGATTCATGTTTTCTTACCAGATTATGAATGATATGGTAGAAGTTTTTGAAATAAAACAATGTAATATTAGGTCTTAAAGGTGTGATGGTGATATTAAACAACGTAATCACTGCAATTATGGAAAGTGGAAGCAGTGATGCAGAACGTTTGGTTGATGCTTTATTTACCCACCCAGTATTTCGGTACCATCTATTTTTTTTTTTTTTTTCTTACACAAAAGATTTCACATCTCCTTGACTGATTCTGTAGGCGGTAATATTTTTGTCTCAAAGGCTAAGCTATGCATGTCTAAATTCAAATAAACTTGTAACGTGAAACCACGATCAGCTCATTATAACAAAGAAAATATTGTTGAAATTCTTCGAAGAACGAGGTCTCATTATTTTAATGAGAGAAAATTGCAGATGTTCAACATATGCAAATTTTCGTTCACTAATAACGTTCATGTTCTCATCATGTCGCTACGAGGATGTATTCTTGAAAGAAACCATACGATGTATCGAGGGAGAAACTATACAAATGTATATCTGTTTACCTTTATTTCGCATAATGTTTAAACTATTGTGAAAGTCGACTATATTTGATATTAACAGTTATCAAGTATGGTTAATAGAGTAGTTAGTTGATATAAATTTGAACTGTCAGGATTTCATTTCAATTTCAACACATCATGATGTTTTCATAGATTTCGGATACGAATAGAGATAAGTTTCATCACTCAGTTAGATTCTGATAAACAGATTCGTAGGTTAAACGATTTAATAAAGCAAGCGACACGTCGTACTGCTGGCTTAATCAAATCGACTATGTGCATTAGTTGTGGGTGCTCACCAAGAAAATCATCATATCTATATAGGCATGTTTTTTAATGTCTTTTTTAGCACTATATGTCTCTGTGCTTTTCTGGCTTTTGTACTAATTTCAGATCAAAATTTATTTCCCATTTTAGTTGTGGCCACATGGTTCATATGGATTGTGATTCCGAGAACAGTTCGCATTATTGTTTGTGTCAGATAAATGCCTTCAATTGTTGTAATATTACAAACAATTTGATTTGCGGATCCAGTCAAGTGACTCGAAAACCAGCGAGAGTTGATATCTTTTCAGAAGAGTCTCTGAAACTACTACTGGGACCACACAGACTGGAATCTTAGGTTTTGCATTTTATATATTTTTTTATGATTTTAAAAGTATTGTGTTTTAATACTGACGGAAGTAGTTTTCACTTAAATCAGCACATATATATTTGCTTACGTAATAGCACATTTGTGAATACATCTGAATTATTCGTTCTCAATGAACTTCCTCACAAAATATTTTAAAAGTGTTTCAGAGACTAAAACAAGCCTAGAAATCATGTGTACGTATGGCCTTCTGACTTCTATATCTTTGGGTCTAGTTTAACCTAGCAATTTTTATATTTATTAATAGGATGTTGCTGAAGGAAAAAACCAAAAAGTCTATTTTATCCCTCTGAATAATATAGGATCTGTAATTGGGAATTGATATTCATGCAAATTTATAAGTCAGTGCTGGCCAATTTATTTTCCTGGTTCAAACCTTGACCATATAGTATAAAGTAGTGCATTTTATTTTTATTGTTTAAGCAATTTACGAATGTCTAAATCACAAAAAGGCAGTTGCATTACAGCAAATTTATAATATATAGCTACAACTAAAGCTACAAGAATTTTCGAAAGTCAGAAAAACCAAAAAGTGCCTTGAAATATACTTTTGATCGGAAAATAATTTGAAAACTTCATCCTTTTTGTTTCTTATTGTCGTGAAGTGAATAATGTCATGAAAATCTTATTCGCTAGTAACCGCAATAAAATCAATACCACGAATGTGTTTATAAGTTCATAGTATTTGCCTATGAATACAAATAGAATCAACGAAAATTAAAGAAAAGGAGGGTTCGCTATGGCGATTGCTCATCGACGGTCGTATTTGGTTCTTATTGAAACTATGCACATAAGTGATCTTGAACATTCTATGTTTCTTAGTGGAATTTATTCCACTAAGAAACATAGAATGAATTTCATCTAAGAAAAATTGAATGAATGAAAGGCTTGGAAACGTCGGAACAATGTTAGTATCTATTTATTGTTTTCGCACTTTTACTGTGGAATCTCATAACGAAGAACACTAGATTGAATGAATCGAAATAATATTTCCATTCCACTTAGTTGGAAAATTATAAATGTAATATGATGTAGTGATGGCGTGAGGACTTCAGATGTTCCACTTCCCGTATGGTTTTGCATTAAATACATTTTACCGCACTTCTCCAGTCTTCTTTTGTTATAGCGTTTTCCAAATGATCATTGAGATGTTTTTTACTTCTGCTATACTCATTTGTCGATTCAAGTTTATGCATATGAATTCTTTAAGAAATAAATTTCAATAAAATAAAGTAACGTTATCAACGAATGCAAATGGTACATTTGGTTGTCATTATTGTTATTACCTCACTATTTTGGTTTCTGTTTAAGTAACTACATTACTGAACATATGTAAATATTGGAAGTGAAAGCGAATTTAAGTTGGTTTTTTTAAATTAAATTTTTATGCTTCAAATGAGTTCTTTGCTTGTAAGTCTCAGCAAGAAAATGATTCAAATAAATTTATGACAATAAAGATTGATCTACAACATCCTTAACAATGAAAAGCACATTAACTTAACCATTTCTGTAAGCATTTTTGTGTTTAACTATCACCTCAGACATTAATAACATCATCTTTCTCAATACGTGCACGTTTCTTAGCCGATCTTTTCTGATCATTTCGTACTCGTTCCTCGTTCTCAGCCTCCTCGCCCAGTTCCTCTACTCGCTGTCGTAATTTTTCGGCATCTATACGGAAATCTCGAACACCAATCGAATTGTTCCTAACCTGTACATCTAGTCGATGATCGTGCAAGGCTGAGCACAGCAACAAGAGATTAGCCTTAAACAGATGATTGCAGTGACTTTCGAAGGATTAGATCAACAAATTAGTTCTTCCTGCTTTCAGCAATCCACTTTATATTAGTCGTCTCCATACTATCTTCAATCACAATTTTTGTGTCTGAACAAGGATTCTAAGTAGAATTGATTTAGCAGTATATGGTGATAACACTCAGTGCCAAATCTGCATGCATCACTGCTAATAACCTTCGCAATGAATACAGCTGCTATGAAAACGATTTTTTTCACTATCTTTAACAGTACATATAGTAAAATGCATGTCAAAGATATTCAGCTGGTCCGTGCAAAGTTTACTGTCAGATTTTTTTTTGATAGGTATCAGATTAACAAACCTGATAAAGTTCTCTTGATCGTACATAAGCAACATAAAGCGTTTCATCCTTGTGCGACTTCGATACTTTTCGGTTATGAGTAAGAGACGGTTCCTTTAATAAAATTCAAAGGTGCAAATCCGCTCGAATTTAAGCTATAGTTTATATCGTCAGAGAAAGAAAACGAAATCATGATAATAACATACATCAAGCGGATTCAGTGTTCCTACATTTTCGTCAGCGTTCTCCATAATTCGCAGGATACTGCCATGAGCAAGCGATGCTAATTTGGCTACAGCCATCCACTCAGAAATGTCACTATATTTGTGTGTCTTCAGCATCTTCAATATTCCTTATTTGTTTAACTTTACTTTTCTTCGTGAAAACACTAAAAGAGACCTTTCGAAAACGAAGACTTCCTTCGCTAGCATTATTACTTCCAAAGATTTTTAAAAATAACTTTTGAAAGTATCACCACTTTTAATCAGCTTTCAAATATCATTTTTAAAAAATTTCTTTTTTGAATAAAAAAAAAAAAGAAATTTTTTCTATTGCTATGGAAAAAAGGTTCTTCGCACACGACCATTATATAGGGTATGATGTAATGAGAGAAGAAATATCATTCAAACTGTTAGTGCTTTAGAAAATTGAAACCAACCAATTTAACAACTACATTGAGCACTTCGTATTGCGCAGTTAACAATGCACAAATCGGCTCTTTGGCCACTGCATAATCAATGTGTACTGAGAGCAATAGAAGAACTACATCAGCTAATTTACTGCACAAATCGATTACTTTGACGAGACCAACATCCACTAAAAAACGAAGCTATGAAAAAGATATAATGAAACATCTTGGAAAGTTTCTAAATAACCATTTAGCTGAAATTTAATGAAAAATGCTAACTTGAGGATATGGAAATCTGAGACATCATTTCGGCAGTCAAACGTGCATCTGATAGAGAGGCTGAGCAGGCTGCAGCCAGCATTTCTGCACTTGTTTCCACTGTTAAATCGTTTATAGATGCCAATAAATGAATGCTTTCCTACCAAAATGTATAAAAAATTTTTAATAAGGTAAGAGAAATTATTATAAACCTGAATAATTGCTGTTTCTTAATCAATGAAAACCATAATTTATTAAAAACTCAGAACATACTTTTTCCTTATTGCTCAGGACAGTTATTATTTGAGTGGCGGCACTTCGCAAAAAATTCATATAATTATTATTACAGCTACCAGCTCGTTCGATATACACATAAAGATACCAAATCTCTTTTAGTATGGTTTTATCACCTGAAGCAAAATATCACAAACTTCAAAATATTTGACTGCAATGTTTTAACGAAATTTGACTTTGACCCCAAAATTAAATTTTGCCAAAACTTCACCAATACATGAATTAAAGAAAACTGTTTGAAAAGTATTAGTTAAAGTACTTTAAGAATGCCTGAATTTCCAATATCTTGTGCTTTTGGGCATTTAATTGCTAGTGAATCCAAAAAAATGGATGATGGATTATTCTCAAAACACCTGTACATACTGAGTGAGGTATCCATAAAGGCTTACCTATTTCATTTTTCTCCAATATATTGCGAATAAGCTTTGCACATTTCAGTTGCGCCTTTTCATTTGATACTTGCTTGAACAATGTACGGCAGACTGCAATTAGTGCAAATGCTTGGTGTGTAAAATCTGACACCATCTTCCGTTCCTCGAAGTCCTTATAAGTCTCAAGTAATCGCGGCATCAGATGTAACAAGATGAATCGAATCATCAAAGATGCAGCATTTTCGTGTTCTTTTTGCTCTTCATCTGATTTCTCTAAGATATGCCCTGAACAATATGTAAAAATAAGCACTGTTCAGTGACGCATCTGAATGACGTTTCAGTTGAAAATTGACTGTTAGCTACCTTAGTTATTATTCGATGATTACCGGTTAGATAGATTTATAATCAGTCAATTTGCTGGAAAACAACTTAGTAATTCGAAATTTTAATCATCTCGAAAAATGAAACATAATTCCTGAACAAGCGAAAGTCAACTTCGTTCCACTTATCATAATTATGAAAATGATGGTAGTATAAAATTTATTGAATAACTACTACTTACACATTTCTACAAGGAAACCATCACAACGAAAACCGTATTTTGAGATCATCAAAGAAATTACATTGGAGAATGACACAACGGCTTTTGTACATTTGTTATTCCATAATTCAAACGAAGCTGATTCATGAACAAAACTTCCACCTACGTATACAAGAAGCATAGTCCTGTAAATATGGTAATATGAACCAATCAATTCCATACTTTTGAAAACAGTTCAAAAAAAAAAAAAGTTATAGACAAATAAACCTTGAAAAAGAAGAAAGTGCGATAAAAGGCACGCGAATATTACTCTTGTATATGTCAATGGAAATGCGCTGCGCCCAATCTAACGCCCATACAAACATATTTTCACGAAGAAGTTGCAAGCATTCTTCGTTTATATCGATATCTTCTTCATTAATCTTTCTAAATAAATTTGTTCAAGGAACGGAATCTTACAAGTGAACAAATTTATTTAACTATTTTTCTTGAATGATAAATCTCAATTTATCTCACAACACATGAAAAAAACACAAAAATACAACTTTTATGTCATATGTTGCTACATAAGAATGTCATCAGTCATATCAGCATCACATATTGCTATGGACAAATATGAAGCAGCTCGAAGATCCACTAATATCACCTGTCAAATATTTCAGCGCATTTCGTAGCACTGACTTACAACACCATTTATGAGTACTTGCATCAATTCAAAAAAAGCTTACGACGTTGACCATCTAATTTATCACTTGAATAAGCTTTTAGTTATTGATTGTATGGTATTCATAGACTAACATGCACTGGCATCTTAATGTGCTTCAGACTGACAAATATTGCCTTCTCTCATAACTTATTATCATGTTTAATCTTTGAGAAGGATAAAACTAGAAAAAACTGATAAGATCATAAACTCACTTTAGAAATTATGCTATCAATTATTGTTAGCAAATTACGAAAAATAGAAACTTGAAGCTAACTGAATAAATCGTGAAATTATGCTTGTTATGGACTGCAAATAGGGTGTAGTAGACGAATAAGAAACAGTGATTTTCTCTCCCTTGCTCTCTTTCTTTTTTGCCGATTTTTCTTTCAGAATTTCGTTTATCTCCTCACGTCTGCGCAACAATGCCAGCACTTTTTCCGCTTCTTCCCTCCTATAAAAAAACAATAAATGAAGTAAATGCTTTTACTTGCATTCTACAACTGATAATTAAGCATCTATACCTGGTAAGCACAGAGCTTATATTCCACATATGTTCGATAAGAGCATCGTAGAGGGAAACCATCAGTGAGGCGAAGCTTAGATTCGTTCGACCAGCAACAGAAAATGAAAAATCCGATAGCTTATCCAACTACAAAGAAAAAGCTTCTGCGCTATTTAAGATAGAAACCACAGACTTCATTCTTGTTCACAATAATCGAGAGTAATAATAAAAGTTTAAATTTCAAAATTAAAAACTACGGCATAATAATATCAACCTGTAGATCGTGCACATCCTGCTCTATAGCAAATTCAGTAAGTTTATCCAATTCGGATATGGCTTGGCATACTTTTGCATCTTTGCCGCATACAACTTGAGTCGATGTGTTTCGTAAACCATATATCGATATACGCGTCAGTAAGCTTACAGCCTGTAATTATACAAAATACCAAAACATTATCTATATAACTAAAGAAGAATTAAAACCGCATGAGTTATATAATTATGAATATGCATAATGACCTGGACTAAATCAGACAAAGGTTCCAGTAAGATAGTAGAAGATTTCGAAGATTCAATGTAGGTAGAACGAGATATTTGCTTTAGAGTTGCAAGATGTGTTACCAGAAGATCCAAAGTCGGATACACCAAATTCTGATTAGCAGATGCTGCTTCAACAATACCTCTGAAAATATAAATATGGTTTCAGGAAAGACAGAGAAAGCTTGTGACACTGTATGCTCACATAACTTTACTGGAATAAACTGGTCAATTGAAGTAACATATCACATTGCATATTAAGCGCACTTCAGATCTAACTAAGTCTAACAGATCTAATATATATATATATCAATGAAGTTGCGCTAATAACACAAAAACATGCCTGTATAACATGCTTTTAATGTTTGCAGGCTGCGAAAAGGTTCGCTTCAAGATTCCAATAATTTCTAATGAAAGCTCAGTATTCGTGTTTTTCGTTTCAACACCCATGCTTTGTAGAGCCTAAAATAAAATTTCCAACACAAGCAAAAAAAATTGCAATTTATATTATGTGCGAGCTTTCCTAGAACATACCTGAGTGGAAAAAGTAGCGAAAGATTGACTGTAATAATCACTTTTTACAGCCGAACGCATTGTCGATGATCGTAGGAGAAGAAGCAGTATTGGTAAGACTGTAGCAACCGTTGAATCACATAATACATGTTTTTTCATCCGATTGAGTATAATGGCAATTAACTGCGGTCGTAATATAATAACTGGTAGTAAAGCGCGAACCAGTGAAATAGCAATAGTCTAAAAATAAAATGAAAAAATAAATTTGTTACTACTGTTAATTCTTTTCATATCTCTAGAAATAAAATAAAGCTTTAAAAAAATAAGTAATGCCTTTTCTAGAAGATGAACTTTGAAAAAACACTGGCAAAAAAATCACCTCTTTCAAATCGCATATACTGTCCATCCAGGATCGCAATGATTTCCAGGAATTCAATACATGCACTGTCTGTTTCGATACAATATCAACAATCGTATCTGAAACTGTGATAACCGCAAATGATAGTAATATTTGACTATATAAAAGATTATGGATCTCGAAACAAATGGCACTACACAACGCACAACGATTACTTCCATCTAGATCAAATAATAGTAATACTGAAGGGTCATTTAAATTACTCACACAAAGACAATTACTATCCTACAAAAATTAGAAAAAAACTGAAATACCAATCAAAATAAGTGCAGAGTTTTGTTTAACGCATGTGAACAATATTGTAAGGATTCTTTCTAGTAACTGGCCAATGGATGTTACATTTATACTTGCTAATGAGATCAGTATTGACTTCCCCAGTGATATAGTTCCTGCATTTTCCACAATTCTAAAGCAAGCAATAAACAGCTTTGGTAAAAGAGACGCACAATGGCTAGGATAAATTGAAACTAACAGAACACTTCCGCATCTCATCCATTTTTCAAAAAAAAAAAACTGTTAAAGCCTAAATGTTAACTGGAAATATAAATTCCCAAAAAAGAAGCATGAAAAGACACTTCTTACCGTAAGACGGGAAAACAACATATGAATTGGAACTATCATTCAGTAAAACGATCTCTTTTCTCTTTATCAATTCATTCGCAAGAGAGCAATCATCATGGTTGAACAATGAATTCTTTCACTTGCATGTCTATTATCAAGCGTTTCAATGTAAAACTTTTTATTGCTCTCCTGCTTCATATTTCTGAGGAAAAAAGACTTGCAGAAACGTACAACAAAGTCCGATATCAGTAAATGAAGCAAAAAACGAAAATGAGCTCTCAGAACTATACTTAAAATAAGTTGAACTTGCACATCTATTAAAACATTCTTTACCTGCCATCAGAAAATTTAATTTCAGTATTGCATTTATCTAGCAGCAGCATGAGAGCAACTTGTTCAAGTGTATTGCCGATAACAGAATACCACTTGGTATCACTAACTGCAGCTTCTACAATTGCATCTAAATTGCCTTTCAAAATTCCCACATCACAGTCACCCATAACGTCACGAATCCAAGCACTTCTTTTCAACCGATCACAATATTTCTGTAGTTTGACGACATTCTGCTTCAGCTCTGCCATACTTACCAAACGATATCGTGTTATACTGCATAGCGAAAGTAAGCATATGAGCGCGAATTTACTGCATGACACAAGCTGCCGATTACGCTAAAATCTCATATATAATTTTAAAAGAAAAATATGCATGTAAAAGATAGCTTTTTTCATTTTTCACTGAGTCACCCATGCACTGTTAATAGTATTAAGGCACCGAAAGCTAGATTTATAAAGGAATTTGAATGTTTCCAAAATATTTAACCTTTAATCGAGCAAGGAATAATTTTGAAATGGTGACGCTAGAGTTGAACAGTTCGTGAAGTTGAACCGATAACATGTACAAATCCTCGAATGGAAAATCTGCTTTCGCCAAAAGATGATCACATATCTCAATATTTACAAAGTCTATACAAAGTGCATTGCTTTGTATATTACCAGTTTTTATAATTACTAAATTATGATTGGAATACGAGATGACTCAAAATTGTGTAACATTTCTTTTTCATTTTCAAACAAAATCAAAACGTAGAAAAAACTCGTTACAAAAAAATTACTTGTTCTCCTTTCCAGTTAATCACCTCGGGAAGCACGACAATCAATTTCAAACAGATTTCTGGTGTTGTTTCAATATGCATCATTTCTTCCACAAATAAAATGAGGATGTCATACAAGGAACATTTTCTGCAACATCATATTAAATATGTAATAACATGCATTCTAAAATTAACACCGTTAGAGAATAAACATAAATAAACTAGGTCCATCAAATATGCAATAACATGTATTTTACCTTAACACAACGACGAGCTCTTTAAATGAATTGCAGCTTACAATATCAATTAGTAGTTTCAGCAAAAAGCATACACGATACTCCACACAACCAACAGTATTCTCCTCCCATTCAATAAACTTGTTCTCCGACTTCACTACACACTGAAGAAATATGCTTGTGGCACTTAACCAACTGAAACATCAGTACTCCACTTGAATATTTTATTTCCATTTTTCATGAGTTTTGTCTCGTTTAACAGTTTCTAATGTTATAGTGTGTTTAGAGTTGCGAGAAATATGAAAAAGAACCTTTTTTTCAACATGAATCCGCTCATGAAATTCTCCACAATGTATGCACCAAAAACTTTTATATCATTTCCACTCATTTTATATATCTGAAAAAACTGTTGTAATGATAATATCATTAACGCTCTCCGTTTAATAAATATCATTTAAATATCAGAAAAAAAAACTAAAATTTTTTTCATTGTATCTATTAATTACAAAGTTGTAACCCTTAGCATAGCTTAGAATAACATCAGATATTATGGTCAAATGACCACGGGACCTATAAAAACTATGTAATTTTTTTCTCGTTTCTAAATTTTATTCCTCACTACTCAGCCCGTGTTGGATATCTGTCTTCCATTATTTGATAATACATAAACCTGTTCTTCAAGCACATTGTGTAGTATTATAATGGATTCATATCCAAGATTATCAACTTTCACTACTTCCATAATTAGTAATAGCATTGGTAAAACGTGATCTGTTTCGGCGCTCACATGACTTATGGCAGCATACCAGCTTTTAACAAAATTCGAAAATAGCATTCCTCCATCCTTTCCGCACTGCTGCTTCACAAAATTCGTGAAATTGTGCTGAAAAAAAAATTTTTTTTAAATCCAATCAACAGGCTCCAGGATATCGCCGCCTTTCTCATCGTCTTCTCTCTATTCTTCTCCCTACTTCTCCCAAATAAAAATAAAACGGTTCTAGATAATCTTCCACAATTACTGTCGGAAAACCGAAAAGTTTTTATTACACACTAAGTGTTTAGAATAATGCTAATGATTCATTACTATAAACCAATTCGTTATTCCTTTGCTATATTTCATTTTTTGAAACAGTGAATCCTTTGTCTAAATCTCAAATAGTAAATGTACATCTGTCTTCGTTGTAAATGTTAATCTCTAAGCCAGCTCACTTCTTACATCCATAAAAATCTTCTCTAATGAGTTAATGAAAGAGAAAGCATCGGTGGCAGTCTTCTCTTCCTTCTCTTCAATAGTACTATTTATTCCTTTGCTGTTTCAATTACTCGACTATATATTTGTTGTATCGAATCACATTTATAAATAAAATAAACCATATATAGGTCGGTCTCGCTTGCAGATAAGAAACAAAAGTTCTACAAACTTAAAGTAAGTCAAGTGAAATTAACTAACCTAAATTATCTACTCTTCTGACTAAAAAGTTAATTCAAATTCACGACAATTACCATCAGCTAAAAAAAAGATATTCTAAAACAAATCACCTACCCAACGATGCTCCTCTGACAATTGTGATAGAATCTTGATTATCTGTTGAGCATACTTTTCATTATTTTGAGGGCATCCACTCGCAACATATTTGTCAACCTGAGCACAGAATTGTGTGCAGAAATTTTCATGAGTTCGAATGCATAGGGAACTCTGTGTAGAACTCGTCACATTCGTAGTATCCATGATCCGAAATTAAAAAAAATCAATGAAGGATGAAGATGTGCTCTTTCGGTCCGTACAGAACAGCAAATAACCAAAAACTGTATAGAAACAAGAAAAAAATTATCAACTCGTAACAGTCATTTTAATAATATTATTAAATACTTTAATTTTATCACTATTAAAACACTGATAACTGCTTAATTCAACTAGGCACCAACTAACTTTTCATGTGAAACAGTGACTATTTGATTCACTATTTTACAGGTACGGGAGGAATAATAGCAGATGACACTCGTAGATAATCCCTTCAACCTGTTCATTCAAACAAAAGCTCATATTTCATTTATCGGTATTCTACTGATTGCACGACTTCAACCCCTTCGAGTCCTGATTAAAACACTACACTGAACAATCCTCAGCACTATCCCTTACCGTTCTCACATCTTAACAGATCGAGACAGAAAAGCCCACCCTGTATGCACGAGCCACTCCACCACAATTAACTGCAATGCAAAATGCACTTTTCAAACCTTCCCGCAATTTCCCGTTCGAATTTTCGAGAAGAGCAATGGTAGGATTATGCGCTGCCACGAAAGAATACACACGTAGGCATGACAAGACGAGATAGTGTGCTAGAAGCGGAGACTGCAACACACGTGGTTGGCTATTAGCATTCTGACGACTAGGCCTCCTTGCGAACTGGCCCTTCCTCCAGGGTATTCCCGAGACTTGCTGGGAGTTGTTTTCGCAGCGTCCTTAGAGGGATTACTCGTGACTTCTAGTAGTCTGTGGGTATTCCGGGATGTGAGTAAGAATGATATGCAGTGTCGGAGATGCTCGTCGTTCCTTATTATAGCGTAATCTGATCAGTCCTATCAATTATTTTATTTTTCATGCATTTGCAGACTTGTATGGGTCATCAACAGTTCGATACTACTTCGAAGAGCAAATCACCAGGAACTGAAACTGATATTGCTGTCCAGGTTGAAAGAATGAATTTGAATGGCTTGCGACGAGTAACGCAGGTAGAAAGGTTATCTTGTCATTGATAAATCTTTTCGATCCATTAATACCTCGTTAGCAATCAATTAAGGCTTTTTTCGGACTGTTTTTTGAGTTACTTTTACACTGTTTAATTACCAACAGCTTTAGCCGTTATGATTTCAAAGTGATGTTTTTCCTGGAAAGCACCACGTATCTTTTTCAGGAGCATCAACAATTATTGGAACAAACAAGACGTCATCTACGTGACCACATATCATCACGTATGGGTGAATTACTCCTTTTAGGTCATACTATGCTCAATGAATACTGCGAGTTATGTGCGGTGAGTTTGATACATAGGCAAATAGTAGGAAGTGCTTCTTTCGTTTATGGAATACAGTCATAAAATAAATTGCAGTTGATGCATCCTGGGGTTCTGTTAAGTTTTCACTCTCAAGTTCTATTTTTAGGCTTATATTTTCGGTTGGCAAGCGTTATTGATAAATAGACGTGAAACAATATGCTTCTATGCAGTTTTCATTGCCGTACATGATTTACGTTTTAAAAGAGATCCTAAATATTAATGTTACTGTTATGTGTTTAGCAGAATTCCAGAGTTTGTAGGGTATTTTAATGGAGGATCGCCAAGGAGTTCGCTGTTGTGTTGCTTGTGATTTAGTGAATACAGAGCTTGCAGGAGGACAGAACAACAGAACTACAGTTTCAAATAACGGTACATTCCACATACTTCTTTTTTTCTAAGATCCTTCTCATTAACTAGAAGGAAGTAAATGCGTGAGATATTTTCGGAGTTCTAAACAGTAAATCCTTGGGTCGATTTCAGATGACCAAAATGATATTGCAACCGAGCGCAGCAATATGAGTCAAAGTAGTAGTAATGAAGTTTTTCAACCACCCGCGCAGTTTCCTTCAACGGATTCTCCCGCAGAATCTTTTGTAAGCTAATAATTTGATTTTGTTTTTCTACAAAAAATCTAACAGATGCTCCGATTTTCGATGTAGTTCCTTCATCATTGGTTGTCCTATATGATTTGGATGTTCTACGTCCACTTGTATCTGTTCTCTTTCCCTAAACAGTCGTTTTTTTTAGCACTCGCCAGTTGAAAGAAGTTTCTCGATGCGAACTGTTCGCAGTGAACGACTCACTGTAGATGTTGGCACATCACCAGTATGTTTTCTTTACTAGATCATTTACTACAGTTTGTTGACTATTATAAAAAAATGTGTACATGGAACTCTTTGTCTATTCCAGCATGCTGATTTGCTGGGATCTGGAAATGTTCAGGTTGCGATACAGGCAGTCGACGATAAACTAAAATGGTGTGCAGAACGATTGAAAAGCTGCGAAAATGTGGAGGAAGTAATGAAACTATATGAAGCTATTGATTGTGGCATTGAAATACTAAAACATTTCATGGGCGCTTCGCATTGACTCCGTACAGATTTTTCCCTATTTAAAAGTAAGAATGACGCTAAGGTGTTCACCCGGTTGATATGCAATTTCGCTTAGGTTGTATTTATATATTTATATTGCATCCATCCAAATTTTCATGCCTTTCCTCTAAATAATATATGGAAATAGTGCATGTTTTATATAAATTTGAAGTTCAGTAAAAACGTTCTTATGCAACCTGAAATTATTCTTATTAATTTGTTGGAATCATTGAATTGTAGTTGGGACCGTCCGCATATTAATCATTGTATTATTCACTACAAGGATAGTATGGTTCTTAGTTTGGTGAGTTAGCAGCGTGGCGCAGTGGAAGCGTGCTGGGCCCATAACCCAGAGGTCGGTGGATCGAAACCACTCGCTGCTAGTTCTCCGACTTTTGCTTGTTATAGTTCTTGCTCTTGTTATGTGATAGAGTTTCGGGAATGTTCATAGTAACATGTGTCACTTACTTTAAGATAATCGAAAATCGTAGCAAAACACTGCACATTTTTAAAACATAGCGTGTTTATAGGATGCTCAGTAAGCAGAAAATGAGTGTGTTTCTATTGGGTTTGTATTGAAGTTGTTGTGTTCATTCCGACTTTAAATTTCAGTGCTATTGTATTTTTGGGTCGTACTCATTTGCGTTCCTGCAGTTCCAAAATCCGAACATTTTTCCTCGTTTATTTTTTTCTGACGTTGTTTAGCCTCCTGAACGCCATGTTAACAGTTAATGAGAACTGATAAGTTGATAAAATGATAAGGAAAGTGAGAAGCGAAAAGGGATTTGGTTAAGTATGTTCAGTAATTTTAGAAAGTTCACAGCATTACATGATTCATTCTAAAAAGATTTCAGAAAGAATCTTTCCAAATAGAATGATAATGTTGCGATAGATGAGAAAACAGTAACAAGATAAACAATACATTTACTAAATTATACTACGCATCCGAATTACGCATTTCTAACATTAAAAGGTGTAACTTACTTCCAGATACCGTTTCTCAGCTAATTTATACTCGTACTCTCGCTTAGCACGGTTTTCCGACAGAATAATAAGAATAGCAACCATTGGTGTAAGGATAAGTCCAACGATAGACGGATATGTCCACCAATAATTTCTCTGTAGATGTCAGTTCATTTTATATTCAAACTTTAGCGGAAGTTTCCTATATTCAAACTATGGTTTATGAAATTAACATTCTAATCTGTACTGTTCATCGATAATAGTAAACAGAAACGTAGTTTTACACTAGGAACTATCAGAAAGGAGAAGCATACGCGAATGAAGCCCGCAATATCAGTTCTCTTGAGTGAATCGCAGTTGACGCCTTCGTAACCATCAACGCAATCGCACCGGAAACCACGCACAAAATTACTGTCTGGTGTACAAGTACCCATCATACAAATTTGTAAACCTTCAATACTATAAGCTTAGAATTATGTATCAAAAGTAAAGATGACTAAGAAAACATGAAGTATTTCCCTCAAAACTCATCAATGTTCTTAACAATAATAGACTCCAAAACAACGATGAACTCCTAACTTTCAGTACTTTTTTCTAGTAAAGTGGCAATCAGAAGTTAATTACCACAACTTGTAGGCTTCTCCTGGTTCATTATCTCACCTTGCATTATGCACGGAGATAACTTTTGTTCGCAAAATGTACCACTGAAACCAAGACGGCAGCGGCATCTGAAACACCCACTAAAAATTATTCCTTTAGTTTGGTTTTGACGTGACATTAATAGAAGCAACGTTTGCCATATAAAATTCGTTCATCATTTAAGAATACAGTAAAAATAACCTCCTTACATATAATTAAATTCGTTTTCTGGATCGACAGTGCATTCTGCTCCGTTCTGACATTTGTTTCGATCACATGCATCTGCTTCTTTCTCACAAAATGGGGATAGTAGACCGTGTGGGCATAGACACCTGTTTTGGTCGAACAGAATTATACGAATGTACTTATAGTAGGAAAGCAAGTCTGAGGAGTTTCAAAGGTACAGTGGAGACTAAAAATAAAATTATAAAAAAAATGTGGAAATGTGGACCTGAATCCTCGACGTTTCTCTTCGTCGGAACAAAGCTGTAAATTATTCAGATCAGACGTCTCGCAGGAGTAGCAAAGACCATCGTTCTTGCATACGTGATTGGTACATATACCAAAATCGGTTTTTATGCACTTGACCGCTGAAATTAAATACAGCCAATGGTTGTTTTCTTCGGTTTTTTTTTTTTTATTTAGAATTACATGAAGGAAAAAGGAAGGGAAAGCTACACTAAAATAATTTCAGAAAGATGGTAGAAGTAATATTTTACTGCATTGTTTCGAACAAATCATGCAGATGTAACAAGAACTGTTATTTCGGTAATACAACTTGCAAATATACTGTTGTTGGATCCAGTGAAGTCGGGATCCTGGTTTATCGCACATAGGCAAGTATATCCCAGAGAATACTTTTCACGCTGTTCGATCGGTACCGAAACACATAAACTACCAGGTGAACAGGCATTGTTGTAGCATGGTTCTTCAATATCACATTTTTCTCCGGTCCAACCACCATAACAGCTTCAATTTATATGGCGCTTTATGCGTCTTTGCAGAGCTGGGATGAACCAACTCATAGAATCATTTCAGATGGCAATAAGACTCCGGTGAAATGCTGTGCTAAGAATCATTAAGTTTAAAAAAATGAGAAGAAACATGGAAATCGTACTCACATACGTAGTCGTGCATTGTCTTACCGACACAGGTACCGTGCTCGCCACACTTTTCTTCTGCAAAATATTTGTGTAATGCTACAAAAAAACTTCTAAACTTTTAGTTCTAATCTTACCGGGCGTACGTGGATCATATGTAGTTGCATCGCATGGTGAGTTTACATGTCTTTCACAAAGAATCCCTTCATCTAAACCAACGCATTGACAAACCGGAATTATATAAGATGTTCTGTTATCGTCGTCTGAAACATATTTGTATATGAGAAGATATTGACTGTTAGTTTCTCGAGATGAAAGTGAAGGATAATAAATATCGAAAAAAGGCATTAAGTAGAAAATGCACTTTTTTAGCGTATCAAATAAGAATCTCATAGTTCACAGATCAATTATTCCAACCTTCCTGGAAAGATGGAATAATTGAGAAAATTATTTTCTCCTCTCTTTTTTTGAACAAATTTATTACCAAGACGTCCTTCGGCATTGCACAGACCTCCATTGAGACAAAATCGTGCTGCGGATTCGCATGGCTTGCCGCAAGCTTTAAGAATCTGAATGAATTAGTAGATCAATACTGTTATAGTGTGTATAAATAGTACATACATGTATCTAACTCATATAAGTCACACAAGAATGTGTTTACATGTCTTTCAAGAAATCCTTTATCTTGACGGACCGAAATTACCTATCATATTGTAATATACACTTGCCATACCTCTTCCATATATCCCAACGTCGTATTCTGAGTATATTTGTCCAAGCAATCAATTGCATAATTCTTCGCGTTCTTTCGGCATGGGAAACATTCATCATGGATCCTTTCATTATCGACAACCGTTAATCGTTCGCACTGTTCACCTGAAGTGATCATAGGTACAGTTAACGACGTGTTCATCTCACAAATACCTGACGCATTACACTAATAAAATATAAAGGTTGATGCATCTGTAGGTAAAGTATATGTGTATATTCATTACCTTCAAAATTGATAGCAACTCCATAAATATTACGTGGCGGACAATTACACCTGGCCTTATAGGTCAATTCTCCATCAGTATTGTTCATAACAGGTTCATTCATACAGACACCACCGTTGAAACAGCTATAGTCTTTACATGGTAACACGATTTCACACTGCAATTAAAGGCTGTTTGATTGTGGTGTAAACAGACACTGCATTTGACAAGGAATAATCTCGACAGATAAATTGTTAATTCGGAAATTTCTGGGTTTAGAATCCTTGAAGAAATAATACCATCAAGAATCATTTGATGAAATGAAGAAAAGAAAGATTGAAAAGATGGCTTGCTGGAAGTGTTACATACTCTTTTTCCAGTATGATGTTCTTGGCACTGGCAATCACATTCTGCGGTACCATCCGTAGAATTCATCAATTTGCCTACTCCTTTATGTAAACAATAATCTTGCTCACATTCGCGCAACTCTTCCGAATATTCGCACAATGAACCCGTGAAACCCTGCCGACACCAACACCTAAGTATTGAAAGATTTATTCGAGGTGATTCATGGAATTCATTCAGGAGAAAACAACACGATTCCCGAGGTCGAAAATACATATAATAAACGTACTCATATCGAACCCATTGTATCACTTTTGTATCAGTAAAATTTTGCATATCTTCGTTCTTTTCCATAGTAGTCACAATCTGACGCTTTTGTTGGATACTGTAAGCATACTGAGCATGCTGTTAAAAACAATCTTTCGTTCACTTTCAAAGTATTGGCATCCTTTTATCTTGCTCACAAGGGAGGACGAATAAAGTTATCACTAGAAAGACAGATTTTATCAGCTAATATCTAATTAGGTTTTCCAGCAGTATGACTATTACCTGTAGCACGTCGCATCGTTTTGACACAAATTTTCCTTGCAACTTGTTTGGTTCGCCAAAAATTCGCAGGTTTTTCCATAATAAGTTGGAAGGCACTGACAGTAGTAGCTAAACTGATATAATTTAAGTAACATAACCATAAACTATTCCTCTCAGAAATCCATTACATGTCACGTGAGCTTATCATAAGCTAATAATGCAGATAAGTCAAAAAATACACTAAGCCTAAACTTTATATGAATAATTTGCAGGTAATTTGCACTTATAAATAATGCAACTCAACTAAAACATGTGTAAGATGCAACAGTATTCAACAGGATTACATCAGAATATATAAACGACGGTTTCAGATTTTGTCTCTCCTATTTTGTGGAAATTTGATAATTTGAACTAGAGAAATAGAAGTTTGCCATGAAAGTTGACTGTTAAGCCATCACCGGACTAGCTATTCATTTTCAGTTTAATTTCTCATAATGCTGTATCGCTGCTAATCAAATTTCAAAATTCCGAATTTAAAATCAACCATATAGCTTTATTATGTCATCTTTGTCTTTTCGATAGTAGAATATTAATGAAATTCATCGACGTCTTTTGTACTTAATTTGCTATGAAGAGTAAACACTTTAAGCAACGAAAATCTCTAAATCTTTGGTATTTTGTGAGAATACAATAAATCCAGTCAGCTCTAAAATCTATTTCATATATGAACTCTATACTTTAGTTTAGGCTTTATAATGAACTACAGATATTCATGAATGTAAGAAAAGACAAAATCGATGGATTTTGGAAAAAAAAATCTTACGCTCCTTTTTTTGATACGCATGTACCACCATTTTGACAAAGCTGTGTGATTTTGCATGGATCAAAATTTGTCTCTAAATCGCCTGTTTGTTGCCGTCGATATTTTGCATCCGGTATATAAGGTATTTTCGGGAGAGTGTGAAATCGTCTCATCAGTGACACGCTACGATCTAACTCTGTAACCAATTTTGGATTTGTTAATGTGTTTAAAAATTCATTTCCAAATATAATCATCTAATTTTTAAAATAGCTGGCTATTATCAGAAATTTACGTACTTCCTTCAGATGGCTTTTTTCTTCGTTTTGCTTGAAATTCGAATCTAGTAGATATGAAATGAATTACAATACCTAAAAAAATTTTTTGGGAGCTGATTCTTGAGGGCGTTTTGATATCTTCTTGTAATGATCATCCATATTTATCATTCGGTCCCAAAAAGTATAAATGACGAAAAAATAATGATGTACTGAGATGATCCAACACTTACAAGAGAGAGGAAAAATAAGTCAAAAAAATGAGTTCAAAACTGAATCGTTTTGTGCTTTCTGCGTAAGCATATTAGCTAACATTAATATTTGGATGAAAAAAAAGAAAAGTTGCATAACGAACAATGAAAGGCTGCACTTTTTCGAAATTACCGAAACATAGAGACAAAAGGAAACGGAAAAATTAAATTACATAGCAGAAGAAGTCGGAACAGACTGATCTCGGTCATCCTTCGTTCCGTAACTGGAAAATTCCGGAAATTTTTGTCAGAAATATGGATCTGGAAAAATATGGAAATATGGATTCAAAATATTATTCTTCTAATTTTCCACAACTTGCTGAACAATTTAACGACTATATTCAATTAACATCCAGTAATTACCACAGTTATTATATATCTTCACGGACAATCAATTATGCGAATAATGGACAAATCAGAAAGTTCTTTTGACTTTCCGATAAATCTCACTGTATGCTTAAACCGATCACTGAAGCTAATCGAACAAGTCTTCAATTTATGAATTGTAATAAAGCGAGCACAGATCTCAACATAGCTTTGATTGTTCAATTCTTTTTTAATACTACTACTGGATCATCTATGATATATTTTGTAATTATATAATTATTCATCCACCCATTAAGACAATTCAATTTCTTTCCTCTCTATTTCCACAGATTTATGACTGTTGCATTGTGGGGCCGACATTCTTGGACGTCATCTGATTTTATGCTGTGAGTTGAGTTTGAGTGCATGTTGGGGTGGCTAGCTGTGCTGGAAGGTGATTTGTGGTTAACTGTGTTCAACTGAGCATTTCAGACGAAAGTCGCCTAGAGCATGCCATTCAACGAAAAGATGCATCCCAGAAATCCATACAAGGATAAGCCACCGGATTTTAGTTTGCTTGCTGATAAATTCGTTGAGTTTCGATCACACTGCTATATTGGTTCGAATGGAAAGGTAAGATTTATCATAATAGCATAACATTATTTTATTAGCATATATAGCATTATCATTAGCGTACTTTTGAAGTCACTGGAAATCTTATATTATTGATATTATTGCGGTTTGTAAGTGCATTTCATCCATAGCTTTTTTCATTGATCATTCCTGGTTACTGCATAATTTTTTGTAAGCATTTGGTCCTTGTTATGAACTGCGAAGACTATCACTTTCAGCTCAAAATGAATTTCCGCGACACGAATGCTGTACGGATTTTAGCTCGAACTCTGCTACTTAGTGATTTTGGACTAGATGTTGATATACCTACTGATTGTCTCGCACCACGTATACCACAACGCCTTAATTATATTCTTGTCATTGATGATTTATTGAAAACAAATGGCATTGCCGAGGATGTTGTCGGCATTGATATTGGTAAATATTTTTTAAACAGTCCGAAAAGAGTTTAATGTTCTAACTATGACGTTTTGTATTGATTGTTTTTGATAAACATGAGGTTAGACTATGAAAATTAGTGCATGACTTTGAGGAGGCATCTGAAAGACTTCTGGCTGACTTTTCGAAGCACCAGTTATTCCCTATCATATATTCTAGAGAACTATTTTCTATCTTCCCAGAATTTTTCACTGTATTATTCTATCTTAGCTTTTCAATCAAAAAATTGTAGGCAGTATATAAATAGGAGCAGTTGTGGGTTTTCCGATATTCCTTATCATCAAGTCATGCTTGTCACTTTATTTCCATCCTATTGTAATTGATTTCAGCAGTGTCATTCCAAAACAAAGTTAATCATGTTTATTTACAGCTTTTGCAAAAGAAATTTGTGATAGTTTATTGTTTACTAAATTCGATTGAATCTTGTCATTTATTTTGTTAAAAATTTAGGGACGGGTGCATCGTGTGTATATGCATTATTGGGTGCGAAACAGTTTGGCTGGAGATTTCTGGCAACCGATGCAGATCCTTTCGCGGTTGAGGTATGCAATATCATAAAAGCAGTTTGCAAATTCAGGTACATTGATTTGATGATGGATTTTTTATTCTTCTTAGATTGCAAATCGAAATGTGCAGAAAAATGGCATGAGCGAGCGAATTGAAGTTGTGCGAGTACCAGCGGGCTGTATGATTAAGGTAGTAGTTTTATTTAGTTTAATATTTTGTATCGAAATTGCGCATGACTTGAAAGTTGGACTTTTCAGGATGTTATTCGTTCTCATCCAGAAGTCGAATTCACATTCTGCATGTGCAATCCTCCGTTTTATGAATATGATGAGTTTGAAGAGGCATGTGCTTTTTGCTTACATTAAGTTCTTAGCGAATTTTGGTGAATGAATAAGACTTTTTTTTTGCAGAAGTTCAGATACTTGGGAAATAATGTGTTGATAAATGTCGGTAGTGAATCGAATTGCACCGATCGTCCTGCACCTCACTCAGCTACTGTTGCTCGAAGTAACGAATTAGCCGTTACGGTATAGGTTTGCATGCTATTTAGAAAAATTTCGTTTAATTATGTGAAGAGCTTGGTTCAGTTGTGCTTAGCAAAATTATATTGAAATTGATTCACTACCATTATATCTTTAATCTTCAGCGCAATGCTTTCACTTCTTGCAGAAAACTGGAAACTCAAACTGAGGGTTGAAGACTGAAAAATCATAATAAACGATTATTTTAATTTTTAATACTGTGGTTAAAAAGCATCACTGTTGAAATAGATTGTGTTTCAGGGTGGCGAAGTTGCATTTGTTTCTCGTCTAATTGAAGATAGCTTCGTTTTGCAAAACACCGTGAAGTAAGTTATCATCACTGTATCTTCCAATGTATTTTTTTTTTGCTAGCGTTTTCAAACAGTGCTTTTTTTATAGGTTGTATACATCAATGGTTGGTAAGAAATCAAGTCTTGTTGAGCTACGAAAGAAATTAGGACGTTGTTTGAATGTTCGTTCAACAGTGACTACATTATATCAAGGGAAAACGCATCGCTGGGTGCTTGCTTGGACTTTCGAAGCCCGAATAAAACTGGATAAAGTTAGATTTGCTCAGATCCTTCTTGATTATATAGTAGTGCATTTTCAGGCTTGTAATATTCTATGAATTTTTAGTTAGCGAAATGTTCACCACCATTGGAGCTTTATTTGCCACAAGTTTTAGAAGGCAAAGAAAGTTCATTTGCTTGGATAAGAAAAATACTTGGTTTGCTGGAGGTATGTTCTCTTATTTTGAGTTCATATTTGGCTTCCTTTATTTAGGAATCGTTGCACTAAGGGGATGAAATCGTAGAGTTATTATAGATAAATAGAATCAAGTTATGACATCATTTGTTATTGACTGGAATATTGAAAAGAAATAAGATGATTCCAGTGTTTTTGTAGGTATCTTGTGAAAAACAAGATAGCAATAGCTTTTTATGTGAAGCTGTCAAGAATACTTGGTCACAGCAACGGCAAAAACGCCGTGCAGAAAAAATGTCGGGTGTTTGTCCATCTTTGAATAAACGATATTGTCCCGGTCGAATTGATGTTGGTTGCACAGTTAATTTGGGTAACGGTGATGGCAGAGACAGTTATTGCAATGCTGGAAATTTCATAGATTGCATAGTATTTAACGGATGTGGAAAAAATAAAAATACACGTGATGTATCCATACAAGTTAGTTTCAAGCCTTTCACATCGATTGTTTATTTTTGCAATGTTTATTCTTAACAAATATAAGTTTTTAATTTTCAGACTTACATGCCACTGGATAATAAATTTCAACCATTAATTCGTTTTCGCTTAGTGATATATCCTTCCGAACATTGCTTGAAATTATACTGGTTGGAGGGATCGCGTCACTGTTTGCATCAAATATGGCAATTTTGCAGAAATCAGCTTGCCAAACTAGAAAATTCAATCCAGCCTTCTTCGTCCTAAATTTCCGCCTTAGACTTTCATGTTTGGTCGTTGAAAAAAATACTGACTGTGCAACATATTTCTGATTATCTCACTTGACCATATTTTTGTGGTCACAATCAAAAAGCTGAAATCGGAAAAATAATTTTCTCCTCTGCCTTGAATGTTGCCTAAACACTCTTTTTTCATAAAGCTAAACATGTGTACACTGTCTTTCATAAATTTGTTATATAAATTTTGCTAGTTTGGTATGTTTTGTTGACTTTGTATTATCTATGGACTGTTATTTGGTATTCATGGGAGCAATTGGATGCCATTTTGCTTTTTCTAATTATTATGTATGACTTTAAAATCTTGATTTAAACATTTAACGATTTACTGTTTATTTGGTTCATTTAGAATGTTGATTATTTCTGAACTATCTAATGATAAGGAAGAAGAAGTGCAAAGATATCATCGTTTGTTGTAAAGCTGTTGTTTTGCTTATGATTATATACTCCTATTAATGAGGTGGAAATATTTTGCGTATTGTACGGGTTTTGTTTTTATATGGTGCCATTTTTCTAGAAAAAAATTGTTCAACCATTGTTTACTTTATCGATTCGGGTAAATAATTTTTCATTTTTTTGTAATATTGCTGTGGTTCTCGAGTAGTTTTAAAGTTGTCGACCAAGTACTTATGTGTGTTTGGTGAATGTTTCCTCATTTCCTGAAGAAGTCCCTCACAGAGATTAATGGCTCTGCTAATTAAATTATTCAAGTTTGAAGTTCCTCTGTACTTTCTAATGCGCTGTATTATTAGCTCAACGAAACAATGCGATGGAAAGTATATGAAATTGAAATTTGACTACTTTGATATCACGCAGGCAGTGAACAGTAGATCTTTCTGTACTTGCATGCTAGTCATTAGCATTAAGTTATAATATTACCGAAAAAGAAAGATTCACTTGTGATATGGAAAACGTAAGCATAACTTAACTATGGTTGCTAATGACTTGTGGTTTTTTGCTATAGTTTTCTGGCAGCCAAAAGATTACAACGATAGGTATTTCTTGTCCAAGAAAGTTGTCGTTGTTTGTAACATATTGTATCATCTCCAATTACAATAAATGCAGTCGATATCGGTATAGCTCTACTGCCAATACAGAGTTGCAGTGACGTTTGAAATAATCGAGTTGGAGAATAAACATTTCTAATGATAGATGTTGTTTGTCTTAGATGTAGTAAAGTATTTGATAGACTTGCGAGCACGGAGTATTCCACTGCACTCTTTCTGACACATCATATGTTAACTTTGATATGAACCAATGAAACGCTTGCTAGCATAGATTGCTGCTATACATGCACTGCTGTGGCACTCTCATCTCATTCTCTTTTGCATTATATGTTGTCTCTTTTTTCAACCACTATATTTCTAAAACTGTGCTGTACTTCCTTCCATCTCGCTTTGACAGTTGATGGGCTTTAATGTTACTAAATGATGATCAAAAAGGTGAAACAGTTGTTTCACGTAAATGGTGTAAATGATTCGTTTTATATTTCTTTTTCATTCCATGTTCTAACCTTTAACAAGATTATTAATGTTTGAGTTTTTCAAGAATTTCCTATTATTCAATTTTCCGTTCATTATACAGTGCTTCAAAAATGGATTTGGTTGAAAAATTACGAAATTGCCAAATAAATTTGGATGTATGGTTTGGAAAAGCTTATATGGTGTATTATTGTTAACTCCATTATATCTTTACAGGAGAGCTGGAGATGAGCAAAAATAGAACGAGACCGTATCCAATTCGATTATATTTGCTCATTCGAACATTTATCGTGAAAATCTGCTGAACAATGGAAGATCTCGGTGAGCTGATCATTCTAATTTTTTGGAAGCTTTGTGCTCAAAATTTCGTCTGGTGATTTAAAAAAAAAATGTCTTCTAGAGCAAAGTCCGTAAACTGTTTCCGTTTTGCACAGTTTCTTAATTTTAAATTCCTTCGAAATCATGTTTGCGCATTATGAGTCGTTTGTTATATAATTCAGTTTCACAGTTCCTTAATACCTTAGTATAGTCAACTATTTCTTATATATACTCGATTGCTTTTTTAAATTGTTCCATTATTATCGATTAGATGCCAGTGCAAACTTTTATGCATTACTTCACATATATTTCATATATTATCTTCATGAATGGACTCAATCTCTGCTTCGCGTAAATGAATTATATAGCTTTTGTCCCTCCGTTTTTCGCGCTTACAATCCGTAGATAGGATTATTAGCGGGAAAACTTTGCTTATGATTTTTAGAACTCAATTAGCTGTGTTGACTTATCCTCGACAGTGATGAAATAATTTGTAGTGCCAAAATCCATAGTGCGTACACATTTAGTAGTTTTTCATTATCGATTTCAAGACATTTCATAAATATGTCATTTCTACTATTAATGATTTCCTTCATATTCATTACTGAATAAATTTACCTTGACATTTATTTTCAACTCTTCAAAATTTGCCACAAATATTTTCAACATTTTTAAACATTATCTAAAGATCTAGCGTATTTTGTATATTGCATTTTAAAAACCAAGGAGTGGATCCTTTTCCTACTTTTAATGGTCGATAGAAATATATCATCTGTTTTGTCCTGAATTAAGTAAACTTTCCTCATTATTCTTTCATTAACTTCTGTTAATATGCATCGTCTTATCTATTTGCTTCACTTCTTAATTCAAAAATTAATGATCCATTTCTCTTCTAGTGAATGTTGCATTAAACAGTCATTATTAAAAGATTATTAAGGATATGTTATCTAGAAATTTTACAATTCTGTTTCCAATCTCATTTCATTATACGGTGTCTTGTGTACCAACCATTCTGTTGAAGCTATTGCTGTAGGACATTATTTCATGGAATATAGTAAACCTACCACTACTTTTGATTAACATTTAACGTCCATCTATCCCACTTCCCCACTAACATAAAAAACCAAAAGACATTTTTTTCGAGTTAGTGATCAATAAACCTTTGTATTATCTTTCTCCTATCTCTTTTCCATTTCCTTACAGCTGTAATAATTCATCCTGTTAGTACTAGTGCAACCTTTTCTACAGCATTCATTCCTTACATCTTTACGGAACTAAGTGTTCCCGTTCCACCTCTAATAGAACTTCGTCTGCATCAATAGAATGTAAACAGTTCCTTATATTCTGAAGAAATATCCAGATAAATATAACTTTATATTACCAGCAAGTTCTGTTTCAAGTGTTATTACTGATGTCGACGTCAGCAAGCAATAATGGCCGTCATTCTGTTACTTGGGCAGACGTTGCCAATTATGCAAACGGTTCTTTTTGTTATCAGTTATTTAAGTGATACAATTCTTTCAAACAAAAATATTACATTTACACTACGTAGTAGCATTTACGAGAGAGTAGGAAATTAAGGTAGTAAAGATATGTCAACTGTTATGTTTACATATGAGAGGATGTCATGAAATATGAAGAAAAAGAACAATGGAAAGGTTAAAGTAACCTTTCCTAAGAAAGTGACGATTGTTCTTATTTGTGATTTCTTTCGTAATTACACGCATACACAAAGTTTGCAGCAGTTGTTGGTTTTTAAAAGTTTCATCAATTCGTTATATGTCGCGAAGATAATGTGAGTTTTGATAGTACAATGAATGAAACGAAGTGGGGGGTAGTTTTAGTTCTATGGACATCCCATTTGTCATTGGTTTTATTGCTTGTCAAAATCTATTGCTTTTATTCTCTTTGATCATTTCTCATAAAACTTTTATTTTGCATGTAATATAGAGACCTGAAGAAGTGGTTCCGAGCTATTAATTTTTTCTCTATTATAGAACATAGGGTTATAACCAATTATTGTGAAATAAGATTCTGTTCTTAATGCATAAGTGAGGATCTTAATGAGCTTTCTAAAACCTTCTTTTGATTGAGGTATCACTTTTGGAACTGTTATTAATTATTCACTGTCGCTGTCATATTTTTTTCCATAAGTATACAATATGAGACTCATACAAATGTGCTAATTTTGCAGTTAAAATTATATATTGTATTCGTATTTCTCTTTCACTTAATTTGTTGTAACTCTCTGTTTTCATTTGTTCATTCAATGTTAATAGATCTACATGAGTTAAATTTTTTGCATGCCTAGAAACGTAACGTAATTTTGTCCAGTTTTTACTATATCTCTTCAATTGATAAGGCTTATTTGTTTATCTCTATATTTCCTGGGATTCCTTACATTTCTTCATTTTTGAAAGTGACATGAATTGCTTACCTTTAGAACAAACTAGTGATTATTTAGAATCATTGATTGGTATTTGCATATATATTTAGCAGTATTACCTTTATTTGATCTTTAAATTTCTATAAAACATCATACACACAAGATATATTTTTACCATGACGTCCTAATCCAGAAGTAGTTTGCCTTTGTTTAATTGTAGAGTTTAGGTACACCAGCACATTGCGTTATTACAGTCGTGTACACCTGAAGTAACAGTTGAAAGGCATTGTCAGCAGAAAATAATTTTTTTTTTTTTTCAGAAAAAAAAAATAATTAGAAGAAAATAATTTTATAAATATATTCAAATTCTACTTTCAGTTCGTGTGTCCTAAAGCTTGTCTCTTATCTCCTGTGCTGCCATTTTACAATTTTCGTGTTTTGGAACATTTGATTTCCTTCCTTTATCAGAAATGTCTATCTTAATAAATTCGAAAATTTTTCTAAAAAGTAGGAAGTTGAATTTGAAAAAAAAAATTTGCATACACTGTGCATTATATTTAGAGCCCATCTACTTTGTCTCCGATTTATCTTGTACTATAAAAAGTGTTTTTTTTTTTTTTTTCTTTAATGTTTTATCTTTTTTTTACTAAATCATTTGATTTTGCGTGTAATTTTTTCACATATATTTCAGAAGCTTTGCTTTCTGATCTGCAGCACACAACGGAAGTGTTGAAGCGAGCTAAATTAAACGATCGTTGCATATCCAGTGCATCGGATTTAGAACCCATCTATCAGGAACAAACTAGAAGGTATGCTATAAAGTATGATTCGGTGATTCAACCAATTTCTCAATCCTGTTAAATATTGAAATAGTAAACAGCAGTAGGTGGACGTTTATTTCTATTGAAATTGATTTTACTTTCAATTTGTTCGTTGAATTGTTGATTTATCTATAAAATCATTCGATGTAACAATTTAAATTTAGTTATGGCAGTTCTTTTCATGGCCTAGACAGTATCGAACAAATGCTGGATGATTATTCACAAAAAAGGAAAAGTCCTGAAGGTACTCTTCTCACAATCTTTTACAATAATTAAAAAATCTGGTCATTCAGTTTATCACCTGCTGGGAGAATAGTACCCGACCGATATAGTTTAAATAAATCTTGCATTCCAAGTTTGGTTGTTTCGCATCATACATGTTTGTAGAATAATTAGTAATATTAATACTTGTTTCGTAGAGGCGTTGTGAGAATAAGAAACTGTATAGTTCAGAGCAGAAGATTTGATGCTTCTTCCTATATGTGACCATGTGCAGTTTTATTAAGACTTTCTAGTGATTTAAGCACTTCTTTTATTTTTACAGACGAATGGTATGCAAATTCTTTAACAAGCCAAGCGGAAAGGCCTACAGTGCAGAGTTTGTTTAGGGAGCTTGAGCATGACAGGTAAGCGAGCTAATTCATATAATTCATTTCCAGAATTAAGCAGAAGATAATTGAGTGAAAAAAGATTGATTTATGTGCAGTTCTGTTTCTGAAATTCTCTTGTCTAAAAAACCCATAATTACTTGCATTGATGAATAGCTATAAATTAAAACTATTTCATTTTGTATGTGGTACTTCCGACATATTTATAAAGTTGGTAACTACTTCGGTGAAAAATCCCATTGGTTGTTAGACAGAGAACTCTTATTATTATTTTGATTGATAAAAAGTAGCAAAGTTGGAGTTCATATGATGCAACGTTTAAAAAATTTTTCAAATTTGTTTCAGTTGCAACAGAAGTGTCGGTGGTCTTTTATCACAGTCATCTGGTATTGTTCAGGTATATGCTATTCTTTCAATGTCGTTGGATTTCTTTTTTGTGATCTACCACTTCATTTAGATTTAAATGAAGAAATAGGTTATCAGAAATGCATTTTCTTTGTAGTGTATTCAACAGGAAAAAGGTTGATGATTATTTTTCTGTCATACTGTACTTTCCTACCGTATGTTCATTGAAAAAAACACGAGTGGAAGCTTACATCATATAATTCAGAATAATCTCTCAAGTTTTCTCTTTCACAATAAATCTCGAAAAAGGTTGAATTGATATAGTGAGCGCTTGCAGAACTTCTTCGCTCATATATAAACTAGCTTGCTCTCTAAATGCTTTATACAAGAAGTGTTCTGATTGTTTACTTCATCCTCTCCACTAGCAGTTCACACTTTCTAATTTATGATTCACCTTTCCCTTTTGATAAAGACCTCGTGCATAACGTTATTGGGACTATCATATTCCATCGTTCAGGTGTATTGCTCTTCATTTAACATAACTTTATTGGACTATGAAACCCTTCCGACTAAGCAAGTACATTGCTTTGTCATTTTTCTTTGATCTTCTAAAAAATAAATTATTATTCGCTGTTCTTTGTCCTCATACCCTTCTTAATAAAATGCAGTTTGATATATTTTTGAAGAATTAACTTTTGGTTAATTAAACTCATGAATGTGATTACTGTTGTCATTTGCAGCAAAACTCGTTCACGAGCGATCCTTTGCAATTGGATTCGATGTTGGGAACACTGCAAAAAGATATGTCAAAGCATGGCATCAACACGATTCCTAAAGGCGATTGCGCTTCGTGTGGCAAAGCGATCGTTGGACAGGTTTTTTTTGTTTTTCACATTTTTTAAAATATATTGTCTTCTTAAGCATATTGTACTTGAAGGTGCAATTTTATTTTTAATTTCAATACTTTTTTATTTTTAATTTCCATGCATTCTTGTCGATTTTTAGAGTACTCACTGTTACTTTTAATTAAAATCTTTATGATTAAATCAGATTAGGATATGAAATTAAAATTATTATATCTATATATTTAGCAAGAATTTGAGCATAACGATGACAGTTATTTGGAAATGCTGTAAATTCTCGTTTCATAAACTCTTTGATGGAATTATCTGATATTTTTAATATTCTTTTCTAATCGAGATATGTGCTTCTGTCCGATAAAGTGTTCAGTACTAACTACAGTTAAAGTACCAAAACTTCCCATGTTGTTTTGATTATATTTTGCTGTTGTAAGAAATGAAGTTAAATTTAATTCAGACTAATTTCAGAATTCTTCAAAATATGAGCAAAAGATCCATTTTCATTATAAATTAAAAGAAGATTGTCAAATCTCACTTTAAATTTATGAAGTTTTGAACTTTTGCTTGTTATTATTAGAACATCTAATAATGGAACGTGAATATTTAATCACAGGTAGTCATAGCACTGGGCAAAATGTGGCATCCTGGACACTACGTCTGCTGCCAATGTGGTGAAGAACTTGGGCATCGGAATTTCTTCGAGCGAGGCGGTAAAGCATATTGTGAGAATGATTATCACGATATGTTCTCTCCTCGATGTGCGTATTGCAATGGGCCAATCAAAGATGTTGGTTGTCAAATCTTTTAACTCTGATATCAAATGATAACTACCTGCAACTAAGTCAACTAATCCTCTTTTTTGTAGCGATGCGTGACAGCACTTGGTAAAACATTTCACGCAGAACATTTTGTATGTGCAGAATGTGGCCGGCAGTTTGGTGAAGAAGGATTCCACGAAAAAGTAAGAATTTTTAGTGAAAAAAACTGCTTGCTCTTCACATCTATATCTAGTATCGATATTTAAAGTTTTGGATTGAATATATGCAATTAGAAAGATTTTACTAACCATTATCTTTCTTAATTTATAATCATATATCAAATACTTTACTGTGTTTTGGTTTACCACATTATTCTTTAATTTGTCGTTGGTTATCTTGGTGTATATTAACGGCGATTTTGTTTTCATTTGCGAATAATGTGTATTGTGTTTCAAATTCTCAAGTTATGTTACTCTTGTTTCAGTCTTTCTTCAGAGATTTAAAAAGATTTTAAGTGTTCTGCAATGATTTTCACAAAAAAGATCTGCAAAATCGTACCCAATACCGAGACACTTTGTAGAACGGACAACCTTATTGCAAGACGGATTTCTTTCGAATGTTTGCGCCGAAATGCAATGGTTGTAAGAATCCGATCAAAATGCATTTTATAACAGCACTGGGTACACACTGGCATCCTGAATGCTTTATTTGTCAGGTAATCTTTGTAGAAACTTAAAATTAACAAGCTTTGGAGTGTGAAGGCTTTTGGAATTTTGCTTCTTTTATTTTTGTTGTTTCTTAGCATTTGTGAATAATAAAGCTTTTGATTCAACAAAAATCATAGTGCGGTGTTATTTTTAAACATTTTCCTTCACTGAAATATGGTAGCTTTATCATCTTTTGATTAGGAAACAAAGATACTTACTGAGTATCAGTTAATTTTTTGTGGGTCTTGGTGCGTCCACTGCGATTATGCATATGTGGGCAGTAGTAGATTCAAGTCCTTCATAGTAGAATTGTCATTCTAGGGGATTGAAATGTCATCCATCTTTGATTTCTTTTTCCTTTTTTGTCCCTTAATGCTGCTATCGTTAGAACTCTAGTTAATGAATTCACGAAAATAGTGGAATATCAGAATTTCGAGTTGCAGTACCAGAAGAAGGAGCAGTAATCGAAAATACAGTATCACTGGGAATGTATTTAGAGAGTTTGTGAGCCTGAATCGTTCACGTTGAATTTCTAACTCAAATGAAGGGAAAGTAATCTATCTATTCCGTAGTAGTAGGAATATTGATGAGTGATTTTAGGAGTGTGGAAAGGCTTTCGAAACAGGATCATTTTATGAGCACGGTAATGTGCCACTGTGCGAAATGCACTATCACGAGAAGCGCGGTAGTTTGTGCGCTACCTGCCAAAAGCCTATTAATGGCCGATGTGTCTCCGCTGTAGGGCAGAAATTTCATCCAGAACATTTCTGCTGTTCCTACTGCCGTAAGCAGCTAAACAAGGGAACATTCAAGGAAGTGGATCGAAAGCCATTCTGCCACAAATGCTATCAAACTACCCATCCTTAATTTTTTTTGCACAGATATTCGGGATATTTTCCACGTCTTAGTTTTTGTGCGATTATGTCGCCATGCACACTTTACAGCTTGTTTGAAGCTGTCTACCATATTTATACTTCCAGGCCAGCGATCATGTGAAATGGCATTCATGCTCTCCACATTTCTCACGATTCCTTATCTGGTGGTATCATCTCATCCCCTAAAATTCCTTGAAATAGTGTACCGAATAATATAGTTTTATCTATAGCATCCCCTTCCCCTATTACTGATTTTTTTAATGATTAATGATCTTTTGCAGTTAATGACTTTTTTTGTGCTGTTTTCATATCACCGCTTGAATATGCATAACCTTTAATTTCTATGCATTCAGATTATTTTCATGCCTCTTGTTGAATACTTATGCAACACTGCTTGACTCTTCCCAACTTTTAATATTATTCATTTCCGTCCAGAATGACATGTTTGAATTTCATAGCATCAAGTTTTTTTAATACTTCTAAAGCTGGAGATAATGAAAGAAATCGCCAAAAAAAACTTTACGCGCTTCAGTCTGCGTAAAGTTTTTTTATTGTTTTAACGTTATAAAATATAATGGAAAATGAGGAGAGGCACAAAGAATTACTGGACTTGATGGGAGTGAATGTTGCAGTGATTCATGATAGTGGTTCCTGTTGTGTCTTAATAATCAGGTTTAATTTTTTTTATTCTCTTATTATTTAACTCAATGTCTTCAGCATGCCTGCATTGTTATTTAACTACATAATGATAAGAGTGCAGTCTGCATATTGTTTGTTCTGTCCATTTCAGTTGTAAAATTGCGTAGTTCTCAAAACATTTGTTGATTTTCAAATAACTCAACTATTTGCTAGTGAGAAGTAATGTTAGCCTGAAATGAAATGAGAAAACTTAATGTGAGTTTTTCGCCTTCTAGGGGAATGAATACTTTATAAGACGATGTCCGATGCACGTCATATATTCCGAGGAGGAAGAGAAATGATTCAGGTCTCGAATCACGCTACATCATGCATCCTTATGGATATCAGTTAGTTCAAAAATAGATATATAAATTGCTCGCATATGATACTGATTGGGGTTCCTTGCTGATCTTTTTGACATTTTTTTTCTTCATATATATATATATATATATATATATTCTTTAACTTCAATAAAACATTCAAAAGTAGAGTTAAAACTAGCCCGCAACATATGATGCAGTTAAAATGTACCAATTTTCCAATTTAATAAAATACTAGGGTATAAAGAATTTGCTTCCTTAGTTTGCCTAATCGCCTAATAATTGAGAAAGAGCTATACATATTGATACTAGTCTAATAATTGAGAAAAGGTTAATCTTAGGAAGGCTTATGTTGACGTTTAACACCGAGATTAGTGAACTAGTTATGAGGAGGTTTCAACTCAATATATTATTTGACTATCTTTTATGTATTTTAAATTGTACGGTTCCCGTATAAATAGTAAAGGAACAATTACATGTGTTGAGGGATACTTTATTAAAATATGCTTTACCTGAGCAGAAATTAACGTGGGACCCGTTCAGTAACAGCAGAGAAAAAAGAACCATGTGAGGAGAACTTTCAAGTGACAATCAGTTAAACAAAGAATTTCTCCTTGAAGTTAACCAATTTATATCATCAGCTCTTCAACTGAAATAGTGTCCGATGAGGATCATTTGGTCAATTTTTGTGATGACGAACATAAATGGATGATTGGCAATGAATTTGATGTGTCCACCTTGCCACAGAACAGTTAACTCGTCGCTTATTATTTCATGAGTGCTGTTTATCGGGTACGAACCTTTCTCATTAATCTGCAGTAAGAGGAATAAATAGTTGCGTAAACATAAGATTTGCATCCAATCATTCATGCGATGAATGTAATTTAATGAAATTAACACCTCAAATTGTGTCTTTTGAATGAGCGTCGAGACATGCATTTTCTGAAGTGAAATAGCCGGAAAATCAGCTCGACTGGTAAATGCTTCCACTATTCCAAGATTTGCCAATGGCAAATTCAATTCAAAATGATTTTCTATCGAAAATCGAGGTATTTCAACCTTAAATAGTATTAACATAAGTTCCGGACGTTTTATCCGAAAAGAACACATTAATAATAATTTCAAAGCCATTTCAAGGTACAGTTTCTCTATGCTTACATTAATTACTTGGATAATATTCTGATTCCAAAAGTCGATAATGCGATATAAATGTGCTTGGCTTTCCCTTTATGGACACAGATTTTTCCTATTATCTATCTTGTAGACCATCTCCTGAGCAAATTATGTTCAATTATCCGAAATAGTTTTTCACTTCTTGAAAATCCATTTGGGCCATAGCTATATTGTGGAAAGTCCAAATCGAACTTTGCATAAATGCTATAAATATATTAGAGCAAATGCCCAATATCAATTTTAATTTGTAAAACTTAATTAAATGTCTACCTCAATATCCACTATTTTACATCTTGCAATCAAAAACAGGAGACGACGCCCAGTCAATTCGCGCACAACACTTCTTAACGCAAATTTCTCTCGTGGTAAAAATATGTAAAGGAAAAGGTTTGAATCTACTTGATAAGGAAGACCGAGAACCTGTACATCAGCATCTTCGGTGTATTTAAATTTATCAAATGCCCACATGGACATCATTTCCACCTGCAACAGTACATGAGTAAAATCTTAGACCAAGAGTAATGCTTTATTTTTGACCTTTACTTTTTGACTTTCAGTTATATTCATCTTTACAAGTCTTTTACGTCGGAGTGGAAGCTATAAATTTATTGATACTTTCAAAAAAGATCGACGCAATTCATCTTTAACTTTACCTTTTATCTCGAGTTGTTACTAAAAACAATGAGTGAATGGTCGGTAGGGAAATAAGTACCTACCTGAGTGACAGTGTGTTCATTTACATAGAAATCCTTCGCAGTTGTCCTTCTCTCATCAAATGGATAATGCCAAGCAGCATTCAAATAAAAGCTATCGACGAGCATGAAATGCCAATCTGCATTATAAACATTTCTTGTAAAGATTTTAAACTCTGATTTCGTTTGGTTTGCAATCCACTGATTGATAAACTGAAAAGAGCTGATAAATCAGTTGAGCTATCTAGATGTTAAGGTCACCTAAAATAGTCAAGGGATAATTAATTGTAAAAAACACGTAACTTCCACAATTATTACCTTGGTACTATCTGATAAACTCATCTGCTATACAGCTTTATATTCTAAACATCTCGTCGTCCATTTCACAAAGAGAAAATTTTCTTTTTCACAATTAGACTTACAAAAACCAACTGTGGCAGTGGCCGATCTGTTTTTGCAATCAAATTGCAGTACATCAGCCATATAATCCCGTGCGATGTCTATCATAGCATTGCTTAAAGTACCACGACCACATAGATGTAGAACTACCAAGAGACCAGGTGCAACTATCGTACCATTATTTCCTGGTAGTAATCTGTTGGCTAGTAATGAATAATACTTCTGTACCGTATTATAACTGAAACCTGAAAAACAGCATAAATAAGGGCCTAAAAAAAATCAATTCTACAGTTTACCAATTTCCCTTTTCAATTCCCTTTCAGATAATTCCCTGTTCAAACACTTGATTGCATTTTGACTATAGTGAGGAAATGAAGAATACCTTTCGCGAAAACATCGTTTATCTGCAACTTAGTAATACCACTTGCAGCAGCACTGGTGAGTGATAACGTTATCGCCAGTGATAGTGGTGACAGCACTGCATTAAGTTCTTCATCAGCGGCATTTGATAAAAGTCGAAGTGAGAAATTTGCATGTATCGACTGTATCGTATCCCTTGCATACCTGTATATATAATATATATATTGTACACTTCATTTAATTAAGAAGATTAAAGATCGTTTACGGATGATTCTTGCTTATAATTATAACTATGCTAAATGGCTAGGAAGCTTACTTGTCCAAATAGTAATTTAATTCATAAGCTGTTGTCGTAGGCCAAAACAAAGTGCACAGTGCGATAGAAGCGAACAAGATAAAAGAAAGCAGTTGACGTGATAACACACTCTGATAACAATGACTGCGCATAACAAAAGCTAAGGATGATGTCAGTTGCGCTTGTAAAGACTATATTCTAAGAGGTGGAAAGTGTTGTGAACAGCGATATCAGTGGAATGAATGAATGCCAATGTGAATATTGCACTTGTACACTCGTAAACAAGTCTCTTCTTCAGATGTGTTTCTCACTTCCAACCAAAAATAAAAAATGGCAGCGTTAGGTTATAGGATTGTGCATTCCACTCCATCGGTGCTAATCTCTTCCTATCCCTGCACTCTAACTTCTCGGCTAATGTTTACAAGACGCTCAATTCTGGTCAAATATTATTATCAAATATTGACCTCAACTGTCCTCTTCACTCCGCTCTCATCGCTTCACAATTAGCTTCGCACTGATTTATAAATTAATAAAATGTCCAGACACTTCGAAATTCTCTCTCTCAGAGCTGCTCTTTCCTCTTTCTTCTCTTGCGGCATTCCTCCTCGACATCCTTGTTCTTCGTATATTCCTCTCACAATTAAAACTGCTTACGTACAGTATATGTCGACGTTGTCATTTTGCTAGTTCTTCAGCTCTCTACCTCAATTTGTTTGTAAAAATCTACATGAAACCATTAAGGTTAAAAGTACACATTTCAAATTTACAATTTTAGAATGTCTGACGTAAGACAAAAAATACTTTCTTCGAAATAATTAATATTAATATTAATAATAATAATAATAACAACGGTAATAATAATAATAATAATAATAACGGTAATAATAACAATAATAATAAACATGTTAACTTTACTCAAGTACTTTAGTTGGCCTTATCATTTCTATGAATCCAAATTTCTTGCATTCCTATATTTCAGATTTAAATGACAGACTGATTGATTATAAATACTGCATATACCATCTGAGATTGATTCATCATTCAGCATAATCCATAATTCGTCAAGCATCAATTTTCTTTGAGCAGAAATATCTTTCAAGCTTTCACGTCTCACAGCAATTTCATTAGGTCGTTCCAAATGATAGAATGCAAGTGCACCACCAATGGCATACAACAATGACAAAATAATGAGACCGATGTGAGGCAAAATTATTCGCGCATATTTTTTCCAACCAACCATCTGAATTTGAATTTAATCCAATCTCTTACAGTGATATTAGCTTTCTGAATATTTCGCAAAGTTCGGAAATAAGAATGAACTGATAAAGTGTCCAACATAGCTTGTTATTTATAGTGACACATGTTTTTGATGTTACTAAGCTTAATAGAAGGTTTACTCTTAATAGAAGGTTTACTCTGGAGTATTTGTTGCCAGTACCTGTACTCCAGACGATGAACCATTTGGTAGACTCTTTTACAACCACATTTGATTGCATTTTCACACATCTAAGGTCCAAAAGTAGCAAAATATTGCATCGCAAGTATTCCTAGCGAGCATAGGTTAATTAATTTATGCAAGAAAAAAATTACTTTTCAAAGACCGCTTGTAATAAGAGATAAAAATATGAAAACAATCTACAGATAAAGCTTTTTCTATGTGGGAAAAGAATGCGATATCAGTAGTGAATATCAGTAAAGAAGACAAGATTCGATTTTCTTTCTAGACTGCTCCATTGGTTCAATTTTGAAAATATTTCTCTTCAATATTTATTTTCATCTATGACTGCAAGCATTTTATTATAAAATATCAACTATTTTACATTTGGAAGAGCAAAACAGACTAATAAAAGCCTTAGGAAATATCCTTATATGACACAATGCTGCTGCCATAATATGATGTGATGGTGTTTGAAGTTTTGAGAAGTATCAAGTGGCAAATTTTGATAATTATCTCAGCATAGTGCAAGTAAAGGGAAGAAGAATAAGAATCGTTGTTAGGAGAGTAAAAAAGGAAGAGAGTGAGTGTATGTTGTGGAGCATCAAGGGATGATCTATTTACTAGAAATGGTAGTAGGTATCTTGTTATGTGAAAGGAACAGTGAAACCATTGATTGAGGCCTATCTCGCATGCATTCCTGAAGTCACCAGCCGAATACTACTCCCTTTTCACTCACAGGGCCAGGGCGGCTTTTTCAGCAGCGCTATGAATCTATCTCATCAATGATTAACAAGTGCGCCTCGCATTACATTCTCCACAATTTTAATTCGTCCCTATTATTGATCAGGATGAAGTAATTTATGAAAATAATCGCACAAAACGTCTTGAATAGTTCACAAGAAGGTTAAGTTTTAACATTGAGGGTGACGACAGTATGACCAATGCTATACAATTTACGATCATGGAAGTTTATGGAAGATAAGACTTTTAATGAAATCTTTTAGCTGATTTATCAGACATAGATATCTAATAATCTCATTTGTCAAAAGGTATTTTTGGAAAAATAAAGGAAAAATAAATTAGAAGAAAGTTGAAGCGCAGGAATATTATAAGATGAAAAAACTAAAGTTAAATTAATAGGCAATGAAGAGAAGAAAAAGGAGGATATATCTATTAATATAGTCCAGCTGGAAAGCTTTCACTTGAGCTTTACGAAAATAGCAATGAATAATGAATAAGTTTATACAAACATCAGCCATCACTTGAGGAAAACCGTATTGCAAATGAAATTACCGAGATGAACCAAAATTTCCGGCAATATTCGAAAACACATTTATTTCAAAAACTTTTTTCGCTTTTATAGAAATCTATCCGGAAAGGTGAATTAAAACAGGCCAGATAAAACAAACAAATATGAAATATGCCATAATCAATTAAAAATACTCAATAATGCCAGAAGGGTTCCAACTCTTTTTCATATGTCAAATCTATTAATGGAATGTTTTACCAACAAAAACTTCGTCAATTAGAAAATCAGAATCAGAAGAAGAAGAAAAAAAAAGAAGAAAGAAGACGGCTAACAAACTGATACATTATTTGAGAAAAATGCAATGATCTTCGGGGATAAGTTTGGGGAATTTCATGTGTTTTCTGAATGTTTCTTGACAACAAATTCAGAATCACTTTGCTTCTAATTGCCTGTCCACAGATAAGAAATCATTTCGTTTCGATCTACACAAAAGGGATGATAATCTGATGAAACAAACAAATCAAACAAATAAATCCATGTAAATAAACCTTTGCTTATCAAGAGAATCCTTACAAACCTTATTGATGCCAACTAAATGATTAATTTCCCATTGATCGCTTTTTTCGCTACTGTCATCATCATCATCATCATGTAGATTTGGTAATTCCTGTAGCAGTAATGTTGTTGTGACGGATTTCTTTTTCACTTCCATCTGTCCCTGCAAACTTACTTACTTATTGATTATTCACACAGACAACTTATTGTATTAGTCTGCGTGTCATCGACGAACAAGGAATTCATTTTACAAATATCATCACTGGTTTGCCTGATTTCATCTCTTTAGCTTTATCCCTCCTAGTTTATGCTAATCAATCAACCATGTTGTAACCAATGGAATGTCAATTACACTGACACATTACCAAAAGTTCGTCTCAACGATGCAAGCATATCTAAAAGGCTTCTAGATCTTTGTCATCACTTATAAGGGATCCACATAGAGTGGTAGGATGTGTCGAAGAGGGCTAAGAATGTTGAAACTACAGCACTTGCAATTATCTAGTCTGCAAAGCAATCATGGTGCTTATTAAATGCTGAGAGGAAAATTTTTAGTTACGGACTTGCCATATTTTGAAATAATTAATCGTTAACGTTTAATGTGCCGAATGCATAGTTTCATAAATTAATAAAAAACAAATATGAGAAAAAAAAAAAAATCTTATATTTGAGAAGTTGATAGCATTTTCGCAGGTTTTGAGAGAATAAAATAGGAAGACTAAGTTAGAGAGTAGAGTAGAATAATGAGAGCAATATGCAGCATAATGCTTCTTAATACAAACTAACCACTGCAGATGGCGGATTTTCAATTTTCTTCAAATTTCTCTTCTCAATTTTACTTATCACACAGACAATTCAATTTCTTCCAAAGAGCTATTTTTAATTTATTTTGGCTTTGGTCTCATCTGTGCTACTTTTCTGCTATTTTTATATTCTATTCTTGTTTCTCCGTTTCAGCTTCTTCAAAATTGTAATCAACAATTTTCAATCAAATATTCTAGTAATTTATCATTGCTTCTACATATTAAATATTAAAATGACAATAGGAGAAATCGTAACTGCAATGAATAGATTTGAGCGGTTGTTTCTAGCGCTCCTGTTATTGCCCAATATTGTAAAAGGTGACGCTGATTGAATTTATATTTTAAAAGCGCTTATCGAGAAGAGATAATCATCATCTGAGTTTGATAAATTCATTTAGAAGCACTGATTAGAAGGCTGAGACAACACAACGCAACGTATGAATTTCGTTTCTTTTCACTCAATAATACTCATTGAACGAGTTGCGTAAGAAACGATGGATTGTTTTGGGAAACTGACTGGAAGAATGACTCTAACACAAGTGTTTTGAAGAAAAGTTAAATAGTTGCAACAATCAAATTGGATTAATCAGAAACGCAAAGATTACTTCAATTCAATTTTAGGAGACATTTCGATAGTGTTTTCTATCTTTCATTCAGCTTATATTTAATTAAATTACATGACAGGCCGCTTAAACTTATTTAATGATAGCTTCAGTGTTACATTCTGGTTCAACCACAACGATAATATCTGCGACAACAAAATCAATGCATATATCATTATCTGAGGATGAAACTCAAAATACGAACCGAAACAGAGGTGCAATTTAATGATAAATTCAATTCTTGTTATTTTATATTTGAGTTGAAGAAGTGATACTTCGTTCTGGTTGCTAACTTAATGATATAATTAATGTAAATAGAAAAGTTATTTAAAATTTTACAATAATTTTTAAACTGTTCTAATAATTACAAAAAAAGTTATTATTTTGGAAATTGCAAAGCAATTGATAATGGATTCAGGAAGTAGGAAGAGGCACATCCACTTTCAACATTCCTTCTAAACCATCCAAACAGGTTCTCTCTGTTTCCGTGAACTAAATCGTATTTAGGTATGTATATCCGCTGTGCATCATCTTTTGAGCATTCCATATCCCACTATCATATCTTTATACACATCCTCTTTCTCAAAATTTATCAAAAATTTCAATGCTTTTTATAATTATAATAAACATAATGAAATAAAAAATCCTACATAATATCCTAGATTGAGTTTAAACAATGAGCAGCACATCAACACCAATTTTTACCCTTATCAAAAGAAAGTAACATAAAATGCTCAAGACCAGTTTTCTCTTTCGTTTTTTTTTGCACGTAATTAGATTTTTATATCCAATTGTTTTTATGTTGTTTCGATCGTTTACAATATCGATATCAAACAATAATCCTAACTTCGGTTTTAAAGGTTATTAAAGACAGTAACAGTTGATAATGCGATATTAATTGTCCACATAAGGATCGCTTTTTTTATTTCTCTTGTCCCTGAAGAAGACTGTAAATGAAGGAAATTTATTGAGATAAATCAACTTTAGCGTTGTTTAACAAATGATTTTCGTTGGATGAAAAAAAAATTTTTTTTTTTCAAGCCAAAATGACGTTATTACTTCTAATCAGTGATGCAAATCAGTTAAATCAAACCTGTTTCAGCTTAGTTATTAGTGTTATCTTGCTTGAGTAAAATCTCATTTCAAATAATCTACTCCAATGCTTTTTTTTCTTATAATTCGTTAATCTTTTCTACTTCAAAAATGGCCAAGCTGCAGGTGCCTTTTATGTTCATAACCCTATATTGCTAGAAACATTCCATTATTTATTTGCAGCAACACAGCTTTGGTTCTTGCTAACATCGTTGATAGCATCGTTATACGTAACTGCCGTTCTTTTATTTACTTGTTGTTGTAGTCGAATTGCTACTACACGATTGTTTGCATTATATTGTCTAGCAAACATTATCATACAACAATGTTTAAATCATTATTGATATGGCAAGTGAAATATATGTACATTGTAAAAATTGAATTGGATTCAAATAAATAATAAATATTTCAACGAAAAAAAAATTTCAATTTCTAGAATCATCGATAGCTATGCATGTAGAAGATATTATTGATGAGTTAAAAGATAGAAAAAAGCTAAGAATTAAGAGGAAGATAGCAGTTTTTATACATTTCTATCAAATTAATTGGCATTCTATAATGTTCGTGAGATTACCATTAATACTGATAATTAATTAGCTTCTGCTCAGAGCCACTACATATCCAAATGTGGAAAGGAATACTAGAGAAGCTTTTTGGAATCTTTTTCTTAACAATTTGTGTCTACTGATAGCAGATTGTAGTAAATTAATATTTTCAGGATCCTGTGTGTTTCATCAGTCAGTATAACAGTAGCAAGCGAATCAGTTAGATTTGCTTCAAAATTTCTTCAGCAAGGTTGAATTTTTCACTCAACATAATATCGTTACAGTAAACAAATACTAAAATAATGACTAAATTGCAACTTCTTACATCTATTTGCCTGTTTAATGTATTAATATTAGCTAATGCAGTGATATTTCGGGAGTTCCATTATCTGGATGCGCTCAACATTTCTCACAGTTGTGTGAGTGTGAGAAGACATCAATATAGAGGATTAATGGAAAATAATAAGTAAAATCAATATTCGAATATAGGTGATCCGGAACCTTCATCAGATTATATCACTCGGATTTATTCGATGCGATTTTGTCCATATTGTGACAGAGCTATCATCGCTGCATACAAAAAAGGCATCCAGTTAGTCTCTTGAAATTTAAAAATATGAAATGAATTTATTAATATTATTTGCAAACTAAAATTCACAACCCATTATTAAAATTTGTTTCAGATTTGAAGTTCTGAATATTAATCTTCAAAATAAACCCGACTGGTTCCTTTCAAAGCATCCTGAAGGGACTGTACCGCTTCTAGAACATGATGGCAAGGTTCCTTATGTAATTGAATATTTATATTTATTAAAAATAATACTAAAAACCTACTCACTTCATTTCTAGATTATTCCACCTTTTGACTAACAAATAATGTTATTAATGTATTTGTAGAGTATAATTCATTATTTTTTTTAGCCATATTCTTGGAAGCTATGCGAAAAGCATATTGTGATCAGAGTTAAATGGGACTTATCGGCTACTTTTTATAAAAGTTATAACTATGAAATTGCAGCTAGTACCCGACTCCCGAGTGATTATAGAATATTTGGATGATGCATTTCCGGAAACAAGCATTTTGCCTAGAGAACCATATCTTCGAGCAAAGCAACGATATGATGCAAATAAACTAGACTCGGTACATTAACTAATTTTTACAACCACGCACCCACGATACTCTTTATGATAGATAATATTTATTACAGGTTTGCAGTACAATACAAAAAGTGTCATATTTGACACAGCTATCTGGCAATATCACAACTCTTGCAACGGAACTTGCCGTGGCTGAGAAATTGCTAGAAACTTCTTTCTATTCAGGTTCCGTTCTTCCCTGGTTCCTTACTTTTTTCATCCATTTACTTTTGTCCTTTTCTTATGAGCCTTCTTAAATATTTTGGTTTAAAATTTCACTTCATCTCTCCTTCGTTCACTTATTTATGATTTAAATTGACTTTTAATGTAGGCACAACACCTGGCTTACCAGACATTGTCTTGTATCCGTTCATTCACCGATTGCATGTCATCCGACAATTCGTTAGAGACAGTTTCCTTGATGATTATTTCCCGAATCACTTTCCAAAACTTGTAAAATGGTTCATTAGGATGCGAACTATGCCAGAGGTAACCGTTAATTAAAACTATAGGATGAACTAACAATTTAAAAGAACTGAAAATTTTGGAGTAATAGGATGCACAGGATAATAAAGTATCTTGCAAGCTTTAGCTTGTTAACATCACAATTTTTTTGAACATTTCAAAAATGGAATTTGGTAAAGACGCAATTATTATCTTTCATTGCAGACCCAAGTAGTTCGAGAACCAGAACACCACTTGAAGGCATTCCTGATCAGCAAAGCAAAACAAAATGCTACTGATTTCGATATCCATCTCTCTGGTTCTAACATACCAATTAATCGGAAATTTCTCAACGATTCAACCGTTCAATGGCACAACAATTAAATCTAAACATTAAATGCAGAAAACCAAAACAAAGAGTAACTAATGTAAAGAGTATCATTGCGGACGGAGAAGCTAATTATTTCTATCTCCATCTTCTCTTTTTCATTTTTTTAATATGCGAAATATTTGGTGCATCCATTGAACACTTATTTATATCAGGAACTGAAATCATAAATAATAAAGGTATGACAACAAGATTGCCATCAAAACCTTTAATGTATGATCAGTAGCTAAAATCGAATTCCATATTTGTATATATTTTGCCTTTGTCCACAAAGAAGCGTACTTGATACGAGATTTTAATCAGCGCTGGAGTTGGTGAAGTGCCAAACTTGGAAGCAAAACAAGTATTGGAAAAAATATTCTACTCCTTACTTTCTCAGGAATGAAGATTAAAACAAATAGCTAAAGAAGTACCATGATCGTATAATCCAAAAGATTGAAAACTTTCATTGTAAATACAAGCAAGTAATGAATATATTAAAATCGATTATGAAGGAAGGGAAGAATACAAAAAGTGCACTCAACCTCCCCATTCCTGTAAAAGATGTTTTTCAATTTAGCAGCAAATAAAATCATTTTACAAAACAACTTTTTTCTTTCTTGAAGAGATGGTCATCATTATCACTATCATCGTTATCCTAACTGTTCGAATGAGATGAATATTTACTCTTCGAATTCCTCAGAATTTCTCTTATTTTTGAATTATAGCCAGTCTCATCATCGACTATTTTTTGATCTGAAAATAAATGACATTTACTATTCATGAACTTGGAAAACGTACTTAATAAACGTTACTCAAGACTAGATCTTTTATCAAGAAATTCAGTAGCCTACCTTCCAAACTCATCCTATCCAAAAATTTTCGTTTTCAATCGCTTTAAAAACGTCTCATTGTTATACCTCTCTTCTTCTCCGTTTTGACTTCTCTTTCCTTCATCATTATCATCCACTATTGTCGCCCCATTTTCACCTTTTTTTCTTTCATTGTCTAAAAGAAGAGAAGTCAAAACGGAGAGGTAATTTTTCATTACTTAAAAAATACGGCTTCGCCATCCATAATCAATTAAGCAGGGAAGGAATAATCATTTGGTGGCTTGTCACAGCAGATTTAAAAAATCGAATAATTAAACACAGTTATAAGAAATTAAATGACACAGAGTTACCTCATTAAAAAAAATGGTAGGGAGAGCTTACCTTCAATAGTACTGCTTACTCCTTGTATCGTACCTGGAGTGTCAGTTTCCAGCTCAGCCCAAGCTTGTATCAGTGCTTTTTGTTTGTCTGTTAAAAGCCTGAAAAAAAAATTTTATTAAGTGAAATCTCAATAAATAATCCATCGATTTCTTATAAATCACTGCGAAGCTCACCTGCAAAAGCTCAATACAAATCTCGTCAGATATTTAAGCAACTCACTACCAACTGTTTTCAATCATTTCATTTATAACTACCTTAAAAATAAACAGTGATTTCAAGATATTGCTAATGTTTTGTAAAACTAAAAATCACTTACTTTGGTACTTTCACCTTGATATTTATATACTGGTCTCCATATCCTGCATAATTCAACTTTTTTATTCCTTTACCCGTTAAACGCATTTTTGTATGTGATGCAGTTCCCGATGGTATTTGTATATATGTGTCTTCCTTTATCCCAGGTACCTATACAATTTAACCATGATAAAATACAGTACGTATATATATACCAAAAGTAGTTAAACAAAACTCGGTGGCAATCGAAAATGGCTGAATCTGAATATCTCAATCCAGCCCCAGTACGAATGCAGGATTCAACAAGTAAAAGCACACTAAGGAAAGCGTCGAAATTAAACTTGTTCTCTAAAATTAACTCATGGTCTTGGAATAAAATGGGATTCTCCTTTTCTTTTTTCATGTACCCAATTCTAACCATTCACAATATTATTTTGTTATTGAACCACAGCAGTTGGCATGTTTTTCTATTTCCTCAAGATCATGAAAAATATAATCACTCACTCTCAACTTGTTCCAAAACTAGGGCCTACTACATAATTCATGAAATCAACCAAATGCAATGGGAATTTTTTGCCACTCTTTGAATCATGTCATACTACATTACTTATTTTTTATGTTTCACAACTCCGTTTCTCTTTTTTCTTTCTCTTAACTTCTCTCAAATAATAGCCTTCAGTATATTTTGCAAAAAGGAAAAAATGAAGTACTTTGACGGTGCCTCCAAGAATCGCTTGTGCAACAGATATTTCAACATCACAATGAATGTCATACTTATCACGACGGAAACGTGATGACGGAGCCACTTTGAACGTAATAAAAACAGTTGACTGAAAAAAAAAAAATCATGAATATAAGTAATGACATAATGCACGAGTTTATTCATAAGATGTTTTTCGACAAAAATCTTCAAAACGGACCTTCCCTACAGGCATCCGAACAGTTTCACCATCATTTATTCCAGCTGGTACATTAACAGTTACAGCACGCCGTTGAACTGTTCGACCATGTCCTTCGCATTGTAAACATGGATTTTTATTGTAAGAACCCGTCCCCCGACAACGCCCACAAGTGGACTGCATATAAAATCCACCCATCTGTTGCGTGACGTAACCTGTCCCATTACAATATGGACAAGAAACCTGTAAATAAGGGACGTGTATTTTGCACTAAGTGATCAGTCCGTAGTTCTAAAAAAATTACAACTACCGTTTACATGAATGTTTACTAGAATGAACCACATTGATTTCCCACCTCAAATCACACCAATTTCGTCAAGGAATGGTCGTCAATACCAAAAGTAAACTTAACTTGAAAAAAAGAATATAAATGGTAACAAATAAGGCAAAACCTTTTTATAACCCGGTTGAACTCCTTTTCCAAAACATGCTGGACAATCGTCCACAGCATTTATATTCAAAGATTTCTGAGCTCCGCGAGCTGCATCTTCGAATGATATGTTCAAAACATGCTGCTCTGATGATTCAAAGCCATCTGCCGAATCAGCAAAATCGCTGAAACTACTTGTGAAATTGGAAAATGGACTTCGCCCCCCTGAAAATGCAATCACATAGCCTCAATTAATTATTAGTAACCAACAACAATTAATAGGAAAGAAGATTACGCAATCAAGCTTCTAGATTCCACCAAAATCAGAATGACTTAATGTCTGATTGAGATATCCTGCATAAATGGCGCCCATACTTTACAAATCCTTACCGAACATTTTCTTAAATAATTCTTCTGGATCGATTGTTGATTGGTATTGCCAGCCACCTGCATCGTAACTTGCTGCCCCAGCAGTCTGACGCTGTTGGAATGGATCTGCGCCAAACTGATCGTACTGAGCACGTTTCTGATCATCACTAAGCACCTCAAAAGACTTCAGATCCAAACTGGACCGAAATAAAATCTATTCAACAATCTCAAATATAACTTTTGACTTCCTTAGCCTAGACACGATTTGTAACTACTGGAGCATGCAAAATGATTCTTTACACTAACCTCATAAGCTTCAGACACCTCTTGAAATCGAGCATTAGCATCTTTGCTTTTATTTACATCCGGATGGTACTGTTTGGCTAGCTGAAAAAATGCAACAATTCCCTTTCTCAAAAACACTTCTATTTGATAACATACTGCAGTACTGCCAAGAATACACAAATCTGAAACATTAGTAAACATCGTAAACCTTGTAGTATGCTTTTTTGATATCCTTTGTCGAGGCTCCCTTCTTCAAGCCCAAAATCTCATAATAGTCCCTTTTGTACCTAATACTACTCGTGTGAATTCCAACTGTTTGCTTCCTCAAAATATTCCATTGCCCATCTGAAAATCAATAATTAAACAAATATTCTAATCTATATCCAAATTAGTAGTATGTATGTTAAAATTTATAAATCATTCACTTGTGACCATCGCTGCACAATGAACAGGTGCATGATGATGGATTAAGCAATGAGTGACTAGTCGGCACAGACTTCGACCTGCAGGAAGCATCGAGCTGTCAGGTCCTGCACACCTATGATACCTGCAAATGTAATGAAGAATTGAAAACAGAATCCGGATTTGCACATACTATAGTATTTCACTGCCAACATTTCCAGACTTTCTATAAGATGACAATTTGCACAATGCGGGTTTGTCATCTCAATCACAAAAGATTTGGAGATAAGAGTACACAATCTTTTAGATCTTTATATTAGTCGTTATTCTTCATCAATTTCAACCTCTAGATTCATCACTTCGTTACCCAGACCCATGTAACTACTAGCGCAAGTGGAGTAACGAAAAGAAGAAGAGTTCCCTAAGCACTCGGCCGAAATGTTTCTATTAGCTTAAGCGCCGGAAAGTACCGAGATCTAAAAGCCACTGCGGGACCTTATTTGTCTCCTGCAGTTGAACTGCACACCTTACAACTTCCTTCTCGTTTTAAAGACATCAAAATAGTAAGGGAGGAAGAGAAGAGAGTTCCCAGTCCCTTCTAACACCTTTTCTCGCAATTTCTAACTCTTCCGTCTCACCAAATAGAACTCTTTCATCTGCTATCACGATTGCTAGCCAAAACTGTTAGCAACCTGTTTTCTTCATTACAACTTCAGTACTATCTCTTCAAATCTCTCTCTCCCTCTCTTCCTCCCTAAGTTAATTTGCTATTATTGTTACAAGAAATACAGGACAATAGTTCCGGTATGGTTCAGAGAATTCTGAAAAGACAACGGACAATATTATAACGTGCCAAGATTATTCTTTAAGTGAATCTTTCGGATTTGAAATATGATACGAACACGATTTATTTGCTCTCCCATAATGGATACTTTTTTAAATAGTCGAATACAAATATTATTTTAGGAAGGTGATAGATTGAATCTTGCAACTGGCGTGACTTGAAATTGCGTACGGCAATATTATGCTCAGATTTCCTGTATTTTGTAAAATAATGATATTTGCTGCCAAACTTTTACAGGAATGGGGAGGTTGAGTGCACTTTTTGTATTCTTCCCTTCCTTCATAATCGATTTTAATATATTCATTACTTGCTTGTATTTACAATGAAAGTTTTCAATCTTTTGGATTATACGATCATGGTACTTCTTTAGCTATTTGTTTTAATCTTCATTCCTGAGAAAGTAAGGAGTAGAATATTTTTTCCAATACTTGTTTTGCTTCCAAGTTTGGCACTTCACCAACTCCAGCGCTGATTAAAATCTCGTATCAAGTACGCTTCTTTGTGGACAAAGGCAAAATATATACAAATATGGAATTCGATTTTAGCTACTGATCATACATTAAAGGTTTTGATGGCAATCTTGTTGTCATACCTTTATTATTTATGATTTCAGTTCCTGATATAAATAAGTGTTCAATGGATGCACCAAATATTTCGCATATTAAAAAAATGAAAAAGAGAAGATGGAGATAGAAATAATTAGCTTCTCCGTCCGCAATGATACTCTTTACATTAGTTACTCTTTGTTTTGGTTTTCTGCATTTAATGTTTAGATTTAATTGTTGTGCCATTGAACGGTTGAATCGTTGAGAAATTTCCGATTAATTGGTATGTTAGAACCAGAGAGATGGATATCGAAATCAGTAGCATTTTGTTTTGCTTTGCTGATCAGGAATGCCTTCAAGTGGTGTTCTGGTTCTCGAACTACTTGGGTCTGCAATGAAAGATAATAATTGCGTCTTTACCAAATTCCATTTTTGAAATGTTCAAAAAAATTGTGATGTTAACAAGCTAAAGCTTGCAAGATACTTTATTATCCTGTGCATCCTATTACTCCAAAATTTTCAGTTCTTTTAAATTGTTAGTTCATCCTATAGTTTTAATTAACGGTTACCTCTGGCATAGTTCGCATCCTAATGAACCATTTTACAAGTTTTGGAAAGTGATTCGGGAAATAATCATCAAGGAAACTGTCTCTAACGAATTGTCGGATGACATGCAATCGGTGAATGAACGGATACAAGACAATGTCTGGTAAGCCAGGTGTTGTGCCTACATTAAAAGTCAATTTAAATCATAAATAAGTGAACGAAGGAGAGATGAAGTGAAATTTTAAACCAAAATATTTAAGAAGGCTCATAAGAAAAGGACAAAAGTAAATGGATGAAAAAAGTAAGGAACCAGGGAAGAACGGAACCTGAATAGAAAGAAGTTTCTAGCAATTTCTCAGCCACGGCAAGTTCCGTTGCAAGAGTTGTGATATTGCCAGATAGCTGTGTCAAATATGACACTTTTTGTATTGTACTGCAAACCTGTAATAAATATTATCTATCATAAAGAGTATCGTGGGTGCGTGGTTGTAAAAATTAGTTAATGTACCGAGTCTAGTTTATTTGCATCATATCGTTGCTTTGCTCGAAGATATGGTTCTCTAGGCAAAATGCTTGTTTCCGGAAATGCATCATCCAAATATTCTATAATCACTCGGGAGTCGGGTACTAGCTGCAATTTCATAGTTATAACTTTTATAAAAAGTAGCCGATAAGTCCCATTTAACTCTGATCACAATATGCTTTTCGCATAGCTTCCAAGAATATGGCTAAAAAAAATAATGAATTATACTCTACAAATACATTAATAACATTATTTGTTAGTCAAAAGGTGGAATAATCTAGAAATGAAGTGAGTAGGTTTTTAGTATTATTTTTAATAAATATAAATATTCAATTACATAAGGAACCTTGCCATCATGTTCTAGAAGCGGTACAGTCCCTTCAGGATGCTTTGAAAGGAACCAGTCGGGTTTATTTTGAAGATTAATATTCAGAACTTCAAATCTGAAACAAATTTTAATAATGGGTTGTGAATTTTAGTTTGCAAATAATATTAATAAATTCATTTCATATTTTTAAATTTCAAGAGACTAACTGGATGCCTTTTTTGTATGCAGCGATGATAGCTCTGTCACAATATGGACAAAATCGCATCGAATAAATCCGAGTGATATAATCTGATGAAGGTTCCGGATCACCTATATTCGAATATTGATTTTACTTATTATTTTCCATTAATCCTCTATATTGATGTCTTCTCACACTCACACAACTGTGAGAAATGTTGAGCGCATCCAGATAATGGAACTCCCGAAATATCACTGCATTAGCTAATATTAATACATTAAACAGGCAAATAGATGTAAGAAGTTGCAATTTAGTCATTATTTTAGTATTTGTTTACTGTAACGATATTATGTTGAGTGAAAAATTCAACCTTGCTGAAGAAATTTTGAAGCAAATCTAACTGATTCGCTTGCTACTGTTATACTGACTGATGAAACACACAGGATCCTGAAAATATTAATTTACTACAATCTGCTATCAGTAGACACAAATTGTTAAGAAAAAGATTCCAAAAAGCTTCTCTAGTATTCCTTTCCACATTTGGATATGTAGTGGCTCTGAGCAGAAGCTAATTAATTATCAGTATTAATGGTAATCTCACGAACATTATAGAATGCCAATTAATTTGATAGAAATGTATAAAAACTGCTATCTTCCTCTTAATTCTTAGCTTTTTTCTATCTTTTAACTCATCAATAATATCTTCTACATGCATAGCTATCGATGATTCTAGAAATTGAAATTTTTTTTTCGTTGAAATATTTATTATTTATTTGAATCCAATTCAATTTTTACAATGTACATATATTTCACTTGCCATATCAATAATGATTTAAACATTGTTGTATGATAATGTTTGCTAGACAATATAATGCAAACAATCGTGTAGTAGCAATTCGACTACAACAACAAGTAAATAAAAGAACGGCAGTTACGTATAACGATGCTATCAACGATGTTAGCAAGAACCAAAGCTGTGTTGCTGCAAATAAATAATGGAATGTTTCTAGCAATATAGGGTTATGAACATAAAAGGCACCTGCAGCTTGGCCATTTTTGAAGTAGAAAAGATTAACGAATTATAAGAAAAAAAAGCATTGGAGTAGATTATTTGAAATGAGATTTTACTCAAGCAAGATAACACTAATAACTAAGCTGAAACAGGTTTGATTTAACTGATTTGCATCACTGATTAGAAGTAATAACGTCATTTTGGCTTGAAAAAAAAAAATTTTTTTTTCATCCAACGAAAATCATTTGTTAAACAACGCTAAAGTTGATTTATCTCAATAAATTTCCTTCATTTACAGTCTTCTTCAGGGACAAGAGAAATAAAAAAAGCGATCCTTATGTGGACAATTAATATCGCATTATCAACTGTTACTGTCTTTAATAACCTTTAAAACCGAAGTTAGGATTATTGTTTGATATCGATATTGTAAACGATCGAAACAACATAAAAACAATTGGATATAAAAATCTAATTACGTGCAAAAAAAAACGAAAGAGAAAACTGGTCTTGAGCATTTTATGTTACTTTCTTTTGATAAGGGTAAAAATTGGTGTTGATGTGCTGCTCATTGTTTAAACTCAATCTAGGATATTATGTAGGATTTTTTATTTCATTATGTTTATTATAATTATAAAAAGCATTGAAATTTTTGATAAATTTTGAGAAAGAGGATGTGTATAAAGATATGATAGTGGGATATGGAATGCTCAAAAGATGATGCACAGCGGATATACATACCTAAATACGATTTAGTTCACGGAAACAGAGAGAACCTGTTTGGATGGTTTAGAAGGAATGTTGAAAGTGGATGTGCCTCTTCCTACTTCCTGAATCCATTATCAATTGCTTTGCAATTTCCAAAATAATAACTTTTTTTGTAATTATTAGAACAGTTTAAAAATTATTGTAAAATTTTAAATAACTTTTCTATTTACATTAATTATATCATTAAGTTAGCAACCAGAACGAAGTATCACTTCTTCAACTCAAATATAAAATAACAAGAATTGAATTTATCATTAAATTGCACCTCTGTTTCGGTTCGTATTTTGAGTTTCATCCTCAGATAATGATATATGCATTGATTTTGTTGTCGCAGATATTATCGTTGTGGTTGAACCAGAATGTAACACTGAAGCTATCATTAAATAAGTTTAAGCGGCCTGTCATGTAATTTAATTAAATATAAGCTGAATGAAAGATAGAAAACACTATCGAAATGTCTCCTAAAATTGAATTGAAGTAATCTTTGCGTTTCTGATTAATCCAATTTGATTGTTGCAACTATTTAACTTTTCTTCAAAACACTTGTGTTAGAGTCATTCTTCCAGTCAGTTTCCCAAAACAATCCATCGTTTCTTACGCAACTCGTTCAATGAGTATTATTGAGTGAAAAGAAACGAAATTCATACGTTGCGTTGTGTTGTCTCAGCCTTCTAATCAGTGCTTCTAAATGAATTTATCAAACTCAGATGATGATTATCTCTTCTCGATAAGCGCTTTTAAAATATAAATTCAATCAGCGTCACCTTTTACAATATTGGGCAATAACAGGAGCGCTAGAAACAACCGCTCAAATCTATTCATTGCAGTTACGATTTCTCCTATTGTCATTTTAATATTTAATATGTAGAAGCAATGATAAATTACTAGAATATTTGATTGAAAATTGTTGATTACAATTTTGAAGAAGCTGAAACGGAGAAACAAGAATAGAATATAAAAATAGCAGAAAAGTAGCACAGATGAGACCAAAGCCAAAATAAATTAAAAATAGCTCTTTGGAAGAAATTGAATTGTCTGTGTGATAAGTAAAATTGAGAAGAGAAATTTGAAGAAAATTGAAAATCCGCCATCTGCAGTGGTTAGTTTGTATTAAGAAGCATTATGCTGCATATTGCTCTCATTATTCTACTCTACTCTCTAACTTAGTCTTCCTATTTTATTCTCTCAAAACCTGCGAAAATGCTATCAACTTCTCAAATATAAGATTTTTTTTTTTTTCTCATATTTGTTTTTTATTAATTTATGAAACTATGCATTCGGCACATTAAACGTTAACGATTAATTATTTCAAAATATGGCAAGTCCGTAACTAAAAATTTTCCTCTCAGCATTTAATAAGCACCATGATTGCTTTGCAGACTAGATAATTGCAAGTGCTGTAGTTTCAACATTCTTAGCCCTCTTCGACACATCCTACCACTCTATGTGGATCCCTTATAAGTGATGACAAAGATCTAGAAGCCTTTTAGATATGCTTGCATCGTTGAGACGAACTTTTGGTAATGTGTCAGTGTAATTGACATTCCATTGGTTACAACATGGTTGATTGATTAGCATAAACTAGGAGGGATAAAGCTAAAGAGATGAAATCAGGCAAACCAGTGATGATATTTGTAAAATGAATTCCTTGTTCGTCGATGACACGCAGACTAATACAATAAGTTGTCTGTGTGAATAATCAATAAGTAAGTAAGTTTGCAGGGACAGATGGAAGTGAAAAAGAAATCCGTCACAACAACATTACTGCTACAGGAATTACCAAATCTACATGATGATGATGATGATGACAGTAGCGAAAAAAGCGATCAATGGGAAATTAATCATTTAGTTGGCATCAATAAGGTTTGTAAGGATTCTCTTGATAAGCAAAGGTTTATTTACATGGATTTATTTGTTTGATTTGTTTGTTTCATCAGATTATCATCCCTTTTGTGTAGATCGAAACGAAATGATTTCTTATCTGTGGACAGGCAATTAGAAGCAAAGTGATTCTGAATTTGTTGTCAAGAAACATTCAGAAAACACATGAAATTCCCCAAACTTATCCCCGAAGATCATTGCATTTTTCTCAAATAATGTATCAGTTTGTTAGCCGTCTTCTTTCTTCTTTTTTTTTCTTCTTCTTCTGATTCTGATTTTCTAATTGACGAAGTTTTTGTTGGTAAAACATTCCATTAATAGATTTGACATATGAAAAAGAGTTGGAACCCTTCTGGCATTATTGAGTATTTTTAATTGATTATGGCATATTTCATATTTGTTTGTTTTATCTGGCCTGTTTTAATTCACCTTTCCGGATAGATTTCTATAAAAGCGAAAAAAGTTTTTGAAATAAATGTGTTTTCGAATATTGCCGGAAATTTTGGTTCATCTCGGTAATTTCATTTGCAATACGGTTTTCCTCAAGTGATGGCTGATGTTTGTATAAACTTATTCATTATTCATTGCTATTTTCGTAAAGCTCAAGTGAAAGCTTTCCAGCTGGACTATATTAATAGATATATCCTCCTTTTTCTTCTCTTCATTGCCTATTAATTTAACTTTAGTTTTTTCATCTTATAATATTCCTGCGCTTCAACTTTCTTCTAATTTATTTTTCCTTTATTTTTCCAAAAATACCTTTTGACAAATGAGATTATTAGATATCTATGTCTGATAAATCAGCTAAAAGATTTCATTAAAAGTCTTATCTTCCATAAACTTCCATGATCGTAAATTGTATAGCATTGGTCATACTGTCGTCACCCTCAATGTTAAAACTTAACCTTCTTGTGAACTATTCAAGACGTTTTGTGCGATTATTTTCATAAATTACTTCATCCTGATCAATAATAGGGACGAATTAAAATTGTGGAGAATGTAATGCGAGGCGCACTTGTTAATCATTGATGAGATAGATTCATAGCGCTGCTGAAAAAGCCGCCCTGGCCCTGTGAGTGAAAAGGGAGTAGTATTCGGCTGGTGACTTCAGGAATGCATGCGAGATAGGCCTCAATCAATGGTTTCACTGTTCCTTTCACATAACAAGATACCTACTACCATTTCTAGTAAATAGATCATCCCTTGATGCTCCACAACATACACTCACTCTCTTCCTTTTTTACTCTCCTAACAACGATTCTTATTCTTCTTCCCTTTACTTGCACTATGCTGAGATAATTATCAAAATTTGCCACTTGATACTTCTCAAAACTTCAAACACCATCACATCATATTATGGCAGCAGCATTGTGTCATATAAGGATATTTCCTAAGGCTTTTATTAGTCTGTTTTGCTCTTCCAAATGTAAAATAGTTGATATTTTATAATAAAATGCTTGCAGTCATAGATGAAAATAAATATTGAAGAGAAATATTTTCAAAATTGAACCAATGGAGCAGTCTAGAAAGAAAATCGAATCTTGTCTTCTTTACTGATATTCACTACTGATATCGCATTCTTTTCCCACATAGAAAAAGCTTTATCTGTAGATTGTTTTCATATTTTTATCTCTTATTACAAGCGGTCTTTGAAAAGTAATTTTTTTCTTGCATAAATTAATTAACCTATGCTCGCTAGGAATACTTGCGATGCAATATTTTGCTACTTTTGGACCTTAGATGTGTGAAAATGCAATCAAATGTGGTTGTAAAAGAGTCTACCAAATGGTTCATCGTCTGGAGTACAGGTACTGGCAACAAATACTCCAGAGTAAACCTTCTATTAAGAGTAAACCTTCTATTAAGCTTAGTAACATCAAAAACATGTGTCACTATAAATAACAAGCTATGTTGGACACTTTATCAGTTCATTCTTATTTCCGAACTTTGCGAAATATTCAGAAAGCTAATATCACTGTAAGAGATTGGATTAAATTCAAATTCAGATGGTTGGTTGGAAAAAATATGCGCGAATAATTTTGCCTCACATCGGTCTCATTATTTTGTCATTGTTGTATGCCATTGGTGGTGCACTTGCATTCTATCATTTGGAACGACCTAATGAAATTGCTGTGAGACGTGAAAGCTTGAAAGATATTTCTGCTCAAAGAAAATTGATGCTTGACGAATTATGGATTATGCTGAATGATGAATCAATCTCAGATGGTATATGCAGTATTTATAATCAATCAGTCTGTCATTTAAATCTGAAATATAGGAATGCAAGAAATTTGGATTCATAGAAATGATAAGGCCAACTAAAGTACTTGAGTAAAGTTAATATCTCTCACTCGTATCCATTGGTCAATTATTTATATTCAATATTAACTTGGTATTATTCAATAATTATACAATATATGAGTGTTATCTATTTTCCAACTGTATTATAACTGATTAATTCTTTACAGAGGAAATTGAGCGTATAGCTATCCATCACGTGGACAATGTGACACGAGTTTTGTTTGAAGCTTTTGACACGCATTACATCACTGCCTCGCATCTACGAAGTAGCACTGCGACAACTTTAACTGATGATTTTGTGGAAGAAGAGGAATATAACTGGACCTTCACAACAGCTCTCTTCTTCACAGCTACTCTTTTGACAACAATTGGTAAGATTTCATAGATATTGGTTTTCTAAACTTGAATTAATTAATTTAGCTAAGCTCATTAAATGTCGCATTTACTTCAGGATACGGCAATTTGGTACCGGTAACATTCCAAGGACGCATGTTTTGCATTGTTTATGCTCTATTCGGTGTACCGCTTATACTCATCACTGTTGCTGATATCGGCAAATTCCTCAGTGAAAATATTATATGGCTGTATGCAAAGTATGTACGCACGCTGAAATGACCTAAAGGGCGGGGTGGATCTCTTCAATTCCGAAGGAGTGGACAGTGACTTGTAGAGAGGTAAATCCCGAAGATGGCTCCCTCCTTTATATCCTAATATATAGTGTAGGTATGAATATATGCAGATATGCAGAAGCGAAAAAAAGATGCAAAGAGAAGAAAACTGTATGTATCACATCAGTGGTCGGTGAAATAAGTGGTACTGTGAAGGATCAGCTACTACAGGTGGGTTTTACCGTTTAGTAAAAAACATAATTGAATCGGGTTTCATTTTGCAACAGTTGTAGTTCGGACTGGAACAATATGTCTCGATACCGATCTTGCTAATTGTTGGAACGCTACTTGGTTACATAACAATTGGTGCTGTCTTGCTTGCTTTGTGGGAACATTGGGATTTCTTTTCTGGTTTCTACTTTTCATTTATTACTATGACTACGGTTAGTTTATTACTTTGATTGCTGAATTGCTACTTAATTTTGTACCTTCCTATATTGCATCAAACTTTTTAATTTTTTTTTCAAGCGGAAGAATTAAAAGATAAAAACAGTAAGGTGACATGTTTTTGAAATTTTAAGAAATACTTTGATTTCGGAAAATCGGTCATTTCAATTATGAGAATTCCATTCAATTCCGACATTTCTTAATCATATAAATTCTGCGTCGTTTCTCCTCTACTCCTATTCAGTCATTTGTTTAAGTCTTGTTAAGTCAAATTTGCTTTCAGGTTGGGTTTGGCGATATCGTACCAGTTAAGCAAGAATACTTTTTATTCGATCTTTTCTACATTGTTGTTGGGCTAGCCATAACGTTTGTTTGTCTAGTTATTTTCATTTCCATTTCTAACGAATATTTGATAGCTCTTTGATTCAAAATGAACTTCTATAGGACGATGTGCGTTGATCTGGTTGGAATTCAGTATATTCGCAAGATTCATTATTTTGGACGAGCCATTAAAGATGCTCGTTATGCTCTAGTGAATGTTGGTGGAAGAATGGTACATGTTCCGGATTTAATGCGATATGCATCTGTTTTACATCAGGTATATATTTCTGAATCGAAGGAAGCATTATTCTCAGTCATTCGTATTAGATAGTCAGGCTTTTGTACAGTGCTAATGCTTCCTGAATCTTGGTGGGCATCACTGTATTTGATGTGATGCGATGACATACTAAATTAGTCAAGCACAGCTCTCAAATGAATTGACTTGACCTATCTAATTCTTCTCTCCTCACACTCGACAAAACCGATATTTAATGCAAAGCAGGATATTTGAGTGATAGTAATAGTTGCTGTTAAGTTGTTTTATGTCGTATGGACTGATTTTTCTTATTTTCAGAAATATGGTCAGAAAAGACAGGGACACCAGATACGGCTAAAAGGGGCTTATACTCCAGAAGATTTACCTCTCATTCGATACATCGACTATGGTTCATTAGCTAGTGAAGACAGTCGAATGCACTTTTTCACTAACATATTTAATAAACCTAATGAACTTAGTACGGTTTGATAGAGAATAGATAGGCTGCTATCCATCCACATCAAAATTCCAATTTTATTTCTGGAAATATCAGAGAAAAAATTCAAAACTTTGCTAAACTGTAGAGAACGAATGTTACATTTTACTTGTCGAGTTAAAAAAAGAAGAAATATATTCTTACTAGACAATCGTCAGAATGCTAGATGAACACTCGATTGAATAAGCATGTTTCCTCAAAGATTCAAACACGATACCAAAGTGTTGTGCATCTGTTAAGTCTATCAAGTGCAATCGGTTCTGGCCATGATTTATGGATTTATCTGGCCAAGATAATAGACTAGGTTGGTACAAAGGTAATCACAGTTTTCGTTCCACTAAATTTGTTGTTCCTAATTGTAATATATTTAATAAATTTGGCTATATCGTTGTTCTAATGCAATTCTTGTTTCATAGTCTTTGCTAATCGCTCGTATGTGATTTGAATTAGGAGAATGATACTATATAAAAGGAATAGAAGAGTTCAAAATGAACCATAAAGCAGTGGAAGCAAAGTAATTAGTGATATTATCAGCTCATTTGATCTGCCAAACATTGTATAATGTAGTGTTTCATGAAGTGTTTGGAAGAAACACTCAAAAAAAGAGATAAACAAGCAGTGGAACTCCAGGAGTAATTGAGAGCAATTAGCAAAAGTGATTGTTTTGCTAATTGCAGGTGCATCTTAAAAGCTTAACATCAGACATCTCACAATAGTTTGACTTTTAAAAGAAATTAGAAAGATCAAAAAGCTAAAGTCAATATCTGATTATTAAATGGAACTTTCCGTTACCGAACATAATAAAGATGGAGTTATGATATAAAGTGCAATGGATTTATATCGCCATTTATACTGACTTATGCGATTTATACCGCGAAAGCCATGACGGCTGATTCTAGTAGTGCTTGAACGCTTTGATGACACTACAACTTTCTGAATCTTTGTGAAGTATTGTCAAAAAATTGATGGGATATATGAGAAATAACAATATCTTCAGCCACAGATAGGATCCAGTTCTAACAACTAGCGTTATAGAAATCAAACAAATTGGCCTAGGCTATCAGTTATATCATGCCAATAGAAAACTACCATTTATTGAATCATCTCGACAAAGTTTTGCTAGGAAAATTTCTTCGCCTTCAGCGGTGACTTTCTACGCCATAGAGAAAATTATTTTTTTGATAACAATTTCTTGGTTACTATATTATCAGTTGTTGTTTGATTAATGATATATTTGGACCTGCTTATAATTTAAAACTTATAATGCTGCAATCATTTGTTATAGGAATTTTAACTTAACAGAAGCAAAGTATTACTATTTTGTCAGTCGTAATTGTGGAGAATATTTATTACTTATGTTTTCTAAGAGAACTTAATAAATATGAATAATAATTTGCAACATTACTTTTTCGTTCATTTCTCTAAATTGAGTGCTTTTCAAAGGACTCGTTCGGTTCATCTTTTCCTGCATTTCTCCAACAGATTATTTTTTCAATAATTTAATTTGGTGAAATTTACAAAGCATCACGACTATTCCGCTAGTTTATTGGTTCACAATCACAAATTTCAATCTAACTCAATTACACATTCAAACTGTACACATTTCACTGTAAAGCGAAGTTAACTCTTGATATCACGTGAAAGATAATTGCAATTTAATTAACTTCCAGGGAACGAATAAATTTCTTACTTAAAAGATGACTATGGAATGTCTATTATTTTAAAATCTTCATTCCAATACACAACAAGTCCTTCATCTACTTCGTGAGTTTTTTTATGCAATCGCAAAAACAGAGATGAAGTTAGACGAGCTGATATTACACCATAGTGAAAACAGCCGCTCCATCTGGATTCATCTCACTGTGTACAGCGAAATCAAGCAGCACCACTCGGCAAGACACTCCTGCTTTTTTTTCTCTTGCACTATTTTCTAATTTCCTAATTATATTTTCTCCCTTATCAGTAAATATCGCACTACTAACAAACTTGACAATACACTGATCATGCAAGTCCCTTGGTCAGTGTCAAATCAAACTTATCTTTTTCAATAAAAGTGGTAATTATAACTTCCTAATTTATTGTCCCTCAAAATCATAAATCAAGGCAATAAATAATTCTGATTACAGCATTTTTACATATGTAACACTATGTCTAAAATTTCTACCCAGTTACTTCTTTCTCCTGAATAAAATAACTTTCAGTCGTCAACACCGGTTGCTAAGCTTATTGCCATTTAAATAATTATCAGGGAACAATTCGACTTGTTTATCGTTTGAACTGCTACGTTTTGCTGAAAATGATGAAAACTGAAAAAATGAAATGCACTTCATACGGAATATCTAAAAAGGAATAAGAAATGATGTATAACAAAGCAAAAGATTCTCTAAGATAGGCTAACTGTAATCTAGGAAATATCATGTTCCAACAGACTTCAAAATATGCTTCCCTATTCAACTATTATATCATGATAATTGAGTGGGAAAGCACACCAATTAAATAAATTGATGGAAAAAAGACCAAATGGAGAATTGTTTTCAGAAGACGGAATTCAAAAGTACTTTGAGGTATGGTACCTCCAACATCAAAGAAAGTCAATGAACCAGGTCTCTTGGTTTTTCCTTCTCAACAATCCCCACTCTACTACATATTTTACTTTGCTGATAGTGACTCCTTATTAGAAGTAAAACTGGAAGTGAAACAGTAAAAGATAGGTTTTTTAAATCACGGAAACATTAAGCTTAAAAAAAAAACTAATCGTAAGTAATAGAAAAAATTTTTAAAAATGACAGTGTTAAAAATCTTTATCTAACTTAATGTCTCCGCTACTTAGATTTGCTTTCACACGGACAAAATATTACATTTTTTCAGTCATGACAGAGTAGGTCAACATAAACTTGTTTAAATTCCATAATATTTCAAGAATTTGTCATTGTACACTTCTCTCGACTACGATGATATTACAGACAAGGAAAAAAAAAAAAGGGAAATAGAGCTTGAAAGAGAAATAACACAACTAAAATTACGAATACGGGAGCGTGACCGAACAATATTTGATCTGGAAGAACAGATCCGAGGCAAAGATGCAATTATCGTTGACAGGTGTCAGCTGATCGAACGTCTTGAGCAGTTCCATTTTGAACGATCCTCACCTGATCAGGTAAGGACTATCTTAAATTCATTTCTAAAGACAAACTAAAATGTGATTTCTAAATTAATGAGTAATTCTAACTGCTTCCTCGACACTAATTTATCGATACAAGTGCTTTATTTTATGTCAGAAATTTAATGGCTAAAAATGTATAACATTGATGAATAATTGTAGGATTCTTTGGAGGAAAAATCAGAAAGTACCGTTAAGTATGTGAATGTGAATGAAAATGATGCTTTGAAAACGGAACAGGAAGCACAGTTACTGGAGGAATTAGAAGAAGAACGAAAATTCAAAGTGAAGCTTATGGAGCAAAATGCACTTTTATTACAGCAATGGGATGAAGCATTAGCGTACGTTGAGCAGGTATATGTCTGAAACAATTACAGTTAATTAGTGGTAGTGCCGAGTACAAAACTATTCTTTCAATCCTTGTATCATCAAATTTGAACTATCAAAAATCTTTTTGTAACAGTAATCCGTTACTGATCCTTATATACAACTTCCATCAGGTACAAAAGATGCTCCAAGCCGAGCTGAAGCGGACCAGCACACTTATTGACGAAAATGCGACCATGAGGAAGCGTATCAATGAAACATTAGTTATTTCTAAAAATGGTATACAATTCGTAGCACTCCTACTTGTACTATCCAGTCTTTATCTATATTCATGGAGTTAATTCAGTAACAAAAAAGTTACTCTTAATAGATATTTTCCCACTTTTCTCCGTTAAAAACAGGCAAAAGCGTCAGTGTCCTGGCCTTGTCACACCATTCCACATATTTCGATGAATGGATTTCACTGTTTACAGCAACTTCTGTCGGGAAGTTTGAGCTATAGCAGACGCTAATACTCTAAGCACTGAAATCAGAAATTACTCTTTTATATAATCTCTATTACTGCATATGCACTCGTTATTCAAATATAATAAAGTGACTTCCTCTACATTCTTATATATATACATATATATCCATTGCAAAATTTTGAACAGTTTTGTATTCTTAAGGTGGAAATGTAGCAGCAATTCTACCACTCAGTGAAAACGAACTTAACAATTGAGTAGTGCCATATCCTTTTGACTTTGGTGATAACGTTATCATGTAATGGAACTTGAATAATTATGCTGCTCATGCCTTTGTCAGACATGCTGCTCTTATCTAGTCAATATTCTTCTTCTGTTTACTTTGCACAATTGTGTTTATATTTGCGTCATTCTGCAAACATTCTTCAAAATACTCTCATTCTCTTCTATAAATCCCCTATGTACGTACTACAAAGGTCCTTCAATTCTTTTTTATACTTAATGAACCATGACCTGATCCACCAATTAAAACTACTGTCATTCATATAGCTCTGTCAAGAACAATGACGATGTCATCTGACAGTCTCAATCTTTGTAACTACTACAATGATGGTTGGAAATTAGCCGTTTCAAGTGAATAGAATATGTGACTGATAAAGCGTTTATAACATACCGCATAAGAATAATCTATATACACCGGTGAGGCCTTTGCGAATCAATGACGAGGGATGCTACGATAGATGCTATAGCAGTTTCCCACCTACCTAATAACTAATCTACCATTAAATTTCTGGCAAACAATCAGGATGGGAAACTTTTTGCATACAAAAATGTCAGGAATATCCCCAAGAAACCGTCTAACCGAAAGCAAACACCATCGACAAAAGTCTGAACCAAATTGTACTGCTGATGGCAGGAAAAAAATTGGATTAAAAAGTGTTAGAGCAATATATCATTATTTAATGACGTATAGATTATGACAATGTTGAAAACAAAAATCAACCCAAAATTTATTCTTGTTTTTATGAATATAGAATAATTTTCGAAGTATAGTCATAAAAAAAGTGTATGTTTCTAGAATTGATAAGTGAGCAATCTATTGCAGAGAACAACAAAGTAAGCTCACTCTAAAATAACTCTGATAAGCACTGAGTCACCCGAATATAAAATATAGATTGCATTCAAGTGACGTCATTAATAGTTTACAATAGTTTATGGGATAACTGGATCTACTGAACAGAAAGCATAATCTGAAGTTAAATAACAATATTGATTATATCGATTACTTTCAGTAAGCAAATTAATCGTTGATTTAATTTGAACAAAGTATTAAAAACTTTCTTCCCAAAACTTAAAAATCTCTAGTGAATAAAACTTCAGATTATTTCGAACTTCTCGGTGATCAAGTGACTCTCCGTTGAATACTGTATAATCTCGTCTACATCCATCTTTTGTACTGAATCTACCTAAATTAACAAAAAATAAGCAAAACAAGACTAATGCTTACTAATATCATCGCAAAATATGAAGTGTTATTCAAATTCTGATAACCTACAGCAATACCATGTACTCAAAGACTGCTTCCAATTTCCTTTAGACACCATAAAAAACATTTACAAACAAAATAAATCTTACCAACAAACACAACTTTGGCATCAGGATTAACGCTTAAGGAAAGAAGAAAAAATCAGAAACTCACAGCCATATCACAAAATAAATCTGTGCTTGTGAAGCGTACAGTTACTGGAAAGAAATGATCAGCCTGACCATTTGGAGTGCTAAATTCCAAAGAACCAGTTTTATTCGATTCATCAACAACAGGCAAGCTCCATACAAGTTGCGATCTTGATCTTACATATTCGTAAGTACCTTCACATTCCGATATTACCGGAACAGCTGCCGGTCTGAAAAATGCATGCAAAAGTTTCTAGTATACTTCTAATTATCATAAATTTTAATACAGAACAAAAAACATTTTTGAAAAAACACACGGTAAAGGAATGACGATAACGACGCTATTCAGTGTCATATTTTCAGCCTGAAGTGTATATTCGATGTTCACTACACAGCCATCAAGATTTTCATTTGGCCAACAGTTGACTGGAATTCAGAATTTCCTTTAGAAAAAGCTTTTTGATCTAAAAAATTCCAATTTGTTTTGAATATATAAAGATTAAATTTTTGGCAAGCATAACATAGCGTATGAAATCAGAATATTCATTTTTTACTAAACAACAGTTGATATTGTTTGCAGGACGCAGCAATAAAAAAATTTATGGACTGTAAAACAGTGATAACGACAGTACACTGTGTGAACTCATTGTAGAAATTTAAACAAACTTGAAATGGGGAGCAGTTCTTCGCTATTCAGAAGCAATCGCCACTTTAGTACACCAATATCCATATTTACTGGAAAAGGCTTCTGCACTGATTTTAATTTTAACAATGACTTTTGCAACCATTCCTTTTTATCGAGATTCGGATGTACCTCAACATATAGTCTGCATTATTACTGAAAAATAAAATATTATACGTGTATTCATATTCCATTCTTACCTGTAACTGCGCGCCGTGTTTGTCATTGTTACTCATTTGAACACAAATAGTAGCAAACTGCGGACCGTTTATTAAAAGTGAAGCACTACCCAATACCTTCAAAAAAAGAAATATAATCATGAATGATGCGAATAAAAAATGACTTTGTATAGTTACACTACACGAAACAATTGAGAATTTTAATTCAGCTAGCAGTGTTGTCATATTCCTAATCAGTTATCGATACGCTCATTTAAACTTGAAGAAATTCAAGTAATCGATAAAACCTTGTACCAATGAAACAGATCACACAACAGAAATATAAAATATAAGATCCATGTTTCATGTTTTTCGACTAAAATTCAGTGTCCTTCCCAAAAATTTTCTAAATACAAAAATGGTATACCTCTCCACTCTCAAGACCACCATCTCGTGATACTGAGGCCGACAGTTTTTCTTCAATTTTAATATGAACAGGAGCGTGTGAAGCAATAGATGGATCGATTTCCGATGCATTTCGATCACTTGCATCAGTAATGTCTGATACACGCAAAGGAGTATCGACTATTTGCCCTTGAATAAAATATGCAGTAAATGGTAAAGTGTAATGACTTAACCCTTTATTGCATTGCAATGTTTGATTATGGATGAAAAGTCTTCTAATATACTAATTTAATTCTTAACAAAAATTGAAACAGGAACATTCAGTTGTGAGCAAGGAAAGCACGCAACTATGACAGATTAGTTAAATGAAAAGTACATGATAATCTTAAAAAATTACTTCATCGCAACCGTCAAATGTCGAACTTTTTATATGGAGTCCTATATATGACTGGACTTATGTCTTTCAATATTCCAAAATTATTGAAGTTCATTAATGGTACTTCTGCAAATCTATATATATGACCGACCTTCTCTCCTCAGCTGTTTTAAAAATTGGTCATCATCAGCATTTTTGGAGCCAAGCTTCAATGCTTTGCCACTGCCACGTATAGTTGCTAGTGCCTTTGGTTTTACAGCGAGCCGAACAGGCGTATCATCGATAACTGCTGTTAAAGGTACCGATGAAGAGCTGATAGCTGTTGCGGTGCTTCCCATACCTAAATCATCCACAGATTAAGAATAAGCCATGCAAGTATTTTTAAATAAAACAATGCATCATTAGAATAAAATACTTCTTCCTGATTTTCGCTGTTCTGCCTTCAATTTCTTCAATTCCATGGCTTTCTGCGTCATCAATTCGTTAGCAGCTCTCTCCTGAGCCTAAAAAAGAATGAAACATAGAATGACAAATTACACTTACCATCTAATCTTATTAACATGAACCTATGTCACTCAAAAAAACTTACAATCTTTATCTGGTTGAACACTCGTTCTTCATGAGAATCCATTTCCGTAAACGTGCGTATTTGTGCCAGGTTGACATTTTCACGATATCCAAGGGCGACAATTTCATCAAAAGCAAATATTAGGTCGAATAAATTTATCTGTATTTCTTTTTCGTCATTCGAACGACAATATTCCGGAATCTGAAATGTAATTTGAAAAACTAAAGTCATGAAATACGAGAAACAAATAGATGTAGTAATATGTTACAGGTATATTTCTAATGAACTTAAGTTCTTAAAAAATAAAAGATTAACTAGAGTTCCAATCCTCTGGTTTTATTAAGTAACCCCTTGACAAATAAGAAGTCACAGGCAGTAAATTACTATTTTTTGTCACGTATTATTTTTAATAGGTTTGTGAAGGTAATTTTGTGAAGATAATTTTGAAAAAAAACACGTGATTATTTATAAATGTATTTATTTTTAAAAATAATTGAAGTAATTCTCATCACTGTTTATTCACTTTCCGAAATTACCTTCACAAACTTACTAATTAATAAGAATAGCCTCGTCATCATTAAAAAAACGACAACTAACCACTCTTGAAAAAAGTCGAAGAGTTTCTAAATCCTCTAAAATATTCGAAGCTTTAGTGGTGATCAGAACAACGTGTACGCTGTCCAGTGGATGGAAAACATAACGAACACTGTCCGTTTCAATGAAAGTGTGTTGACGTTGTGCTAAAATAAATAATTCTTTACAATTCGTTTTAAACACAGTTTAAAGTTTCAAGCTTAATTATTACATATAATTATTAGAAATGAAAACAGCTACTCTTTGATTAAGTGGACTTACATCTGTCCGAAGCAATTAACTTAGGAAAAGCATCCAACAATCCTTCTAACCGAGCTTTTGTCATGTCCGAAATGAAAACTCTTGCCAAAAGCGCTAAAAAAGTAGCATATCTAACAAGCGAAAAACAAAATCAAATTGAATGTACTGCCGAAAGCTCATCTATATCTTAGATTAATGAACATTCACTTACTGATCAAATCAGTAAGACTTTATTACACGGGTCTAATTCACTGAAAACATTCGAAACATTCTACACAAATATTTTGATAGAAATGGAAGCATACGTTTCCCCGTCTTTGTTATAATTGCTGCTCCAATGAGAACCATCTTCGTATCTGAAATACTTATGAATTATCATCTCTTCTATTGTTCTCTCATCTTATTATGCTTAAGCTTGATACATATAAGAAATTATTGAAATCATTCAGAAAAGATCTTTTCTTTCTAAGATAATTTAGGTTTAGCGTTTAGTGCAATCCGCAAAACTTTGCAGCTCAATGAATTAAGACCCAACTCCATGATCGAATAGGTTGAAGTTATTCCTCTAGAAAGGAAGTAGAATATCTCAGTGAATCGGGACGTGTAAGGATGGCATACATTCAGATCACTTTTTTTAGCTCACACCATGATTAGCCGAATGTTTTCTAGACACGAAAACTTCAGATTCCAAATAAAAATGAATCAGTATTACTCGCCAACTTTAAATATTCCTCGTGATGTTACCGATTTATGCAATCTGTTTTTTATTTTCCTTGACTTCTATTAATATTTCAATACTGTAGTGTACAGTTCCCACCAACATTCCCTTTCATAATTTTTTTCTTTCAATTGAAGGATAATAATTATTATAACAGAAAAGAACATCACTCGTCCCCGTGCATTCAACCAGACTTCTACCCACTCACCACGCGCCACAACCCATGCCCTCTTCATGTGTAAGTGAAATGAATGACGGAAACGTCGTTCCAATTAGTGCACCCACAGTGCAAATCACGTTTCATTAAAAAGTATCACTTTTATACAGGTAAAGAACTGCAACTCCACGACACAGCTCAATCTCCTGCAATGCGTAATTCAAATACTTAAGATAAGGACTTACAGACACCAGTACAACACTCGAATCCAACTAACTTTAGGCTTGAAAACATCCTAGACCAGATATAGTACGCTAAAAATCACAGTTGTAAATACCATGTTCTGATAAGTGATAGAAGTGCAGAAGAGATCACCTACAGAGAATAGAATTTTACTCCTAACGAAAACTGCATCCATTATTTGGATCCGAACATATACATTTTCTCCTGTCTTCATTACATTTCATAGAATTATTTTGAAGCTCAGATTTTGAATAATGGCATTATTCAAGTGTAATTCAAAATACGTGCACGTCATCGTTTATTGAATAAATGAATGAATGAGATTACTAATTCATATAAATCTGAATTTCTCTCCGGAAAACCCGTCACGAACACTACTTAAGAATTACAATTGATTGAGGCAAGCAACCACCGCCTCACAAATAATTCAGTGTTCTTCCAAGTATTTTCACAACTCAAAGCAATACAACAAATAGAAACTCGATTAAAACATCGAGAAATAACGTGAAAGAACCGACATATTTAACCATTAGCAAAATTGATCAATCGTCTTATGACAGTTCGATAAGCGGCTAGTTCTTCTTCATAAAGCTGTTCCAGTTTGGCGATTTTCTGCTCCATACTCATCTGACTGGCCACAACCGCTGAATATTCATATTCATCCAAAACACTTGATAGCTTCCTCCAGTCACGCTCGCTTCGCTGCAAATGAAATGGATCTGAGATTTAAAAAATAAAAACTTCGCATGCTAGGACTAGAAAAAATTGGAACTTTTCAGATGAACAAAAAAGAAGAGTTTTGGACGAGCAGTAAAAAAATTCTTTATATTGTCTACAGCTCATATGTCTTTCCCATCTTAGATCAAATAGAAAATCGAAATGACAACACTCGAAATGAGGAAAAATACAGTTAAAAGAAGGAAAGCTCGTTTTATACAGATGCGTCTACCTATTGGTTGTTAGATACAGGTATATTTCAAATGAAATAAAAACTAGCTTTAAAAGGTTTTTCAAGTCTTTTCTTTACATCCAACCGGTATTCTTCCATAGCTTCTTCATCTCGGACACCGATATGATGCAGACGTAGTATTTCATACACGCGTCGTGCCTGTTTCTGGAATAGTTAAAGTTCAGCGAATAGTGATATTTTGATTCCCGACTTTTACAGAACTTATTTTATGAAAAAAAGCTACACAGTTCCTCTTTCTGTGCACATAATGACTTTATACATAAGTGGAACTTGATCATAAAAAAGTACCGATAAGAGAAATCTTACTGGATTTATTCAATTATAGAAAATCTTACTGGATTTATTTTAAACCGTAATAAGGCAGCGTTTCTCATCTCTTCGGTGAAGCCCTTTTTAAGATTATCTGCATGGAATTCCTTCAAAGTTGAGCAGTTAGAGCAGTTTACATAATCTCGAGTTGTTATAAAAGATTCTGCAGGAACTTCCGCTGAAAAACAGTTTTGAGATGAAAAATTTAAAAACTGCCGGAAGTATTTAATTGGGGCGTCCATCAACAATAAGTGGTAAAAAACAAACTAAATGTTCTGTAACACTTACTATTAAGTAATCTGTCCAATTACATCTTGCATAAATGGTGTCTCTCTCCCATTTCAATATGATGAAAAAGCACTACTATAGACATACAAAATTCCCAGCTCCGAAAATAGCGAATATACTAAAACGAGAGCGACTCAAATCAATTCAATATTACATAATTAGTAGAACTTTTAACCCCAGAAAAATGTCAAATGCTAAAACTAATACTAACCTGTAATGTCTGTAACCTTCGGATCTTGGATTAAGTCATTATATATTGCTTTCAAAAATCTAGCACCAATACCAGCGCCGTGATAATGTGGCAACAGTAAAATCTGCGCAATCCTAGGTCGAATTTTATCTGGATAATTATAAAACCTAACAAGTGATGCATAGCCTGCAAGTGCAACACGGGAAGTACCGTCATCTCTTTTAAATGATTCATACCTGGAACAAAAAGATTAGCATCTGAAACAGGAACTTGAAAAAAACATGTTGGTAAAAACATCAGCATTTGGTATTAGCAGAGGTTAAGCAACATATACATCATTCTGTATTTACGATTACAAAGATCATCAGCCCATCGTATTCAAAGTCAAGATGGTATTGACATCCCTTAAGAACTGGAAATACATGCAATAATCTAGTAAATGTCGAAAAGTATGATAAAGTGATATAAAACTAACAAGAAATAATGCTGCCATCGTGGATCACTATTATCTGTGTATTGTGCAGCTTCAATGTACCATAAGGCAAGAGTCTGAACCCGAGCTAAATATGCATCGAATTCAGGTGAACTTTCGTTTATCATCCAGACCTGCAGCTCTCGACTACCTGAACTGGCGGAATTTATATGAATAAGCAGTTGCTTTTCAGCATAAAATTATACCGAAATCAATTACTGTCATACTTCACACCAGAGGAAACTTCAAAATTAAGGGAAAACCATAATTTTCGACCACTACTTATTTCCGAAATATTGCAAAATCCTAGACAGTAAATTAAAATCACCCAGACATAAAGTGTTACAAAAAACAAGATCTCCAAAAGCTTAATTTTCAAAAAAGAACTCAGGAACATAAATCTGAACGTATACCGCCTAATACATCTAATATATTATTATGTATCAACAGTCTTGCAAATGGAGATAACTTACTAACGATAAATTTGGAAAGAAGCTGTCCATAAGGTAAAAATTTTCTCTGATCATCCAAACGAGATTTGAAAATGGCACTTGTCTGGCATAACATTTCCATCTGTTCAGCTGGTAGCTGTTCGCTTAATTTTTGAATTATATTATCAGCCTAAAAAGAAAAAGAAGTCCCATAACATATAAATCTGGGATATTTAAATGAGTCAGAAAACAGACGAACTTTGAACTCCGCAGTGAACGATGTTATGTCGGCTGTATAACTAATCTCTGGGTAGATATACATAGATGCGTCGGTATAATGTATAACAACGTTTAGATCTTTGTAACCAAATATTGTTTCGCTAAAACATATTTCATAGGTTATACTTACAGGCTGTTAGCTTCACATGAAAATATAAACAAGCACTGTCAGATAGGAAAATTGCTACTTGCAAGTGTCATCGAGATTATGTTGAGATAATGACTGCATGAATATTAAAAATCAGAGCAAAATATGCAACGAATTACTTCTCTCCAAAGTGCTGGTAGACGTATTCGGGATGATGCCTTTGCGCTAAAGCCACTTCGCTCATATCGGATACTGCAAGGTGACCATCGGTAATGACAGCAATGAAAAATATGAAAAATATAGAAGTGAGGTGCGATGCTCACCAAAGGTTAGCGACACTGCCTGGGCGCCATCCACCAGAAAGTCAGCATATTTCTCCTTTATGTTTGACATAGTTATCTTGAGATTTACTGCATAGCTTACTCCTGCAACTCATAGTCACTGAAAGCAACGTTGGAATAACAACAAGGAAGCATACCAACTTCACCGAGGTGTCCCCGAGATTCCACCAAACCACTGGTTGCCCTACCGAGAGACTGCCGCATTCCTGGCCAAATAATTCAAGGCTAAAAAAATTACTGGAATACGGTAGTTATCGCTGTAAGACTCGCAGTGCACAGATTCAAAAGTGAGAGGGGCGAGGTGCGTGCCGCCCAACGTGTGTGCGAGCGGTGTGCGCACGATGCGAGGCGTCCTCTTCCTCTCTCCTCTATATGTTCGTTCATCATGCTCATTATTTCTCAATCCTTTCGCAACACCCTCCCTCTCTATCACACTCTTTGTATTCTATTCTCTTTCATAAGTGCAGATGTGTACACATACAGGGTCGCGTCGCGTCGTCATTAGCATCAATGAGAGGTTCGGAGTGGCGGTGCGGCAGGGTTAGGTGGGTGGTTCGTCTCTTCCGCACGAGAGGTTTCTACCTATATCACTGTTCCTGATCCAGAGTGATTCTCCGGAACTCTTTTTCCAGTAGTTTTCAATCCTGGTTCATCTTACGTGAATTTCGCGTTTACATATCATCCCTTTATATCACTTATATTAATTATATGCTTTTAATGAATCTGTCAGTTGCGCATATCTGTATGGTTTCTCATGACGGTGCACGTACTTCAATGGGACTTCTCTGTAGTCACTAATGAATATCATTTGTGCATCAGATTTGTATGAATAGCGATAGACATCGTTGCATAGTTGCTCTATTCGCTACATTTAGCCATACTGCTTGGAAGCTTCTTCAATTCATGCATATATTTCCTAAGCATATTTGACGAGTATTGGCTTTGTGATTTATTGTTGTGGTAAACTACGGCAAACTTTTGGACCGTAATGTGAAATTCATGGGAGTTAATATGGGAATAATGAAGGAATCTATATTTAGTTCGGTAAATATGGGTACGAAAGTTCTAGCCAATGTATTTTGTTTCAGAAATCTGAAAATAAGATTTTTTAGAACTTGAGTCTGTGGAAAACCTGTCCTAATTTTTGATTGGCGCTGAAGGATGTTTACTAGATAATGAAATAAAATTAGGACATAGTGGAAATTAAATAAATTACAAAAGATTTCTCTGATATCGAGGATATGAGTGTAGCTCAATTTTGTTATGTTCACGTTCAGTTCCCACTGACTAGAAAAATTTTCGATGAATTAAAAGCAGTTTTGTGCGCTAAGCTGTTCTTACAAACATGATCGTCCAATTTGCTAAATTTCTTAGAATTGTTCTGACATTTCAGGACATACGAATTTAGTTTGGAGGCCGTCAGGATAAGCGGAAGAATTTGTGTTATGTCGAGGCGGTGGTGGGTGCAAGGAGAATTCAATGGGACTCGGAACTGTGATTGATTTATCAGCAACGCCGGTCAATAGTGAACAGTTCATTGTAATCTTTTTGGTTCTTTTTATATTGTGACCAAGATTAGTGTTGTAACTTGATTGGGCAGATATGTATTTTATTATTTTGTTTTCTAGGAGATCGAAATTCTTTTTCATAAAGATAAGTTCGGTAAAATTAAGGAAAGCACAGCGTGTTTAAATGGAATATATAGGTATTTTGCCCTATTGGAAGCTAGGAGGAATTTCTATAGTAACTCAAAATGAAGTTTTAGATGCGTAGTATCAAAAATGATTGTAATGATGAGGCTGCTGGTATGAGTAGTGATCAAATCACAACAACTTTGCGACGTCCTTTGCTGCTTCTGGATCATAGTATGTCACCACCAGAAGTAAAAGATGCTCTTTCTTCTGAACACTCAAACTTGAGGCATGGAATGCAGTTGTCTGAAACTCACGAAGATGTGCCTTCCGATCCATTTGTATTTTCAGCTCATCAGTTAAAGAAAATTGAGGTCAGTTCATATTTATTTCGAATTATTTCAGTAATACAAAAAGATTTTTTTGAACTTGATCAAGTAACCGAAGTATAAGGTCGTCATAATTCAGAAAATCGTTCCTTGTCTTGTTTCTCTCTATATTTCAACACTTATAAAAAAAAAAAAAAAAAACTATGAAACAGTAACAATGTTATAAAAATTGCAAATCTCATGCATTTAAATCAACCGAAGAATATTGTGGAAAGTGAATCCCTCAATGTTCTGTAATATTTGGTTTAGAAACGAACAGAACTGACGTGTTATAATTTTCTAGGTTTCTTCAACAGTTGTTACGAACACAGTATTGACCACAAAACAGCCGTTGGAGAGTCGTTGCTTTGACTCCAGCAATTGTCCTCATGATCCTGAACCGTCTACCTCAAAAGATCTGTCACCAAAAGATACTGGTAGTGAACAAAAGAATGAAGCATTGAGCTTAGTAAATGGAAAATGTAATCTGCAAACATCAGTTGGTATGGGAAATTCGAGTCAGATTTCTGCTAATAATTTAAAAGAACCTGACAAGGTATGTTGCCAATAGCTTTCTCACATAAAAGGAAATATTTCTATGATGTCCTTAGTATATGGTAGTTTTATATAAAAGAAATAACTGTTGCACTGTTTCTCACTTATCATTTTCAAAGGTTTGTAGTAATGTGAAATAAGTTCTGAGTACTGTCAAGTTCAGCAGAAAATTTATCTTGGAGTAATAATCTGAAAGAAGATGTAGACTGAGAGAATAAGTGGCCTGAACTACTGTTGGTTTGGTTGATTAGGGTGATTAGTCAATAAAAAAATTAGTGCTGCAAATAAAAACTAGTACTGCACCGTTCTGCTTTCTTTAAAATGCAATGATTGAATAAACACTCCGAAGTTTTTCACATTTTATCGAATAAATAAGGTAAAAGCTTTATTATTTTATCAAGAATTGGTAAACATGTTTACAAGAACTGGAGAACAGTAAAAGCTCGATTACCTTAAGTGCGTAGTTTGTTTATGCTTTTTTTCAGGATATCCCAATGCAATATTCTACTTGTACACCCTATGGGAACAGAAATCAACATGTCGAAAGCACGGATGTGCCTCGAAAGATCTCATCCAATGTTCATAAACAACAGCTATTTTCTGAGGTTGATGTTCATCAAGGAATATCTCGACGGTCGCTAATAAACACAGCTCCTTTATCACCAAATCATTACGGTTCTATTTTGGCTCAAACATCACTGACATTTCGAATTAATAGACGTTCAGAGCTCTACAATTCACGCAAAACTTCGATGCTTACCAATGCCACTGAGATACTGGCGCGTCCAGAGCGGGAAATTTCCAGGAACGTAGAGAACATGCAACAAAAGAAGCAAAAAATTCAGGTATTTGCTAAAGTGGTTAGTAAATGTAAAAATATAGAGACAAAATTGCAAACTGGACTTTTTTTCATGCAAACATTGAAGAAATCTTTTGATTTTTTGCTTTAATAATAAAATCTTGATGGCCTTACTTAGGAAGAACGAATAACGACTGCACATTTTGCGTCGTCTTCATCATTACCAGCTGTGAGTGCAGGCGAAGATCATTTGCAAATTCCTAATGAGCAAATTTTGAATAAAGCTCTTGATTTATTACGAAAACCGGTGCAGGACGATGTAAATGAATCGAGAACTGCAACAAAACGAAGTTATCCCAAAAAAATCAGCTCTAGGTAAATTATTTCCATAAGAACATATGAGCTGTTCCTTTTTAGGTATTTTTTGTCAATTTTGCAGTGTGCAAAAAGGTTTTCTAGCGATTCACCATGCCACAAAACATAAAATAGGACTTAATATTTCTTACTTGAAGCAGTGTAGTCGCGGAGGATTCAATTTTCTTTAGTTTTTGATATATCCTGCTTTCTACTTCATTTTTCTGTTTCATAGTTTTTAATAACTTGATAATTATTACTGTTAGGGGAAGCAATATGACTGGAATGTAAAATAATATAAGTATAAATCAAATTTAATAATTGACTTCATTTTGTAGGATTCGGATAAGATAAAGTTTTAAGTTTACTCTTACGATTTGTCTTTGAAAGTTACTCTGGTATATATTGTTAAATGTATTTGATTACATCTTTGTGTTCTTTCTACATTTTATAGTTTTTCAAATTTTTAGTACTGTTATGGACTATAAAGATGGTTTAAATAGAAAAGTATTGCAAGAGAAAATTGGAAAATTACGTGACAAAAACGGACTTGCGTTAAGCGTACCACATGTACGTTTTTTACTTTTTTTTTTTTTTTGTTTTTGTTTTGTTTTGTTTTAACTTGTTGGATTCAGTGTCTTTACAAAGAATTTTTCTAAATAGTTTTGAAATGCTCATTATACATTAGTAGTAATTAGTCCAAGAATTTTCACATTGGTTTTTTTTTTTTCAGCTTGAGCGTGCTCATCTCAGTCAGTTGGTTAATTTACTACAGCGTTTCAAGAATCACTTTGCGATTAATGATTTTCTGGCAAAAGAAGTTTCGGATCATGTTTTCGGTGATAGTTCGGCTATTATTACTCAAAAACTAGCTAAGGATGCTCATAATTCGTACATTTTTTTTTCTTTTTTTGTATGTTAAGGTATTTTGTTTCTTTCCCCATTGAAAGCCTATTTTCCTGCAAAAAAAATACTTCATTAGGGAGAGGTGGCCTTTATCTTTTATATTCATGCAAGAACAGTGATGTTTTCCATGTGGCAAGGCATTAGTTTAAAGTCCATTAACAAAAACTATGTAATGTTAGAAAGGTAGAGGATTCCATAACTGGTAGTTTCGTTTATCTTGAATATTTGTTTGCTTTGTATTTTAGCCTATCTGGGGAATCAGACAGACGGCTGATGAAATATGTTATGGATATTGATGCAACAGATTCTGAAGATAGTAATGGCGAAAACGAGGAACAAATGCCATCAACATCTAGTGCTTATCCACCATGCGGGTACTTACTTATTATATTTGTTTGATATACTTTTTTTTTTTTTTTATTTTTATTTCAATGGAGATGACCTGTTCAGGAGCTTATCGTCTCCTGCATATTTTGATGAGCGAGTTCGTTTGGGTGCGCTGGATGCAAAAGCTCTTTGTATGGAAGAGGACTGTGAAGAAAAACTAAGTGTTGTTTATCGCCAGGTTCATTTTCATTTTATTACATCGTGTGTACATGTCGCGGTATTGCGTATTTGCAGTTTCTAAGATAACTGAAGTTAATCCATGATTTTTAGTGCTGTTTGGTAATAGCATATGGTATATTTATGTGGTAAGTACGCTTTGTAAGAGATAGTTAACAGATTTGTCTTGTTTGGTTGAAGCACAAACACATAACCCGATGTAATAAATGGAGATCTTTTATCTTGGTTTATCCTGAAACATTTGAAATAAAAATTTTGACTATGATATGAGCTATAATATCATTTGTGATAGAGATTTCTAGGTAACCTTGCAAAAATTCTCCATTTTATAGTCCATAAATGATTTGGTTAGCCTTTGAAGTTTGGTTATCTGTTATGTCATCGTAATTCGAGGTTTGTAAAACTGTACTTCATTCCAGCTGAATAATATTCGAAGACGAAAGAAGAAAGTATATTCATGGAATGATGAAGCTTTGACTGAATGTTGTGCAAGATGCTTACCATTTGATGGTAAAAGACGACGTTTTCTAAAAAGGAAGAAGTTCGTCTTCAGTTCTTGCACTGAAATATATTCATTGAAAAAAAAAAGAAAAAAAAGTCACGTCTGGATGCATTATGCTGTTGTGCGTAACCTTTATGTATAATATCTTTAGGATGGACAGGATAGGGAAAAACGGTCTCATTGAACATGAAATTCCTATATTATTGGATATTGGCGAACGCGTAAGGTCATACGCTGCTGTGGATAATCGAGTTTTTCCTCCACTTCCTTTGCTTGCAGGTCTTTCTAATGATTGTCATTAAAACTCGCAGTATTGGAAACAGGAAATTTGAAAGATATATACAACAGATATAACTCTTTCAAAATTGAAACATATGTGATGTTAAGTATTATTTGACCAGTGATGTATGTAAATATAGCTCTCTTTTGTAATTTGCTTTTTATTATCACATTATATTATAAGAAGAATCTTAATCCATTGATCATGTATTCCTCAACATAGCAAAGAAACATTGTGGATCGTAAAGAATTTTAAATAATTTGTTAGTTAATATTTGAAATACGAATTTTATTTTTACAGCGATACCCATAGAACGAGGTGCTGAAGTCTACTGCCATCGAAGATCGACTCGACCGTTAATACATTTGCGTAAAAGGTATGAGTTTTTATATTTGTGTACATATGTGTTATAGTATTTTTTATAACTGTAAAAATTTTCAGATTTGATCGCTCTACATGGACTACATTTTTGGAGGAACGAAAGATGGTGGTAAAGGAAGCAGTTATAGTGGATGATAGACAGACACGAAGGAAACGAGAGAGAAGTGAGAGTGAAGAAAGTTATGATGATGACGAGGAGTACCAACCGCCTACAAATTATTCCCATCGAAGTTCATATGTAATTGTTGAATTATTTTTATCTTTCGTTCTTAAAATTCACTCACACATATTTGTATGAATGTATATTATAATAGTTTATGTAATAGAAATTAGCTATGCGTGAAAAGTACAAAACTCGCCGAAGTATCTTTGAAGTTTCGAGTTATTGACTCTCCTTGAGTTTTAATGAGCATTATGCGAGATTAAGTGGCTGTTTGTCCATAGCACGAACTAAATAAACACTCTAGGTTCTTGACTTTGGGCATTACTTCCTTTCTATTTTTATTTTTCAAGTTAGCCTTATTTAATCTAAATGCTTGGTTAATTAATACCAATGTTTCTAGTCCAAACGACCGTCAACGTTGAAACGTACTGGTCAAAACCTTGTGGGAAGATCGTTTGATCGAAAGAGGAATGGAGACTTCCGGAACCGTAAATTTACTAACCATCGACTTCGGCTGCTTCGTACAAATGACATTGAAGATGGTCTTGTCGAACCAATGCCCGGCCTCCCTCAGAAAATTGATTATAAAGAAATTTGTATACCACAGTAAGTATTTCTTTTTTTCTTTTGAGATCTTCATTTTTTCTTTCCTGTGTTTTTGTTTTAACTTAGTTAAGGATCATCGTATTTGCGAATGAATTTTTTTCTGTTGAAAGAGTGATATAGGTTATAACTGTAATATAATCTATTTTTGGTTTAAATGAAGTGACGGTTTAAATGACTGTGCTCTTTTAGTTGGGAACGAAAGCCATTGAAATTGGTATCCGAGGAAAGTTCAGGATGCACGCATCTGGCAGAATGCTCATGTATAGCAAACATATCGAGGCGGCATCTGCCATACGAATTAAATGAACGAAAACGTTTCCAACAGTACAGGTTTATTTTATGTTTACAATTATTTATAATAGACCTTAAATTATCCTTAACATTAATCTGTTTTACTTTTGCTCAGTTTTGTTCTTCGAATGATAACCGACAGTGTTTTTCTATTAACTACAATCTTTTTTAGGGATTATGTAGCCGCAAAATCAGCATCAACAGCCTCTAAGTTGTCAGGATCTAGTCATTCCAAACTTCGAGCGGCAAGCACTGCTCCATCTGCTACTGGTTCGGCAGAAAGTCTGAGTTTACTAGAAAGTGTTCACTCAGTATCTGCTGCACCAAGTCCTGCAGCTATGTATTATGCTTTTGATGACGATCAACTGAGTTCGAATAACGGTGAATCAATATCTGTACCCGACTATGACCGACCGTCTATGGCTTCACCGTATTCACCGAGAATTTTCTCTGTCCCCATGGTATTTGTATTTCTTTTATGACAGAAATTATTCAAGACTGAAAATTCATTAGCTTTATTTGCTTCCTCGGGTATACTTTTAGATTTAATGTCACAGCTTTTTTTTTTATTTCACAACTTCTGCTTTGAAATATCAGAACTAATGAATGAAGAGAATGATTTCTATGAATACAAATACAATTTTCGCGTGATTTTGAAAAATTTCTTGTTAGATCTGTTCAGGTACATGTGTTCAGACAAGCAAATTGTCTATAATTGCATAGTTTTGGAAGTTAAGTTGCCGAGGTAATACTCGATAAAGCTGGTTTATTATTATACTGAGCGTATAACATTTCAGAAACCGTTGATAGAGGTTGAGACAGAAAATATATGATTACATTTCAGCTTTCTGGTTTCCATTCGATGAAAAATGAAAACAAGTAATTATGTTACCGGTTTCAACCAGTTTTTGGTAGTAATGAATCTCTCCAATCAGGAAGGATTATGATGTCACAACGACAGCGATTCTGATGTTAACATTTTTTTTCCGGGACAATTCAGGACCGTATCAGAGCTTTTTCCGACATGAAATTCTTGATAAAAGATAAAACAGGCCATTTGTTATTTTCTAGAAAGCAATAACTGTAGCGTTAATGGAAGGTCGTGCTTAAGACAAAGTACTGTTACTCAATATGTTCGATTACCGCTGTCATAGTATTACCCTCTATTTATTGATAAACAATCTGGTTTAAAGGCGTTTGTGTATAGCATGAATCTGTGTTTATTCTGCACTGTAAGCTTTTTTTTTTCCTTTTTTCAAGACGTGTATCTTCTTTGTTTTATGGCATTTCTTTCTTAAATGTCCAAGTTTTCCCGGTATCTTAGCTTTTTGTTGAGTATTTGCTTGATTTTATTTGTTACAATGTCGGTGAACTTTTTATACATATGAATAACATCTGATTATGCATATAAGCCGTATGCAAACTCTAAATATTCTTATGGGAAAGGGAAGTTATTCACGTAATTTTAAGTCTGAATGTGTATTTTTGCTTCATTCCCTCTTGACTTTGTTGCTTCTTATTTCAAAATAACTGAGAGATATATTTCTTTTGTTTTATTAACCTCATCGTTTCCTGCTCCAGTCCTAGTGATTGGATTGGATAGTTGAACTTTATCCTTTTATCCTTTGCACCTGCTGTTTGTTCATGAATAATTTCCGAACTTATTGTAGGTTATAGGGTTTCTATTGTAAAAGTTGTTTTCTGGTTTTTTGTAGTTTTGCATTTTTGAAGATGTGGTATTTTAAAGCAGACATAGAATAATAACAATATCTCACCTATATATTTTATTATTGAAGGAGGGGGGAAATTTTTACAGACTTTTTTGTTTTGTTATTTTACTGTTTCCTCTTGTACAGTGCGCATCTCACATACATAAGTCTAAATCATACTATCGAACATATAAACAAGCATTTTATGACATTTGTATTCTTTTTCGTTGTTTTTTATACTTTAATCAAATAAAGTGATATTCGTCTTCCATAATGAAGGCAAAGGAAAGGAAAGCTCTGCGTAGATGTAGAGAGGTAAGGCGTTCAAGTTCCATACATTTCCATTGTCACTGGCGACGTTGGACCTATTTCCGAGTCTAAAAAACGGAGAAGGCGGGTTATTGTGAGATTTATTCGTTTGTTGCTAGTAACTGGTAGGAACAGCTGAGCAGTAGTGCAAAGTCAAGGTATCCTGATGATTCGGGAGATATGACTCAGAATATTGTGACGCATACACCTGAACAACTGTTAAACAAGATTCTTTTCTGGCTCTTTCTTTAGTCTAATAGTTGCTCGTTGCGAAAGAACAGAAATCCAGGAAGAAATGCAAGTAAACGGAGTTGTGCCGCCGTATGCCTGTTACGCTTATTAATTGATGATACCTTTGCGACATGTTCATAGTCTGTTATAAAGAAGAGAAATCAAGTTCTACCACGTCTTTTGGGAAATCATAAATGTATGAATTCCTTGTAAATGAAGAACGTAAGTAGTTCGTGCTAAATGCAATCTTGCCATAATCGATGAAATTATCATTTTAGTGAGATGAACTGAAACTAGAAAAACATATTTTTCAATTAATTTTCACGTAGACTGAGGAACACTAATATTCACTGTACAAAGTCGCTTAGAACTTCGTTCCTACTTCTTCTACACATATCTGTTTAAAGAACGAGATATGGTAATGAGTTTGCTACTGATAAGCTAAATTTTGATTAGCATAACAGAAGGAAAGGGAAATAAGAGCGATGAGGCAAATACATGTGACAGACAGGAGACGAAGAAGTGAACTTTTCAAAGTACCTACTTGACATCAAAAAATGATCAGTGTGGAGCAGTAAGTACGTCATCGTCACACTCTTCCGTCTTTTTCCGAGGTCTCTCTGTGCACTGCTGCAGTGGGTGATGCTTCAGGACAGCTAGACGACGAGCTAGCCAACATTTAATTACCACCACTACACTCGGCATTCAGCTGCAGTTGCACATCAATAACACCAGCAATGCAGTTGTTATGTATATATATGTGTGTATGTGTGTATGTATGTATGTATGCATATATATATATATGAGCGGATGACATACCTGCATGTTATGTTGCTGTTGTCTAATTGACGAAGTCCATAGATCCTTGTTTTCTTGAGTGACCTTTCCTCTTTTTCTGTCCATTTCCTAATGTCTGTGGCTCTATGCCTTTTGCTAACTGTTTAATGTGATGGAGCACTCCCCGCTGTCCTTTCTTTACGAGAGACATCTTAGGATGAAAGATCAGATTAATCATTTAATATACCAATCAGTGATCGTGGATAGATTGTCGCTATGTGACGGTGTTTACGCGATGACCAATACGTATCACATTATTCTTCCTTCCATCCTTTTTTTTTAAATTATTATCGATCACATATCAACCACTGACATGTTCTTTTCAGCATCTTTACAAGATATTCCAATAACTGCGATGGATATTGCTTTCATAATTCTTTATAAATTTATGGATTCTTTATAATTTATGGATAATTATGCTTATGCTGAACTGCTTTTTGTGTAAAGTAAGAGAATGGAAGATTCTTCATTGCATCCATTTTCAGAAATGAGAGTGTTGACAACGAATTTGCTGTTATTTGCTGTTGGCCTGATTGTTATTGCGTGAGCTATTCGCTTGTTACATCTGAAACTACTAGGACAACATTTCTACAAACCTTCTAGCGGAATAGTATTCTTTAATGTTAGCCTAAGTAATTCAAATCAGCGCTAATTCAATCATTTGATTGATTGAGCAAATAATTTGATAGAAATTCTCTTGCTTTCTCTTTATCTTTGTTTAAAGAAGCATGTAGTTGCATGACCTGGGAATTAGTTGCTGACCAAGGGGTTTCGTTGAGTATACTCGTAGTTGTCTATTCGGAACATAAAATTAACTATATTGATACCCTGTTCTAAATTGGTCACACTTCCAAGATCTAACCTTATCCATATCGATTACGATGTTTTCAGAGATCGACCGATGCGATGCTATCAATGTAATTCAGCGAACGATGCAAACTGTGATTCGAGTGATGCTAAAGATCTGAATCAATATACCAAGTTATGTCCATTACTGAAGGATGGTACCTATGCCGGTAATAAACCTATTGCATGCCGTAAAATTGTTCAAGTATGCTGTATTAATTTACATATTTATTCTTACCACTCTCCATCCCCAGTTTATATACTTCTCCGAAAGTTGCTGCTTAAGTTCTTAAGACGTTCAGACGTGGAAAATGATCCATATCTGCCGAAATTCTTACTAACTATAACTGGCCACATCACGATCGACAGCTTGGTTTGGGTCGAAACAGTTTTTTCGCAGTTACATTAATCTAAGAATTTTAGAGCGTAGAAGAGTTACCAGCGCAAATAATTAGAGAGTGTGCATATACGGGTGATAAGCAGTTAGACGGAATACGCAAACAGGGCAATAAAGCTGTCAAATTGTTGTATTACCATTGCGAAAATGTAAACGGAGTAAGTTTGAATCCCATGAAATTTTTACTCGAATAAGGGAAGACCAAATTTTCTACGTATCTCATTTATATATCTTTGCTCACTTATTTTCAAGAACATGAATGCTTGCGAATGAACGAGCAACATCAGTTCAAGATTATTAATTCTCAAACATTTTTGTGTTCTGTTCTCGTTAAGGCCTCAAGAAAGTTAATAACTCTAATACATCCACGACTACAAAAGTGTCCTTGTTAAATATATTACTACTCACATACGTACATTATGTACTGCGTAAATTCTCGTTCCTGAATTAATATATTACAGGATATACCTTGCAATGGTACACAACAGATAACGACACGATATCTCTCCTTGATCCTCCTGTTTGTAATTATAATTGCTATAGTGCATCCTAAATATCAGTAGAAAGTTATTAGTTATTTGTATACATTTGTGTCATTCCAAAAGTGTTTCCTATCCTTCTACTTTCATCTGTGCAGAATGTGAACGTCCTTACAATCAGCAGTTTACTGTCGTTTTTCAGGTTACTCAAGATCAGTGTAGAAGAAAGTAGTTTGATTTTGGAAAATTCCTCAAATTTCACGATAGTTATGTAATTTTTTACCCTCGATATTACTGCTGACAAAGCACTAAATATATGGATAGGTAAACAGATAGATTTGCATTACTTCTAAAAAATGCATATTTAAATATCTATTAGATGTCTAGTGAAGGATGTTAGAATGCCTTGTGTATTGTGCTGACTTGTTTATATTTAAATTTTCCAAATACTTCCAATCTGTTGCGTATATTGCTATATTCTAGGAAAATTTCTTCCTGCCGTTTGAGTGTTATGCTTTTGTAATGCAATAAAATATAGATTTCCAGTGGTCCCGAGAACAATCCCGACTGTTGTTCAGTGTTTTGAACTGTGTGACAGTCGTAAACCGAATGGCTAAGTTTGGTTTAATTTCAATCAGATCGTCAGTGTTGAAGGAAACAGTATATTTGCAAATGGGTGAGAGTGAATAGTGTTCTGCGGATACATCTCAGACCCTCTTATTATTGTCATGCTAACTGGTTTACATAAAGGTGGCGTGTTTTGCAATACAAGTCTTTTTGTTACTTTGTTAATGAAAACTAATCTATAACAGATGGTTAACTGTACTATTTTTTTTCGTTATCCGGAAAATATCAACAACTATCTAGAAGTTGCATTCTTGATAGAATATAAGGTGAAAGCAGATAATGGCTCTCTTTTTGAATGTGTTCTCCTTTATTGAATCATTTAATTCTTTTAAACTACATATATCCAAATAATGTTCACATAATACTGAGAAAAATTGAGAGGATTGTGCCAGTCATCAGAATATTCTGTTCACCTCGCTTTGTTAATTATGTTGTTTATGGTGCAGGATGCGTTAGTTGCATTTTGGCAGATTCTGTGAAAAGAGTTTGAAAATTCTCAGTGCGGCTCTTTTTTCAATAGTTGATGTCGTTCCAGTTGGTTATCTTCCGAGAGATATTTTTTTAACATGTTTTGTCTTTATTGCATTTCACCAGAGGATTACATTATAAACAGATATAGTGCATAAACTGAGGTAGTTGAGGAGACATCCATTACTTATCTGTATGTGTCATTTCAAAACTCATTTGTTCCAATTTTCGCCTAAAATTTTACACAGCTGTAGATGTGTAGTAATATTGCTACGTCTTCAAAGCATAAGCTGACCCATCAAGCACCAAACAAAATTCATAAATGCGAGAATTTATAGAATGAGTTAGATAATTGAAAACATTTGATGTTGGCTTTCATCAATTCACTCTTTAACTGAACACCGAAACTACTGCTATTGTGTAGTTTGATTTCAATGTTGAAGTTTCATTATCTCTATTATTTGGAAATTTACAGGTAGTGTTACTTTGAAATAAGGAAGGGATATCATTTTTGGGTATTACTATCTTACTTCCATGTGAAGCCATTAAAAGTCATGATTATTAAAAAAATAAAATGTAAGAAAGGAATTAAAAGTATTGATAGCTTAAGAAAGAAATTAAAAGCATTGATAGCTTAATAAGTATTGAAGAATGCATCTTTGATTAATATATAAGACTTCTTCAATGGCTGTTCAGATATTGAAATTTAAAAATGAAGGAAGACTTATTGGTGAAAAATGAAATTCATATAAGAATAAATGACAGAAGACAAATCGGTATTTTGTTAACGGATGATGATATTTATCACGGTAAACAATAAATGAAGTAATGAATGATTCAGTGGATAGAGAAGGGTCAGAACGGGTTCAATGTATGCCAGTGAATTTCCTAGCGAAGAGTGAAATTCGAAATTCTTTACTTTCCACTCCGTTTTCATGTACCCTACATCTATTGTTTCTTCAATTTTTTCTCTGGAATTTTTATTCCTTTCTCATAACTGTCCTGAAAAAAAAGTTATCGAAAGATGACTGTCGTTGATGCACTGTGTACTGCACTTTCATTGATAGGAACTTATCAACCTTATTTTTTTCATTACCAATAATGCACATAACCAAGAAAGATTTTTTAAATTTTGGATTAATTTTTTTTTTTTATTTTTCAATATTTTTTTATTTGTTATTGCTATCTAAAACTATCAGCTAGATCCTCTTCTTTTAGGAATAGGGAAAAGAAATAAAAAATACCTGGAGAAGGTAGTTATCGTTTTACTAGTTAGTATGTCTTATCGTCTTCATCTGAGGCACATTTCATCCTTCTGTATCTAATGCTCATTAAATTTTAAATTTAATGGAACTTCAGAAGTGATACATGTGGTCATTCCTGCTGATATCCTTCTGCATTCAGGAAATCAGTTCATTCGAAAATGAGTTGTTCCCAAGTAATTCTTGCAATTTTTGAAATGAAGAAAATTGTTAAAAAGACGATCACAAGTGAAGAATTGATAGAAGATTTTGAGAAATTATTATTAATATCTTATATGTGAAAAGAATATTACAGGGGATTGTGACTGTCGTGACTGGAACGGTGGATGCAGGAGAAATGGTGAGAAGTGGCTCGACGATGATACTTGGGTCTACAGATGTAATGGAAAGGACGGGTATAAAAAGTTTTGCTAGCCTATACACATACAAAGATGGGAATGAAAGAAATGATTAGTACATTTCTTTTCAAGGAATTTAGCTTCCTCATGAAGTGCTGTCAATAATGATTTGCAGTTATCAATCAGAATTTCTGGGTTGTCAAAGTAGCGATCGATCCGGGAAGGTATTAATTCAGGCTGGTGACAATAAAACTATTGATGGCTTTTGGTTTAGCTGTAGTCATAATACGTTCAGGCTTAAATATGAAGAAGGTAAGGATGAACTTTACGTAGAAAATCCGAAGACTTAATGATTTCATCTATAAGAATCATTCATAATTTCTTCGTTCTGAATAGTAAGAATTTCCATCTAATTTTAGAACCTCGATGTGTGGTTAATAATACGCAATATCATACAGGTGATCTGTTCCGAGAGAATTATTTCCAGTGGCTCTGTTTGGAAAACGGTCGATGGATTACAGGTAAAGTTGTTATTCGTCATGTTTTCAAATGAACTGGATAAATATTAAAGACGTGTCTCTGTATATAATAAACAATTACAGGTTGTTATTATCAAAATGAAACGAAACATTGGATTCTGTTGAAAATTGGTCAGACCGGTTACAGTGACCTCGTGAAACATGTTTGTGATCAGTATGATGACTATCCAGGAAGGGTGCAATACTACGCTGAAGTAATTTTCTCAGTTATGGTTGCTAATTTCTGTTCATTATTTTAGTATCATCAGTGCTTTATCATCATTTTGAAGCAACTGGATGACCTGCACAAGCTGCACGTCCTTGCACTGCTTTGGAAGTTACCAAAACATTCCCTCCCTAATATTACTAATATTTAATGTTATATGTTGGATGCCTAATTTTTTTATTTATTTGCAGGTGCGAAAAGATGTGTCCGTCAAGCATCCTTCGAACAAAGGCAAAAATACGAATTTGCCACAACTGGTCGATAATCGTTTAAAAGACGCGCCAGTTCGTTGGCTTCACACAAATGCAGCCAATTTCATAATCAGTAATGAAGGCTTCAAATCAAAAATCCGTTATCTGCCCGATTCCAAACAAATGTAGATAATAATGCAGTTTATAAACATTTTGAACTCGATTAAATTTTTGTTTTATTTGACTAGGTTTTAATTTATACAAATCAATAATTGTTAAAATCTTCGTATCAGTAATGTCTACTTCAACAAGTACTGCAAAGTATGACCGAACAATCTAAGTGGTTATCATTCACAGATCATTCCAACATGCAGTTTAATTTTCAAAAGATTATTTCTGCTTCCTCCCTTGTATAGTAGAAATGAGGTAGAACAGTTCGAATTACCTACCAATGGACTCGACCCAGAGTGCAACGTTCACTAGTGTCGCCATGTCATCATCCAACGCCATTATCTTTCCTGTATCTTTCTACATCATCAGGAAATGTTGAACTTTATGCTTCTTTTTGTACTTCACTTCATTGCATGCAGCCGCCTTAATTTTTTTTCGCATTTTATACTGGACAAGTTGAGTACTGAGGAAATGATTTGGAAAATAAAGTGGAGTTGTGATATGTGCAACCTGCTATTGTTATTATTCGAATTGCAGTAAATAATAATAATGATATTATATTATCAATCTGAAAATTTGATGGCTTTTTTCATGCTTCCCTTATTCTTCTTTTCAGTTCTTACCATGAGTATTTTTCAATTCCATTACTCTGCAGTTTACAGCATAATCCAGGAAGATATATAAGTGCAAAGATTTGAGTTGAGGTTGCCACACGAAAAAATATCTGTTACATTACCATTACATTAGCATGCCTTAAATACGAGAAGTCAGACGTATCAAAAATAATTTGTAACTTTTCTGTTTAACTCACAGTGAACTGCAAAGGAGAAGTCAAATCAAATATCAACAATGTTATAAGTGAGCAATAATTCAACATTCCTCATTGTTTACACCTCAGTACACTTTCCTCTTGTTATGCTACCCTCTTCCATTTCTGTTATTTTTCTGTTTCATCATTTCCCATTTAAATTGCTATTCGAAAACAAATCTTTTCGCTATTTTCTATAAAGCAACTCATGTACATCGATCATTTTTGATTTCAAACTTTCTTACTCTTTTAATTCGCAAATATACCGAATGTCACTTTTAACATCAACCCTATTTAATGATATTGACTATCAGTGGAAATTATCGTATTAAAAATGTAAGAAAAAGTTACAAGTTTTTGAATTAATAGATAAAATGTAAATGCCTTATCATTGCTGTAAGATTCATACGATATAATTCGTTTATTACTTTTTTAATTCCTCTCTTTTCTCATTGATATTTCTGAATGGGATATTATTACGCACATGTTTCTTTGTGGTTAATATGTAAACATACTTTTAAGACTCAACTCTACACCAGAAAAACAAGTAGGATCACCACTATAGATAAGCTAATATTTATGTGATTCGTTCATCTGATGTCTCATTCTGCTCTGCCCAGCGTAAGGTGAGCGAACTGAGGTTTGAGTGGAGGAAGAACTGAATTAAGTAGATTGATCAACATTGGAGATGGTAAAAAGTGACATGAAAATAGATGAAGGGTTACAGGGCTGATAAAAGTTGCGGTAACGGCTGATTACACAGAATAAGAAATATGACACATACGCTTGTATTAGTCATCGTTATCCTATTGCTTCAGTTTGAGAGGTTTTGAGATGAGATTGTTCATGCCATATAATAGTATTATCAATCAATGATTAGTTAATTAGTCAGTTAGAGTTTTATGAAGTTGAAATTTATACAATTCAATGATTTCACCTACTTCTCTTACTGGATTTAACTGATAATATTCCGACAACTGATAATATTCCACAAATTGAATCCATAAGGCATAAAACGTGGAATGAGCGAGATGGTAGTATGTTTACTTCCTGATTCACTGATTTTTCCAGTCACAACTTTTTAAATTACTTGTTTTTTGTTTTATATTCCTTGATACATCATAACTGTCGGGAGTTTAGGTGATCCAGTGATCTCCTACTTTGAAGTAAACCTTTTTATGGAGTCAAAATGACAGTCGTTCCAATATAATAAATTGAACATGCTCTGATTCTTAAATTGCTTTGCATTTCGCTGATTTACGAACGGTTTGTTGGCGCATCTTTACTTAAGTAACTAATAAATGCGTTAAAAGACAGTAATTAAAGTGGCTTCGGCATAACATTAGATCCACTAAAATGCTTTCATTCTTCCTGATAGGAAAGCGAAACGAAACCCAGTCATTATCATCAGTCCTAACTTATTAGCAGTTGTGAAAAAAGCCGCTGCAAAGAAATGAAACTGTTGAAGTAGTCCAAAGAGAAAAAGTAGTCTTTCTGTGCCACTGTATCACAATCCTAATTGGCGTATGTCACTTATCTTGGCATTCTCATTTTCGAGATAGGATCAGGATTCATTAAGTTGGACATTTTCTACAAATGAAGCAGAGTGTTAAGCGAAATAAGCAATTGCTGATGAGAAGCTGTAATACACAACGATTTCCCATTTCGTAAAATTATCAAGGAGAAATGAAATGCAGTTCTTCCGCCGTTGCTATATTTTTGCAAATTTTGTTTATTTTGTCTCTAAATATACAATTATGCAGTTGTCCGGTAAGCTGCTTGAAACCAAATCCACAACTGCCCTGGAAAGCTAGTGATAAGAATGCATAGAAGGCTATCACACCACTCAAGATAGTTATATCATGATATTACAGACAGATGGTTTCCCGAGTTAAAGAGAAGTGAGGAGAGAAGTGTTATCATCATTACGATTACCAACAGGAAGAGTCAAATCGAGCATGAACCAGGTCTGTGGGATTTTATTTCGATTAGAACTACTATGAGCATATTCCTAGTGATAAGACAGTGACTCACCCGTTGATCGGTGGTCAGTGCGACTGAAAGACCTTCTCTGACCTCTCATTCGATTCACACAGCTAGAGAGGAGATGACAGAGTAATGCAGTTGCTTTCCTGAATTCGATCTGAATTCGATCTTACCAACGAGTCGTCTTATCGGCATGGGACAAAAATTCTTCGCTGATCAGTGGAAGCAGGTATTTCACATATTCAAGAAATTTCTCTCGGTTAGCGACAGAGGGGTATTTTCCTGATCTGGGCCTCGAACTTGACAAATCTTAGAACATTCTTATAATCTATCTCGAAATGGACTGAATGCTGGAAACGGACTTCCATCGATTCATTTGCCTTCATCTCTTCTACTGCGGTGTACTATTGAAGCATAACACACTCCGATGATATGCTTATCAAATCAACTGATACTTTTCCACTTTTCTTTAGCCAATATGCTGCTTACGCACAATAGTGACTTTATTCGTATGCTTTTCACATGTTCAAGTCTGGAAAATGTTTCATGAAAACAACTTCCACTGATGTTTCAACGAACGGTTGGTATAGTGGATATGTACTCCACTCTCTACAAATCATTGTTTTAACAGGAACTTTTCATCACCTGGGCCATAATATATACATTCTGGAAAAAGTGAATTTGATGAGATGATATATCAAATTAGAAAAAGAGTGTAGCACAGGTTCTTTCGAATAGGTCGTATAAAGGAGAAGATACTTTTTTCTGAACGTTTGAGCATATCAACTATGGCTTACGGCTTTGCTATCTGCTAGATCACTAAGGGAAGTCTTCAGTTGGAGCATTAACTAGGACATCATGTTATTGTTTATTCAAAAATTTTTTTGTGCAAAGGTGAACAAATGAATTCACTCCTACAGCACTGCACCTGTAAAATCTGTGCATGCAAGAAAAACTGAGCAGAAATCTGTTTGTATGGATGGCAACTATTTCTCAGGTAGTAATATTTTCTTTCCTTTCCTGTCACCGTTTACAACAGAGATCAGTGATAGAATTTAGCTCTGTTCAGTGTTGTAGAATCTCCACAGCAATAATAGACTATTTGCTTCCTCGGTAGCTTCTTCCTTCTATATTTCATCCATTTATTCATGCTGATAGTTTCAGGAAATAACGGAAATACACAATTAAAAATGCGTTCATGTTAACGTGGATACATATGAAGTTGTTGTGTCCTATTTATATAGTTAACTTGTGCATTGTATTGCATTATACAGATGACAGTAATCAAATTCCGCTCTTTTCCATTCTGAGTCACAGTAAAGAAATTTAGAGAACATTAATGGTCAAAAAAGGGATGGTAATAAAAATTCATTACCTGAAAATTATGCTGTTAGAATGAACTTGTGGAACCATTAGTTGTGACTATTAACTTAATGTAATTTAGGAAACCTTTGAGTTGGAATATTCACGTAAACAGCTTCAAGCGGAAAAATTATGCAGCATTGAAAAAGTGAAGTTGAAAGTGTTACCAAGGAATATCCTAAAATCAGTGTTATCATTCTTTCCTATACTTCACTGGCTTCCAAGATACAATTGGAAAAGAGATTTGAATGGCGATATTATCGGAGGTCTAACTGTTGGAATTATGCAAGTCCCACAAGGTTAGACCTAACTTTTATTCAGTAGTCATCTAAATTTACTATTTTAGTTTGATTTCTTGGTGTCTCTTTAAAAGCCAGAAAAGTGGTCAAGATGTTCTGTATTTCGTTCTATACAAATAGTTCTATATTCTATATTATAATCGTTATACATTTGATGTAAATAAGTAAAAAAATATGATCAAGAGTAAGAACTCTAATATGAATACATGCGTGACAAATTCGGGTGTTTGGCGTACGCAAATTTGTTCAGGAATGGCGTACGCAAATTTGGCTAGTCTTCCGCCAGTTTACGGAATGTATACGTCGTTCTTCACTTCAACTTTTTATGCATTCTTTGGAACATCGAGACACATTTCAATTGGTGAGGGATACAGTATTCCTGCTTCTGTCATTTCGTTAAATCACTATCATTTAATCACAAGAATATGAGGATATAAATATAATCTTTTAAAAATAAAAAAGATCTGGAAGCAGCAGGAAGTATTCGTTGTTGCAAATAGAAAAGCGATATGGGTTTAGTTCAAGTCCTTTTCTTCTGCATTTAAGCTTTTTGCCTTAAGCTTTAAGATTCTTCGTACTTTTGCATGCAGAAATTTCATTTTATGCCGAAATGGAAGAAAACCTAAATTATTTAGGAGTGTATGAAATTCTTTGGAGTCATTTTCACTGTCGGAGATTCTGGTGCTATCTAGAAAAATGATAAGTCTCAATATTTTCTTTCGTTTTTCTTAATTTCTGAATAATTGGTAGCTTTTTCTTACTTCTTAATAATTAATGACATCATTTATTCTGTAATCATTCGAGAAATCGAGAAAAGTGTAGTTCTTAATGAAAGGTAAGATAAGCTATATAATATAGAGATAAAGAAAAATTAATAAGATAAAGAAAGACAACCCTTCACACAATATCAGCACGAATACATCAAAATCACAAGGAAATTAAAAAAGGTAAATGTGATTACTTTTTCTATCATTGTGCCGTGCAAACGTGATTCCTGCAGTTAAGTTGTCAGTCCCAGTTCCTTCAACGGCATCGTAGCTGAGTTGATAAGTATATTTTTTGATTAAAAAAAATTTACAGGTGTTTTTGCCGTGGCAAGTTTGATGGTAGGAGCAGTGCGATTACGTTTTGTACCTGATCCAGATGTGATTTTTGAAGTGATAAATGGTTCCAATATGGAAGTCGTAAAACCAGTAGTAGGTCCAGTAAACTTTGGTTATGAAGTTTCCCCGGTTACCCTTACAAGTGCGCTCGCTATGGCTGTTGGACTATTTCAAGTAAGCAGCCAGTGAATCCAAGAAAACAAAACGCTGTTCGATTAAATAGAGTTGACTGGTCATCGAGCCCACTAAATAGAACAACTGATGACTGGAGTGATAAATCTTCTTCGGATGACCTATTTGGAATGAATGCCCATGATAGAGGTGGAAAGCTTAAGCAGTTAGGAGACTGGCTATTAAATAGTATGATCGACATACATCAAATTTACAGAGTGCTGATAGCACTCTCGAATAAAAGTTTCTAGAGATGGTTTGAAAGGGAATCTTGCTTCACATCTCATTAAAAACCAACTATCGATTCACGTGTGAGAATCTGCGAGATATTTTGCAGGTGTCGTTCCTGGTCCAAAAAACGTTCATCTGAGAATCTAATTTGAATAACTCTATATGGCTTAACCCTTTAGAATATTTGTATGCTAGAAACTACTTTTTTTTTTTGAGATTTCCATGCTATGCAACATCTTATAACTCATGTAAACTTCTGGTCACCGTTTGAGAGAGTTAAAACAATCAGAAATAAATAGTCTTTTATTTAACAGTAGAAAGAAATTGAAGTATGGCAAATATTTCTTTTCTCGATTAAAGGGACTGTAGTGACATATTTCAAAAATCGATGTTTTAGAGAGAAATAAATATAAGAACGGTTTTGAAATGTAGTATACATGCTTAATAAGTAATAGCAGATTTTCAGCTAGTAATGGCGATGATGGGTTTGGCATTCCTTACTACTTACATGTCAGATGCTCTTATTTCCGGTTTCACTACGGGATCAGCTTTTCATGTTTTTACAGCACAACTTAACAAAATCATTGGTGTAAAATTACCGCGTTATTCTGGTTTCAGCATGTTATTCTTTGTAAGTCTTAAGAAACTCACCCAATTTTTGTTTTACTAAGTTGCAAATCCTCGCTTCTTTTTCCGTTTCACGAACTTCGATTAATGCATGTATTTTTGATTAAAAGTAGGAAGTAATATCGATATTTGTGCATGTTCCCTGTTTGCTTCCTTAACATCTTTTCATTTTTATAGTTGGACAATATTCTTTTGACTCGCTTTTCTTATCTTTTAATTAGTGTCGTTTCGTTTTCACTTGTTAATCATCAAAATATATTAAAAGAAGATAGTT